AACCACTGCGTCAACCTGCTGGACCGGCTGTCGGCTCAATGGCCCGGATTATCAGCAATGGGTGTGGAGGCCGATGAAGTTTACGGAGACCATCACATATGCTCCTATCATCACAGTCATCAACACACGCAGGAATACAACCAGAACCGTTACAAATACGATTGGGCTACCTGGAAATTACACACCGCAGCTCGTAAACGAAGCAGGGACTGCAATATGTCCTGTCACATTATATGACAACACGACGACGACACTGTACGTTTTCCCAAGAAAGAGGCATCATGTATGCGCTAACAACATGAAGCACGTATCCGCAAGAGCTCGGAGACTACGGAACTGATTACTGGTTGACCCTTAGCGAATGTCCGCAGAACAGACGTGATGTGACTCTCAAGTCGCACCCCGATTTCAACGAATGGTACTTTGACGGTACCAGGACACGTCTGCGGCAACCTGGCGGTTTCAGCACTCAGAGTGGCGTCTACGATGACGTTCGGGGAATCAACTGGGGGTGCCTCACAGAACGTGACCCAGTAGGCGAATTTTCAGCGTTTCTAATGACGGCGTTCCCAGACGAAGAGGCATTTCCCCGTTGCATGCATTCAGTGTCGGTTCCGGTCAACTACTTGACGTCAGCAGCTCTTTTGACTGTTCGCTCGGTATCATACGAAGATGATGAAGACATTACTAGCGATCCCCCGAGCGCGCAACCGACACGCTCCACTGCTGGTGATGTTCCCATCTCCACGGGCCGTACCAGCGTCCCAACAACTACCGCGCAGCCTGGAAACCCTCCGGAATCCCCCGCGCCATCCACCGAAGCTCCAACGGTATTGCCACCCGCTCCGGAAACAACGGTGCAGGCCCCAGAGCCAGATGAGACTTCACAGCCAGAACAACCTCCAGCAGCTCCCGAGCCGTCAACGGTGGTCGGAACGGTCTTGCCGCCTGCTTCAGATACATCTATTCAGGTACCAGGGGGTGCAGATGAAACTTCACAGCCAGTGCAGGTTGTTCCCATAGGCTCGACCAGCGTCACCGTCGTCCCTACCTCTATCCCGACCGTGATCGCAGGCAGTAGTACAAGCGTTCCCGCCGTAGTCGTGGGCTCGACGACTCTCACAGCCGGCGAAACAGCCGTGGTTGACAACACCCCGATCGTCGTGCCCACAGCCAACAGTCCCGTTACCCAGGGCCCCGACAACGACCAAACTCCGCCCGAGCCCCAATCGCAGCCTCCAGCCATCGTAATCGGCGGCAGCGACACCATCGTTCTCCCCACCGCCTCTCCAGCTCCAGAAACAGCACCAGAACCCCCAACACTCACCCTCGCCGACGGTCGGACCGTCACCCCCTCTGGTTCCGTCTACATCGTCTCCGGCCAAACCCTCGCTCCCGACTCCCCAGCCCTCACCCTCAGCGGTTCCGATGGCTCCACCGGCACCATCATCGCCCTCACCACCAACGCCGCCGGCTCCTCCATCGTCCTCATCGGCGACAGCAGCACCGTTCCTTACACCGCACCAGCCGCCACAACTCAAAAACCCGCCCTCCTCCAAGCACCCGCAACGCCCCCAACCCTCACCCTCGCCAACGGCCAAACGATCACACCCTCCGGCACCGCCTACGTCGTCTCCGGCACGACTCTCACCCCCGGCGCGCCGCCCCTGACGCTCAACGACGACGATTCTTCTTCTGCTCCCCCGACCGTCATCGCGCTGACAACCGACGCCACGGGCTCACCTGTCGCCGTTGTCGCTGTCGGTGGTAGTAGCAGCACCGTGGCTTATGCCGCTGCCACCCCCGCACCTGGAAGTGGTAGCAATGCTTCGCCGCTCGTCATCTTCGGCACGACGGTGACGCCGAGCGGGAGCGGTACGTACATGGTCGCGGGGCAGACGCTGACGGTGGGCGGGACGGTGACGGTTGGCGGGGAGGCGGGTGGTGAGGCGAAGACGACGCTGGTGATGACGACGGATGGGGAGGGGAGGACGGTGGTGGTGGCGCAGGGAGGAGGGGGTGGAGTGAGTGCTGCTGCGAGCACGGTTGCGACGGCGGGGGAGGAGGGGCTGGGCGGGTTTATTAATTCTGGGTTGGGTGGGAGTGCGAGGGCGTCGTCGACGGCGTCAACGGCGGGGTCGACTGCGTCGGCATCGGCGTCGGTGGATGGGGCGGCGGCGACGGCGACAGCGGAAGGTGGGAGTGGGAGGGTGGTTGGTGGGGAGGTGTTTGCGGTGGCGGTGTTGTTGGCGGCGCTGTTGGTGGGAGGGGTTTGAGAGAGCGATGTTGGAGAAGAGGGGCGATTGTGATTTGACAGGCATGGCGGCTCCCAGGTTTGATTCAGTATGCGGGCCTTTATCAGGACTTCATACATCGTAATACTGCACTATACTGAGCACGTCATCTGGATAAAGTAGCTAGAGTTATAGAGAAGATGGCACTCTATTAATCCATATTTCCTTCCAAATGATGCTTCCAGATTGCTGCCGAATATCATATCTGGACCTTTTTCAGTTCAAAACAACTTATTTTGCGTTTCAGTCTCGCATTTGTTGAGACAGAGACGACTTATTTTCGAAGATCACTTCAACATCCGTAGCCTATACGAGGCTCACGACTCTACGGAAGTACTAAGCCAGCTTCGTAACATCGAAAGAATGACGAAATATTTCATCTCGGCCATCGGTCGCCTTCCGAAGTTGGAAAAAGCTGTGTGAAAATTCCAGGGTTGAATGAATTTTCAAAGTTTTCAAAGTCCACGGATATGACAACGGCGTTTTTAAGGAGTTTTACCTTTGCGAACCGTAAGCTCCATGGAAAAACAGCATTTTAGTAGGTGGAAACAGGGAAAAGGACCGTTTCCCCGACAATGTCCGAGCTTTTCCCGATCGGGAAATTGGTTGGCAAAAATTTCTTCTGACTCACCCACACACGTCCGTTCCTCTTCAAAATGCATTGGGGTCTTCTTCAGTGGTCTTCAAAGGTATCTAGGTAGTTTTGAAAAGCCTACGGTATATAATTGGTGTGGGATTTCGAAGTGTCATCAACGACCTCAGGAACACCATCAGTTCTTGATTACGTCGCCCGGCTAGCTCAATCGGTAGAGCGTGAGACTCTTAATCACTCTCTAGAGTGCTATCTCAAGGCTGCGGGTTCGACCCCCGCGTTGGGCTCAATTCCCGACTCATCTTTTTGCATTTTGTCCCGTTGCGATGACTGGTCAAGTTTTTTGCACTTTGGGGTCAGTGCGGCGTTCGGGCCGCAAGATGGCGTTGTCTGGCAAGTCATGCACCATCGGGACTTTCTTTTTGATCATAAGACCAGTCGTCAAGGCCACAGACGGTGACGAGAGGCCAAGATATGCCAACGCTCTTTTGTTGGAGATATAGACACCTGCTTGCGTGGGCAGCTGAAACCAACGTCCGGGTGCGTTTGTATCATGCATAACTTTACATTTACGTCCAGATCCAAGCTTCAGTTGCCCATGAAAGTGGAATTCTTGGAAATGTAGAAAAAAAAATCTCAAGCAGAAATGAATTTTTTATGCAGTATCTGTATCCGAACAACCTTGCTGGCTTTTTCTTTCACCGTTCCCGAGTCGTTGTTAGCCTTCGAATTCTGCTAGAGCTTGCCACTTGTAATTTCATTTACATAGCTTTTACAATAATCTCAAAAGTGGCGTCCACGTTTGCCCACCGTCCAGAACAAACAATATAACGCCGCCAATTAAAGACTGCCATTCTCTGACAGGCGTCATGGCAATAGGGCTAGCGCTAATAGCTGCCGTCCGTGAAGAAAATTTCACGGCTCGAAGCTTCGCGGTCAATTACATTTTATACTCCGCCTATCAGTACCTAGAGAAAAATATAGCCAAATTATGCAGACTCTTCTCTCTATAACATGAATGCTTAGTTTTCTGTAAAGATCGTGAATTCGAAGAGGGATATAAAACGGTAAAGGCCAGTGTGAGGACTAAATCGATAATTATTAAACCAGACTGACAGATGCGCAGAATGATCCATAAGCTATCTGCTGGGCAGCGTAGAATATATACGCGCCAGATGACTAAGCAATAGCAAACAAGGTAGCAAATAACGAAGGGAGTCGAATAGCATAGAATCCACTAACTCCGTCACAGACATTCACATGGTTTCCGGCAGAGTAAGTAAACTAACTGAAAAAAGAAAAAGACTATTAAACCAAATCATAGAGAAGAAGTCATGAATAATTTAGCTATGCCGGCTGTTTTATTTCGTGGTGAAAAATTATATGACTGTAGCTATTCGATCTTGCTCTCGATTTGAAGCTTAGTCGAGTCGAAAGTAAACCATGTACCTTTAGAATCTAGCTCTCTCTATCTGACTTTGGGAAAAATTTTAACGTCCTTTAACATCCGCTGGCGTTGCTCTGAAGTGTGGCCGGCAGGCTCAATAATGGCTACTATGTTCTTCACTTCAATTATCCTCGAATTATAACAATACCACAGTTCAAAATCGCATGGAGGGTACGTTTTCTTGCAGGAATCAGGAAACTTTTCAATACTAAAAGCATATCTGCCGTTAAGGTCATCTTTTTGGGAGGTTTTGTTCAAGTTCCGAATGTCGACAACAACTGAATCCGAATACGACACTCCGACAAACATTTCGTCCGCCACTTCGTCCGCAATACATGAATACCGTCCTACGTGGGATCATCACTGGACTTCATTACAAATACTTGTTCTCGGAACTTCAGCCATCCGCTACGCAAGGAAATACTTGAGTTCGCTACTTCGTTTCCAATGACCAATAAGGGACAAGAATGTTCCACTGCAAACTGTAAATTGGGATGTGGCAGCTTGGCACCCTCCGCAGTAAAGCTCTATGAGCTGGATATTTAAACTGGTTTGAGGACTGTTTAATTCGGAGCTTCACATTCAAGAAGTCACCTGGCTTGATATTCAAAGCGAAATCAAAGAAGCAGAGTATCAGCTCGTCTCACCATGACTGAACCAATAGTCAATGTTGCAATTATCGGCGTACGACATCAACCCCATAAATCCTTTCCTTCCCCCCAAGTCCACCAGTCTCACTCCTCTCCAACAGGGTGCCGGCGACCTCGGTCCCCACATCATCTCCGCTCTCCTGGAAACCGGCATCTTCACCGTCACCGTCATCAGCCGCCCCACCTCGACCTCGACCTTCGCTCCCGGCGTGACGGTCCGCCGCAGCGACTTCACCACTCCCTCCCTCCTCGACGCCTTCCGTGGCCAGCACGCCGTCATCGACGTCCGCGCCCGTCCCGACGTTCCCGCCTGGACAGCCACTGCTTCCGCCGCAGCCGCCGCAGGCGTGCGCCGCTTCATCCCCAGTGACTTCGTGCTCGACATCGATAACGCCGCCTGCGGCGACCTCTATCCGGAGAACCGCCAGCGCTGTGCTATCCGCGCGTATCTGAAGGAGCTGGCGGACAAGAATCCTGGGTTCTCGTGGACGGCGGTTACGAATGGGCCTTTCTTGGACTGGGTGAGTAGCAAAAAAAAAAATTCACCTCCTCCCATTTTTGTATACAATGATAGAGAGATGCTCACAAGGGTGTGGATGGACAGGGTCTCCGCACCGGATTCCTCGGCTTCGACCTCGCAACTGCCTCCGCGACCATCTACGACAGCGGTGACGCCACCTTCTGCGCTACGACCTTGCCTGATGTCGGGAAGGCCGTTGCGAGTATCTTGCTCCATACGAAAGAGACAGCGAATACTAGCGTGCACATATCGTCTGTCACGACGTCACAGAATGAGCTACTGAGAGTGCTCGTGGCGAAGACGAGAAAAGAGTGGACTGTAAAGGAGAGAATTGATACAGAGGAGTCTCTGCGCAGGGGGAAGTCGAGACAGGCGGCAGGTGATTTCTCCAGGGAGACTATCTATGCGTCTGCTATGGCGGCCATTTTCAATCCAGTGTACGGGTCTGACTTTTCGAAGGCGGCGGAAGGGTGGAACAAGCTCCTGGGGTTGGAGAGGAGGGGTATTGAAGAGCTGGTGAGAGAATCTGTTGAGGGAAAGGTTTGAGAGATACATAATGTAACCGAAGTCTAGAATCAACACTCTTCTATACATGGATACTTGAAGCGAGAATGAAATGTAATTCTTCACAACTACCAGGAAAATGATCAAGCCGTACACTTCAAACGCACAATCGAATAAGATGTGACACTCAGAAAAAAGCTCGTCATTCATGAATAAGAAGTCAAGACCAGCAGCTTCCATCATCAAACACTTTTCAATGTTTCGCCGCACACCGATTCACCACCCCGACCGCCTTCCCCAACACCTTAAACAGCAAGCTGAGCACAAACCACACCACCTTGAACGCAAACACAAGCAACAAGAATATCAACTCAACCAACCAATGCATTCCCTCATCGTCCCCCTTTGCCTTCTGCTTCCCCTGCGCTTCCATCCCCCTCTCCTCCGCCCCCCGCACGTTCGGCCCCTGGCCCATTTCGATATCCACAACCCCCTTGCTCCGCTTCTTAGCCTTCTTCGCCGCCTTCTTCGCCTCTTTCTCCTCAGTCGTCCCGAACCACCATCCCCAACTCATCGGCTTCACCTTCTCCATTACCAACTCCTTTGGCCCGACCGTCTCCATGCCCGGCCACCGGCGCGCCGCCGCCGTCGGCGGGCCATCGAAGACCATTGGCATCGACGTCGCTGACCCGTTGCTCGGCCAGGTGCCGCCGCCGTAGAGCACTTGCCCCGGACTACCGCCACCGGCAACAGCAGCACCGGTAGGGGTTGCGGCATGAGGAGGATGCTCGCGCCGTCGCTCTGCGACCAGCACGGCCATGACGGCGGAGACGGCGACGTCGATCATGTGCGGGTGGGGCGAGTGGGCATGAGGGCTAGTCTTGTCGGCGCCGAGGGCAGCGATGGCGGCGGCGTCGACGGTCAGGGTGGCGGTGTGCAAGGAGAGGCGGGCGAGGACCTCGTCGGGTGCAGGAGAGGCGGGGCGGTCGGTGGTGTAGTTGTTGTTGTAGTAGTAGGAGTTGTGCTTTTGTTGTTTTGAGTCGGTGGTGATAGTGGAGCTGCGAGGCGCGGCGAAGGGGTTGAGCATGGTTATGGTGGTGGGGATGTGGCTGACAGGACTGGTGCTGCGGACGGCAACGGAAGAGGTGGTGTTGCTGTTGTTTTGGCCCGATGCGGTACCGGTCTTGTTGTTACCGTTGCTTTTCGTCTTCCTGGCTGTCTCAAGGGCCGCCTCGAGGCTTCTCTTCACGTCGCCTTGCACGACGACCGGGAACGCCCCGAGCCGGGGGTGCCGAAGCTCGTATGTGCCCGTCTTGTCCGCCTCGTACGGCGGCATCAGCGGCTCTGACACCGGGCAGTGCAACAGTTGGCACCCGTTCAGTGCCTCGCATGCCGCTATTGCTTCAGCGGCTAGTGCTGCTGCAGCGGGAGATTCTGCTTTTGGGTCGATCGAAGCGATCTCTGCACCGCGAGGACCCTGGGCAGCCTCCTCCAGAGCAGCTAGTATGGCAGGTTTCGGGGTAATGGTTGTGATGTGCGTGGCTTGAGGAATGAGGTCGGGGCGCTCATAGAAGACCTCCGGTGGAGGTGGAGGGCCGTGAGGAGGGGGCGTCTGGACTGAGAGGTGCGCGATAGGGAGGGAGTCGGTATCGTTCTTTGGCTGCATTGGGTTGTTGCGAGATATAAGGACTTCGCATGCATTCGTGTCCTTGTCGATAAGGGCTTGTTCCAGGTTGTAGAAAGGTTGGACAGGAGAAGAGCCAAAGGTAAAACTGTCGCCATCAACGGGGGAGTTGGTAGGGCTGGCCTTGCGACAGTGCATTTGCAAGGCGTAAGTACGCCAGCCTTCTGGTCTCGCTTTGCCATTGGCCGCATCCCATAGAGCACCGAGCTCTATCTTTGGCGTATAGTATGGCTCCTCAGCAGATCCACTCCGAAGCACATCGGCGTGGGGTACATAGAATGTCGGCGAGTACGGTTTGCGGCTGATTTTTTCCTTTGGAATATCCGTGGGGGATGCCTGTGTTGGCTTGTACTGTTGCTGTGATAATGGAAGACTTGGATTGTAGCGCGGAAATATCGAGCGCATGACAGCTGGTTCCTTGGGGCTCGTTTGGCTCAACTTGGTCCGGTGGGTGGCCGTGCTTTGGTTTCTGACAAGGGTCGTCGCATCTGAGAAGGATGGTGAGGCAGTGTACTGGCGATCCGCTTGGGACAAAGGTGATATTGTATCTTCGGATATGGAAGGATCCTTGCCTGGAGAAGTGTTGTCCAGCGAAGTGCCTGAGGTTGGAGTTGTTCTGCCATTGCCAGAGCGGAAAGATGATGATCGAGTGCGCGTTTGAGGGCTGTTTGATTGTGACGTACTCTTGCTGGATCCGGAAACGGGGACTCTTGGTTGAGATTTGCCGGCAATTGAAGAGGCGACATGAGCTTGAGGTGGAGACTCAACGGGAGATGCAGGATTGGAATTAACTTTGATGACAAGTTCGTGGAAGTCGACCGGCACCTTCGCACGTTCAAGTAGTTCAACAGCTGGTTCAGGACTGGCAGGTTGTGCCGGACGCTGAAGGTTGATAGGCCTTTGTTTCTTTGGCGGCGGGGGGAATAGTTGGAAAGACATGGTGAGCGCTGCGTTAATGACAGGAATCTAGTGATTAAAGGTATTACAGTAGATCAAATGCCGGAACAAGAGCCAGTCTTGTGGGGCGGATGGATAGAATGAAAATTCAAAGGAAACAGGGTGACGTCCAAGCGTCTATGGGGTCAAGCAAAGCTGTGCAAAAGGAAGCGGTGGCGACTTGATATAAAGAGATGGAGTGGGTGTTGCATATTCGGGCCGCTCGAAAGCAATAGCGGCTGCAAAGCGGTGTTCCTGCATCTTCACATTCGGCAGTGAGCCAATGGGCCGCGCAGGCCTGGGCAATGGTTGGATGAGGTTGGCTGACGTTAAGCGCCCACTTTGTCTTGGCGGGGACGAGCCGCCCAACTGGGATGTGACTGTGCTCGACCTCGCCCTCATTGGTCAGGATAGCTGATGAAGAGTGCAGACGCATGCCAAATTGTGTGATATCGGATCTCGTAAGCCTCTTTCCGTGGGGCTACAGCCGTGGCGGTGTGCCATGGCGGTAAATCACCATTGCCCAAATTCTGGCCACGGAGGGCTCGGAGTCCTGGTACCTGAGTAGCTGTTGCGTGTGAAAGGAATCAGGACATGGTCAGGACAAAGGGTGGACATCACACCCGCAGAACGGAGACTGCCCGTCTCCTCACCAACGAAGTAACAGATTTCACTGCGTGGATATTTTAGGAACGGGTAAGCAGCTAGCAGACGCTCAATCCGGGGCATCCGTATCGATCCCTGGTCAATAGCGCTCTGTTTCGAGGGGTGGCGAATTGAGAGGCAGCCAAGGCATCACGCGGGTGAGAGCGAAACATGCGCTGTGTGATGAGCAGCCTGGATGGAGTGCGTCTACGTGCATCGGAGAAGGGAGGAGAGAGGGAAGGCGGCGGTGGACTGGGCGCTTAAAATAGGCACCGCGTGCGTTGCGATAAGATAAGCCCCGCGCAGCAAAAAAGTCCGAACCCATGACGCAGCCCAGCCGCCAAAAAAACACCACCACCTGCCAAAATGCCTACCGAGCTTGAAGAAGTGAGACAACCCCCATGCGCTTCGTCGCCACATGCTGACCGGCTCGTCTATAGCTCGTGGAGTTCCTCCACCACGGCAACTCCCAGATCCGCCAGATCGGTACGCCCGTCTTGCACATCGCGCGCTCAACCTCTCCCGCCCCAATCTGACATGCGCCCTCTGCAGCCGCCGAGAACCTGGTCGGATATACCACCGCGCAGCCTTCGCTATTCAAGCGCAACCAGCTAGAGCCCATAAAAGACCTGAAGCTCCTGGTGAAGGATTACACAGTATGCGCCATCCGCTCGGACAACGTAGGACAGGTTTCTGACAGGCAGACGACAGCCTATAGCCAAAAATGCGTTTACCATGCTCATAAACCTCACGGATGACGAGGAGATCCGCGAAGACCTGGCCAAAGATGACGCGTTCCTCGAGTCACTGCTCCTGCGCATAACAGTATGTCAGTCAACCGGGCGGCCACTAGACATTCCTCGAATCTGACCATCGTAATCTCACATCAGAGCTCCAAAGAGCCCAGTGCCAACGAGATCGCCATGTTGCTCGCCAACCTGGCCAAATCCGACACGCTCAAGCGCCTGCTCACGCTAGAGCGCGCCGTGCCCAAGGACCTGTCGACGTCCAAGGTGGCCATGGACCAGCTGATGGACTGCTTCGTCAAGGGCGCCGAGGGCCGGTACAACAAGCACGCCGACTACGACTACCTGTCGTACCTGTTCGCCGACATGGCCAAGCACGCCGAAGGCCGCGCGTACCTGACGACCCCCCAGACCCACGACGCCGACATCATCCCCATCACCAAGCTGACCGTCTTCACCGAGCACAAGTCGACCATCCGCCGCCGCGGTGCCGCAAACACCATCAAGAACGTCTGCTTCGACGTCGACGCCCACCCGCAGCTGCTCGACGCCGACCGCGTCAACATCATGCCCTACCTGCTGCTGCCGCTGATGGGCAGCGAGGAGTACGCCGACGACGACACTGAGGGAATGCTGGATGAGGTCCAATTGCTGCCGCCTGACAAGCAACGTGAGCCCGAGAATGACATCCTGAAGACGCATCTCGAGACGTTGCTGCTGCTCTGCACCACTCGCGAAGCCCGTGACGAGCTGCGCCGCATCAAGGTGTATCCTATCATCCGTGAGACCCACTTGCACGTCGAAGATGATGATGTCCGCGAGGCTGTCGACCGCGTCGTGCAGATCATCATGCGGAAGGAGGAGGGTGAGGAGGAGGATCTGCCACCCGAGATGAAGGGCAATGGGGTGCAGCAGATCACGGCAGGTGGCGAGGAGGACGAGGAAGAGCAGGTGGTGACTATCTTGTAGAGAAGATGTTCGGTAAAAAGATAAAAGGAAATGGTTGGATAGATAAAAGCAAAAAGTCATTTTGAAAGTACAATACAGAGTATTGCAGAGGCTGGCGTGAAGAATAGCAGGATCTTCGAATCTATGGTGACTGTCTCAGCTTTTTTTTTTTTTAAAAAAAAAAGTAAGACAATGTATGGGTAATTGAAGCTATCGTCTGGACGACAATGTCGAATTAAAGATTATACATACATGTCCGGACGATAGCTTCAACGGCCCATGACATGAGCGAAAAACAAATTAACATTGCGGATGTGATAACCCTCTATACATTGATTGCGACTACTGACATCCGCTTCCATCCCAATTACAACTTCTTCTTCAACAACCCCTTGAAGAAATCAAAACTGTTGCTATCACTCTGCAACTGCCACACCTTCCCGGTCCCCCGATCCTCCCAGCCCAGCTCCTCGGCCACCAAGAGCCCCCAATCGCGCGTGATGCCTTTGATGCGCGCCCTCACGCCGCCCTCCTGCTCGAGCGTGACGACCTGGCCCTCGTGCAGCCAGTAGCCGTAGTAGATGCGCTCCATCTCCTCGCTCCAGCCCTCGCGGACGAACTTGCGGTACATCTCCTCGAACTTGACCAGGATGCTGGCGAGCAGCTTCTCGGTGCGGAAGGGCGGCAGGCCGTGGGCGCGGGCGAGGGCGTCGAGCGACGTGGTGGGGGCGGCGTTGGCGACGTTGACGCCCACGCCCGCGACCAGCGTGTACTCGGAGCCCTGGTAGCTGGAGTTGACGAGCACGCCGCCGATCTTGGCGAAGTCGGAGGGGTTTTTGGAATTGCCGTCCTTGAAGGCTGCGGTTGCCGGGTCCAGGGCGTAGATGTCGTTGGGCCACTTGAGGCGCACGGGGAGCTTCGAGTAGCCCGTGTCGTAGGCGTGCACGCCCATGACGGTGGCGAGGGCGGCCAGGTACTGGATGAAGACGACCGGGGCGGATTGCGACAGCGCGACCGAGTGGCGTAGTACCGTGCTGTACATGAGCGAGCCGGGCGGGCTGACCCAGACGTTGGAGCCGCGGCCGCGGCCGGCGATCTGGGTGGTTGCGGTGGCGGTGAAGCCGGCGGGGAGGTGCTTGAGCAGGGAGGGGTTCTTTTCGAGGATCGTGTTGGTGCTGGTGACGACTTCGCCGTAGAGCAGGTACTTGCCGAAGTCGCCGTCGGTGTCGCGGGTGCGTGACTGGTAGGCGGCGAGGTTGGAGTAGAAGGCGTCGTGGTTCCAGTACGGCGTGTCTTTGCTGGAGGGCCGGTCGGTCTCGTGCGGGACTAGACGCTTGACGACGGCGTCAAAGTCGAGGATTCTGTCGGCGGTATCGCCGTCAGTCTTGCCTTCCCCGGGGATGATGGAGGTGACAGCTTTGGTGAGAGTGCTCATGGACCACGATGACGGTTTCTCTAGGTGGAATGTGTCGTTCTCGCCCTTGATGTGCTCCTCTCCCTTCTCTACAGTGATGACGTCGGACCATGCGGACACCAACTCTGCCACGTCCGAGGGGTTGGAGGAGGTGAGATGAAGGCGGGAAAGGGACGGTACCGCTTGAGCTTCCTGGTTAACCTGCAGTCCCAACTTGATCAGACAAGCCTTGAGGAAATCGGTCCTTTGCTTGTCATCCTGAGCAAGGGCGTCAACGATTTTGTCGTAGCCGGGGATGTCCTCCCCTTTGCTGAGATTTACGGCAGCGAATCTGTCAATGTTAGTAATGTCGAACATGGTCATCGAAATTGGATAACTTACTCTGGGTGAGGTCCGGTCAAAATGACGCCTCCTTCGCCAATCTTGCGATACACGACTGCGGCGGCGCCTTCTCCGGAGTCGACATGCAGCTCGCCCGTGTAGCTCGCGAGGGTTTCAACGCCTCGGTCTTTGAGTTTCTCGGCATCAACAAAGACACCACCACCGTTGTAGTAGGTGCGGAAAGACTCGGGCACGGCACCGCCGCCGCCCATGAGAGCTTCCTTGTTCACCTTCAGCTCGACGGCACGGGTGCCGGCCTCGCTGTGGTAGACGAAACCGGTGAAGGCCAGGCCGCGACAGATGCCCGGGTAGAAGCCGAGCTCCCTGTCGCCGATGACTTCCATCTTCTTGTCGCCGACCTCGAACTCGCAGCGCTTGCAGCCATAGTAACCGCCGGCGCAGAAGCCGATGAAGTTGCCGCCGCGGTTGACGTACTGGGTGATGCGCCGATTGCCCTCGCCGTTGAGCGTGCGGCAGTAGCCCAGGTCAGCACCGCCGGGCATCACAAGCAGCGCGCATGACGCCGTCCACGGCTCCTTGATGATGGCGTTACCGTCGACGGGGATCACGGCGTAGTTGGGCGAGAGCAGCCGGCGCAGGCTCCACATGCAATGCCGCACGCTCTCGACGGTGCTGCCATTGCCTGGGACGGAAAGTCAATGGATAGCATCATTCTAGATGCATCTTGACTTACCGGAGTAGACCAGCACGTTGGTCCGCTTATTCGCCATGATGGAGCGTGACCTGCGGTAGTGGTGGTGGCGGCGACGCTTCCGAGCCTCAACCGAAACGAAGTTGGCGTGATGATTCTTTGACCGAAGGAAGAAGAAACAACCAGCAAAGACAGGAGGATAATAGCGATGTCGAACGACGCGAACAGGACGGCGGCGACGCAGGCGGCGGATGACGACGAGGTCGACGACTGGTAAGCCAACAGCGGGGGTTTCAGCCTCAGCTTCACCTACTGACCCCCGGTATGCAGGGACAAGCGGATCTTCTCCACGGGCTGCGCGCAGGAGAATTCAAGGATGACGGATTGCTACTACGAGAAGAAGGACTGGCGCGCCTGTAAGAAGGAGGTAAGCTAGCTGTCACTCAGCTGTCGTTCTCGCCGATTCCGCTGCCCAACACTTTTCCTCTCCGAGAACCCCGCGGCTCTCCCGGCCGAATCACCTTTCGCTGCGCTTCTGATGCCATTGCATGTGCTAATTTCTATTTTGCAGATGGAGGCTTTCCGCGAGTGCTGGAAGCGACAAGGGAACAATCAGCGAACTTCTACGAAAGATGCTTGAGTTACAGTACTGAGCAACCCTTGATTGTATTAATAGACAACTTCTCCTCTCATTAAATTCAGCGACCTGGCACACTTTCAATTAATAACTTGTTTGTTTAAGACTGATTCGCTGCTACGGGCCTAACGAATGAGCTCTGGAGCTGGTATACAACATATGTGGGTAGTTGAAGCTACCGTCCGGATATAAATGTCGAATTAAAAATTATACATCCGTGTCCAGACGGTAGCCTCAGCTACCCATGAAATGAGTGAAAATTAATTCACGCTAGCTTTTGATTGCAATATACTTCTGTCGTAGCGCAGGGTGTTTCAATCAAAGTAAGCAGCTCCTCTTAGGTCAACTGCTTGCTGTTCTTCGCAACCTGCTTATAGGTATTATTTACTTCTAGCTCAGCGGAAGCCGGCCATTCATCAACTCCTTGATCAGCTCTTCTAACTTCACTGACGGGTCTTTTTTCGGGTTTGTTTCCTCTGTGACTTTCTTCATGGCGTTGTTATCGGGATTTCCCTGACGCTCCCGTACCATATTCAGAATTATCGCGTCCCCGTCATCATCGTCTGACGCGATGGTAGCCCACCTCGTCTGTGTGACGCACGCCATTCCCCACACCATACTCCACGCGGGCCAAAAGTTCCCGTCTTTACTTGCGCACTCTTCCACCAGCGCCCTACGCCTCATCCAGTGCCACAACTTAGCCATCTCCTGCTCCGACCACACCCTCGCGGTCCTGCCCTCCCGCCGCCCGAGCGCCTTCCACTCCGGCCACAGCTCCTGGCCATCGTCCCTAGCCCTCAATATCCTCGCGAAATCCTTCGCCCGAGGCTCACCGACGTCATTAGCACCGTCGTCGAACCGCTCGCATGCCATCGCGCCCTCGATGTCTGCCCTGCTCAGCCCGGGCGGCTTGTGCGTCGTCCACCGCACGTACACGCACTCGCGGCACCCGGCCCACTCCGGGTCGTGGGAGCGCGCCTGCGACCATCCGAAGACGGACGCGCAGAACTCTGCTGCTCGCTGCGGCGACTGGAAGACGTAGATGCGCTCGAGGCCGGTGCCGTCAGGTGTGAGGCGCCAGTGTGTGTTTTCGAGCAGGAGGTCGAGGTCTTCGAGGGAGAGGGAGGTAGCCTTGAGATCGGAGCGGTCGTTGGACTTGGGTTCGGAGGCGGGCGCGGGTTGGTCGGTGGGGGAGGAAGAGGAGGAGGAGGAGAACCTGGTGGTGGTGATGGTGGTGTGGGTTGAGCGAGAGGGTCTGGTCGTCGATCGCGTCGAGAGTGCGCGGAAGGTCGGTGGTGCTACCGCAGCGCTGCGGTGTAGCAAGCGCGGGATGTTAGCAATGTGCGAGGGCCGGACGCGCACCAGCGACCGGAGGGGAGGTGACATGATGAGCGCTCTGCAATTGAGAGGGTTTCAATTGAGCGTTTGAGCAGCGAAAAGGTGGACAGCCATTGGGAGAGTGGCCCAAGCTCCTGCTTGCAGAGCTCGGTGCGCTGGGTCCATGACTCGCCGGGTAAGACGACAACCTGTTCCGATTGTGAATTCATGCAAAAGCCTACTACAAATGGAGTCTTCCTCGACTCGATCTATTGAACTCAAACTAATAGCACCAGTTTCACAGATACCAGTCTTATGGTTGTTTCAATATACTTTTTTTGAAGGCAGTATGCACATGTCTCCTACATGGAACACAAAGCCGAAATACTTGTAGAACATGTGGAAAGAAGCCAGTTGTTCAACAGATGTTTTCTTGTAATGGAACATCGTGATTCTCGTATCCACCATCCAGAACACAGTTCTTTTATCTCCTTCCCAAGTCAATGTCCAGAACCTGCTTCAGCGTCTCCGTTCCTTCGGGCTTAGCTCCTTCCAGCTGGAAAAATGTCTTCACAGCTACGTCCACGGTCTCTTCAAAAAGACCCTTCACGATCCCCTTAAGATCGTCGCCAGTCTGCCTAAAATCAGGGAAAGCATTGATCTCGAGAAGCCAGGCGTTGCCCTGTGTGTCGACCATATAATCGACGCCGAAGAGCTCGAAGGCTTGCGGAAGTGGCTGAAAGTGGATCATCATAGCTCTCGCCGCTGCTTCAAATAGCTCGCCGGTGACGCTGCAAATTTGCGAGAAAACATGTTCTTTCCAGCCGCCGGGGAGACCGGCGAGCTCCTTGTGCGCAGCTGTACTAGAGGCGTCGAGGTTATCTGGCAGATCCCAGAAGGCACGCACACTGCCTTCACGCTGATCGGAGCCCTGCAGGCACGTGTTCGTAAGGTGGGCGCGGAGGTCGGGCTGCCCGCCTTCCTCCTCGGAATCAGTCTTCTCCCAAGGCGCACCGTAAGGGGCCGCGGCGAAGAGAGCGAGCATTGGCTTGTAGACGTAAACGCGCAGAGCTCCGACAGCCAGCACGTACGTCCGGATGTGGAACTTGCGGTTGTCGAAAGTGAGCGGTGGGTGTATGTATGGCTGTGCGATGAAGTGGCGTAGCTGCGAAGTGATGATATACTCCTTCTTCTCCTCCGTGACTTGGATGGCAGAGGGATCGAAATTCCATCCGCTGTCGCCGGTGGCCGCGGCTTCTTCTCCAGTCTCGGAACCCTGGTCGCTTCGGGCGTCTGCACGCTCCGTCGCCTCCCCATTAGGACCATCACCCTGGCGTTCTTCTTCTTCCTCCTCTTCATCATCTGAGTCAGGACGCTCTGCTTCCCAGGCCTCGAAAATGTCCTGAAGCTCTTGTTCAGTACTGAAGAGTTTGATGCCCTGTCCACGATCGCTCATTCCAGGTTTCAGAATCCACCATTCTCGGTCTTTCGGCTCCTTGTCCTCGTTCTTTCGGAACGCTTCTTGCAGCTCCCAGGCTTCCACAAGAGCGTCGTCAAGGAACTCTGCATAATCGAGTTCAAACTCTACACTCGACTTCACGTGGTTCCTTAGCTTCGACTCTGGATGTTTGACGATCCAGTGAGAAACGGTGGTCGAGAGGTAATGCTTTCTTATCAAAGCTTTGCGAATGACGTAAGCGTTGATGAGGATGTTGGGCATCTCTATGGCCTTGTCGAAGTCCAGAGCCTCATACGCACTGAATTGAACCATGGGGCCCACGCGATGCTCATCCAGAGAATTGATGAGCTTGAATGAGCCGGCTGCGAGGCGCTTTTGAAACGCCTCGACGATCAAAGGCTGCACATAAGGATCCTCATAGTCCAAAAGGCAGTCTATTGCCCGACCTGCGGTCATATCCGTAATTGCGAAGGTAGCTGTCGGCGAGCGAGGCATGGTAAGCGGCTGTGGGGAGACGATGACAGCGAGAAGGGGGACGGCAGGAAAAGCGGGACACCAACGGCAGGCGGGGTGATGAGAAAAGTGACGAAGCACTAGCTATATAGTGCTAGTTGACGAAGTATGGGACGGGGCGCGCACGAAGCAGGAGCGAAATGTGGTAAAACATGCAGATGACTTACAGACGCGTCAATCTATGCAAAACGGGATTGTTCGTCAGGCTGGCGTGGCTAGCGGTGGCGGCTAGCCTTTGGATTCAGCAAGGCGTTGGGCGCAACGGTGCAGATCCGTGGACCCGCGTGAAGTTTCGGCGCAGTTTTAGCTCGGCCGCAAAGCCGGCGAGTTCGCAGTCCGGCGTCCGCTCGCATCCGTGTCGCACACGTGACGACTATGTATACAACGGGTGCCATTTCTGGTGTTGACTGTGGCCATTGCTACACGACCGCTTCAAGAAGACGAAACTCGGGCCCTTTGTTCACCTAGAATAAAACTCTGTTCCAACGCCACGCAATGCTGGTCGATATTCCTGAGACATTCACACAAATCCAACCGCGACATGAACTAACCAAAATCTACCATCAACCGCCTGATTTAGAAGAATTTTCTTGGCGCCCACTCATTTCTTGACTGGAACTTTGGTGAAGAACGAACTGAGTTTCTTCATCCCCGATGTGTCTGCCTTCGCCAATTGCTTCACACCGCGGCTTTGGTTCTTCTTCTTTGCCTCTTCTTCGTCCCTCTTACGCTTCTTCTCTGCGCGAATCGCAGCGGCTTCCTCGTCTTCCATGCCGCGCTTGCGGGTAATGTTGTCGGATAAAGAGCGTAATGCCTGGGCTTCGGACCTGAGTGCGGCAAGATCCTGCAGATGCTTATCTAGCGGGCTAAAATCCACTATGCTGTTTGAGGACCAAGTCGATTGAAGGAGCGCGCGAACGCTAGGCGGCAGATACGAAGATGACATGAAGTCAATCGCAGTGCGCAAGCGCAGGAGATGTGGTATGCCCTCGGGAGCATCAATTGGTTCCTGTTTTGCACAGGTCGTCTGTGAATCGGTAGTAGCGGCTGTGGTTGCATGATCTTCCGACTTCTGAGAATCCATTGTCATCTCCACATCTGTTGTACTTCCGGTTGTGGCTCCGCTCTCAACAATTTCTGTTGCTGTAGCTTCGGCGCCTTCCGATGTGAGGCTTACGGTAGTTTCCTCGCGCTTTATGCTCATGACGGGCCGTTCCAGGGCCTTGCGGACGAATTTTTCTTCCATTGAAGCAGGAAGCCCTTTCGCGACAAGGCGTTCGGCTTTGGCCAGCAGCTCCTTTCCCAGTTTCTCGATGGACAGTCGGAACATCTTCTCATCGCCTGCGTCGACTGTGTCGCATGCGGCTGCCATTCTCTGCTCTACCCTTGCCCGCAAAGCTTCATTTGATAGAAGTTTTCTCAGCTGAACGGATGAGCTTCCCAGAGAATCGATATGATCATCCACAGAGAGGAACAATTGCTTCTCATTCTCCTTCGAGGAAGGAGAAAGCGCCGGTAATACGAGGAATAGGGCGTCGACCGGTGTAGCCACAAAAATATCCTGGCTCTTCAGCGTGTAACCATTGCGCAGCGAATTTGCCGTCTCCTCGACCTCCATATTATCCGCCTCATTCTTCTCTTCAGATGCTCCGTTCCTTTGGGGCGCAAGAAGCCAGCTTCTCGGTGTGCTCTTCGGCGCAGCGACGCGGGTAAACTCGTAGAATCCCTTGTTTGGGCAGCAGAAGTAACGATTTGCCGTCGACGAAGCAGGATTGGGGAGTGTAACTATGCGCGCTTGCGAGGAGGTATCTTTCGGAAGGACGAAAAGCTTAGGAGGATTGGGGTCGGTGGGGGGCGGCGCAGGACCGGTTGCTGATGCCGTCTTTTCGGTCCCGGCGTCCTTGGTAGGTTGCTTTTTTGATCGCGTTTTCATTTTTGTATGACGGAAAATGATACAGATATATCCAATGAGCAGTCTAGATTCCAATTCGGAAGTCTGTAGAGCTGCTGGCGGAGAAGGTGTATGCTGAGCAAGGGTGATGGAGAAGGTAGCGCGGAAGACGCGTCGGTGGAGCTGACGCGCGCCAGGCACAAGCGGGCGCGTCTCGCTAACCGCCAGGGCCCTGTCGCTCGTCCAGAGCGCCATCCTTGTGCCTTAGACGCAGCACGAAACCACTTCCGCCGTAGCACAAAACAAACACTCCGCCCGCACCAAAACACGACCCGATCTGAGCGGCCAGAGCCCAGCAGCGTCTCGAGTCCCGGACATGGTGTGCGCGAACTGGGCGTTCCTCCACACTACGGCGCATTGGAAGGCTTGCCGATGATCAAGAGCGACGACGCCATGTCTCACGGTATGCCTACTTGTGCCGTGCCGGTGCCGTCCGCGCCTTCCACATGCTAACCGCTCCTCAGCGCCGTCCCAAAATGATCCAAGTTGGCCACCCAAATCTCCCCACCAGGCCCTCATCAGCTCTCCCAGCGGCCGCAAGAAATGGGAGCAGCGCCGCCACAACCAATCGTCGCCCGCCATGGCCAGCCCTCGAACCGGGTCGCGTGCCGCGCAGCTCTTATCGGACGGCATAGAAGGGGGTGATACTGAGGAGGATGACGACGAGGAGACTCTGCAGCTCAAGCTTCAAGCTATCGAGGCTCGCCTGCGGCTCAAGAAATTGCAGGCTGCCAAGGCGAAGCAGGCCAATTCGGAAGCTGAGAACAGCGAAAGACGTGATATATTCAGCCCGCGGCCTCACAATACTACGGCTCCTGGAGCACAGCCGCGGCCAGCAGGTCGCACTAGGGCTCAATCTGAAGTTCAAGTCCCTCTGTCGCCTTCCGCCGACCGCCGAGCTCCGCTTGATCCCACATCCCCTGCACGTGTGAAACTTGGGATCGACAAGGGCCTCCGCGCACAGGACGTTTCCCTTAAACGGCCTTCCTTGTTTCGAGAAACTTCAAATACTTCTTCGCGACTCGGGTCGAACGCCCGCTCAGATCGGCCAAGTTCATTTAGCGGGCCCAGCGGAACTGCCGCGCGGGACTCGACAATAGAGAGACCGAAATCGTTCAGTGAACGGCTGGCTGAGAGCAGGCTGAGAGACAATGAGAAGCTAGAGAAGGATGAAAGGATCCAAAAGGCAAGAAGCCGCGGCTTTGGATTGGGTGCAGCGGAGCGTACGGGCAGCAGCCAGGACGACCGGACCCCGTCACAACTGTCAAATGGAAGTGGTTCACATACATTTGAGAAACCCACCCGCCCAAGCTTCCTAAGGCGGAAGCAGTCTTCGAGCACTAACAACTCTTTCGACTCGTCCGCAAATGTGACAAGGCCAGCATCTCGCCATCGTTCTGCGTCGCAAACGTCTGCTAGTGCAGATGCACCTCCTAGAAAAAGCTCAAGTTTCTCTGGATTGCCTGAATCCACTCCAGATGAGGGTGCGTCTTTCGAACCATTCACCGGGATTCATCTCTCCAAGCGACTCCTCTCGCATAACATCGTTGCACGTGCGCTTGATCAGAAAGAGCTATATCCGCTTCCGCGGCTGCTTGCAACTGTTAAAGGCCCTAACTACGATCCCCCGGACCATGAAGCAGATTATGTTGTTCTGGGAGTAGTCGCATCGAAATCCTCGCCGCGAGATGTTAAAACCCACAAGACGGTCTCGACTGCGGATCCAGACGATGACGATGGACCAAATAAGTCAAAATTCATGGTATTACACCTGACCGATTTTAAATGGGAAGTCGACCTTTTCCTCTTCGGCACGGCCTTCACAACCTTCTGGAAGCTCACGCCTGGTACACTAATTGCCATCCTGAACCCTGGAGTCTTTCCTCCACGTGATAAAAGAACAGGACAGTTCTCCTTGAAGCTCGGCTCTTCCGAAGATACCATCTTGGAGATTGGCACTGCTCGTGATCTCGGCTTCTGCAAGAGTGTCAAAAAGGACGGGCAAGAATGCGGCTCCTGGGTCGACAAACGCAAAACCGAATTCTGTGAGTATCACGTGCATCTGCAGGTTGAGAAGTCCAAGCGCGGGCGTATGGAGGTGAATACCATGGCAGGATTTGGGAAGGGACTTGCGGGTAGGAACGGTGCTCGCCCAGCAGAGACCAACAAACAGTACGACAGCTACCTTCATGAGACAATGTATGTCTTGCCGAAGCATATGAGCGGTAGAAGCGCAGCGAATCGATTGGACCAGGACGATGACGCCCTGAACCGTGGTATGAGCCGTGAGGAGCTACACCGCAAACGGCTGGCCGAGAGAGAGCGGGAACGCGAGCTTGCGGACAAGCTGAGTCGCATGGGCGGCAAAGCGGGCAGCGAGTACATGAGGGCCAAGGCAGGTAGCCGACCGGGCACTTCCTCCACGGCCGACAGTTCCAGAAGCAGCCGGCAACCTGCCGCTGGCGCTGCGGGCGCTTACGATACCCCATTCACCCGCACACAAGATGCGCCAGAACCTGTCGACGCCGCTTCCCTTGGCCTCCTAGGCAAACGCGCGTCCGACGTGTCTCTCAATCCCGTCAAGCGGAAGCGCACGACGACCTTGGGCGGTAGTTCTCAGCCCACTGCTTCGTCTTCCGCCCGCCACACAGCCGAACCGATGGGCTGGGGCGGCGCCAATAAGCGCGACCTCCTCCTCAGCCCGTCCAAGAAGCTCGTCAGCACCCGCCGCATCGATGATATGCTTCGTCGTGATAGGCAGCCGCAGCAGCAACAACAACCGCACTCTCAACTATCACCACGTGGTGTGCTGAATCTTCCCGAGCGAAGCAGGAGCAGGGAGGGCAGCCCTAAGAAGAAAGCTAGGTTGATGATCGAGGGCAAGGGCATCAGAGAGCCTGGACGGGAGAGCATGGGGAGTGTGGCGGTCACGACGAAGGCACCAAGTAGCGATGATGACGATTTGGAGATCATCTAGACGAGTAATGGGTCTCGGCGTTTTGTGCGTGTTTTACGGTCGATGAGGAGAGGATGATGGTGCATAACGGTGTTTTGTGCGTTATCGGTGGTGGCGTGAAACACAAAGAGAAAAAGAAGAAGGAGGGTGGTTCGGTTGCATGTGATGCGAGTCACGGCCGTTCAGCAATGCTTACGCACTGATTTTTCGCTTCTCCGGTCACTTCCTCTTGCCAATGGCTTCGTGGATTTTTACATTTGTATTCTAGTCAGCTCGGTATTATTTTCTGCTTCCTTTCTGGTTTATGTTAGGGGAGAGAGCTTGTATGATATCCCGCGTTGGAACGCATATTGGTGTAGTATTGGTATATTGATGATATTTCCACTAAGTTCTGGCAGCTGACGAACATTGGGCATTGCTGAACATAGGCTAACGTTTGTGCTGTAGACATGGGTGAATACTAATTCTCTGCTGAGAACGAGAGATGACGCCTATTCGTTCAAGGTGATAGGACTGGGATAGATTGACCTCTTATAAATCTTTCTTATTTATTTCAGATCTGTCAGCAGATCTTAATTCCGTATCTGCATCCAGACGATTGCTTCAGCTACTTATCACATGTTTGGATAGGCATCTGAAACACAAAAAAGTAAATCCACGATGTATCGATATACCAACTCAATAGCGGAAATCTTGTTGTGGTTGAATGAGGCTAGAACGAACCACAATTGCAAATCAAGCCCACGCAGAGCCACGGTACATTGACAGACCCTGACTGACGCGAAGAACATAAATAGCTGACCCAGCACTGTAGCAAGTTCATCTCCTTAATCACTCCGAGGTAAGTCTTCTTCATACCCTTTTTTTTCATCATGCCACTGTTCAACAACCACACCCTTCTCTTCTCCATCAACCTATCACGACCGCCGATCCACCGCCATCCTCCAGGTCTGCAATAACAGTACTCATCCTTCCGCTGCCTCTGTACAGGAGATTCCTTTTGCCGATAGTCTTGAAACCTTTGTGTTGATAAAGGCATCGGAGAAGTGACGAGCGGAATGGGCGCGAGGGCAAGACTGTGATGTTGCAGACTTCGAGCTGGAAGGCCATCGCAGCTTGCTGCTACAACAACGTCAACGGAGAATGAGCGAAAGAGGGAAGATGAACCACATACTCGTGAATCTGCTCAGCTTGTCTTTGCAAGCCGGCCTCCGCCATTCTTTCGTCACAATCGCCGTCGCCGCCGTGGTGGGAACCTATATGATGGAAAAGAGAAGGGGAGCCCCACCCACCAACCCGCTCCCCTTCTCTCCGCATAATGAACGGTTAGCATGATTCTTGTTCCTTGATGCTGACGTTCTCCGGAAATATTTCAGTCTCAGTGTGGTCATATGCTTGTCTTTGACTTTAAAGTCAACATCGCGTGCCAGAGAGTCGCCCCACATAATGACTCTCTGCCGCTCAGAAAGGTTGTTTTCATCATTAGAGCAGGATTAGGGTTTATTGAACGTACCGTCATGCAAGTGTGTTGGCATTGGGAAACAACCAGACCGATGATGAAAATGCTCCCTCACAACATCAGCGTCGTGATCTGAGGCGTAGGAGTTTCCTTCCGCTGTGCGGCTGTGAATCACTCGTCGATGAAAGGCGATGGTCCAGGGTAGCTGAGGTCTGGATTCCCGGATAGGTCAGAGACAGTGATCGTTCAAATGGGACGGCATGGAAGGGGCAGAGGTACAAGCGGCAAAAGATGAGAGAATAGGAGATCGAACAGTACGTCAAAGCACTCTGCCATACCTCTTTCATGAATGCAAGCTTCCCCCGATCTTCACCAAGCCATCCGGCTACCGTTCGAGGTCCTTGTGTGAAGCCACTCTTCCATAACACATGACTCTTTTGTCGGGAATCGGTTAGAATGACGTGATGGTGGTGGCTCTGACGTGAAGTTGTTGCGGTATCGAGTTGGATTGGATTCAGTACTGTAAGGAAGAGAGGGCGATTCCGAGTAGAACTGTACAATGGCTGCGTTCCTAGCGGAACTCGAGTTGCTGTTGCGCAGACCAAAGACGGGATCGTGGAGACAGCAAAATGAGAGAAGAATCGAGGGAGTCATAGACTGAAGTGCATCATAACGGATGAGAGACGTGAAATTCATGCCGAGGGTATGGTGAAGGGTAGAGGAGAAGCTTAGTTCAAGGAGCAGGCCAGTCGTGATGGGAGGAAATAGCGACAGGCCATGTGAATGGAAATCACACTCGTGTCATTCCAGGAAGGCAATTTACATGAGTGCTGCAAGTACGGATTCACGTCCCATTATGCAGGCATGAAGAATCAGAGAAGGAACATGGGGCGCAGCAGTAAGGCAGGCGGCTTGCAAGCCCTTTGCATCATGCATCACGGACTTCAAGATTATGCTAGCGCATTTTGCGAAGACTTGCGACTCCTGTAACGTTCACATGTTTATTCATGTTTGAAATCTCGTAGCCTATGGTATTCCCAGCAAGATGGATAGGTCTTCAAAGCGTGAAAGCCAGGAACACTGCTAGGGAAGCTGCCCGTCACTGCCTCTGGCTTAACTTCGACGACTCTTCAGTCTTTCTGGAAGATCGCAGTTGCAAACGTACAATGGCCAAGCCTTTCCTGCCTGGAAAGTGCCATCCCAAGAGACCGAAACTGCTACCATGACGCAAAAGAAGAAGCTGGGGCTGGACGAGATCAAGGTAACCAAGAAAGTGCTCCAGACGAACTGCAATTTCCTTTTTTAGACGGCACTGGCTTCTCCATGGACTCTAAGGGTATTCAGAGGTACCGCATCAAGGGGCTTTTATGCATTGTTCACAAAAGTGGCCAGCGCATGGATTTCACGAGTTGAAGGAACAAACATGTATATACATAGTAAAATCACAGGCTTATATTGACACGAAGCTACCAATTTACGTCTCTCCAAAGACAAAAACACCCTTACCAGATCTGAATCCACTAAGCGTGCCCTGTACAGCCTTGACCAGCGTCTCCTGTTCCGTCTTCCACTCCCACTTGACCTCATCCACGGGCACATCTTTAAACTTGCCTTCACGAATCAGATCTAGCACGTGGTCGACCGTCTTTTTCTTCTCATCGGGGTGCTTCTTGCCCCACTGGCTGACCCAGAAGCCATCGAAGTGGATGTTCTTAAAGATGAGCAGGGCGGTGGGCAGCTGGACGGGCTGCTTCGACATGCCGCCGTAGGTGACGAAGTGCGCCTCAGGCGAGAGCAGCTTCGCGAGGGACGTGGCAGGCTTGCCGCCGACGCAGTTGAGGCCGAGCAGGACACGGTCGCGGCCGCCGCTGGTCCACTCCTTGACACGCTCGCCGAAGCCCTTCTCCTGCAGCTCCTCGTCCGTCACGACAACATCCGCGCCGAGGTCCAGCAGCTCCTGCTTCAGCGCGTCGGTACCCTCCGGTCTCGCACGGATCACGTTGATGCTGCGGTAGCCCCAGAGCTTGCCGAGCTGGATTGCGGCGCGGCCGACGCCCGAGTTGGCGCCGTTCTGCACAAACCAGTCGCCTTCCTTCATGTCGGAGAAGTCGCGCAGCATGCGGTACGCCGTGCATGGGTTGATGCTGACGGTGCCGGCCTGGATCGGCGTCAGGCCGTCCTTGTTCTCGATCTTCAGCAGGTTCGACGCGTCCGTCTGCGCGTGTGTTCGCCAGGTGCCGAAGCCCGGCTGCTTCATGATGACCCAGTCGCCTCGGCTGAGACCCTTGACGCCGGAGCCTGCAGACAGAACCTCGGCTACGCCCTCATTACCGCCCACAGCAATCGGGTTTGGTGTGCTTAGCTCGGTGGTGAATGTCGGCTTGGACGGGTACACGCCCTGGATCTGGTTGATGTCGGCCGGGTTGATGGGCGCGGCGAGGAAGCGCAGCGTCAGCTTGTCGCCATGCGCGGGCGAGATTGAGTGCTGGTGTAGGCGCAGAACGTCCTGCGGCTCGCCGTACTTCTCGAAAGCCAATGCCTTTGTTTGCTCGTAGCCGTAGACGGAGATGCAGCGAGCCTGCAGCGTGGAGGAGCGGAGGGCGGGGCGGGCAGCCGCGATGGGCCGCGCGGCGGTCGAAAGCAGTACTCGTCTGGAAGCCATTGAAGGCTGATTAAGGGTATAGGTTGTGGTCGCAGAGGTTCGTGGGGGTTTGGAGGGTTGCACCAGAGCTCCCGCAGAATGACGTCGCCCCGCGGCCCGAGTGAATTACCGCGCTTCGGCCAACTGGAAGCACTCGCCATTACTCATCAGCTCCTCTTCCAGTCGCCTCTGAAAATTCCTACTCAGTGTCAAGGAATTCCTGATGCCCCACGTTTTACAATGAAAGAAAAATGATGGGAAAAATCCAGATAAAATCCATATAAACATGCGCTTAATCGTACAACAGGTTTCGCATCTATGATGCTGCTAGAATTGACGCATAGGCATAACAGCATTAACAAACAGCTCGCGAAGAGGGTATCCAACGCAGAGTAGACCATTAACCATTTTCCATCTACGGGCAGAACCGCATGGAGCAGCACATCAACGATGGATGGGGCTACTCGTCGTCGAGAATTGAGCTCGCCAGTGTTCCGAAGTACGGAATTTCGCAACGATCAAGAGTTTCCGCTATGAAAAGTCAGCAACGAAGCTCTTTTGCGTCCCGACAATGTATTTGCTTACCATCGCGATATGCCCGCATCGTAAGGAACCCAATCATACCCATGTCGAGGAAGAAGAGGATCCAGGAGATCAACGAGGAAAACGAGAAGATGATGTGGACGACGAACATGAACGAGAACAGTAGCGCCGATTGCCATGCGTGAAACCTGTCCAGTACCACACCGTCAGCTTGATTCTTCCATATTGCCTTCCGTTCTCCATGGACTCAGACTTACCTTACGTAATCGCTCCGATGCTCCAACACAAGCAACAGTACTCCCCCTGCCGGCGGCAGCAACAGGTACGCCAAACACGCCTCCCAATCCATCCGTATCCCCAACCTTGTCTCAAACAAATCCAGATTCTCCCTTCCACCTAAGCTGCCCGTGCTTGCAGCACCCCATGCCGCGGCGTTGTTGTTGCTGTTGCCACCCCACCCTCGCTCCAGATCGGCGCTTCCTCGCTGCGGAGGGAAGTACGACGCCACCGAGTTCTGGTTTCCTTGCGGCGACGCGATTGCCGATGTACCGAGCGCGCTGTTCCCACGCTGGTGGCGGCTGGTGGAGAGTGAGGGTCGCGGCGAGTGTGTTGGTGAGCGGATTGGTGGCGACATGGCGCGCGTGTTCTCCGGAGAGGCGTCCTGGTAGGGCGCGAAGTTCATGTTGTGTAGGTGGCTGGTTTGTCGCTCGATATAATTTTTTGTCGTATGTGCAGTTTTAGCGTATGGCAGTTTGAGGAGCGCTGATCGGCGGGTGCTATGTCACGGCGTGTACGTGTGTTGGAAGCGGTTCTTGTTAAGGGCTAGCGACGAGCGTGAGGTAGAGGACGGTCGTTACTTGTTCGGAAGCGTGAGGGCAGGATCACAAAGGAAATAAGTGTAAAGAAAATGAAAGAATGGGGACACGGAATAGCGGGGTACCTGGTGTCCGTGTGATGGTGATAGAGAGGCGGTGGAGAGATTGGCCGTGGTACGGCAAGCGCGCGTAGGGCTGAACCGGAGCTTGGAGCTTGGGCCAAGCCTCACTATCACGCACTATATGGCTAGCCTCTTCCTTCAGGGTTCAGGGTGCCGTGGCAACCTATCCCGTTATCTGATCATTTGGACGAAGCACAAGATCGGCGCATCAAAACAGACTGGCACATGTGGGTGGATTTGGAATGATATTTGGAGAACTGGATCTGCAAAGGGTCTCCTCCAATGACCTTGACGCTAGCACCAAAGCAACGCTTTCGGAAACGAGGAAAAGATGGCTAGGGAGTCTGCCAGAATCTTGCTGAACTTGTAAACTATGACACAGGATGATTGCCATCTTTAGAGTGCCAAATCTTCGATCCTGACCAGACCGTTTCCCAGTCCAGCGGCTGCCCATCCTCCGCATCTCAAATTTGGGTTCCACGCAACCTGTGTCGATGCCGACTCTTCTTCGTAAATTGTATTGTACACCACGCCTTCGTACTGATTTGGCAGACCCTGCTCCACCCAAAGCTTATAAACTTCCGCCTTGAACCCGTCGACAATCCTGCTCATCGGTCCCGTACGCTTGAGCTCGACGTTTGGCTTCATCTTCATTACGTTGTCCGGCGGTTGCTTCAGGTCGCTGCGGGTGTCGGCAGCTGCGGAGGCCTCGTCGATAGTCCCGTGCTTGCCCATGGCGCGTCGCCATTCGTGCATGAACCACGTCTGGTGCCACATTTCTGCTTTGGCAATCAGAACTTTGCGCATCGGATTGGTGGTTATGACCATGCCATCCGTGCAGCCGATGAGCGTGAACGGATGAACCGGGCTTGCGGAGATGTGCTGTATATTGCTGTTTGCTCGACCTACACTCATATTGACGTGAAAGCGGCGGAGAGAGAGTGCCAGAAGCGTGTAATTCTCGTCGCAGGTCAGGAAACTCTGCGAAATTTCGTGCCATGCTAACGGTGCGCTTCCAGTGCGGGATCGCTGAGAGAATACAGTATCTTGGTTCGGAGCACGGATGTCCACGAGACGAAGGAAGCCATCCATACTGCTCGTTGCAATGCAATGTGGGCTGGATGGGTAGGCCGAGGCGATACTGAGGATGTAACTACTGTGGAGATTTTGGTAAATCATCGGCCGGGGACCTCTGGGTCCGCTCGGAACAGGGGAAAGAAGGAAGTCGGAAATGTCGAAGACTGCAAAGCTACCATTAGCGCAGCCGCATGCGACATGGTTGCTTGAAAGCCAGGTCACACTCGTGTAAATGGAGTCGGGCGGCTTTGACTCGAAGGCAGCTGTTTGTACGCGGAGGTAGTGGCTTGCTGAAGACTTGGGATATCTAATATCCAAGACTCTCATTCGTCCATCCGCCCATACACCTGCCAGAAGTCCGAGATGCACTTCTTCCTCGTTTTCTTCTTTTCTTCGAGGCATAGGACACCATCTTATGCTGCGTACGCTGCCCCAATCCGTACACAACGCAAGCTCAAGCTTCGGGGCGTGATCGTAATCTAATCGTCCATCATCGGTTGATCGGATCATCCAAATTTGGATGGCTGCTGGAGTTGGATCGGCGGGGGCATAGCCTGGCGCGCCGTGAGCTTCAGTCGTTTTGTAAGACTTCTGTCGCTGCATTGCCGCTGTCGAAATGTATTGTGAGCCCTCTTGCCACGGGACCCATTCAAGACACTGAACCTTGTAGCCCAAGTTAAACAGCCACGCTTGTCTCAGTGGTGCTTCCTTGGTAGTAATTCCGGCTTCCTCCTCAGCATTGGTTTTGTAAGCGTCTTTTGACCATGCCTGACCGATGTTGATCACCTCTCCCGCCGCAATTTGGAAGGGCTTTTGGTTTTGGAATGGTCCGAGAAGTACAAGTTGATCGGCTTTACCAGCTTGGGGGAGGTATTCAGCCGCCTCATCGGCAGATAAGCTTTCGACCTTTTGCCGGGTTCGGAATGCCTGATCTCCTCCTCTTTCATAATACCATTCCCAGCCTTTGCTTGCCTCATGATCGCGCACAGCTTTGGTGTAATTTGGACTAAAAGCCATCCCACCTTCACCATGCTTATTTACTCGTCGGCTTGGTAGCACAGGCTCATCATGCCATCTGTCTCGAGCTGTGGTTGCCGGTACAACATCTTCTTTGGCTGGGCCGAAAAGATTTAGTATCCTGGTGTCCTTACCGGTGTTGTGGTACATTTCCGGAACACCTCTGGAAGAAACCTTGATTTCAGATTCCTTGTGGTCGTGAGCTCGTGAGGCCAGCAAACTGAAGCTGCCGGTTTTGAAAGAAGATGCTTCGGCCCGCTGTATGAAACCGGGCTTGACCGGCTTGCCGCCTTTTCTTTTCTGTTTGCGAGCGGGACGGTCGTTCTCTGGTCCAATGATATCGTCATCGCTCAGCATATCTTCGCCATAACCATCTTCCTCCTCCCCAGAGGCAGCGCCTTCGGAGACGTCCTCCTCAACGTCAGGCTCGTCTTCTGCTGCTGCTGCGTCAAAGTCATCATCTTCGCCTGAGTCTTCTTCATGAGCAAAAATCTCGCTGCCCGTAGCCTCATCGTCAAAATCTAGACCGTCAAATGCATCATTTGTGTAGCGTTTGGCCGGACGCGCTCTGCCGGACGTTCGCCGGGTAGCCATTGTGTTGCCGTAGTCCAGGTGAGGTGGTTGAGGTAGCGTTAGTTTTTTCTAGGCCGAATTGAAATCGCCTTATCGCAATCCCGTGTTCACATGCCCGGGCGAAGTCGGGCCCACAGATGTGTCGGAGTCAGGTGGACGCGTGAGCGGTGTTGCGCGGTGATGGGCCGGGACGCGGCAGAAATTGTTCAGGCGGGCGCCGATGAAGATGCCGCGGTTGTAGCCGAACGCGCCCGAGCTCTAGATGACATCGTCGCAGACAAGCATCCCCACAGCCTCCACGCAACCATACGCTCTTTCCTTGCTGTTTCTACGCAAACCTCGGCCCTATGTCACTCTAGCACTGTTTCCGACCCTCCTTTCTCCGCATCCATACCGTACCGCAGCATCTCCCTATGGCATCTCTACCTCCCCGCCAGGCATCGCAGCGACGCTCGTCGCCCCGCGAACAGGGAAGCTCCTCCGAGCAGGCTACCTTGTCGCGCGCCGATAGCGAGTCCCTTTCCACGGCCTCCGCCGCCTCAGATACCGTTCTGTTCGATAGCGCCCACATTCTGTCCCACAGCGCCGCGTCTCAGAAGACCGAGGGGAAGCAGGCTGCCGTACGGCCACCGGATAACGAGGAGGACGAGCCGCGCAAATGTTGGATCTGCTTCAACGACGAGACTGAGGATGGGCCCAACTCGTCCGAGTGGCGCAGTCCATGTCCATGCGCCCTGGTGGCTCATGAGGACTGTCTGCTCGACTGGGTCGCCAGCCAGGAAGCACCCAATGCCCGGCAGCAAGCCGGTAAAGGCTCCACGTTCTTGTGCCCTCAGTGCAAGAACGAGATCCACCTGAAGCGCCCGACCAGCAAAATCGTCAACGGAGTGCGTATCATCGAGCGCATAACTAGCCACCTCGTACTGCCAGGCGCCATGGGGGTGTTGGGATATACAGTCTACCAAGCATGCTTCATGCACGGTGTGAGCACCGTGTACGCCATCTTTGGTCTCGAAGACGGTTATCGCATCCTGGAGCCTCTACACCAAGGCCCGGATGCGTGGCGCACTCATGCGCACGACTCGGTGGCTCTGGCTGCCGTCACACGCTTCTTCGAGCACGCCCGCCTATACTTCGGCCTCTCTGCCATTCCGCCGATTCTAATCTCTTCCCGCTTCTCGATCGCGGACAGTTTCCTCCCTATCCTCCCTATCGTCTTCCTCGCCTCTTCAAACGTTGGCGAGGATGTGCTCAACTTCGGCCACTGGCCGCCCAGCGCCGCGCTCTCCTTCTCGCTCCTCCCCTACATCCGCGGCGCATACTACACATATATGGAAAAGACTTGGGCGGAAAAGCAACGCCAGTGGCTGAAGGATGTCCAGCCTCGCGCTGGAGAGACGGAGGACGAGCAGGAGAATGCGGAGAACGGCGCTGACCACTTCGAGGAGGGTGAAGGTGTCGACCTCTTGCTAGAGTTCGGCCTGAATGACGAGGATGACGAGGAGCACTTCCACGACGATTTCCACGACCTTCCGGGCGTTGGCCAGTGGCCCGGCGACAGGCCTGCCAACCAACAAGCGCCGCCGTTCGATGCCCCTCCGCTGGATGACGACGGTCTCCCCCAAGCGCAGCAGCAGCCGCCACAACAGCAGCAGCAGGGTGAGGCACCACAGCGACCGCGGCCCCGCCAGCGCAATCAGCGTGATCGCAATCTTATTTGGCAGACGAATACTTTCGCAGACACTATTATCGGCGCTCTGGTCTTTCCATCTATCGCCGCGGCCGTGGGTGAGCTGATCCGTCTTGGCTTGCCAAGGAAGTTGACTACGCCGCCTGCGGTCGGCCGGCCAACGGGCTTGCTGCAGCAGCGGTGGGCTCGTAGCTTGATTGGCGGCTGCCTGTTCGTGGCGGTCAAGGACGCAGTCATGCTCTACGTGCGGTGGAAGATGGCGCAGAACCACCGCAAGAGGCAAGTTTTGGATTATGACAAGAAGAAGGGTAAGGTTATTCAGAGGTAGCTGTGCTTGCCAGCAGCAATATTGTGTCGGCTATTTTATTTCCGCTTATATCCTGTGTACCCACACGTTTTGGCTCAGTGCCTTCAGGTCAGGGCATGGCGGGTCTTCACTTGTCATAGTTTCAATTTCATCATGGGAAAAACTGTGGCGGATGGACAAATAACAAATGGGCGGGCATGCAGGTAAGCGGTCCGACAAGCAGAAAGGGAGTATTGGCGTTTCTGGCAGGAAGACAGGGTGAGGCATGGTCAGGTATCACTCAGCATAGAGCAAACCACTCTGCTCAACGAGAAAAAGAAACATTCAAACTTTAGAGAGAAACTATCTTTGAGGCCGTCCATTTCTTCATTGGTGCATTGAAGCGTGTGCTGTACTTGCTTCACGGGTATCTTTTCTGTATCCTTATAACGCCACCATTTGAAACCATTATCGAGAAATTTCACCAGCAATCCCACCAGGCATCCGTTGGGGAACTACTCCGGGAATATGGTCTGCTGAAGGACGTTGTTGCGGCAGTCGCAGTTGGGGTCGTCGCAGCCCGTGGGGTGAGCAGGATCGTACTCCTCGTATCCGAGGTCCTCATCCGAATCCGTCTCATTGTCCTCGTCGTTGACGTCAATTCCACTGCCATAAGCTCCACCTCCGCCAACCGCCTTCTCCGGCTCCTCGGCCTTGGCCTTCTTGTCTTCTTCAACGGCAGCGAACGCCTTCTTGAATCCGCCACCTCCGCTCTTGGCGGCAGGAGCAGCACCAGCACCACCGTTGCCACCGGCATCGCCGGACGTGGCAGGAGCAGATCCGAAGGCGCTCTTGAAGCCGCCCTTCTTGAAACCGCCGCCGCCGCCACCACCGGACGGCTTGGATGCGCTCATGTCGAGCTTGACCAGACCAGCTTCCTTGTCGCGAGCGCGCTCAGCACGACGAGCCTTCTCGGCAGCTTGCGGGTTCTTAGACATTTCCTTCATGTCCTTGAGGCGCTGTTGGAGAAAAAGTGTTAGAAAATTGCTAATCAGGAAGTAAAGAAACTAGATGTTTGTGCATGCAAGGAATATAGGTGATGTTGGGTAGATGTTTTGAGGTGAAGAAAGGGTGGGCAAGTGAGGCAAAAAGGAGGGAGATATGCTAACGCGCATGCTAAGGTGATGGTGCCTGTGGTGTAGTCAATTGGGTTCTTTCGCTTTCCTTTTTATGCTGGTGGTCATACGATCCGATGTGAGTTTCATATTCGTTGTGGCGCTGGTAGCCTTTCTGGCAGAGGTCGCCTGTGGTCCTGGTCAGTTTGATTTGCATGACCAGGTAGGGGACTGGCATAGATTACTTACAGAAGAAGTTCTTAGCGGCTTCACGAGCGCTCTCAGTCTTTGGGTCAAATAGTCAGCAGAAATCGGCATTGGGTTGTCGGCGTGTGGAGCAGCTGACCTTGGGGGCAGGGTTCATGAAAGTGCGCTGCGCAGTAAGTTAACAGACTGTTTCCCATCTGTTAGAGGAGCAGTATGCTTACAGGAGGCATCTTGGCGGATTCCGCGCGAAATGCGGGTGGTTTGGTTAAGATCTTGTCGGAATCGAAAGCCGTCGGTGATGGCGTCTGGTTGGTGTTGCGGCTCTGGAGTTGCCGAGTGACGAAAGCTGGAGTGATCGGCGGCGCGCTCGGCCACGACTTTCGCCGATCCGATCTTGAAACCAGGCCAGCGCGTCACAGGCCACCTATTTCCGCTTACCGCTTTCCACGCCTCTCCCCAACGTCATTCATCTTCGACGTCCAGATCCCCCCAGAATGCAGTACCCCGCCAGCGACGCGGCGTCGGTCTTCAGCCTTGAACTGCTTGAGCCATCGCCAGTAGACGATACCCCGTACGAAAATGAAAAGAGCTATTTCCCCGATGAGCTTCCCCCAGAGGATCCACCGCCAAAGCTGCTGGGGCGGTCAACAACACTAGGTTTAAGTGGTCGTGGACCCGCATTCTATCGTAAGTATACATCACTTGAAGGCATCTTTGGCTTTTTTTCTTTCACGATATTGGCAATCTCCTCATCAGTTTTCACTCTCTGCCCCCTGGTGCCAAGAAGTGGCCGCTCATGGTCGAATCCTTCCGGAGCTCGCTCGCTGAATCATCCTGGCGATCATGCACTGAAGATTGATACTATGGCTTTTGTACGGGAAATATAGGATACATTTGCTGACCAATGTTGTAGTGACACGCATACAAAAATACTCGTCGTATGCATTTTCCGTTTTTGCCGCTGCCCATATCACGAATACCGCTCTCATACCATTGGCAACCCGCTCAATCGCCGCAAGCGATACCTACCTACTTCTAACGCGGCCTTACTACCAAGACTTTCCTTTTGAGCCTCTCCTTGTCATTGCCCCGCTTGTTGTCCACGTCGGTTCCGGCATTGCCCTGCGCTTCTACCGGCGAAGGCAGACGTTGAAGCGTTACGCGGGCGACAGCGCGACTTTCTCCGAACGCCGGACTGTTCCATGGCCGAAACTCTCCGGCACCTCGGCACTGGGCTATATGACGACTCTCCTTGTCGGCGGCCACGCCTTCGCCAACCGCATCCTTCCTCTGTGGGTTGAGGGCAGCTCGGCTGGAATTGGACTAGAGTATGTCAGCCACGCCTTTGCACGACACCCCGGACTTGCTTTCGCTGGATTTTCTGCCCTGGTGAGCGTGACTGTCTGGCACTCGATCTGGGGCTGGGCGAAGTGGTTGAACCTGAACCCGGCCAGTGTGATTCACGGAGGTGTTGAGAGTCAACTCCGTAAGAAGAGGAGGTGGTATTTGATCAATGCCCTTGCGGCTGCAGTCACTGGTACGTGGCTTTGGGGAGGCATTGGAGTTGTTGGTCAGGGTGGTCCTGCCACGGGTTGGGTTGCGAAGGACTATGATGCGCTTTTCAAGAGCATTCCGTACGTCGGGGAGTACCTCTGAGAGTACAAGGTAGAAAGAGAAGGGCGGATTATTTGAGTTTTGGGTATCAGATCCGGAGTATCAGTTCGATTAGAATTGGGTGGCACGGTGTGTTATGACTGTATCAGAATACCCGGCGCTGACTAGAGTTAGCATCTCCTCTTCTCAAGGCAAGTTGGTTAGAATGTCAACGAGAGAACGAATCCACTATTCAAGAGAAATAAATACCCCATGATTCCGGCGAAATCGTCGATGCAGAAAAATACTGTTTTGAGTCACATCCTCCTGGTTTCCTTCCCCTGTTCTTTGTTTGCATTACTGGTTCCAGCGCCGAACACATACAGTTTACCCACGACATGACCAAAAAAAGAATACACGCTAGTCTTGGGCTGCAGTACCTCCCTAGATACTCAAGTTTCAAGTCTAGTGCTCGGTTGGCTCATGGTCTCCAGGTCGCTATAACCAGCCCATGAAGATTTCCAGTCCAATGCTCAAACTCAACATCAAATCTCGAGTCCGCGTCCGCAAACAATTTCTTCCAATCAGTCTCGCTACGTTCACGACCGTTCAACAGTTGAAGCATCGCAAGATCACTGAATCTGCAACCAGACATTAGCATCACCGGCCGCAGTAACGAGTATGAAGAATAACATACCTTGCCTCTCGTTGTTTATACCCAGCTTTCGACGCCTCTGGCATCAACCTGTCACACACAACGACCCTCGCGCCCTCCTTCAACGCCGGGATCAGGGCCCGAATTATCTTGACGCAATAATGGTCCGGGAAGTCATGCATGACCTTCCGCAGGAAATACACGTCCGCGTTCTTCACACCCTGCTCCTTGAAGAAGTCCTGAATCCTGAACGACACGCGCCCGCGATACCACTCCGGCAGTCCTTCCTCGCCCAGTGCCACCGGGCCCGGCAAATCCTCGACCACGAACCGCACCCGCTCCGTCGTCGCGTCCGCCAGCGCCATGCTCGCGTGCCCACGATTGCCGCCAACATCAACAACGACGGCGGAACCGTCCGGCTGAGCGGCGGCCGCGGACTCATCCAACTCCCACCATAGCGGCGACCGGCTCAGCCCGTCCTGCCCCTGAACCAGCATCTGCGGCAGGGCGTTGAAGGCACCGGCGGCGCGCCTGACGCGGGCCGGGTCCTTCGCCAGCTCAGCGAAGAACGACTCGTAAGCACCTGTTTCGGTGCCTCCGCCTCCACCTCCACCTCCACCAGCATTCGCGAGGGCGAAACCGGTGCAAGCGGGCTCGCGCGAGCAGCGCCAGCGCGCCAGCGCGTCGAGCGTCGTGCTGCCCGCGGCGCCGCCGTTCTCCTCGGCGTAGAAGCCGACGAGGGCCGTGAAGTCCGGGTCCCGGAGCAGGCGCGAGACGGGCGTGTGCTGGATCTGGCCCAGAGAGGGCTCGGCGAAGATGCCTTCGACGATGCTGTTGCGGAGGAGGCGCGCGAGGGTTTCGGCGTCGAGGGCGCCGCCGCTGGTGTGCTCTGCGAGGGCGGCGAAGGACGTGCTGCCGGTGGTTGGAACTTTTGCGGGGATGTCGTAGCGTGCGAGGGCGAGGAGGCTGGTTATGTCGCCGGTCTGAAGGTCTCTTGTTAACTGAGGTTTGCATGGTTGTAGATGGAGGGAGGAGAGGGAGGATGCCGTACGCTGGACATTAACATGTTGTATATGGTTTCTGCAGGACCGAGAGCCATTCTATGCAACTCACGGATAGCGGTAATGAGACGCGCACGGCAGTCGAGATCACTTTGTGTCAGATCGCGGAAGCCGATTTTGGATTCGACATCGACAACCCCACGCTGGTCAAGCTCCTTGGCGTTGGCCAAAATAACTTCCGCCAACGCTGTTAGTGACATCTTTGGGATGTTTGATATTCATATAGTCGATGTGGATGAAGGTGTGAAAGCACGCCTCAGGCTTTGAGTGATGTTTCCCCGCAATAGAAACTTGTGCCTTAGTGCTTACCTTACAACACCTCCGGTATAGCACGACTAGCCGTAACTATAATATTCATCAGCCCATTATTCTAAGCCTACTTTGGCTCTTCGCCTTGGCGCCTATATCTACCTCTTGGTTATGCTAGTCAGTGAGCAACAAAGGGGTAGATTAATAGCTGGTAGACAATACAAGAAAGAGAGTAAAACTATGTACTGTCTTTTTTCTTACTTCCTACTTGTGAAAAGTGATGAAATAAGTTGGGCGGTAAAACACCAAGCAAAATACTTATCGATTCAAGATCACATTGGCAGTCTACAACGAACGTCTATTTTTAGCTACCGTAAAATCTCTCGAAGCTCTTCGATATAATGTTGGCCAGAAATACATTGCGTATCGCTTCGTTCAGACGTCCATAAAGTTATTATGTTACTCCAACTTCTCCCATGGGAATGTCGTTAAGCTGACCAAAATATCCGTTCCATAAGTGTGAAAAGGGTTGAAGTAAAGAGGTAGAACCCCACTTTCCCAAAAGGTTGCACTGCATGAGTAGCCTAAGCCTCAGCCTCAGAATAAAGAGGCGGCAACGCTCGCCGGAATCGCATGACCGGCACTCTCACGCTCAGCCTTGGGCTCGCGACCTACCTTCAAACGAACATGCCTGCCGATCAAAGTTTACATCGGAAACTCAGGAAGAAAATCCGAGATAAATTTCATTCTGATCACAGTTTTGTTGATTCTGGCAAAGAGACACGAGGTGGAACGCCCGTTTCGCCCCCAAAAGCCTTGGGAAACGGTTCTCTGGCCTCGGTCGAACCGTTCACACTCGCTTCATCAGCCTCGGCTTCCAATGCCCAATCAAATACCAAGTCAGAGCCGTGTAGTGATCTCGGGGAGCATGCGTTCCAGGTAGCCGTCCGGAAGTGGCAAGATGGTCTTAAAGAAGAAGAACGCAAGGCCTTCCTTGACGCAATCAGTGGCCAGAGCAAAGAGGAAATCGTAAAGGATATCATTCAGCTTGATCAGCGGCATGAGAAGACGTCTAAATCTCGCAGAAACGCAGGTACAATCCACAAAGTGGTTCAGATACTCGACCCTTCGATACAAGTCATTTCGTTGGCGCTATCTGCGGACCCTGCAGCTTCCCAGGTCTCCTCAATTATCCTTGGCGGACTCAAACTTATTCTCAAGGTGAGTTATTGTTTAAAGCTCAAACTTAATCAGTATCGAAGCTAACCAGCCAAAGATGGCCAAAGGCTGGGAAGAGTTCTTCTCAAGGCTGACAGGCTTGCTTGACCGCTTGAGCAAACACACCGATAGATGGACCATGTATGCCAAGGCACGGCTCAAAGACGACGAGAGACTCTTGATTCTGGATAGCCTAATAGATGTCTATGGGGATTTGCTCAGGATCTGCCAAGAAGGCCGGCGTGTATTCCTGTCTCTTAACGACCAGAAAGAGAAAGAAAAGGAGAAAAATGCAGTTTCTTGGAGAATCCTGATACACCAGATATGGAAACCATTCGAGGAGACATTCGGTGGCATCGAGCAAGAGCTGGCCTCCCACGTGGATCAACTGCAAGACGCAGCTGAAGCAGTAAATCTCAGAGTCACAACGGAGATCCGCGACAAACTCGACCAGAGTCTAGAACAAGCCGAGCAAGGGAAGATCAAGCAAGAGAGAGCAGCATTCATGAACTGGATCTCAAGTTTGGATTTCGAAACAGCACACAAGCTTCTTTACGAGAGACGACTAGACGGAACAGGTGATTGGATCTTTGGGAGCCGCGAATATCAGAGATGGAAAGATCACCATGGTTCCTCGCTTCTTTGGTGTTACGGGAATGCCGGCACAGGCAAATCAGTCCTTGTCTCGAACGTGATCGACAAGCTGTCTCAAAAATATGAGCTGCTGGACAACTTTGGGATCGCATTTGCATACTGCAAGTATGACGACAAGAGCACTCAGCCCCTGATTGCCATCCTACCTGCTATAATCAAGCAACTGTGCTACAAAAAGGCTGTACTCCCTGATCGCATCATTCAACTCTTTCGGGACTATTCCGGACAGGCAAAGCCACGGACTGAAGATCTATTCAAGGACATGTTCCAGTCTATCACTGAAGAGTATGATACTGTCTACATCGTCATCGATGCACTTGATGAATGTCCACGAAAGACAAAGGATACCCTGGGACAGAGGGGCCGCATCATTGACTTCATCATTGATTCTGTCAGATCAAATCCCAGAGTCAAATTCCTTGTAGCCAGCCGCTACGAAAACGACATCAGACGTGCATTTCAGAACTTTGATCGAACCGTCGAGTTGGAAGCAAAATATGTGCGAGCGGACATCAAGAAGTATGTCAAGTACGTTGTCAACAAAGAACCGGATTTGCGAAAACTCGGAAAGAACATGAAGGAAAAAATCATCCAGACTTTGACAACAGCAAACAATGCAATGTAGGTATCATGACCAATTCCTATTTCAAGAGAGACTATGCTGACTGTAAGTCTCAATTCGATAGGTTCCTATGGGTGCACCTTCAACTGGAGGTGCTGACTTCTCAGTCACTTGAGATCGACGACATTGACGAATTCCTCAAAGATATACCCTCGGATATCGATGACACTTACGACCGTTCTTTGAGCCACATCCACTCGCTGAGTGAACGTGAGAGAAACCTTGCATACAAATGTCTTGCATGGGTACTTTACACTGCACGACAACTTCGAGCCGACGAGCTACGTTATCTCGTTGCTTTGCCAGACGACGAGGCCAGATGGAGCTTGAAGGTGCAGCCAAAATCAATCGAGGCCATATTAAGTGTCTGCAGTCATCTTCTTATCCAAGACGGAGACATGATCCGAATGGTTCATTACTCTGCCAAGGAATACATCTTCGAAACAAAACGCCATACGACCACTCGAGACTGGGTTGAGAAGTTACAGCAAACCGAACAGGCACTGGACTACATCGCGTCCTGCAGTCTATCGTATGCACTATGGCCAGAATTGGACGAACCATGCGATACGCTACAAGATCTGATTGTAAGAGTGGAAGAAAACCGTGCACTATGGCATGCGGCAAAGTACTTTGACCTTTACGTTTTCAAGGCCACTGGAAGGCTCTGTGATCATAGCTCAAACCTTCTAGAGAGACTATTGACACAGGACACAGCACATCTTCGAGCACTTGTGCAGCTCAGATTTGTGCGAGACCATTTTGATCTGGATACTGTGGCAGCTGATTTCCATCCTCCAGATATTCCCATCAACATGGCAGCACTGGTCTTCGCAACACATCTGCATGGAACTCGAGAAGTAGATCAACATCGTCAAAGGCTCTTCGAGAAGGGTATCCCACCGCGAACCATGCATTTGGCAGCTACAGAAGGTCTTCTTGACTCAGTCAACGAGATTTTAAAGGCGAAACACGATCCAAACGAAAGAGATGGCAAAGGAGCAACACCACTCTACTATGCTGCAAAACACGGACACCTGGATGTCTGCCAGGCTTTGCTCAGAGCTGGAGCCAGTCCTGATAGCCAGTTGAACGACGAAAATTACAGCGATTTCCCCCTGCACATCGCCTCGGAAGAAGGTCAATACCACATTGTCGATCTGCTCTTGCACAAAGGAGCTAAGGCATCTATCATCGGTGAGTGATATAGTTTTTTTTTTTTTGTACTCTGTTTGATCATTCTTCAAATTGGTTATGTGGCTTTCTCGGATGATGGCGGTAACCAATCTCTTCAATCTGAGGTATTGCGCTTCGAATTACACGTGCTCATTTCTGATTTGGGTTCAGGAGGCCGGTATCACACTGCTATGATAGCAGCTTGTGTCAAAGGAGCTGAGCAAATTGCACACCGCCTGCTCTTTGCTAATGCAGACTTTCGAGTACGGAGTGATGCCTACGGCTCAGCTCTTTACGCTTCTTGTGCAAGCGGTTGCATCGACTTCGTGCAACAGTTGCTGGATCGAGGTTTGGACGTGAATGAACCATGTGGACCACCGAACTCATATGCATACCCTCTGATTGTGGCTTGCATCAATGGCCATGACAGAATTGTGGAACTTCTGGTACGCAAAGGAGCCGATCTCAATGTCACAACGGCGCATGGTGACTACCGTCATGCTCTACCAGCAGCTTGCCATAGCTGCGGAACCGCAACTGTCTTGAATCTCTTGGAACATGATTGCGGAAGAAAAGGACGTAGTTCGTATTACGATCGTGCCCTTTACGAAGCCTGCGGAAACGAAAGCCCGAGATTGCAGCTGATCCAGCTTTTACTTGGAGCTTACAAGGCCAACCCAAACGTCCGCCACAAGGAAACAGAGCATGGCTTCCCGCTCATTGCGGCCTGTAGCAATGGCGACCTGAGTGCCGTTAGGCTGCTTCTAGAGTGCGCCGACAACAAAGCGGACGTCAACGTCCACTTTGGGTACGACACACCTCTCACGGCAGCATGTGCGGCCCGGAGTCCAGAGATTGTGGAACTACTCATCCAAAATGGTGCGGATGTCAACAGAAAATTTGGAAAGTACAACTATCCGTTACTTATCTCTGTCTTTGGCGGGGATTCCAGGCGGAATGGCGACCAAGGGACCGCTTGTGTTCTGCTGAGGAACAAAGCCGACGTCTTACTTGCCGGGCGTAACAGCCTCCGCAGATTTAGACGTAATGAGGAAGGTGGTTTAGCAGACATTGCGAGACTTGGCGACAAAGGCACTGCGCCAAACCAGGGCCGTCTGATGCGCACGGGAACACGGAGAAATGATGAGGCCGACATTGATCCTGTTCTATCGGAGCTTGTTCAATATAATCGGGACATCTTGGAGGTTGGCATTGGTCCTGAGAAACATTTGAAGAGGGTTGTAGACGGCCGAAAAATGCCCCGGGTGCGTAAGATACTCGACGAGATCATACCCGTCGACGAGCCCACCGGGGCGGATGTTTACCGCCTAGATAACTTTTTCAGCCATGCTTGATGGAGACTCGTCTTCAAGCATTGAGAGTTGGTCAAGGTGTACAGACAATCTGAAGAATTCAGTTCTGAGTTAAAGTCTACGTCTGAGAGCTTCGCCACAACTTGTGATTATATATGTTAAGTCTGCTCCATCAATTCGCCGGGTATGCACGCTGCATCTTCGAAGCGAGACGGGCGTCTGCGGTACAAACACCCAACGATATGAAACATCCCCGGACCGCAATTCTCTATCTACTTGAACTCTGTTCCATGAAAGGCACAGTTTCATGTACTTTGTTGATCGACTAGAAGTCATTTTCTCTGTGGCTTTGTCAGCCTCCGGAAACCGGCCGGAATCGGAGATGCCCTATCAATTATCGCCCAACGTCGGATAACCTCGTGATGACCGCGACGGTATAAATTGCTCATATCAGATCCTCTTTCCGAATGCATCGTAATTGTATCCATATCCTTCACCACCTCTCAAAAGCTCAATATTTGCTACCCATTGCCCCTCTTGTGTTCTTACGAAAGTACAATCAACCTTCTGGAAGCATACCATACCCCCACCTCTCTCAATCTGAAAGTGGCCACTATACCATCTCTTCCACACATTCGAAACCGACATACGGCCCAACTCCAGAAGCTGCAGTAGCAGCTAGATTCGCCCTCAGCCCTCCATCAGCCTTCTGGTTCATCACATAAATCCATTGAACATGGGTTCCAATTCCTTATCAGATCCCATCCCCACAACACCCTCCATCCTCTTCATCACCGCCAACCTTCCCACCCCCGAGGATGAAGCCGCCATCTGGATCGGCAAGATCGAAGCCTACCTCACCGACCCCCTCAACGCCTTCCGCGCGCGCGGCGCCGCCGTCACGCTGCGCACCTTCCAGGACCCCGCCCTAACCGCCGCGGCCATCGCCTCCACCTACACGCACGTCCTCTTCCTCGCCGTCGACAAGTACATCCACCACATGCCGGCCTTCACGGCCTTCCTCGACGCCACGCTGCCCGAGGCGCGGCGCCTGAACCCGCGCCTGCGCATCCACAACCCAGCCGCCGTCGTCCGCTGGAACGCCAACAAAACCTACCTCGCCGAGCTGCAAGCGCTGGACACAGCAGGCTTCCACGTCCCCCGCACCGCCTTCCTCGACCCGGCGACGACCGACGCCCCCGCGCTGGCCGCACACCTCGCCGCGGACGCGCGCGTCGCGGGCAACCCCTCCACGCCCGTCGTGCTCAAGCCCAGCATCGCCGCGTCGGGCCACAGCACGCACCTGCTGCGCAGCCCGCTCGCGCTGACGGCGGACGACGTCGCGGCGCTGGAATCCATGCGCGCTGCCGCCGCGGCGACGCAGCAGCAGATGGGCGCGATGCTGCTGGTGCAGGAGTACCTGCCACGGGTGGCGGCGCAGGACGGCGCGGACGGCAGCGGCGGCGAGTGGAGCATGATTGTGGTGAATGGGCGGCTGACGCACGCGGTGCGCAAGAGGCCGCAGGCGGGCGAGTTCCGCATCAACTCGGCGTTCAAGGGCGTGTGGGAGCCGATGGCGGCGGAGGGCGACGCGCGGGTGCCCGAGTGCGGGCGGGTCGTGGCGGGGAGGGTGTGGGAGTGGTTGGTGGGGAAGGAGAGGGTTTTGAAGGGGGAGAGGGGGGAGACGGAGGTGGAGACTACGGAGTTGTTGTATGCGAGGGTGGATGGGGTGGTGGGGGAGGATGGCGAGTTTGTGTTGATGGAGGTGGAGCTGATTGAGCCGTGGCTGTGGTTGTTGGACCAGGAGGGGCATCCTGGGAGGGAAGGCTTGAAGGTGTTTGTGGATGCTGTGCTGGACGATGGTGGGCTGTGACTGCCTACTGTACTAGAAGAGGAATAACAGATCAGTGTCAAATCAGGTGTACTAGAAATGTGTATAGGTTAACTCTAAAAATAGACGCATGTTGAAGTCTATTCGACGCGCCTGTTGAATATGTACATTCCTTTTCCGGTTAGAACCATGACTGGCTGGCTGCTGAACGATGCTGCTTCTCTTTATCCTGTTCTATCTTTCTAGATACACGACAGGCCTCGTCTTTGACAAAGCCACGCATGTACGAAAGAGTTGAATCTTCGTGGGTCCCATCACTTGCTCGACCAGCTTCCAGAAAGTCCCCTTGCCCTCGCCCATTCAAGCCTGCGAGTCGATCTACCACCAAAGTGACCTTCCGTATCTCGAGAAGGATGACCTTCTGCTTCAACGCATATTCATCTTCTCCATCTATGACGAACGTCCCAAACCGGATCAGCGAACCGCATCCGCTGTACCAAGTCTCACTGTACGTGGCCAGGAGCTGAAGGAGGCACGTGTAGATGAAGAGCAGCAAGGATGTGCTGTGTGGCCCGCTACACGCGAGAAAGTCGTCGGTGATGGCGCTCAGCATTGATCTGCCGAGATGTAGCATCTGGTCGAGTCCCGTCCCTTCCACGGGGCATTGTTGCAGATTCCGCATCGTGCAGCTGACGACCTCGAAGCAGTTGCAGGCTGAGTGCTGATGTTTTCTTTGTTGCTGTTGCTGTTGTTTGCTGGAGTTGCTGGAACGGCTGGAATTGCTGTTATTTTCGTCGTCGTCGTTGTTGCTGCTGCCTCTACCCATCTCGTCGCCGAATAGCCGTGCTTCGCCCGTTGGGAGCTGCATTGTTACTGATCCATCGCCATGCTGTTGAAGCAGTGGCGAGTTAACCTCTGCAATCGCCGAGGGAATGATTTCCGGCCCGCTGCACCACTCGAGACAGAGTTCTGACAGGTTCGGCTCGATGAAGACTGCAGTCGTCGGGTCGTATTGTGGTGGAGTTGGCGGACCCACGTCCAAGACTGTTTCGGGAGATGTGAAGGAAAAGTCCTCGAAAACAGCCGTCGCTATCGATGCGACAGTGTTCTCACGGTCGCGGCGGGAAGGAGACTGGCTGGAGGAGCGTTCCGAGGAAGAAGGCGAGAGGCTGTCGGAAGGCGGCGAAGACTTGAGATCCTCAGGGCTCGGATAAGGCTTCAGTCTGTTCTTGTACTTCGGAGTGCGGCCAAGTGGCATCGGCGGGCTGCGTTTGCAGTCGACATCTGCTTTCTTGCACCGTATGCATGACGAGGCATGGTCGGCTTCGTAGGTGCATTTAACTTTGGCGCGGTGACAGCGGTCGCAGGACGCGCGCAGCGACGGAGTGCCCTTTCCTTTTGCTGCCGTCGTTGTTTTGGCTTCCGTTGTTTTCGCTTCGGACGACATGTTCTATCTCTTTTTTCCCCTTGTTTTGTAAAAAGGGCCTTTCAACTGTTTCTTGAGAGCGCTGACGTTGGCCGATTCATTAATAACTCCAGATGCGCGGAGCGAAATAGTCGCATTTTCAGCTCAGGCACCCACATCCCGGGTTGAAGGATGGTTGGGCGGGTTTTGTACGGAGTCGGAGGACGACTGGCGGAGTTGGTGCAACAGTGCTCCGGGTTGTCAGCTGGAGTAGCGGATCGTGGCAGCCGTACTCGGTCCCCGGCCCCCGGAGATTCTCGCCTCGGTTACCGGCCTCCGAAGCCTATTTAACCAGATGCTTATCAGTCATTGTTGCCTTCAAAATTGATTTTCAAAGGTTCAATCTTGAAGGGAAATCAGGAACTATGCAATGCTAGTAGACTGCACTTGCAGAAATAGGAGAGCGTATTGCATCAAAGCCATAACGAAAAGATTAGTCTTGAGACCAGCTTTAAGTCTCCCTCGATCAAGCAGACTTGGCAATATTCAATAAAAGTTGCCAATGTCTTCATGGACGATAATAGACAAAATTGTCAGTTTACCAACAACGCCTAACCGGTACAGGAAAGCGCTTAAGGAGTTTTTCGGACTTGATGACATTGCGTCAAGCCTAGAATCCGCCGAGGGTTGTCTGTTTCAATTCCCGTCAGCACACGGTGCAGCCACCTCCGAATTTCGGAGACCGAAGTAATCCGATAATGGCCCGCCCCCTTCACTCCGGGCCCTACATAAGCCGCGATCTACGTAAGCCGGAATACATAGATTAATTGGATAAAGCGATGGTTTTCGCAACGTCTCATGAGCGCAGCCAGTCATAAGATCATTATATAACAAGATCGAGGCAGTAACATATAAAATCATCAACATGTCGCAACCCATGAAAACCTTAACATTTAAATCAGTTGCTACCCTGCTATCTCGCGCAGCCAAAATCGATGCAACGGCCGCGACAATATTAACCATCTATCTCAGAAAACGCATCATGTATGTCAGGGTGGTGCTGAAAATCACTGTTCAGCTTTGGCTAATCTTGCAATTAGGAGAAGACAAAGAAGAGGAAGGAAGAGTAAGTATAAATTAAATAACCAGTTGTTGGTAAATCAACTTCTATTCAGTGGGCACCTCATGAGGGACCTGAATATAGTGCTAGCGAATTCAGGGGTAATGAGCACCTGGTGGTGATCCCGGCCCCACGCGGGGAACGAAGTAACTGCATGGTGGTCGAAGGAATTATTGCTATTCTATTTCAAGAGAAGGAGTACAGAGGTCAAAGAAGCATGCCGTGTAGCGGTGCACTGTCGTAAGCATCTTGGAATGAGGCCTATCTCCTCGCCGGTCGAGGTCCACCGCCACGTCCACTGACATCAAAAAGAGCATTCTTTTCCTAGCTATGCGCATTCCCATCAATGAAATGCTCCAATAAAAATACGAGTGGACATGTCGGTGGACCTCAACGGCGAGGAGATAGGCGTGTGACAAGAGTGAAATGCGTAGAGAAATATTGCATTCGGAGGCTAACTCGAAGAATAGCAAGGCCCCAGAACATGGGGTAAATATGCCTCAGCAATGTCCGAAAAAAAACAAATTCACGCCAGCCTTTGGCTACCTCGAGCTTGTTATATTTGACTCCTCGTGAAATGAGTGTGGTTCGCATTCCTACAATTTCATCCACACTTCATAAATGTACAAGACTAACCGACAGAAACAGAAACCAAAAGAGCATTTGAGCTCACCCTTTTGTATCAACCGCAATAGCGAGTGTGACTATTGCACGGATTTAGACGATAGAGAGGAGACAAAAGGAGATGAATCATGTAGGAGATGCATCACAAATTCTTTTTCGTCTCTCGCTGCTCCCCAGCCCAGCTGGAGCGAAGAGACTGCTGCAAGGAAACAGAGGCAGACCGCACTCGATCCGAGAGAAAGAACGAGAAAGAGAAAAGCCCATAAAATTCTGATACCATAACCCAAAAGATTTTTAGAAAAAAGCGAAGCTTGAAAAGACCAAAAATAAAAAAAGAAAAGTGAGGGGTATCACCAACCATCCGAGGCACACACACACACATGCCTCGAGAAAAGAAAAGAAAAAATGCCCAGACCTTGAACCCATCTCTTACCTATCCCATCATTCATCACGTCATTAGAGTCGGAGAGCGTAACAAGAAAAGAAAATGAACAAACAAACGTCAAACATAGCCTCCATCATCATCATCATCAATACGCCGCCACCACCCCCGCCCTCTGCGCCCTCCCCTCCACCTCAGCCGGATCATTCTCCACATAATTCAACCACATACCCACCCTCCCCATCCCGCTTCGCGCGGGATCGCCCAATCCCGCCATGACGGACGCCTCGACAGCGGCGGCGGGCCGCTGCTGCTGGCGGGCGTACTGGTACTGGTACTGCGTCGTCATATTGTCACCCGTTATCACCGTGACCGGCGTGGCGTCTGCTGCTGCCGCTGCCGCCGCCGCTGCTCTGCGCGTGCCGCGTGTGGTGCTGCGCGTAGTGGCGCTGCGCCTGACAGTAGTACTCCGAGGCGGCTGCGGCGCTGGCTGCTGGCGCGGAGCAGCGGGGAGACCGAAGTCGTTCATATGGTGGCCGGCCGCGTTGCCGATGCCCAGGACCTCGACCTCGATCTCGGGCGAGTCGTAGCGGGAGGGAGCGGTGCGGTGGCGATGGTGGTGGCGGCGATGGATGCTGCCTCCCGCGCGGCTACGAGCAGGTTCAGCGAGGAACTCGGATTGCAGGCGGCGGGCCAGCATTTCGTCTTCGAGCTCGAGCTCGCGCTCGCGCTCGCGGTCGAGGTCGCGGCCGCCGGCGTAAGACATGCGATCCGCGCGGCTCGCGGCGGGCCGCTCCTCCTGGACGTAGACGGGGTGGGCCTGGCGCGGAGCCGGGACGGCGTACTGGTCCGGTCGGGCGTTGGGCGGAGGACGTGGAGGTGGCGGTGCGGCGCCGGCGGCGTCGTGCTCGACGACGACGTACGGCTCGGGCACGCGCATGTTCTGCAGGCGGTCGTCGTCGTCCAGGTGGGCGTAGTTGAACCACGGGCACTCGCACGTTTTCCACTTGGAGCCGCACAGCATGCAGAACTGGGCGGTGCAGCGGCATGTCATGTGGTTGCAGCCTTCCTTCAGCTCGACCATGGCCTTGCAGTTGTAGCAACGCTGCCACCCGGACTCTTTGGCCATCTCGGCGAAGGCGCGCGCCGCTTCGTCGTCCTTGGGGCACTCTTTGCGAAAGTGCCAGCGTCCGTTGCATTTTACGCAGACTTTACCGCGACAGCGCGGGCATTTGCCGTACTTGCGGCCGACGGTGGGGTCCAGGCGGATGTGCGACGGCTTGATCCACTCTCCACATCCACGGGTTGGGCAATATATCCGGTTTTTTGCAGTATATTCCTGGTACTTCTTGTTCCACAGAACCTTGAACTTGGTATCAAAGAGTCGCTCGACATATTTGAGGGGAATATGCTCAGTTGTACAACATCTCGGGGGCATATGCTGAGGATCTCTGACGGAGAGCTCGAATTGGCGTTTCAGACAAGTATGGCACATGCGATGGCCACATCCGAGTCTTGGACAGCGAGACGCGCGGACCTCGTCCATGCAGACCATGCAGTCGTACCTGGAAGCTGATGTGAGCAGCGGTGCTGTGGGAATGCTCGGAGCGACCTACTTCTTTTCCGGCGTCTGGGCCGACGGCGGTACATGGCGAAAAAGACTAAAGATTCCTCCACTATTTCTTCGTTGGTGAGGTGTTGCTGGAGGGGCGTCGGCTGGAGGGGATTTGAGAGTGCCGGTTCTTCTGAGAGAAGGGCGAGTCATGACCGGACGATTGGAGTCGCGAGCAGATGTTGTCCTGAACCAAATCAACGACTATTTCGAGCGACGAGAGGGCATTCTAAGGACATACCGACTTAACCTAACGCCGTCAGCCCTGCGCACCGAAGGCTCGGGCGCCTCTCTTTCGACCTCGACATCGATCACGTTTGCAGCAGGTGACGAAACAACCCGCCTGTGACCACCTGCGCGTGATGCCAAATCCTCTTCCCGCCGACTTCTGCTGCCACCGCTCCGAGGGGTGCTGTAGACGTAGACGCCGCTATCCCGGTCCTCGCGCTCTTTCCTGCTAGGCCGGCGTTCGTCCCGCTTACTCTTGACGCTCTTGCGAGTGCTGGCGGCGCGCATCAGCCTGGGCTCGGTGCCTGAGACCATGGTAGGAGGCGCGTAAGAGGCCGGCGCGGCGGCTGGGGCCGAAGGATGGCGGGTTTGGCGCTGGTCTGGTGGGCGGGCGTAGTACTCGGCTCGTGCCTGGCGCAGGTGGTCCAAGTCGGGAGCATGCGCGCTGCGCGAATCGTAGTCGTACGTGTTGCGGCGCGGGCGGCGAGAAGCGCGCTGGCGGTATGCGTCGGGATCGTAGGAGCGGGAATGGTCTCTCGACTTGGGAGCGAAGATTGCTCCCACGCCGTCGAGCAGATGCGAGAAGCGGCGGTTGGCAGCCATGCGGCACTACGTCTTTGGGCGGGCGGTGAGCGAGCCAATGAAGGTGGCTGGCAAGCCTGGGGCTGTGACCATGCGCCGGCGCTCACACGATCGGCAGGCGTTTCGTGGGCGCCTCGGGCATTATTCTGGTCATGGGCGTGACTGCGATGTTGCAGAGACGTGCGATTTGGCCTGAGGTCAATCTTGACTTCTAAGTTTCAGGCGCGCGTGGAAGTCAGGGTCGTCCGGCTGGGGCGCTGGGGCCGGCTGGGGTGATGCTTGAGCCCTGCGACCTGATCGCCAAAGTTAGCGGCCCCAACACGCCTCACCTTTGCCAGCACTGGAATGCCACTGCATCCACGTATCCTGCTGCATCAGGTGGCGTCATCTTCTCCACTGTCTGCCTAGCCTGCAGCGCGCCCGATTCAGTGCACCCTCACCTCCTGCATGCTACCTACTAAGCTTACCATATCCGTGTGGCACATGCTGAGCTCTGCATTCTTCACTATATAACTTTTACCAGTGGCGAGCGCTTACATAATCCTTAACTCGGGCATGTAGTAAGTTCCGCCTCAACCCGTGATCTTTGAGGCCCTTTCTAACAACCACCAGGCTCAGTGGTAGAGCGCTCGCTTTGCAGAAACATCTCGAATGCGAGAGGTCCAGGGTTCAATCCCCTGCTTGTCCATAGGCAATGCTTTTTTGCCCATCTCGAAGACGTTGACGGTGTATCAAGCTTCACTTTTTGCACCTTACAGTCGGAGTACAAACACTGCAACTATCGGCACGCGCCAAAGCCTCGATTCGTCCACTGGCACCCTTGGTCGACCTCTATGCAGCTAGCAACCCGCATGCTCCCGTCGTCTTTCTGTCCGCGCCGCCAATGCAGACTGACGCCATGTCTCCCCACTTTACAAACTTGGCTGCACCCCGAGCCAGTCTTTTTAGGTCCCAGCGGTCGGGATGCATTCGTCGATGCGCTAAGAAACTCATTCAGATGTCCGCTGAGCGGCAGTACCTGATTCGCCTGTCACTGATGCCGGTGGGATCACCGAATCTCCACACCGCGGCCAAAACAAATTTGCCGTCAATTAACTCCACTCTCCACCACCATCTTCTCTACCCACGTCCAACAACGAAGCAAAAAAAGAAGTCTCCGCTCCCAGAATCGAACTAGGGACCTTTTGATGGCATAATCATCGCGGCTCCGAAGAGCACAGATATTACAGTCAAACGTGATAAACCAACTACACCAAGCGGAGGCACGAACGCGGTGGACCGCGTTTGCTTGGATAGACTCCTCGATGAAAATTCGAATTTCAACCTTGAGTTTATATCCCTTTGTCTTACACCCGAGAATGGTGCAACCACATTTCCAACAGTGAAAGTGAATGTATGCTGTGATATCTTGGCGTCAGCAAATTTTTTACCAGGGTCAGCAGCTTATTCGGTCTTGATAAAGCGTCGTCGACGTGGTCTCTCCCGGACAGGCCGGCCAACACAACACATCCTCTTCAGTGTCGCACCACATGTAAACGCGCCCTACTCTCACAAATTGAATCCCGTCCCCAGAATGCACTAGAAAAATCTATCAGGTGCCAACCTTGCAAATACATTCAAGAGGAGCTAAAATAAGGGGGAGAAGTAACACGTCAAACAATTGGAATAGCAATATGGGCATGATCCACTCACTCAGACCAGGGCCCGACAATCTGTCCATGAGACCAACTTAGCCCCCATGGAGTTGACGCCTCTCTTGAACGTTTCAACACACACAGGATATCTCCGCCGCTGATACCTTTTGTGTATTTCACAATTTTGAATTCCATGCTCGTTTTTCCCATGAGAAAATTGAGGATTACAGCATACTCTATACGCCGACGGATAGAGACCTTAGCATGATACCTATCCATGACACCGGAATGGTTGAGTGGAAATAGTTCGATATATCTGCGCTTCCTAAGCAAATTATGCTGGATGAATGAAGAATGTTCAGCCGGTTCCTTGAACGCAGGGCTAACAAGTTCACACTCTATAGACACCGCACATCCCCTGGAATCAAGGTGTGGCGTTGTGTCAATGATAGCAAAATTACAGCTGCCCGCTATCAGCATGCTCAACCGTAAATTTCATTAACACATCTGGTTCGGAATAAAGGCTGAAGCATCAGGGATAAGGATGATACAAATTCCGCCTGTCTTGATTTCCTATAATCGCTACGTGATCTCAACTCAATCCTTCATTTGGAACCTCAAAGCGAAGGTATCAATTCCATTGTCCATTTTGTTTGACCGCTGACTGCGGGGGGAAAACCCGGGAAGCGGGTAGGTGATCAGCGGGGATGAAACACATTACCACGCTGGTAGCCTTGTGAACGTGAAGAATCTCTCCCAGATTGATAAGTGAATCCAACCACTATTAAATCATTCGTCTAAAATATTGCTCATAGTTACCTTAGATTGAAGTTGACACCCTTAGCTCTCCCCTTTGCACCACTCACGTCACATACAGAAGCACTTTCTTAATTGCCGCTTCGACTCGTCGCCACGGATCAACTTCGTCTCCAAGGTTTTGGTTTGGCTGCTAAACTGCAAAGGCTACTACACCGTCAGTCCGCCACCTTACCCCTACCCTTGAATCTTCGAGCTGCTTTAGTTGCTCACTTCATCAGTCTATCTAATAATTACTTCTTCAACTCACTCCAGTCCTACAAACTTCAGCCCGCTGCGTTTCAATATGAACAAGTGTCGCCTTGAGTCTGCTACGGCTATACCGCGTGCTATCCGCCTTCAACTGCCTCTCCCGTCTCCAGCAGGCCTAGAAATACTTCGCTGATTTCCTCTCCGCTTTTTTTTTTTTTTTTTTTGAATAAGCTTTCGAGGCCGGTATTACCGATAAGAAGAAGCTACACGAAATCCTTCTACCCTGTTTAAGTAGAGAACCCACTCAGAACCTTAACATAATTCAAGACAAGAATCACCTAAGCTCAAGCATCTGGTAGACAGGTTATGGGAGTACGATGATGAGCAATGCGTCCATACCACGGGCTCCTCTGGTAATTTGGGCCACCATGGCACTTATATGTAGAGAAATACAAGCACCTTAAGAAGCATCAATACCGCTACTGCGGCACTTCTACAACGTTATATTTCAGCCGAAGGCTAGCGGGAAGAATAGCAGGGCCTCGGAACAGGGGGGAACTACGGTTCTCCAGAATGGATGATCTTTTATAATATTTGTGAAGAATCATTCGACTTGTGCGGGCAGTTTAAGCTATCGTCTGGAAGTGAATGTACAATTGTTAATTCGACATTTGCGTCCGGACGACAGCTTCACTGCTTATGATAAGTGCCAAAAAAAAAAAAAAACGCTATCCTTCAGCTGCAATATCTTTCTATGCACACTTTGCCTCCCATTGCCCTATCAAGTCCATAAACCCTCATCCAACTGTGCAAATTTTCTCAAAAGGCTTCTCGCCAGATAAGCTCCAGGCACGTTTGTTTCATGTATCGCTATAACCAAATTTTCGTTTCGATTTCCTACCGCCTCAGCCCAATGATTACAAACATTGTATTAAGGGATTCTGATACCTTATAGAATACAATTTAGTCCTATGACTCGCTTCTCAAATCAACAGTGCTACTAGAAAGCTTATTCGGAAACTTAAGCATCCAACCTAAAACCAACCCTTACTAACTCTCCAAACATGCATGTCTGATATACCAGAGCGCAGACTTATAAGTGCACACTCCAAGGAAGTGAGCACTCTAAGGTTTTCGGATAAAAATCCCTCGTTTGCTCCGGGTTGCTCCGGTCGAAGCACTACGGCAGCTGACAAGGAGGTTGGCTTTCTCGAGACTTTGCTGGAAAATTGAACATTGTGGGTAGTTGAAGCTAACGTCCGGTCGTATTGTCTCAACTTAAGTCTCACGTCTACGTCCGGACGTTAGCTTCAACTACCCACAATGTGCAAATTTTACGAGACGGAGAAAATCTTGAAGTGAATTTCTGGGGCATGATCACCTTCCTCTGTTTTAAAGCCTTGTTGTACTTCACTCTAGCCTTCAGCTCTGATACCCATCTGCATCGTCTCATAGTGATAGTTATTTTCCCTCCATTAATGCAGTACTCCTATGCTAAGCGACAGTCCAGCCCAAGTCATGACATCATATGCATACATAACAGACGCATTTCGGTCAGACTGTACATGATCGATGAGCCTGAGAATATCAATGCATAGGTTTAAGCAACTGAGAAAAGGCATCAAAGTACTATTTTACACTCGCCGACTATTGTTTTTCAGCCTACTATTTCCTTCATTATCATAAGCATGCCGCGCCAGACCATCTCAGAGAGCCGCATCGACGCAAGCATCCAACGAAAACGCCACCAGAAAGAGCTAAACCAACCAACCCACCAACAACCGATCCTGCAGGATTCCCCACCTCTCCCCCTCTCTTCCCCTCCCCCCAGACCTCGCCCAAACAGATGACCCACCGCAGCTGTTGGTCCAGCTTCCGACGTTCGAACATTCATCTGCATTCCCAATTCCGCGAGGAAGCAGCTCGTGTTACATGTAGCGACAACCTCGTCATCGAAAAAAAAGATCACAACACTCATCCTACCAGCTCCATCCCGCAAGCATCACTTTTGCGCACAGGAGCTGTCCTCGCATTTATCGTACGACAAACAGAAGAATGATTCCTAATAAGCGCTCGTATGAAAAATTAGGTTCGCAACAGGGAGGAGGACGAGAGTGCGCGTGTCTGGAGAATGAGGAGCGGGAGCTGGCTGACCAAATAGCTACCCGCAACCAACACCCCGGCTCCCCGCGCGTTCACATTCCCTTACTCACACACCCATCAGTCCCAAGCCAAACGCAACCTTACTTTCCACGCGTCTCATACTAGCAGGACTTACGTCCGTTGTGTGGAATAACGCTCGCATTGGTGAATTGGACGGGGAGCGCGCGCTTGTAGAGAGGGCTAGAAGCGTGATGAGCACACATATTACGCGTCTCTCCCCTCAGCATTACTGTTACCAACCAAAGGCACAGCCTTGCCAGCCAGCCAGCAAATCATCGTGCGACGCAGCAATCCTAAGAGATCGGATGGCGGCTCGAACCGCTTTTCACTAAACCAATAGCATCACCATCTGTGCAAGAGGAACCCTGAGTAACTTTGCGCCTAAAATTGTACCAATACTTGTACAACAACTATGCTCAATCTCAAAAATAATACCCTCACATTCTCATTACGCTGCTTCACACATGCTCCACATCCACACAAGTACGACCACATGCCGATTCAATTCACCATCACACTCTCATCCATTCCATTCGATATATTCCTTGAAGAAAGGAATAAAAAAGGTAAACGCCTCTCCTCCCCATTAAATCAATTCTGAACGACGTGCACCACCAAACGAGAAATTTCCGACCCATCATAATTCCCAGAAAAGCCAAGAAATGAGTGTATGAAACCCGTGCTGAGGAAAACTCCAGAGTAAACAGTGTAATATATACGACAGGACTGTAGAGAAAAAGAAAGGTTTCAAGTATTAAACGGCGTGGCTTTCGTCAATATGTATCGAAGCAGCTGTGTGACGAAAATCCTCACGCCGCCAACCGCTGCGCTTTCAAGATCAATAAAAACGAGGTAAAAAGAAGCCATTTTTTGTGTTGAGTGAACGCCCGTTGCAATGCTCTCGTCAGGAAAACCAAGGAGAAACCAGATCGATGCCCATGACTGCAGGTCCCCATTCGGCGCAGTATCGTCTGATCTAGCGGCTGGAACGAAACCGAAGCATAATTTCTTGCTTAGATGATGCCGAAGCCGATGACGAACCAGGTGAAACTGATGACGGTTACGGCAAAGGTGCCGAACAGGAAACGGACCGTCTGCTGCTCGACACTGACGCCGGCAGCGTTACAGCCAGGGCAAGTCCAATCTGCGATGCGGTGAATTAGCGTCAAGCCTGAGTCAAACCTGGGGGGAGTGAAAACGGAAAGGAATGGAAAAACTAACCTTGTCTCGGGACGTACTCCTGGGGGCGGTACATGCCAAAGGTGAAAGTGTTCGCAACTCCCAAGTAACCGGCGGCAGCCGTGGCAGAAATGCTGCTACCGGCATCGTAGATGATGAGCGTGTACGTCGCCTGCACCAAGCTCTTGGTCGCCGTCTTCTCGTAGTCGCCCGTGTCCCAGTACACCATGTTGGTCGTGGCCACGGACAGATTCTGCGCCAGCGTGTACGTCTCGGAGTTCAAGCTGCAGCTAGCCAGGACGTTGATGGCCGACGGCGTGGCCGACAGTGACGTGTAGTTCCACGCGAACGACAGCCAGTCGCCGATCTTGTAGTACTGTGACGTATCCGTCGCGGCAGGCGTGATCATCGAAATGCCGCCCGCCGGCAGACGGGCGTCGTACGACGTGCTCTTCGACCCCTTCTTCGACGTCTTGGTGCTGCCGGTTTCCTTGGCCGTGCCGCTCTCCTTTCCGGTCGTCTTGCCCGTTTCCTTGGCCGTATTAGTGCCACTGCCGGTAGTTGCGGCGGCGGAGTCGGTCTTGGAGGCCGTTTCAGCTGCCGTTGTCTTCTCGCTTCCCGACGCAGACGCGGTGTCTGAAGCGGCATCGGTCTTTGCTGCGGTGGTCTTTGCAGCGGTGGTCTTTGCAGCCGCTGGGTCCTGAAAGTTAGCATCGGTGGCTTCTCGAGATAGACGTTGCCGGTCGCGAGGAGGTAGAGCTTACAGTCGCTGGTGGTGGTTTCGTCGGCACGGATGTAGAACCAGTTTTCGCGCTTGAACAGGTTCTCGACACCCATGACCTCTTTCATGTCGTCCATGTTGGGCGGCCATGGCCAAGCGGCAGAAAGGGATGACAGCGTCAAGGCTGCGGCGAGGAGCTGTTGAGGACGCATGGCGGGTACAGATGGGCGGCGACGCGGGAGAGTCAATGGACGCGGGCGCGTCGTGGAGCCGGCGGGGTGACTCGTGGATTAGGCTTCTGTGTTTTGGGGGCGGGCTCCGCGGATCTGGGAGTGATGTGTGGTTTTGGGTGGAGGCGGTGGGAGGTTGGGGTGATCAGTGGCAGTTAGCTGCGGCGCGACGGAGACGCTTCTGGCGGAGCTAGGCCTTCCAAACGAATGACTGAGGAGCGATCGAGGGCCGGGCAACGAGCGGGGCGCGGGCGATGGATAGGGGCCGCAAGTGTTGAGTTTTGCAGCAGCGCTGGAGGGCGTCGAGAGAGCGAAAGGCTTCTAGGCGGATGGCCCGCAGGGGTTGCAGCGCTGGAAGATCGCCGTCGGGCCCGGAAGGCGAAAATGGCTAAAATTAGCGCTGGATACGGGGTAGTCTCAGGCCGTATCGCTCACGAGCACCCGCCCGTGTGAGCAATGCGCTGTATATCTTCTCGTAAGCCCTGGACCGCGTGCACAGAGAGCAGCGAGGGCGGAGCTCGATCGTGCCCGCTGGCGCCGCCCGTCGGGGTCGCCCTCTCACAGCCAAGTGTTGTTTCCACGAGCAACGGCACGCACCCACGCCCATTGGACAGGCCGCCCGCGAGTGTCGCGGATTTAGAGCTCTCTCCACCCGCACGCCCGCACACGGCAGCATACCTGTCCCCTCGCTCTCCCTGCCGTTCCGCCGCACTTTATCGCGCCCGTGGCTTTGCGGCTCTGGACGACCCGCACAATTGCTTGCGAACAGCCGTAGGTACGCTAGTGGGCCCAGCGCCATAGCGCCCGCCGTCGCATTCCTGGCCACCGTCACGTCATATGCCGTGTTTATGCTAAAGGAATCCACTGCCCGGCATGCTCCACGCCTCCCTATCCAGCCATGATCAACCTTATGCGCTCGGTCTTGGGGAGGAAAACAGCAAAATGCCCTGTCGCTTTGACGCATGCAGGCGAGAAACCGGTAAATTCCTCCCTGTCACGTAGGTGCCAAAAGAAACGATCCTCTGCAATTATCTTCGCGAGCAAAGGCACCCGACTTATGTACGTAGGTAGTACCATCCGGACGTAGATGTATGTACATTTAATAATTCTACATTTGCGCCCGGACGGTAGCTTCAACTACCCACGTAACACTAGAAATTAGTTGTGATGGCTCAGATGTTTCAGCACCCACCGTGCCTGTCGCTCTCGTGTTGTTACTAGCTTGGCCGGGGGAGCTGCCTGCCCACCCAGAGACCATCTATTCGTCATTTATGACTCGATATATCAAAGTAGACAGAAAATGTGGGCTCGACGTACACGTCTTGCTAGCCCGGAGTATGTGTGGTTCGCAGCCTTCCCTCGCTCTTTAATCCTTGGTGGTCCGAAAGGATCGCACCATTCCAAACAATAATAAATAAACTTCACTTTCGAGCCGCCCCATAGCGCCATGCATCCCTGTGCTTCCCATGATCCTCGTTGCGCCGACGCCGTAAAATGTATGAAAGAACATGAACGAAACTCTTTTCACAATAAAAAAAGAAAAACAAACCACTCCCTATATAAACGACCACTGGCAATGACAAGCATTCGACGGGTCATCTCTCTTGTCTAAAGCCCTCTTTGAACTCTTACTACTGCTCCCGCTCTTGTAGTCGCTATAGTCCGGATCTGACTCGGACAGCTTCACCACGATCGTCTGGCCGTCTTGTAACACGGGGACCATCCGTCCGTCATCAAGAAGCTGCATTTGTTGACAGTACGCCTGTTCCTTCGTAGACGTACGACGTTCCTCAATTTTCACGATGCGTGGATACCACTGAATGTTGTCGCTGTCTGTATCGCGTCGCTGAGCCGTCGATGGCGACGTCGTAATAGCGGCTGCAGTATTTGTAGACACGATGGTGACCGGCGAAGGATACGTTGTGGTGGCTGGTACTGTGCTAGTCGATTGTGCAGGCGTCGCGTAACTAGTTGCTGAAGACAGTCCGGACGACACACCTGTAGACATGGCTGCCGACGTGTTCTGCTCCACATAGATGAATGTCTCGATAAAGGTTGAGTTCCAGATGCAGTACCATGGTTTGTCGCCTGCGACAACTTGATGACGAGATCTGAACCCTGAAGGCATATTGAAGCCATCTGGCGGATAGGGTGGGTAACTACTGCTGCCGTCGTCACCGCCGTAGTCACCTGAACTCGAACTGTGCGCATCGCGCGACACCAGCTTCTGGCCTGCCGCGAAATCCTCGGGTCGCAGGATAACGATCTTGTCATACAAAGTTTGAAAATGCCATGCGGGTCCATCCGTGGGGTTGTCAAGGTCAGTCACGAGGCTAAGTGCTTGAGGCTCAATGTTCGGTGCTTGGCTTCCGTAGTTGACGCCCGTGGTGTTGTCCAGGGGCGACAGCCACATGGCGTACGAGTTGGCCTTCCCATAAGAACGAACATTGATCTCAAGAGGTGGTCCATCCACGTTACAGGACCAAGCGTCGTTTTGCTCCGAGCTCGTGAGACACTCGTTGCTAGACACGTCAGGGCTGCGGATTGGAAGCGCATACTTGCCCACAGGCAAGGCAGGGAGACCGGTGGGTATCACTTGGATGCTCGAAGCATCAAACAAGGATTCCGTACTAACCACCGTGACCATGGAAGGCCTGTTGTTAGCGTCAGCATTACGAGGGATGTGGGCAAACGCGCCCAGGGCCAACTTACCCCCGATCTTTGTTCTTGTCCATGTGTCCCTTGGCCATGAAAGTGCCAATGACAACTCCTAATATCACTGCCAATATCACAATGATGACGAGAGCAGTGATAAATACCCACAACGGCACCTTACCCCACAAAATCTTGGTCTTCCTCTTTTCCTGCCATGATTTTTCACTCCAACTCTTGTCGTTGGGGGCGCCGGTACTCGAAGGAGCTTCTGCAGATGCAGATCGATCCTGCGACTGCAATGGTTCTTGTGACTGCGGAGTTGTCTGTCCATTGGCCATCGGTTGCATCATCATACTAGAATTGCTCGACGGTAATGCTTCCTGAGACATTGAAGCACTATGAGGCCCGACAGGCGATGCCGCTAGACTACCAACCGCGGCCCCGGCTGCCACTCCTGACGTGGCCGCTGGTGCTGCTGTATGCGCCGTCTCTGTTCCAGTAACAAGACCGAACTCCTCCGGCACTGCCATAAGCGAGGCCTTGGTCGGACCCTCCTCCGGGAATCTCGAGTAAGGGGGCAATTGCTCCATGTGACCGTCAGGGCCGATGATATCCTGCTCTTCGCCATCGGGCCCGATTTGCCTATGATAGCCTTGACCAAGTCCTGGGAAGCCAACTGGAATTTGATTTTGCACGGGTGCAGGCCGGATTTCGTCAGGGTCGTCGAAGACATTTTGGGGATACATTGCATACGGATGAGCGGGGCCATGGTGCGAGAGCGATCGTGATGTCCCTTGAGCGGTGGAAGTTGTTGTGACGCTGGCCGACCGGCCCAGACCAGTGCCCTGAGGGTACATGCCATAGGGGTGGCTGGGACCAGAGTTGGCCGCAAACCCGCTCTGCGACGCGTGTTCGGTTGCGAATGACGATGTAGACGCAATGGAGGCACGGTGCGACAGTTGTGGCAGGCGAGGGGCAGGAGAATAGGTATTGCTTCGCTCGGGAGTCGAAGAGTTGGGGCCGTCCTGTGCCATGGTGAAAGATCCTCTTGCCGCATGGCCGCCTTTTGATATGCTGTTCCGCTGCTGAGCGACTTGAGGAGGCCCCTTGGTGTCCAGTGGGAAATTTTCCGAGATAGAATGACGTACTGACGACCGTATCGAAGCCCTGTGGTCAAGTGCAGTCGTCGAGTTGCCAGCAATACCGCCTCCATGGTCGTTTCCGGGCCGAAATCCATCCGCTACTCCCATGCCAAACTCCGGGTCCTGGTCGCGTTCGAGGGCATATTCGTCGTCGAAGACGTTGGGGTTCCTAGAATTGGATGGCGTCGCGTGGTCGTCGCTGGGCGGCTGGCGTCCGTCCATTGCGCCCGGCAAGCGAGTCGCCTCCTTATCGGGGGCGTGAGAGCGCCGTGATGGATCGAATTGTGCGAGTTGGTGATATCGAGAGCGTGGAACGACGAAAGCGGCGGGCGGGGGGCTGGCGTGCAGGGTAGGCACGAGTTCGTGACGGGGGCGAGGGCGGTGTTGGTGTTGATGAATGTGGTCGCGAAGTGGAGAGATCCGGGTGGTCAGGACGGCATGGCTCGGGGAACGCCAGGTCCACTGGGCAGAAGCGCATGATTTCAGACTAGAGCGTTTCGGGCATGACAGAAAAAGTGAGCCCGGCCGACAGTGCCAAAACGGGTTGCCCACGAGGGCACTATGCAGCAGTGCTGCCAGCACCGCCGTCTGCGTCGTCTTCGCGGCACAGCCAGCGATGTCTCGCGCTCTACTACCCAGCGTCGTGACGCCCCGTTGCGCCCCGTTGCCACGAGAGCGTCTCCCGGGCGCCGGCCGTACCCTCGGCGCTGTGTGGCCCTTTAGTCAGGGCCGGGCGATGTGCGTGCGGCGCTCGTCCAGGGCCCGGCGCCACCGAACGGTTGCACGGCGCGGGCTGACACCTCGCGTGTGTGGCATCACTGGTCTGAGGGATGCCGCCTGCAGGCGACAACGCCGTCCTGCCGCGCGAGGGCGAGCCACCCCTCGCTGCCAGCGGACATCACCGTTCTGTGCCTGTCATAGCCGCCAACACCCCGCCGGATTAACCTTGATTTTAGCGTCCCCTTGCTCGCTGCCAGCATTCGCGCGCCGCCAACCCGCTTCGATTATAATTGGGCTGGCCCTCTGTGCCTCTGCTGCGCCCGGCGATCAGCGCTTAAGCAGCGCGAGAATAGGGTGCTGACGATAAGCTCCTCTCCGCTCTGCAAGTGCCGGTCGCTCTGCACCACGCAGGCGCACTCGATGTAACCGCCGTACCTGCGCTGCGACACTTTAGCTGACTCCAACGCGTGAGTCTGAAACGCCGCCGTCACGTGCTGCTAGCGCTTGCTGTCACATAGGTTGGAACTCTCTCGCCGCCCCCTAGCTCGCAAATTTCTGAAGCCTATCCGTGCTGCTGACAGTGAGATCATTACCCTGCGCTGCGCTGCCACAGGCGCTATTCCCAGCCACGCTCGGTTTAATAAACAGCCTTCCCAACTCATGAGTTGGCCGGCGCCTCTCGCGGCCGCACTCGCCTCGGCTGGTGGAGTCGCCCCTCTCGTCACTTGAAGTGGTCCGTACTGATCTCCGTGGGACCATGCGCTACACGCGAAACTCGAGGCGGCACGCTTCCGATGGGTCCTTCGCCCGACAGCTGCCTCGTATCCGCCTGTGCCTCTCTGGGTCAGAAACTCTGAGCGTATACCTACATGAAATGTTGGACGCTTTTTGCACGCAGCGGACTTGAGAAAGTCGCTCAAGCACTCCCGCGAGCCCAGAGCTAAGACCTTTAGCCGGAACTCTGGGAAGAGGCCTAGGCGTTGCGATCGTCCTGTCAGTGCCCGAGACACAATAGTTCGCGCTCAAATTGGAGCGTCTGTGACTGCTGCTCATGCGATGCAGCGTCTGATGGGGGCCACTGCGGAAGGATGCCGCTGTTGTAATTGCGACTCAGAGGAAGCTGCTCTTGCCATTGACCGCCGATACCGCCGCGAATCAGCAACGAGGGATTGTTTTCGACGAGTAACCAGGTTCCGCGAGCCGCTGATAAAATGAAATGAACCTGGCCGTTGTTCGTCTTCAGCGCCATACTCGTCTTGCTCGGAACTTCCCTAACAGAGGTGCCGGAACACCGCGAGTGATCTTACCAAAACGTTCAGCTTGACTGTAGATCAATGAGCGCAGATAAGTCGGTAGCGAATGCCGGTTTTCCGATGATCTAGCGAAACGCTACTTGCCTATGTATCCTTCTGATGGATGCGTACTGTTCGACGAACGTCTTGTGTGCTACCCCAGACTTTCCAAGGCATTGCAAATTCTGCCGAGTGTTACACTGGAACCTGTCACTGGTTCTGTGTAATGTTTCGCTGCAAGTCGGTTGCACTGAATGCAAATCGGAGGCCTTCCCGACGTCAATAATGAAGCCCAATTGGACCGAACAGCTTCCGCAAGGTCGAGGAATGAAACACAGAACCAAAGTGCTAAAGTGTCGGGACCCTGCAGGAGCACATTTCTTGAGGAAAGCTGGAGGAGCGGGGAGTTGCGATTAATTTCTGGCGGCTCGCATCCAGCTGGTCGTGACGGTGATATCTGCAAGCAAGACCTCTTTCATCGAGTATTGACAGCTGTAGAAATTTCAACCAGCCCAGACTGAGTTGTAGAATACTTTCCCACCAAACACATCATACTCAACTCGTGGAAGTTGAGGACTTCAATTGGATTTTCTTGTGTACTTTTTGGAACTTACATCTACGACCAGCTCCGGAACATGTGCATCGCCAGCCCAACTGAATGAGTGCAGCATCTCTTGTAGACGTAGAGGAATGAATCTCTGGATTCCCTGCGCATGATCTTTGTGAAGTAGCAGCACTGTTCCACGTGAGCGGATATTCTCATGTCAGCATACCATGGGAAAGCATGGACGATGCGCCGGCTCGGACTATACGTTTACCCCCAAGGAATCCCTCTTCTCGAGCGAGTTTGAGATCGTTTTCAATAGCATAGCAATAGAAGGGCAGCCTAAACATCCACCGGACATTGATGCGACATATGTGAACAAATGCATTCGGACAAGAAGTTCAATTCCCCGGGCTTGTCGTAATACAAAGTGAACCGGTGTCGTTTCGGAACGCCTAGTCCATGAAAAAGCTGAGGAATACAGCGGCCAGACGTGAGCTAGCATAGGGAAATCGATCACCTTTGATTGCTTCGAGACAGAAAGTTTGAGGATACCTATCGCTGTCGATCGTTGCCGATCGATCTGATGGGTAGCTGTGTTAGATGGAAGATGCACTGCTCCTGCCAATCGTTGCTTTCGTGGTCAGCTAGAAAAATGTGGGTAGGCGGTACACCCGAAAAATAGTTGACCACGAGTCAGTCAAGATCAGCAGACACGCGTCGACAGCCACCAACGAGAGAAATTATTAGATGGTGGGCTGTGGAAGGACATGACCCTGTCTGAGCGCTGTACGCAGAATGATAGCCCTGAACGTTCTGGGGTGTTGAGGAAACCATGGAGGTGCAACTGCGGGATATCAAAATACAGAGGCACATGAGTGCCTCCAGTTCAGCTCCTCGGGAGCGGATGTTAAGTGGGTGTGATACCTTTTCATTTTGAGTCTCATTCGGGGGCAGCATTTTCTGCTGCATAGTATGAACGTTTTCAAGCTGTAGAGGCATCGTCTTTGCTTCTAATACTTCAAAAAGAACAAATCCATGAAAAGAAATGGCATCGAACAGTTTCGACGGGGGATTGGACTCTTCTGGAGTTGCGCGTGAAAATATTTTCTTGTCGGCAGCCGCGGATACCGAGGGGTCCGTAGATTTATGTGCGCAGTCTGCATGAAGTCAGATGCCTTGATGACGAGATCGGCATCAGCACACCGGAGTCGGAAGGAGGGCTGTTCTCGAAACGAGTGCGGGGGTGGGAGGCAAAAAGGCAACGAAAAAATTATGACAGTCAGGAATGCAGTAGGGCCGAAAATGGGAAGAAAAAAGGGCGGCTGAAGCGAGAGTCGAGTGAGCTGAGTGGTCACTGAATGGAAGAGGTGCATGCCAGGGCTACTACGCGAAGCCCTAAGCATAAAGAAAGCAGGGCAAGCCGGGGACAATAGTAAGCTGGTGATCGGAGATAAGATCCAGCACGATCGGGCAGCCGGCGGACGATTCGGACGCGGCAGCGGGTTGGTCCGCAAGATGCCGTCGCTTCACGTAAAAAGTTGGTGGTGGCGTGGAGGGTGGTGGGGTCGCGCAGGAAAAGGCGCGCCAGCTGCGCAGAACTGATTAGATCTTTTTTCCGATAACGGGACTGGCCTCGTATGATGGCGGGGAGCGGCGCGCCGCCAGTGGGCAGCCCGGCGGGTTGGGGCAAATGAGGCCCGCGGTCGAGGATGGCGGAATCATGGGCGAGGGATGCGCAAGCGAAGGCTGTGTCTGCGAGGATGGGCTCATTTCGCGCAGGCAGCAGCAGCGCGGTGACCTCAGCGACGGCGCACGGCGGGTGCCTGCATTTATGCTCGCTGACCAGAGGGCTTGCGTGTGCAGCAGTGGCACAGAGGCCGCGCTGTCGAGCCAGGTGTGCCGGCCAGGTGTCGCTCGAAGCGGTGTGGCTGATAGGCCCTTATCGTGCCTGGTCTAGGCTGCTTCGCGTTTAGTCCAATTTCAAGTGGCAGGGGGCCGTCATGAAAGAATATCAACAGGGACCGTTGAGCTTTCCACGTCGCCGTCTCTCAACCCTCTTCGCCCTCCCGCTTGCTCTCTTCCCTCTGCCCAGTTGCCCTTCGCTGCACGCCCCTCCGTCACAATGGCTCCCCAAAACATTGGCATCAAGGCCGTCGAGCTCTACTTCCCCGCCCAGTGCGTCGACCAGGCAGAGCTCGAGAAGTTCGATGGCGTCGGCCAGGGGAAGTACACTATCGGCCTGGGCCAGACTAAGATGAGCTTCTGCGACGACCGGGAAGGTATGCGCCACCCCGTGTGCAACGTCCTCCGTTCGCAGTGTTAACCGCGTAGTGTACCAGACATCTACTCGCTGGCCCTCACCACCGTTTCCTCGCTGCTCAAGAAGTACAATGTCGACCCCAAGAACATCGGTCGCTTGGAGGTCGGCACCGAGACGCTTCTCGACAAGTCCAAGTCGGTCAAGTCGGTGCTGATGCAGCTTTTCGCTGAGTCGGGCAACACCAACATTGAGGGCGTCGACACCGTTAACGCCTGCTACGGCGGCACCAACGCCGTCTTCAACTCCATCAACTGGGTCGAGTCCTCGGCCTGGGATGGCCGCGACGCCATCGTCGTTGCTGGCGACATTGCCCTCTACAAGAAGGGCAACGCCCGCCCGACCGGCGGCGCTGGCTGCGTTGCCATGCTCATTGGCCCTGACGCGCCCGTGGTCTTCGAGCCCGGTCTCCGCGGCACTTACATGACCCACGTCTACGACTTCTACAAGCCTGACCTGACCAGCGAGTACCCCTACGTCGACGGCCACTTCTCCATCCGCTGCTACACCGAGGCCGTTGATGCCTGCTACAAGGCCTACAACGCTCGCGAGGAGAAGCTCGCTGCCCAGGCGAACGGCCACTCGAACGGCACCAACGGCGCCGCCTCCGCCCAGGAAGTCCCGCTCGACCGCTTCGACTACATGTCCTTCCACGCCCCCACGTGCAAGCTCGTCAGCAAGTCGTACGCCCGCCTGCTGTACAACGACTACCTCAAGGACCCCAAGAACCCCATCTTCGCCGAGGTTCCTGAGGAGCTCCTGAACCTCGACTACACGACCTCCATCACTGACAAGACCGTCGAGAAGACTTTCATGGCTCTGGTAAGTTCCCCGCTCGTAGAATTGTGCACGTGTCAAGTCGGCTGATCCCTGCCAGACCAAGAAGCGCTTCGCGAGCCGTGTCCAGCCCAGCATCCAGGTTCCCACCATGTGCGGTAACATGTACAGCGGCAGTGTCTGGGGCGGTCTCGTCAGCTTGCTCAGCAATGTTTCCTCGGACGAACTCCAGGGCAAGCGCATCGGTATCTTCAGCTACGGCAGTGGTCTCGCTGCCTCGCTGCTTTCGGTCAAGATCAAGGGCAGCGTCAAGGAGATCGCTGAGAAGGTTGACCTGCAGAAGCGCCTGGATGCGCGTGAGGTCGTTCCCCCGCAGGTCTACGATGATGTGAGTTCCGGGGAAAAAATGCCGCACGACTGCAAGCGCTAACGATCCGACAGATGTGCCTTCTCCGTGAGGAAGCCCACCTGCAGAAGAACTTCAAGCCCAAGGGCTCCACCGACAGGATCGTCCCCGGCACCTACTACCTCGAGGAGGTCGACGACATGTTCCGCAGGAAGTACGCCATCAAGGCCTAAATTCCGCGTTCCCGCACAACACCGCAGGGTCCATGACACCGCTGTCGCACACGCTTTTCTGATGCATCACATTCGGCGAGTTTTGTGGGTGTAAATAGTTCAGCACATTACTGCTACACTTTCGTCCCGCGGGGTTTGGGGAAATGAGGGGTATGGAACACGAGCTGGGATGACGATACCTTCGGCGATTTTCGTTCGCCGACCTCCGCAGACAGGAGGCTTCTTTTTTTTGACATGCATGATCATGACGATATAATAGATCGTCGCATCTCGCTCGACCCGGTTTATTACTTATTCAACGGTCAAGGGCGGCGAGGCGCTTCGGTTGGAAAACTTCTAAAGAAATGTGATATTTAACGTAGAGTAACTATAACAGAACCTTCAACGGGTTGATTTTGACGATTTCACTAGACCAGAACAATAGATCAGCTTTTGTGCGATCGATTAAAAAAAAAGTGGGCTCATGCACAGTGCAGACCGCCCAAACACCATCTCTTTTTTCCGAGTGGTCTGTCAATGCAGGGCGTCGTGATTCAACACCAGTGGCGACTGACAATCAGGCGAGAATGCAGAGTCCCACAATAGTCTGCATCCTGCATCCTGCATCCTTTTTTCTCAACATTGGCTATCACTCTCATCACCATCATTAGATGTGCTACCCTGTTAAAATAGATACCTTGTCACTTGTACTACTATCCATCTTGCCCCTCCCGCTTAGCGTAAGGCAGTTCATCGCATAAGAGAACAGTTCGTCTAGGTAAGTAGAAGAGTATGCATGGGAGTGGAGAGAGGGACTACGATCGAAAATGCTCTTGTCGCAGGCGAGGCGTAAGGCTCGAGTTAACCAGATGGAGAAGATGGAGACAAAGTATTGGGTACACTAGCAGTGTCTACGTTGTAGCAGTCGCTGTCATCATTTCGGCTTACCGAGACTTTTAGTGTTTGACACTGGATGATGGACCCATTTTATCACCACAGTGCTAAGAAATGTTTAACGTGACCGCGTGATGATGTTGTGTGATGGGATGCAGCCGTGTTGATGTACATTGCGAGCGGTTTATGGTTGGACAAAGTTAGGAAGGACAAAAAGCGAACGAATAGAAAGCCAAGGCATTTGGCAGACGTGACTGCAATATCTGCGACAATCACACTACGAAACCCCCCTTTTAGGAAATTTCACCCTGTGATCCTGGTAGAAAAGGTGGAGAGTGGCATGGGATTCTCATCACCGTGTTCACTCGCACCCTGCACTACTATAGGTACGAGGACCAGAGGCTAAAGATCGTGTTGGCTAGTGGCGTAAGCATCAAAAATGCCAGCAAACTTCGTGATAGAACGGGATCACTGGCAGCGATCCTTGACTTGTCAGCAGCTACGATGTGGTATGAGAAAGATGCGGGATAAGATGAGGATCCAGAAGTGTTTCGATGTGTTTCTATTGTTAGACGGAAAGGTGTTCGACTTTCACTTAATACCCCTTGCCAAAGGAAGAGCTAGCCGCGACCGCAGTCACACCGCAAATGAAGACACCAGCGGCCCTTAAGTACATCAGGACGCGTGGCGGCGGGCCAATCAAAGCGGTTCCGGAAGTCAGCGGAGAGCTAGCGATCCCGGCAAGCGGGAGGAGAACCGGACGGAGATGGGTGTCACAGTGGCAAAGCATGCGGATGCAGGACAGCGGCTGCCTACGTTCATAATAGGCCGATTGGGAGATGGCGCGCACACGGACGGGCGGCTTGCTCTGCGCGCTACAGCAACATGCCGCATCGCTTGGGGCCGAAACGAGTGGGAGGAAAGTTTATCGATGCAAGCGGATGGGCGTGTCGCTGCAATCATCAAGCATGGATGCCCAAGGCCACACGAGCCGTCATGGCTACCCTTGGAGAGATAGCTAATGATCTCCAGGCACCGTCGCTCCGAAAGGCAATGCGCAGATCTAAAGGAGGAGGCTGAATGGACGACTGAGAATCCAGATTCCCGTAGCCGCTGATCCCGCGAGGCGGGGGGCTGCGAAGACCCCGGGAGCTAAACACAGGATGACGAAAGCCAAGAGCCGTAATAGGAAATTATCTCGTTCCATAGCAGAAGAGCTTCTAGTATACATTGAACTCGAGGGAAGGAAACCAGTAAGAGGATCATCGTTTCTAGTTCGTCGTCGCTGACCTGTGACTGCAGCTAATGGCGTTAATCGCCTAGCAAGAAAGCCGCTCTCATCGCACGCTCATCCGTAAGAATGAGCTCGCTTGGCCAGTGGTGACCCTCATGCTTTTGCACGTTTAGATTCCCCCAGCATCGTTATCCCAGCGAAAACCGACCGCCCGTCCCGAGAGAATGAACTGCCCAAGACGCGCCTCGCAAGCAAGCAGGAATACCAGTAGTTGTGATGCAAAACGCGGCTCACCCGATTATGAGAAACCGCACGACCCTGCCTCGCCCTGCCAACGCCACAGAGCAAAACAGCGAAAAGGACCGCGGAAAGAGGCTGACTCAAATAGGAGTAGACGAAACATCAGGAGACTGACGGTGCAGGAGCTTTACTCCGATGCCTCGTCCTCGTCATCGCCGCCCTGCACTGGTCAGCATCGCGTCAAGGAGCTCGGGGAGCGGGATACATACGGCATTGTAGGCAGCCTTCTCGTCCTCGTAACGCTTCTTGTCGTTGGCAGCCTTGGCCTCATAGGGAGCGCGCTGCTTGTCGGAAAGAGCCTTCCACTTCTCACCCAGGATCTTGCCGACCTCACCTGCACGGCTTGTGAGTAGGTGCATCGGGTGTAGGGGAGCACGTCAACGTACCGAACTTGATGCCGGGGTTCTCCTCGCGAACCTTATCGCGCATGTCGTTGGCGAAGAACATGTAGGCAGAGAGGCCACGCTTGGGCGCGTTGGGATCTGGACGGTGTCAGCTACTGGCGCGAGGCGCAGGTGCGGGCAGGCGTACCCTTCTTCTTCTTGCCGTCAGCCTTGGCGGCCTTGGTCTTGCGGGAGGTGGTCTTCTCCTTGGGCATTGTCGCGGTGGTTGTCAAGCTGCGAGGCGGCGTGGTCAGCGCGATGTGCAGAGGTGAGCTGTTGATGGACGAGGCGGATGGGGCGCGCTTGAAATAGTCGCGCGGGAGCGTGGGTGCAGATTTCGGCGTGCAAACGCGTCAGGTGACGGGTGCAAGGGTGTGCGACCGACTGCAGAGCTGCAGCGACGGTGCAGGAAGGTGGTGGTGGTGAATGGAGCTGTTGTTGTGGGTGCAGAGGGTTGCTGGCGTGCGCGTGCATGGCGGGCGCATTGCGGGCGCGGTCGCAGAAACAGCGCAGAACAACAAGTTGGAAGCAGACGCGTCGCAAGAGGAGCTGGATGCACTTACAAGACGAATTGGAGCGGTGAGGGTGAGGGTGTGGAGATGGAGGGCGCCTGCGCAGCTCGTTAGTATGGGGTGCTGGGAGGCAGCGGTGATGGCGAGATGACGGCGAGAGCACTCGAAGCAGTCACGAATGAAGGTCAAAAATGGGCAGAACGAGAGCAGTGTCGCGCAGAAGTGCGAGAAAAACGCGTAAAAAAGCGTGCGTTGTGGTTGCGGTGGGCGGGCGGGTGCGAGGCTGCACTGCGCAAGCGATACTTACTCGTGGGGGGACGTGTCTCGACGGATTGTATGGGCGCTGTAGAGAGAGGGTGAGAGCTGCTGCGCAGTATGGGAGGAGGGAGGGCGGGACTCGCGGCCAGTTTTTAGTGAGCCTGGCGTAATCACAGCCTAGGCCGCGGTCACGTGCTCCACCACAACACAGCGCGGGCGCCGGACACGCCTGAGCCTGAGAGAGGGGCTCCTCTCAGTCGAATCGGCACGAAGCAGCCCGCTTTCCTGCCCAGTGCCGGGCCCAGATGCCCGTGATGCGCTGCCCGCCCGCCTCCCTGCGTGCGTCTTTTGTCCCACGGCTTGCAGCGCGGCCAACGGGCACCGCGTTGCGCCCGCGCGCAGCACGCCGCTTCTGGCCTGCCGCCCGCACACCCTCTCTCAGCACTGCCCACCTGCCGCTCGCCAAGCTGCTGCTCGACGATGCCCTCAGTAGTGGCATGATGCAGCCCTCCCGCCCAAGCCACGCCAATATGCCGTCCCGTCCAGCCCTCGTCCGGATCTTCGGCTGCGGAGAAGGAGCCTCCAGCTGACACGCTCAACGCTGGCTGCCCATTACGCGTGCAGCAGCCGCGCCCGCGTCCGCGCTGTCCGCCCGACTCGTAGCTGAAACACTGCGCTGACACGCTCGCAGAACCGACCCCATCCCCGGCCGCCGTGCTTCTCGGGCAGCACTGCAGCCCCGGTCACGTGCCCTGCATCTCGCTGCGCGCGCGGAATGTATAAGTAAGCGGCCTGCCCGCCCGCTGCCGATCGGTGCGCCTCTTTCCCCCCAGCTCCAAGCGGGCTGCTTCCCATTCGCGCTCGCCCTTTGTTTTTGTTCCGCGGAATTGAATGCCCCGTCCCCGGCAACAGCCGCCAGCCATCCAACGCGTCCCGGCACGCTTGGTACGTTGCTTGTTTTCGACTGTTTCATTAACAATGATGATGGATTTTCATTGCATGGCTTATCCGAGCATCTCTGTGCGGAAGCCTTATCAAATCTCTCTGATGTCGAAGCCAGCCGGCCGTTGTGTTTTCCTGTTTCATTCCAACTGGTTATCTGCGGCACCGGGCCCTGACCTTGCACAGGTAGTGTAGTGCTCCAGGACGCGTCGCTTAGGACGGCACGCCTGGTCAGCTTGAGTCGTGCGACTTGCAAATGTTTTCTTTCTGCCTGATCATATCAGATCGAACCATCGGGTGCCGCGTCGGACTGCCAGACGATACTCAAGACCCCGTCTGCACCATCTACAACACGCGATATTGTGGGTCAATGTTGCAGCATGCTCGACCGGATAGAAGATGGCGCCAATGAGAACTGTCTTTCACCTCGAGAGTCTTCAGCTGTGCTGCTGCCAACCTTTTTGCGTTTCTTACAGGGCTGTGACTCTTGGTATGGTACGCTAGGCCGGAAAACAATTCATCAATTTTCGCAACTCTGTCTCGCCAGAGCACTCTACTCACTCCATCCGAATACGTGCTTCGACTGCCCGCCAAGGAACGATGTAGCGCCCTTTACAGGGCGGAGAAGGATTACTTCTTCAACAACCCCATTGTGATAGCAATTCCTAGCTCTTACAACAGGCCCATCTCCAATGAGCTCACTGATTGGGTCCTACAACATGGCATATTGGCTGGTCCATTCTGCCATCCACGCACGACCCACATCCACTTCCCTTTCCTTGTCAAACGCCTTGCCCGCGCTTGGCTGGCAGGTCCTACGCATGCGTAGATGACACGGTGTGCACGACTTTCAAGATGACTTCATAGTGGTTTAATGACATCATCCTAGCCACGTAGTGGAGCGAAGTGGGTCACGTCTTCCCGTCCTTGCTTTGCACACACCAGGTCTATCATAATCTCTCCGCAAAATGCCCAGATCTGCTGCGGCTGCGGCTGCCCATCTGCGAAATTCTCCGGGATCTTATCCCCGCTTGCAGGACTGCAATGATCAGCTCAAGAATCTCATTACCCACGAGCTCTGGGAGAGGAGTCTGTATCTTTCCCAACAATATTATACGTTGCCCCACTGGTCGGACGGCGTTGCGGCTATAAAAATAGAGATCCGATTGGTCCCGGAAGAAGCTTATTTCGACCGCAATGTGTATATTACATACCTGCCACCGAACCACGTGCAGTGCTACTGTACCTCAGCAATATCTATTCGGATTCAACATGAGTTTGCTGTTTACTTGAATGCCCAGGCATTGCGTCTATGATAATCAATTCCTAAGTACGTCCTTTTCTACCTCCAGGTCGGAACTCCGTCTTATTGTACTACAGTCCCGTGTCGTAACCATTGTACGCAAGCCCTTCCGGTGGTTCGGCGCGGCTTCAACTGCCCCAATTAATGTTTTTAGACCCTATAGCCTAGGAATAAGACGAAATACATCTGTTGGGCTGTAAGAACCTCCGCTTTGAAGGGCTGATTTTGTACAGAACCAAGCTCGGGCTCAGACAGCGTTCACCGTTTAGGACGGGACGGCCAAACCATTCCATGGATTGGGTCAGCTTTTTGGCGAGCGCAAGACGCCGAACTTAAGCAACAGAAATATGATTCCAAGTGACCTTCAAACACTTCATCATCTAGCTTTATCTATCTATCCGATCATCTTGTACAATGTATTCGCTTGGTAGCAGAGTCGCTTAAGCTGATAATGAACCCAAATTCAAGGTAATATGCTCCCTCTTACTAATCACAGCCCCAATGGCTGCCAGAGAGCGAAGAGAGAATGGATCCAAGAAAGGAAGGCACGTTTCAACTGGTACAGCGAAGGAGAACTCTGCGCCTTCCAAAAGCAGCTGCATGACCGGAAGAAAAGTAATTGCACGTGCCGCACACCACCGGTCTTCCTATAAATAATATCTAGCATTTGCTGTACGCGCCTCTCCTCCTCTTCTTTCCTTGGCTTCCGAACATCCATCAATCCTGCTCCTTTACGCACCACCACGAAGTTCCGAAGCCGCCGCGACCCCACCACCATCGCCATCGCCATCACCATCACCATCACCACCATGTCTGAGCCCGTGCCCCCCGCAGTCGCTGCCGCCGCCACCAAGTCCGCCGACGCCCGCGCCCCGCTCAAGCCGTGCAACAATAAGAAGTTCCACGGCCATTGCTGGACCAAGGGCAAGAATCCCGATAGGCCGGAGGCCAAGGCCAAAGTGGTCCAGTGGGTCAAGAAAGAGTACACGCGCGACGACCGCGGATATCGCCTCACCCTCTGGACGGACGCAGCAGTCCATCAGACCAACGAGAACAGCACGCAGGAGGGCGGCGGCCCCGAGGGCGAGAACTGTTCCTCGGCCGTGGTGTACCGCAACCAGCTCAACGACGACGAGTGGGAATGGGTTGAGGAAACGCTCCTCCACGAGGGCATCGTCACCATTCGCTTCGGTGAGCTGAGCGCCGTCCTCCTTGCGCTGCGCAAGGCTCTGCAGATCGTGAGCTCTCCTGCAGGTGCCCACATCACCAGCGTCGCCATCTACAGCGACAACCTCCGCGTCGTCGAGTGGATCCGCGATTACAGGAAGGGAGCCACGTACTGGGAGGGGTGGTCCGGCCAGTTCCGTGCCGAAATGGCTGAGGCCGTCAACCTCACCAACAACATTCGCCGTATTGGCGTCCAGGTGGAGATTGCGTGGATTCCCGGACATGAAGATCTCGAGGGAAACATGCTGGCAGACTACATCGCGAGGCGCACGGCGGGAACGCTTCCGGGATGGCCTGAGAGCGACGAAGGCTGGGCAAAGCTTCTCAGCGGCGGTCCCGAGGCCTACGAGAAGCGCAAGAAGCTGGTAGCTGACCGCGAACGCGCCGAGCAAGTCTTTGCCGAGCGGGACGAGGCCCGCAAAAACAGGTCTTCCTGTAGGTGCCATCAGACAACCTTTCCCTATTTAGAAGAGAACAAGATAACTACTCACAGAACTACTGACCTACCTGACCTCTCCTCCACACCCTCGCCATCACCTTCACCAATACCTTCACATTCGGCACCACAGCTTTTCCATCACGACGACCTTCTCCCTCTCCAACACCTCTCCCCCACTTCTACAACACTTCTCCAACACATTTCCGCTGCGATATGCGCGGGCGTGGGCAGCTTCGGCTGCTCACGCGCCTGGCGAACAGCTCACACGTCCACGTCGTGCCAGGCGGGAACTTCCCAACGGTCTATTCTGCTGGGATGCTAAGATGAGCGAAGCTACCCTATAACTCTACATGCGGTAAGTCGTCAGTGCTGTAAGAAACCTTGGATTGATACTATGCTAATCATTCTGTGTATGACTGCCGTGGGTCGCTCATCGGCGTAGGGGCAAACCGCCACGGACTTCATCCGAGAGCCACAAACCTCCACTGCCTGTTTGGAGTACTGTCCAGTCATTCTCGTGTTCCTCCGCTGAACTTGGACGATATACCACTTCATCGCAACCAATTACCAGAACTGATGGTTCTCCCACAAAGCTAATCCACAGCAATTTATGAAGAGTTTCACACCAAGGAGATATCATGGGCATGGTAGTTTGTCGCTGATAGAGTTGGCTGATGTGACAACTTAGCATTAGGTATAGTATATCACTGTCGTTCTCAAACGTTTGCAGAAATTTAAGGAAACGCTTCCGTTCGAGTCATTTTCTTTATTGGAGCTCCAATCAATTTGAATTGTTGTCCGCCTTTGCCATAATATTCATAAAATCGCCACCAATCAGACACTCGAGACGAAAGGAGTCTTCCAGTATCCCGGAAAGTAATGAGGCAGCTTCGTTGCAATCCACCTCACGATGGCGGCGTTTGTCTCCTGCGGCTTTTCCAATGCGACCCAATGGCCGGCCTCGATGCTAACCTCGGTCAGGTTCTTGCAGTACTCCCTCATCGGCTCGCCCAGCCGCGACAAGGCGGTGTCACAAATAGTGTCCCACTTGGCCTCGATGAACAGGACGGGGAAGTGCAGATATCCCTCGTTCGGAACCTCCGTCGAGTAGACCTGGTTCACGTCGTGGTTGAGGTAGTACGCATTGGGGCCCTCGAAGCCGTTCCGCTCGAACTCAGCGACGAGCCTCTCATACATGCCCTTGTCGTGGGCGAGCAGCGACGTCTCAAACGGCGTCTCGGGCGCGCGGTCCAAGCCGCCGAACCAGCCGCCCGTCTTGCGCAACAAGGCCGTGAAGGCCGGCTTGCCGTAGTCGGCCGGGTTGCCCGGCGAGTAGAGCAGCTTGACCGTGTTGGCGACGTCGTTTTCGAGCAGGCGGGCGCTGCTTTCGGGCTCCTCGACGTGGAAGGCCTGGTAGTCCCACTGGGCGAGCGGGAACTGATCGGCCGGGTAGATGTCGCGGTTGGACAGGGCCACGAGCGACTCGATGCCCTTCTCGACGGCGCGGTACGGCACGGCCAGGCACGACACGGCCACGCACAGCTCCGGGTGGTGCGCCGCGAAGCCCCACACCAAGCCCGCGCCCCAGTCGTGCCCGATCCATACAGCCTTATTCCTTTGCAAGTGGGTCAGCAGCGCCCGCATGTCGCCGACGTGCTCCGCCAGCGCGTACGCCCGCCTGTTGTTCGCATTGGGCACGCTGGACCGCCCGTAGCCCCGGCAGTCCGGCGCGACGGTGCGGAAGCCGAGCGCCGCCAGCGCCAGCAGTTGCGGCTTCCACGTCTCGCCGTTGGCCGGCCAGCCGTGGATGAAGATGATGAGTGGGCCGTCGGTGGGCCCGGCCGACCAGTAGAAGGTTTGCTTGTCCCCACTATGGGTAAATGTGTTCTCCGTGAGAGTCGGTTGAGCCATGGTGCAGATGGGGGGAAGGCTTGCTTCTCCAAAAGATATCAGGACCTGAGATGAGCTTGGTGATAGGATGGTCTGGTGTTGAGCGGGCTGTGTGTTCCGAGTCTTCCGGCAACACGCGGGACGAGCAGTGGTTTTAAGAGTTCGGTAGGACGCGGCAATTGGGGACTGAGCCTTTTATATCCCTGGGCGACGGACAGCAGGCCCTTGTTGTTGTTAGTTAGAATACGATGTCTTGCCCGATTAGTAATAGCCCGGGGATGACACTCCCCGCGGAATACGCAAGTGGGTCGAATTACCGATTGCCGATATGCGATAGACTCGGAACGCGCGGGGTGCCCCGCATTAGATGTCTTGCAATTGCTATTGCCACACCTCAAATCAGAATGCAAACTCAGTGCAGCCATTACCCTGTGAAAAGTATCATCTTATTTCACTCATACGTTTGGTAACTTCAACTAGGAGACATGGTTAACTGGGGCCATCCGCCAAGCATTGCCAACAAACCGCCCTGCTAATCAACTTTAGCGTGGGACGAATATGGTGAATGATGAATTCCTACGGTGTGAGAGCGGAGAATAAACTATCCTGCTTAGGCATTCATCGACAACGGCGTGGCAAGCAAACCTGGCTTCCAGATACGGCATGTGCTTCAATCTTAACAAGGCCTTAAGGAGCATTGTCTTGGATGTATAGCTGACTGGCACAATCTTGCTAGCAAATGCATCAAGCAATGACTGAGTGCAGCCTCGAATAGAATAAACGTGACCTCTACTTCAAGCCAAGTTCTGTGGAATAGCTGGGCCTGGGAAAATTTGCTGGTTTAACGCCAACGATACCTTCCTCTAGCACAAGCGCCTTGCATATCGCTACTCAAACGGTTGTCAAAGGATAAGACAACTCAAGTGTAAGAGGAGTATCGATTAAAACTTCTTCAAATCAGTATCGTCCAGACCAGCTCTGGTATATGCGCCGATAACGCTCCACCATGCATCACCCACTGTCTTTTTTGAACCTTCGCCAATAAGCCTGCCGTCAAAAGCAACCTTGCATCTCCACCATCTATGCCTCTGCCTCGCCCTCGCCCTCCAGCTTCTCCCTGAAGCCCTGCCTATCCGCCAACTCCCTCTCATCCGGGTCGCGCACCTCAATCTCCAACACATCCACCCTGTTCTCCTGCTCCTCATCCTGCTGGTGGACGCCTGCAACACCCCTCTGCGCTTTCCTCTTCGGGCGGATGAACGTGCGCTGCACAATTGGATAGTAATACGCGGCCTTCTCCAGCCTGCTCTCGTCCGTCTCGGGGTCATGCAGTGCCACTGCAACCGTATCATCGTAGGGATCATGGGGGTTGCCCGCCTGCTGGTAAGTCTCGTAGCAGCGGACGCGGTCGAAGCGGAAGCAGCGGCGGCCCGTGGCCTCTGTCTTCTCGGCGTCGTACAGCGCGTCGTCATCGCGCTCCGGGTCCGTCGTGCTGAACTTGCGCTTCAGACCGCGCACAGCCTCATGCGATGCCGGCAGGAAGAACTCGTAGTCGTAGTCTGGCTGCGGCGGCGGGCCCTTCGCCCGGTCGCCCTCTGCCTCGTGCTCCGCCACCTTCACCCGGTACGCCTCCTCCTGCTCTGCCGTCGGCTCTAGCACCCGCAGCAAGCCCGCATCGACACGCTCGTCGTACGTTGGGCCCTGGTTCGCGATGGGGTTCGTCTGGAACTTGGCCACGATGTAGCCACCCGTCTCCGTCACGGCGTCGAGGTCCGGTAGGATTGGGTACGAGTCGACGAGCTTGAGGCTTGGGTTGAGCGGGTGTTTCGGCGCATCCCACGCGCGACGCTCCTCCGGCGTAATCTCCTCACCCCGCAGGTTCTGCACCGTGTCCGGTCCCTTGTATGCGTCCTGCGGGTACGCGATGTCAAAGCCTTTCAGGATCGACCGGAGGATGTTGATCGGCTCGTTCTTCTCTGCATCGGTCTGCTTCTTCCGCTTCGGCGCCAAGCGCTTGCCCGGGTCCCGCAGTCCGCTATGTCCACCGCCGCCCGCCGCCGTCATGTACTCGGTTCGCCGCAGGAAGCTGACACCGCCGGCCAGAGATGAAGGCTTGCCCAGGGTTGAGAGCGGTCTGAGGAGGGCCCTGTCATGAGGGTGGAGTGCTACGGGCTCGTCGGACGCCAGAAGAACTGCGCCGCTAGTTAGCAAAGTGTTTTCGAGTATGGGTAGGTGAGCGCTGGACGGATGCGGCTAACCAGAGTCATCGCCCTCAAAGACGCCGGGCAGACCGACAAGGTCTATGGGCATTCCGAGCTCCGCATCAGCTTCGACATTAAGTGGTTGTTCCCTGGCCAGGCGCGACGCGAATCCGGCGGAGGTGTACTGGCCACTAGCTAGGCCAGTATTGGGGATCTCAAGGAGCTTCGGTGGATTGGGTGGAGGAGGGAGCGCATTCGAGTATCGTATCCTCGCAATGTAGTCCTGGTGGTAGACGCGCCCGCCGCTCGACATGGTGCACGATGTGAGGGTTGGATTTGCGGGGTTGAAGGGGAATGGAGGTGCTACTTGGAAAGAAGTCGGCGAGGTGAAGCGCGTCGTTGCGCTGCGACGGGAGTCCGTGCGCGCTGCTTCCGCGGGCGGTGAGTAAGTAACGCATCATTTTTGTGGCACCATGGCAGCAACAATAAAAACGATGCATTGTTCATTCGCGGTCAATTCTAATAATGAATCCCTGTGATATTAACTTCTCCGTTTTTCAATTCCCTTGCCAGCGCCCGTTTCCATGACTTCATCTACCATAAGAACATGCACTTCTGCATCAACAGACGGCTGCCGAGCATGTCATACTCCTTCTGCGAGATCCAACTGTCGTTTCCGCTGCTGCTCAGCTTACCGAACACGCTGCCACCCTTCCAGACCAACACCTGAGGGTCCAGATCTCTCGGCGGTGCGCCGATAAGAATATCCTTCCCAAGGCCGGGCAGCAGTGATCGGAGTCGGTCCTCAAGGAAGGGCATGAAGCCAGCAACCTTGCTGCCGCCACCAATGACCATAATTCCACCGTAGAAGTCACGGGCCTTGCGATCGTCTCCGCGTGCTCCATGCTGGATTGACGTCATGATCGCCGTGTCAAGTCCTGTGACGGGAAGAATCTTGTCGCGTTCTTCGGCCTGCTTGATCTTCTCCAGCGTTGGATCAAAGAAGATGCTGCTAGTCGCGCCAAAGCTGCCTCCCTCACCCGGAGCTGCGCCAGGAGCAGGCGTGTCCTGAGGAGCCTGTGGGGTGTTGATTCCGTCGGGTCCTGGGGAGCCAGCCACCGATGAGCGTGGTGTTCCTTCTTGCTCGTTCAGCCGCCCTGCCAAACCAATAGGATTGGACTTGCTTGGAGTTTGTGTAATCATTGTCGGCAAAGGCTTGGGTTCTGGGACAGCATTGGTGGCCACAGCAACTTGTGGTGCTGTGACACTGTTGTCTGTGATGCTGTTTTGTGCTGCAGATTGCGGATCGTTTGGCGATCCATCGTAAAGGTCGTATGAGCGATCGATAAGTTTCCGGCGGGCCTTGAGCTTGTCCGAGTGATCAAAAATCGTCGGGTGGAAGTATCCCTATCAAGTCAGCATTCGGTATTCGCTTAGGCCAGTGACGGTAAGCATACCATAGGTGATAGCATTGTCTCATCGTAGCACTTGAAGAAGTACTTCCTCGTATCCTCTCCGAAAGCTCGCAAATGAAAGTCGTAGAGCTGTACCGAGATATCCGCTTCGTTCATGGTGCAGAATTTCTGCTTCAATTCCTCGGCAAGCAGCCAGTCGTATCGCCGCTTCAAGTTGATGTCCGAATACGGGAAGTAGTCATGCAGCATCATACGCATGAAGGTCTCGGTCACGTCCGTACCGCCATACTTGACGTTGACGCGAGAGTCCTCAATGCACATACCTTCTTCCACACAGCAGATTGACGTCTTCTGCGCCCCAACATCGACAATGCAGGAGCTCGAGTAGCCAGCGCCAAACGTTGCGGAAAGACTCTCTTGCTGAAAGCACACTCGTCCAAAGCCAAGGCCTCGCAGAAGGATGTCAAGCATCTGAGTGACATAATTGCGTTCAAAGAGATCCGGAATGATACAGACACATCCGTACTGGGGCCAGTCTTTCTTGTGTTTCAGCCCAAGCTCAGAGATAATCGCGTGCTCGATGATCAATGAGATGTCCGAGTAGAGTGTATTCTTCGTCTTGTAGTCCTGTTCATTGAACCAACCATGACGAATGGGCCAGAAGAGCTTGTAACGAGGCTCCGAGTTTTCCGGGATGCGTAGAGCAGCTCGACCCAGGATGTAGTCGGGTGCGTCAGAGCCTATTTCCGTCCACTCAACCCGATGTGGATCGTTGTGTTCACTGATGACCTCCGGTGGAGTCCTCCTGTTGTAGTTGACAACAAGCTCCTTGGAGTTTGGTAGCACCCTTCTCTTATTGGCTCGCATGCGTTGCTTGAGGTCGTTAGACATTGAGTTGTATTGCGAAGAAAACTCTTCGCCGAACCACTTGTCTGGATCCTCTGGAATCTCGTCATCGACTTTGAGGCGTTTTGGTAGGGGTTCTCCACCATCTTCTTCCGCCTCATTCTCGGGCCACTTTCGGGCCAGGACCATGGGAACCGTTTTCGGCAAAGCATCGCTTGCAAGGCCTATCCTCAGGTTCTGGCTTCCGGGATGGATCACGACAATTTTTGACCCAAATGCTTCTTGGCTCGCTGATGTGGCCCCGTTCTCTTCTTCTTCTGCGTTGACGTCTACGCCTTGTGCTAAAGCCCTGTCTTTGTCGCGTGCTTGTTGGACCATACGACTGGTGGCCTCCTCTTGCTGGGTCCGGTAGGCGAGGAATTGGTCATCCCGCTTCAAGTATTCACTGTGATACTAAGTTAGTAAGACTAACCTGGTGAGAGGCGAAGATTAAGTCTGAAGGGCAGGCAGTTGGTGAATTGAATGATTTGGCAGCAGAGCAACGGATTCCCCTTCTCTTATGCAGTTGTTGTCTATGTTAACATTTGGGTTATTTCAATCGAAAGGACGAATGTATAGGTCGGTTTCGGAGGAAACATAGAGTTGAAAACATTCGTGGGCGTGAACATCCGGGTATCTCATGGTATTGCTCTTGGAGACGTAGCAGTGTACTCTGTCGGATGGGTTGCCTGAAAGATTGGGGCGTATTCGGTTCGTGGCATTGATTGCTGTTGCAAGCCCGTGGTCCGGTCGGATTGAGCAGTGGCGGAGACATCGCTAGGAAGAAAAACTGCTGCTGGCCGCAGAGGTGACGTGGGCAAAGCTGGCCACAGCCACTACAAAGGTATTCCTTCGTATGTGATGACAGTAGATGCAAGAGCGTCTCGGCTGGGGCGGCTTGCATTAGGCTGCCCGGCCCTATCCCTTGCAAGATTCCCTCAGCTTGTTTGCTCCTCGCCCTGGAAAGGGCGCAATCATGCTTATTCTTTGATAACACCCCTTCCGAAATAGTATGCCAAAGCGCGGTGTTCTCCAATATGTTTTGGCTTGTTCGTTCCTGAGGTCCCAGATCCAGACATGGCTCTTTGGTGCGGAGAGATAGGGCCAAAAGTGTGTAATGCGGAGGAGGTCTAAGAAAGGTGTGCGGCCACCGGATACTGCTAGATTCTGGTGCGAGGAGTCTCAAAGCCTTCACCGATGGACCTGTTGAGCTTACGCCGCGGTCGCGCCTGCTTTGCGAATCCGTAGACGGGTGTCCTCTCGGTCCGGTTCCATGGTGCCCAAGTTCGCTCCCGGATTTCACGCCAAAACCAGCAAGATTGTACGAGAAAACAACGCTATTATGTGTAGGAGGGCGGGGAACAGTTGAAAGGAAACGGGGGAATACGGACGTGTAGTAGTTTTTCTGATTGATCATGCTGACCTGGGGCCAGGTGGTGAGGTCCAGATTGTTATCCGTCCTCTCCAGGCCTGAAGGCCACATGGCAGAAGTCAGCATACAGAAGCAATGGTGCTCGCGGCGAGCGGAGCGGCGGAGGGCAGCTCGGGCGTTGACAGGCGTACCTTCGTCCCTCATGAGGGAGCGGCCGGATTTCTTGCCGACCATGGTGGGCAGGTGGGTTCGCGACCGTGACAGCTCTGGTAGGGAGATATTCGCGCGCGGATGCGGTGGTGTTGAGGCGTCGGCGGGCTGGGGATGAGATGCAAGCTCGAGGTAGCTAGGCCTAGAAGCGAGTGATGGCCCGTGCCTGGCAGTGCGGCGGTCTTCAGGCCATGGACCCAGCAGCGCGGAGTCAAGACGGAACAACTCCGCAACCAACTCTCTCCATTCGCATCACGGCTCGTGCCCACGGCCGTCACGCCTTCCCCCAAGTCGAAATGGGCGGCGCTCGGCTCTCCTCACCCTTGCGCCGCAAATACCTTGGAAAGCAATTCCGGCAGTGGGCCGCCGACAGGGCTTGATTGGGGCCTATGAGAAATGAAAAACCCACGACCCGTTTCAACGCCTCACGGCCCCTAATAACACTCTTTTTTAACCTGAATCCTTCTCCATAAACTTTCGCTTTTCTTCGCATCCCGTCCACGGCAAACCTCCGCCCGCCTCCTTCCGCAAACCACCACCACCATGGCGTCCACTAGCTCCGGGTTATCGCAGCTGGTCGTCGATGCCAAGCCATTCCCCTTCAGTTTTCCTTTTCGCCACACGGCCCTGCTCGTCATTGACATGCAGCGCGACTTTCTCGTTGAAGGCGGCTTTTCTCACAGCGTGGGCGCAAACTTATCCGCAGTCCAGGATTGCGTCCGCCCTGTCATGCGGTTGCTGGATTCCTGCCGCGAAGCCCGCCTGCCCATCTTCCACACGCGAGTGGGCTTCGAGCCGGACCTGTCTGACTGCCCGTCGATTACTCTGGCCCGCCAAGCACCCGCTCATGGCAACGCTGGGCTCACGGTGGGGGAAAGGGGCGCGATGGGCAGGTATCTCGTGCGCGGCGAATACGGCCATGACATCATTGACGAGCTTCGTCCTCTTCCCGGCGAGGTCGTAATAGATAAGCCTGGCAAAGGCGCCTTCTGGAACACCGAGCTGCTTCACAAGCTCAAGGCACGCGCTATCACTCACGTCCTTGTAGCGGGCGTAAGTACCGAATGCTGCTTGTCCTCTACTATCCGTGAGGCTAGTGATAGAGGCCTCGAGTGCTGTGAGAGTTCATCTCCATGTTGGATGGACGGTCATCATGCTGACGAAGTACAGGTGTCATTTCAGAATGTACTGCTGGATTCAATGAGGACAAGTTCCGACGGGGAAGCTTGGACGTGATCCATGTTGATGGAGGTCTGTTTGGCTTTGTTTCCAAGCTTGAACGTGTCGTAAAGGCCTTGGCCCCTCTGGCGGAAGCGCGAATTTCACAGGATGAGCGGTATCGGCAGAACGGAGATATGCGTATTCGCCGGTTACAGGCTGCCTACAGGTCTGGCGTGTCTCCTGAAACAATCATGGACTCTCTTTACCGTAAGATTGAGGTCTACAAGGGAAACGACCCTGCCGTATGGATTCACCTGGAGAGCCGAGAGGCTGTTCTTGAAGCGGCGAGAGCAGTGCAAGAGAAATGGCCAAATCCCCGGGAAAGACCGCCTCTTTTCGGCGTTCCTTTCAGTGTCAAAGACTCGATCGACATTGCAGGCTACCAGACCACCACTGCATGCCCGCCGCTCACACATATGGCGTCAGAATCTGCACCAGTGTACGAGAAGATCATAGCCAATGGTGGTATCTTCATAGGGAAGACGAACATGGACCAACTAGGCACGGGCATGACCGGTTGCCGCAGTCCGGAAGGAACCCCGCATTCTACAATGCATAGAGACTACATTGCCGGAGGATCCAGCAGCGGCAGCGCTGTCAGCGTAGGCGCAGGGCTTGTATCGTTCTCCATTGGGACAGACACGGCAGGATCCGGACGCATCCCGGCAGCGTTCAACGATGTGGTTGGGTTCAAGCCTACCCGAGGTCTTGTGTCCATGCGCGGCATCACTCCTGCATGCGCCTCTCTGGATTGCATAGCGGTCCTAGCTCGCAACATAGGCGAAGCTCGCATGGTGTGGCAGGTGATCGAAGGGTATGATGGCGCGGACCGGTATTCCAAGCCGCCCAATGCGCTTGAACGGCACATCAATGCAGTCGGTCCCCAGCGACAGACATTCCGCTTTGGAATCCCACCACCTGAAGCCCTGGACGCGTGCCACCCGCTGTACCGCAAAATCTTCAACCACGTCATCAGGAAACTTGTCAGCATCGGCGGAGTTTTGAAACCGATAGACTGGACGCCGTTTGAAAAGGCTGGGAAGCTGCTGTATGACGGAACGTTGGTCATGGAACGGCTTGCAAACCATCCAGATGATTGGCTGGAGAAGAACAGAAACTATCTCCACCCGGTTGTAGTGGAGGTTTTCGACGGGGCTGTGGCGCGGCAAAGCACGGCCGTCCAAGCTTATCGAGACCTCCAGGCCAAAGCTCTGTATACGCGCCAGGCAGAGGAGACACTTAGTGCCGGGGCCAACGGCGTCGACGTCATCGTCACCCCGACCGCTCCAGCGCATTGGACGATCGAGGAGGTGCAAGCAGACCCTGTTAAGAAGAACAGTGCGCTCGGCGAGTACACGCACGCCGCGAACGTGCTCGATCTCTGTGCTGTATCTGTACCGGCGGGCCTATATCCTCTTGACGAATTGCTTGGGACCGAGGGCAACGAAGGTCGGCTACCCTTCGGGGTGCAATTCATGGGCGGCAGCCGCATGGATGCCGAGCTACTAGAGGTCGCGCGGCGGTTCGAGCAGTCATTGGACCCGTCGGCGGCGGAGAACGAAAGGCACGACAAATACAGCACCGTTGGTGGCAGCAATATGAGCAGGAAGCGCAGTCGCGACGAGACGCCGACGCTGGTAGAAGAGATGAATACGGAATAGGAGACGGCTTGCCGCGTAGGGAAAGTGATAAGCGACGGGTTGGATAGAGGTCTGTACGTAACTGCATAGCGCGAACTGGGTGGGAAGGTGAGCGCGAATGCTTATTTTGTTCGGCTTTATTCAGGGCGGGAGGCGCAGGGCAGGCTAGATTTGATTGCTCGGTGGACAAACGCATCCGGGAAGCGCAGCGGCGGGCCTTGTAGTCTGGGCTTTCGGTGGACTCGCCGTGCGCCCCATGTCCGCTAGGGCTCGAGCTCGGACCGCGGCCTCTCCGACTTGCAGCAACATAAGGCAAAAGCCAGCAAAGCAACCATTCGCCCAGAGTCCACCACCATCCTCATTTAACAAGCTTGCCTCCTAAAGCGCGCTCCCGAAACGACCGCTTCCCGCACCACCCAACACGTCTCGAGACCCTGCCGCAGCGCCCTCGCAAAATCCCCTGCCGTCGACGTCTCCCGCTTAGCAATCGCCCGCCCTCCCCGGCCGCTGCGACCCTGACGCCATAGCTACATCCCTCCCTCGAAACTTTTTCCCTTTCACAGCTCGCATTCCACAACATCATGGGTGGCTGGGTATCACGGTTGACGTCGCTCGTCTGGGCGAAGAAGGAGATCCGCATCCTAATTCTCGGCCTGGTACGCCCGCCGCCATAGGCTGCAGGCTTCAGCGCAGCTAACGCAGAGCGCACAGGACAATGCTGGCAAGACTACTCTTCTCTACCGGTTGAAGGTGCGGAGCCTATCAAGAAATGAAAAGGAGGTGTCCGCAAAGCTCGCTCACACGGCGTCTTGAGTGCAGATTGGCGAAGTAGTCACGACGATTCCGACCATCGGCTTCAACGTCGAGTCCGTCACGTATAAGAACCTAAACCTCAATGTCTGGGTACGTCTTCGCCCCCGCATCCTCAGCTCCACACCACGTCCCGCTAACCATCTACTTTTCCACAGGACCTAGGAGGCCAGACGTCGATCCGCCCGGTACGCGCAGTCGCACCCCTTCTCCCCCGAAACCCCGTCTTCCAAACTCTGTCCCGCACCGCTGAGCTGCGCACGCTGACATCATCGCTCCCTCGGCGCCTGCAGTACTGGCGGTGCTACTACAGCAACACTGCCGCTGTCATCTTCGTCATCGACTCGACCGATATCGACCGGTTAGGCACCGCTGCCGAGGAGCTGGCCGCCATGCTGAGCGAGGAGGAGCTGCGCGATGCCGCCCTCCTTGTCTTTGCCAACAAGCAGGACCAGCCTGGCGCCAAGGGTGCCGGCGAGATCTCCGAGGCCCTCAAGCTCGCCGAGCTGAGGGATCGCAATTGGAGTATAGTGGCTTGCTCGGCTATTGATGGCCGGGGTGTGGATGAGGGCATGGACTGGTTGACGGTGAGTTTTGGCTTCATCCAAGTGCGCATGCTGCAATACTGCAAGCGGCTAACAGATTCGGGCCTTGCAGACGACGATCCAGGCAGACAATGCATAGACGTGGCACATACTTCCTTTAAAATTGAACCCCCGCAGACGAGGCGAAGCGATTCGACCCTGACTTTGTCCCGCAACCCGCGGAACCCGTCAAATTCGGTTCTTCGAAAACCGTACGCACAATTATCACATAAAGTACTGTTTTTAATACCCGCATGAAGGAGTTTTTGGCGTCATTATAGTGTCCACTGCAAGGACTGGGTGGAACCATGTGCGTTCTCCGTGTCCTGGTCGTGAGTTGGTACGCGGTTCTGGAGATATGATATGCCTTCCATGTGTGGGAATTGGCCAGTTTCTTCGATTCATGGACATGTTCTTACTAAAACTATTCTCCTTTCCTTTCTCATAGAACATGGTCAGGACCAAGAAGAAGCATGCGTCTTTGTTACGACTAAACAAGTAGACTACCGAGCAGGCAAGCGAGCGAGCGAGCTACGCAGACAAAGGTATGCGCTCTTGTACAAGTAGTAATACAAAGAAACGCACTTTGACATGAATCCGAGGTCATGGGAATCAAAGCGTGTGTGCTAGCCTTGTCGGCACTAACTCCTTGATAGACTTCTGTCAGCATTTCTTGGCGAGTCCCTGAACGTGATTCTAGAACGTGCAGTCTACATTGGAAACTGCGGCTCAGAGCGTCATTTGTCTCCCGCTGGTTGATCTAGCTTCAGCCCGGTCTATTCACATACCCACGGCTCAGTATACGATTGAACCGATTAATGCTCTTTTTAGGGCCACGGTAATTGACAGAACTAGATTCCTTCTAGAACGTCCTTCGCAAGAACTTTACAAGAACATACTTCACACGAACTTTGAAACATGTGTATAATATCCTTCCTACTCTGATTCATAAAAGAACTTGGCCTCCCCCATCTAGTCTCATCATCGACGTTCCATACTAACTACATGAACAATTGGATCCTAAGTGTTTGTATAATTTTCAATTATTACATCCAGCCTTTTGCGAGGGTGTCAAATTCTATCTTAGCTAATGGCACCTCCCCCGCCCTCGTCACTTCTTTACATTGCTTGATCTCGCCTTCTCGTCTCTCATTATATATCCTCATTACCATCCGAGTACGCCAGAAGAAAAGAAAAAAAAAAGCAAAATAGCCGCCGCATTTAACCGTCATCTAGCATACTTCGTTATGTCAATAGAGAATATCCTGTCTTCGTTATTCCGCCCCCTCTCTTTCACTCTCACTCACTCATCAACACCTCCCTATCCAACAGATCTACCCCATCTCCTCTATAAACCGCGATCCGCTCGCGCTCCTTCCACGCATGCTCGGCGCTGTCCATGCTCCACCCGGTTCTGAACTCATGTTCTTGGGTTTCCTGCACCCATCATCATTGTCCCCATAGCCACTGCTGTTCGAATGATTTCTAGACTGCAGCGGGCGATGAGGGGCGAGTAGCTCCTCGGTGCTGCTTCTGATGCTGCCGGGCTGGCAGTGCATCTCGGTGTGGGATGGGAAGGAGAGGGAAGGGGAAGAGGAACGGGAATGGTCGGCAGGTATGGTGTGAGATCGGCGTTGATGCCTGTGCTGCTGCTGGGGCGGCGGTGTGCCCCATGTAGAGGGACACCACGTAGAGGGACGATCGTTCGGAGGGAGGAGCGGAGCCGATTGTTGCTGTGTCTGAAGAAGCGTGAGACGATGGGCGTATGATTTGCCGCCGTCGTCGACGCCACCGCCGTGCGCCTCGCGTTCTCCCTCTTCGTCATCGCCCTCCCGATCGATGTCGTCGACGTGTGAGTCTCTCCTGCCATCATCCGCCGCCGCCGCCGCCGCCCTCGTCCGAGCCGAGACTGTTGTGTCATACCTCCGGGGTTCGAGAAAGCCGCCGCCGCCGCCGTTACTTCTTGCGCCACCATCGACCGCCACTGCTTCCGGCCCGTCTTCCGTATCACTGCTATGTGTCTTTGTGCCACTGTCGTTCTCATGTTTGTCCTGTCCCTCCCCACCCTGCTGCCCACCACCGTTGCCCACTACATCCTCCCCCCTCTTCCATATCACTGTCATACTACTCATGTCCTCTTCTCCAGGTGGCAGCGGCAGTGATGGGTCGCTGAAACGTGCGTGCGAGGGTGGTAGTGGGAAGGATGGCAGCAAGACACCGCAGTCTGGAGATAAAGATGACGCTGTCGAGGCCGCGCGAGTGCGGCAGGAGTTGGTGTTGACGGGTTGAGGCTGTTGTTGTGTGGAAGGCAGAGCGGTGGAGCTGCGGTGGTTAGCGTTGGAGACAGGAGGGGCTTGAAGTGTTGCCGGATCACAGCGAGAACGGATGGTAGCCGCTCTCTTTCTCGGGGACGACGTGGGAGAGATGGTCGAATTGGACGTGATGGAGGGACGTGAACGGATGGCGGACGGGGAAGACCGGTTCTTGTTGCTGCTATTCGCGCCGGCGAGACCGTTAAAGAGGTCCATCATCGTTGGGTCGTCTTGCCAAAGGCGGGTGGTTGTCGACTCGCGCCGGAGGGGCCGCTGGAGCGGGTTCATGTAGGTGGATGGCGGGCTCTGGCCGGCGGCAGAGGAGTTGGTGATGTCGGCGACATCGTCTTTGGTGCTTCCAATGCTGAGATGCGTCTGGAACAGAGAAAGCTCGCAGCCTTCCCCGGTGGCGCTGCTCATCTGACGACGACGGCCGGCCGTGTTGGCCGCGATGACGCTCATCCTGCGCGTTGGTTCAATACCTGCAGGCACCGAATCTTCAGCGACATCGAAGTGGCGCTGTGCCAATACGCTGTGCCGATGGTCTGTCTCTGCCCGCAGCTGCGGCACTCCTGCCGATGCGGTTTCGAGGCGCTTCTGCGAGCCGTGTGCCTGGGCATCGAGCTGCATTGCACGGAGCCGGTTCTGCATGACGTGAAGCTTGCGGCGCCGGTGCCAGAAGACGAAGGTCAAGAGCATGAAGGAGAAAGTGGCCGAGGCGGATAGAACAAGCCATATGACGTAGCTCGCACGATCGCCTTCGTCGGCTCGATTGTAGTTGGCGATGGTCAGGACAAGCGCCACGACGGTGGAGAGGAGGCAGAGCTGTCCCAGGACAATGGCGGAGTAGAAGCGCTTGAAGGGCGCCCTGAAGGAATAGCGGATAGGAGGCTCCATCGTCGCGAATGAGTCGAGAATCTCGGCTTCTTCGATGAAGGCAGAATATGTTTGAGAGTCCAAGTTTCGCCTGAGCGCAAGTATCTTCGGGGGTACGGTGTTGGTAGAGGCCGTACAGGCGGAGGAGCGGCGGCCGTGTGACATGGCGCCAATGGGTGATGATGTAGCGGAGTGGATCCGATACAGTCGAAGCAAATGTAGAGAATCTGCGGTTTGAGCGTTTGCCGGGTAGCGTAAGCAGGAGTGACAGAACGCTCAGCCAGGGCAGTGAACGAGTGTGTGGTAAAACAACAGTTGAAGTTGGAAGAACATAGAAGGAATGCAAAGGTGAACCGGCCGGTGAGTGATGTCCTAGGAGGATAGCAGCCGAGTGAGGCAGTGCCGGTGGACGGTGAAATCAGGCTAGACGGGGGCCAACAAGGTGAGGACGACGCGAGAGTGATGAGGTTCGCAACCCACCATTATAGCGCCGTGACCGAAAAGCAATCTATCTCAAAAGCAAATCTCGATCTTGCTGATGTATGTCATCGTCGTTGATGGAGGCCATGGGTGGAGTGATCTATCTGGCCCACGGTGTGCGAGCGTCGTGGAGTTTAATCCCAGAGGTGCATCCACACACGCCACTGTCCGCATCCCTGCCTTCCCCCCTCTCTCCCCGCATGCTGTACCTGCAGAACAAGGTCCACTTGCCCCGGGCTGCCCGGCCTGCTGTCATTGAATGCAAGTGACAAAACAAATAAAACTCTCCATAATGCTTAGGCGCCACGGTATCAGCTGGAAGGATTGCGAGTCGTGTCAAACTGAGACACGGGCACATATGCAGCTGAGCGAAAAGAATTTAGGTGGCACAAACAATTGACATTGCGAAATGGGGCTCATGCCTGTAGGGACTGCCTGGCTCCCCGGCAAACCGGCCATGCGGCTCCCCGTGTGCATCCTTGAACCCTGCATTACCAGGCGGGAAGGGCTTAGCACACGCTGGGATGCGCTCACCTTCCACAACAGCGGCGTCCACTTCCGATGCTTCCACCTCTTTATCTGAGATGTCTAGACGACCTTCCTTCCCAATCGCCGGTTCTCGCGCTGGCGCTGTACCTTCATTGCCTCTCTCCTGCGCTTTTTCCATGCTCTGTTGTAGTCGCCGCGGTGTTCCCAGAAATGTTTCGCGAATTCGCTCTGCTCCGCCTCCTCTGTGCCTTGTGCCGGTGCACTGGTAATCTCGGGTCCCCTGCTCCCGATAGGCACCGAATTGGCATCAACCTGCATCATGCTGTCCTCCACCTCCTCGTCCTCCTCTTCTTCCTCCTCGTCATCGCCAGCGGTTCGCCAGAATCTCTTGCCAATAGCCGCTGTGTCAGGCGTAGGTGCGGCGCTACGCATGCCACGAATTTGCAAGTCTTGCCGCGTGTATGGCGTGAGCGGCGGGTTTGCTTCTTCCACCGCCTCTTCATCGTCGTCGCCACCGCCAAAGAAGCTAAATGAAGTATTAATGGGCGTGAGCTTGGTCGGTGTGCCTCCTTCCGGAAGTTTGGGGCGTTTGAACAGAGCTTCTAGAGGATGGACTTCTTTCGCCTCCTTCTCGTCGGCGTCTCCGGATTTTCCTGTGGAATCGGTCATTTCCACGTCTCCGCCTGGACTTCCTCGAGGAATGTTGTCCTGATCAGCTGCCTTGGTGTGTGCTACTTGTGGCTCAGATTCCGAAGAAGATTCTTCGGCTTCGTCTTGTGCGACTTCTGATTCAGCCTCGGACGGAAATGATTCTTCAGACCCCTCTTCGCTGCTACTGCTGACGTCGGACGAACTCGTAGAGACAACCGAGGAACCATCGTCCGAGACATCCTCCTCGATGTCCGACGACTCGTCGGTTGACTCTGACGCCTTCGCCGTCTTCCGCTTCGTCTCAAGAGCCTCTGCCCGCTCAAGGGCAGACTTCCTCCTGGACTTCTTCGCTTCCTTTTCCGCAACAGCGGCGGCGGCGGCAGCGGCGGCGGCCGCTTTTTCCTCAGCACGCTTCCGCTTTGCCTCCGCCTTGACTTCCCTTCGCCTTCGCTGCGACTCAGACTCCTGCTCCACAACATTGCCATCTTCGTCGACCCATCCCTTGCCTTCGACAAATTCGGCAGCTGTCTTGACGTCCTTCGAGACCTGACTACTTTTCAAGAAGCTGGCGTGTTTTGTTGTTTTGGCAAATTCGTGGACGACAACATCGCGCGAAGATTTCTTCGATTTCTTGGGCTTCTCCAACGCCTTGTCGGACTTCGCAGTCGGAACTGCATTCGGCGGCAGCTTCGTTTTGAACAAGAGCTCCTTATCCGCGGTGTATTTTGAAGGCTGCGACTTGTTCTTCTTCTCTTTCTTGTCCTTGTCCTTCCTTTCCTTGCGCTTGTAGTCCTTCTTGGTCTCAGGCTCTGTCCAGCCGCGCTTGACGTGTCTCTCGTCAGGCAGCTCATATCCTGGGATTACGCCGTCCTTTCGCTTGATCTTCTTGACCTTCTTACCGGCCTTGCGATCTTCCTCTTCCATACCCGCCTCGGCCGCTGATTGTATTTCCTCCAATATCTTTTTGCGCTTCTCCGGGCGCGCTTCCTCAATTCGGACCTTTTGCCCCTTTAAGATCGAGCCATTGAGCTTCTTCTTGAGCTTTTGCGCTTCCATGGTGGGTAGTTCGACGTAGCCGAAGCCCTTCTCGGGAAAGGTCTGCACGGCGTGGTAGGAAATTTGCGAGGCTTGCGGCAGGACGGAGGGTGGAATGAAGGCCTTCAGCAGCTCTGGCGTGAAGGGCGTGATATGCAGACGAGTCCGCTCTGGCGCAGCGCTGGAGTTGCTGCTGGCGGGCGCTTTGCGGGAGGCGGAAGAGTCTCTTGTAAGCGCTTGTGTAACGGACATTGCTGAGGTTTCTCGTGATGCGATGAGCCACCACCAACTAGCAGAGCGCAGGCTATTGGAGCATAGCCCAGGTGTCTTAGCTCAGAAGGCGTCGTTCAGCGGTTCGCTTTGTTCGGCTACGCTGCGGCGGGAATGGCGCGCAGAAGAAGTGTGCGAGCGGCGGGCGAGACAAAATATCGCGAGCTCGGTCCTTGCCTTCTGGACCGTTCCCCACATTGCACCGCGCCAAGCCGTCGCAGGGTACGCGGCCGACAGGGCTCAGGCCATCGCTGCGCGCATCATCTCCAACGGTTGCTTCCACCCTTCGCGCCTGCAAGCCTGCATTTCCGCCCTTTGCACCATGTTCGGACGAAAATATGCCCTTCTCATCCTGCTAGCCCTGATCGCTCTCCTTTCCACTGCGCTTGCAGCCTGTACGCCGCCTCTCTCGCCTTCCGCAGTCAACTTGTGCGCCCGCTGACCTTCCTCCGTACAGCCCCGGCCTCCTTCTGCAAGTGCACTTGCTTCACCAACAGCACCATCATCCACCTCGACGATCCCTCGCCCTACAGCTCCAAGGGTTCCTCCAAGTCCGACTCGTCCAAAAGCTCTGGCGCAAGCTTCTTCTCGCGCGCGAAAGACTCCAAGAAGACTGGCCGGACATGCAACGACTGCAACAAGAAATTCTGTTTGGACTACAATTTGCCTATATGCCACAACGCTAAGGAGGAGGACGTGTTCTCCGAGTGCTTCCGTATGTGTGCCTTGAGACCTGGGATCTCGTACGCTAACTCGCTCCCACAGAGAGAGACTCAGCCAAAGATCAGGCAGTTGTCGTCATATTCATCATTGCGACTGTCAGCCTGCTCATCTACGCTGCTGCGCGGCCCTATGTCAATCGCTGGCAGGAGGTAAGCTTAGTCGGATGGCAGTTCGAAAGATGCACGATTGCTGACGGTACACGCAATGCAGAAAGTGAAGGAGAGGAGGACATATATTCCCGTATCTACTCAAGTGGATCAATGAGTGACAAGGACAAAAAGGCGTCAAGTGTTTTATATACCCGACCAATCCATTCGTATTCAGAAGTACTCCGGACGCTCCCCACCCGTTATGCACCTCTATGTTATGCCCCTTCTCAATCTGGGAGGTATAATATGATACAGCGGAAGCTCGAAGGCGAGCAGCCAGTTTTGATGGAGTGACAGCTTTGCATCGCGAGGTTTTGCTTCTCACCGTCCCATGATCCAGCTTGTCCAGCTCTTTGACTTCTGTGTTGCCGCTTCTGCCGCATCCTCTGCCATGCGGTCTAGCGGTCCCGGATGCAGTTCTTGCGCTCTCTCACCCTCCCTTCTCTTTTCTTCCACGGCGTGCAATACTCCCAGACCTTGGTTCTTTGCGTCTTGTGCATCGCTCACGAAAGCGTCGCGCGCCTCTGCCGCAATGGAGCCAAGTTCGCCGCCCTTTTTCTCTTCCATGGAATAGCCACCGAAAAGGGCCTCTTTGGTGCGCTTGAAAAAGCCCTTTTTGTTCTTCTCGTGCTCCTCCTTGTTGCGCTCGTTGTTGAGCAACAAAATCTGGTCCTCAGTTGCGGTGCCGGCTGCCATTGCTTGCTTCGCTTCGGCCATAGCAATTGCGTGCTTCTGATTTTGTTCGTGGAACCATTCCCTGCGCTTCCGCCTGTTGTACACTATCATGTCGCCGAGAGCGAACACCGTAACCACGCCAGCAATGCCTAGACGGATCAATTAGACAGGTGCAGAGAGATCACTGCAAAGCGTCGCGCTTACCAGTGATTGCAATCAGGCTCAGCGCCGTCGCCCGGTGAGCTCTATCTGCCCACACTCGTCCTCCGGCTACGACCTTGTCGAATGTCGACACTTGCGAGCCCTTGGCCTTCTGCGCCGCCGCTCTTAATCTGGCTATCTTCTGCTGTGGCGTCTCGTTCTTCGACGCGGGCGACGAGTTGAGCGGGACGTTGGTGGATTTCGAATGCGCATACGGCCCGGTGGCCGTAAAGCGCGTGGCGTCCATTGCTGAGCGAGGCGACATCGTGACGGATCTTCCGCAGCTCAATGAGTATACAACAGTTGCTCCAGGCGCGGGGAGTCGGACGATGCTGGGGGGATGGCGGGGCGGTTTCGTGCGGAGGGCTGCGCAGTTGCGGTCGCTGTCGACGCCATCATACGAGGCACGGCGAACTTTCTCTTGCAGGGATTCTTAGACTGCAGAACGCGCTGATTGGCCAAAGTTGATGTGGCCCGAGCACCTGAGGCCGTTCGCTCCCCGAACGTCACAATACTTCACACATCATTACATTACCATCTTCAGGAAGGAAGTGGGTGACTACTGTGGGCGGTGAAGGCATCATACTCTTGCCTGACCTGAAATGTGATGATCTGGCCAGTATAACAAACCGATTGCTCTTTCCTGCGGCACTTCCACACCGCGTCCACTCTCTTACAAACCGTAGCGCGCGGAGGACGACATGGAGCAACAAAACGACTCTCAGCCGCCGGATCTCGCGACCGTGCTGAGGAACCTGGCGGCTCTAGCGGCGCCGCCGCTTCCCCAAACTCCAGCTGCGGGAGGAATAGCCCCTGATACTGGATACAGCGCTGCGACCGCGCCAATCTCTCCGCGTCCACATATTGCAGACCCAAGACTCGCCGGCCGAAGCCAAAAGCCTGGTCTACAACAGCAACCAAATGTTTCCACTACCCCGCCATCATCTACTCCCACTCCTACGCCGCAAGCTTCTGGGCCGGCTCCTATCGACCCCGCCACGATCATTGAATGGGCGCCTGGTCTTCGCTGTATAAGCAAGATATCTGCACGGAACCCGAACCTCAAACCCATCGTCCAAAAGGCACACTTCACTACTTCAACACTCTTCTATGAACACATCTAGCTAACGCAATCCTGCAGATGATTGCTGACCAACACGAGCACGAACTGATTTGGTGGGGCGGCCGACAGGCGCTCATGACCCAGCGAGCAACCGGAGAGCAGCTCAAGGCATATGACCGGAAGGTCCACAAAGCACAGACTGAGATGTTCAATGCCATGTCTGGTCAGCTCAAGGGCCTCGGCGTGCCTTTCTTCGGCGTCAAGCCCGAGCTAATTGCGAAGGGCGATGAGGCGGCCGCAGCGGTTTCTGGACCTGCCTCAGGTTCTAAGACTAGGGTCACGGAAGCTGAGCTCCAGAAGCTTCAACGGAGAATGATTGAGTACCTTGAGGACATGTACAAGGATTGAGTGCAAGAGATTTGCCGTGTCAGCCTGGCTTGCTGGCCCTGCTGAGGCAGCTTCATGAATACTGAAGTGTATTACATCCTTGAGGCAGGCCATCCAATCCTGGGCATAGTCGCATATATGGTTTCGCTTCTCTGGGTTTGCAGTTTCATTCAGCCGTTCTTTCAGTAATGATTTACTGACAGGCGTAATCATATTATCATTACCAGAACGTCGTACGCAACGCAAATAGGATTCTGAGCAAGGGCTCATCGCAAAGTCGAAGTGAATCAGCTACCCATGAAATCTGGTTGGTTGGTGTTTCGAAACTCTGGCGTGTCACTATGAGTGAGCTGGGTCAGGCCTGGGCAGCAAAGACTCTGGTGAACTGTCGAAAAGCCTCTTCCCTTCGGGAAAGTTTTGTGAACCATGCCCGTTGGTTTTAGAATAGTCTCCGCTTCGGCTGCTTGCATTGCATGGACCGCGGGGGTTGATGCAGCCGCAGATATGGCAGCCGGAGTAGTTTGACACGTACCTGACCGTGTGATTTAGATCCAACAAAGCCCATGAAGCATAATGGAGAGCTAAGCAGTTTCAAATTGACCCCAAGCCAAGCCATCTAATGGATATGTTTCCAACATTCCAACACGTTGGGTAGTCGGGGTGCTCGCGCGACAAGTGATGTCATAGGTGAGCTTCAAAGCAAACACGCGCATGCCCGATTAGGAAACAGCGACGGGGTCGCGACACGGTGGAGGCGCCGCGGGCGGCGGTGCGCGTTTGCCCGCTTTCCGTTCACTTGTTGGACTCGGGCTGTCCATATAAACCCTCCTCTTCGGCAGTGCCGCAACCTTTCCCTCCTTCCTCCACACCCGACCTTCGTTAGTACTCTCACTAGTGCATCTCTTCTTATTTTCCTCCTACCGCGTTCGCACTCGTACATTCGCTCTTCGCGCTTCAAGCTCCCGTCCTCGACAACCTCAACGCCGAGCTTGACTTGTGACCAACATGCGCTCACTTTCGTGCCCGCTGGCCTGCATGGCCTTCCTTCTGCTCTTCTTCCTTGGCGTCCATGCTGGCAATGCTGGAAGGTCAGTCACTTCACTTCACCTGATCAAATCTGCAAATATATTTCAGAGGCTACTGACTATATTACAGCTCCAACGCTGTCTGCCTCAGCGCTTTCGCGCCTGAGTGCCAGTGGCCCGTCAGCGAGCACACCAAGGCCGCCTGCTGCCCTGCCGACCGTCCGATTTGCACCAGTGTCATGGGTCACCTCGGCTGCTATTCCCAAGACGTCATCCCTCGTGATGATGGCTACCCGTACTCCACCATCACGTTGGATTTCGGTGACAACGCTAAGACTTCGACCACTTCGTCCGAGGTGATCTCGTCTCCGACAACCTCCGCCAGGACTCTTTCATCCGGTGCTCCCACGGCGATCTCGAGCTCGCTCTCCACGGAAAGCTCACACACTGATGACGTGAAACCTTCCACCAAGACAGTCCTCACTATCGACTATCCAGAAGATGGCACTTCCACCACGACAGTCACTGCCAGCCCTTCAACGGTCACTGTCAACCCTTCTATCTCCACTTGCGATATCGACTGCAGGACCTCCAGTGATTATATCGTCGTGTCAGGTAACTACACGGGTTCTGTTGCGTCCAGGACGACCACTTATTCGCACGATGCCACCCCACGGACTACGGGCCCTTACTTCTCGGAGTATACTGAGACTGTCTGGTACACGGGAGGCCGCCGGAACACCTGGAGCTGGAGCACTTTGAACCGTCAGGCTCCTACCGCCGCAGTCGCCGCTCGCGAGCTCACCAGCATTTCGCTCGCTAAGAGCGACGTCATGACAGTCACTGTCAAGAATGCGGAGACAACTTATCCTCTGGCGCTGATCACTAACAGCGCAGTTTCTATTCCGTCTTCATGCCAGCGTCTTCTCACTGGTACTGGCTCAGCAGGCACCCCTCTTTACTACACTTACGTTGCGCGTGAGTGCACCAGTGCTTCTACGACGACCATTTCCAGCACGTCAACCACGACGTTGACTTCCATCTTCGGCTCGGTCGAGAGTGCCGGTGTTGCTGCTGAGACTTCCATGAGCTTCGATCTTGCCCCCTCCTCGGAGCTCGACAAGACGACCGTGTCCACCACGATTACCGGCACTTGCGCTGGTGCTAGCACCATCACCATCACCGTCCAGGAGACCCCTAGCACTTCGACTGTCACGGCTTTCTACAACACGACGGTCATCGGCTCTATCACGACCTCTTCGCTTGTCATCACCAGCAGTGATCCTTCTTCGAGCAGTTCTGAGTCCTCGGACCCCAGCAGCACCGCTGACGCAGTCACCACTGGCGATCCCATGAGCTCGACCGTACTTAGCAGCTCTATGCCAAGCATTTTCACGCCCCCGACGACTCCGACAACGCCTCTGGCATCCAACACGCCCGGTACTCCTGCCCCAACCGTCTTTGATGGTGGTGCTGGTGTTGTTCAGGTCAACCATGGCATGTTGACCATCCTCGCCTTTGCCTTCTTTATTTTCCAGTAATTGCAGGCCGAAGCGCAGGGGATCTCCTTTTCCCATTGCTAATCAACAAAGCTTCTTTCCAACACAGATATTGTGTTGATTAGCTGAAGATAGTAGTGGTAGTTTCAATCCAGAGGTTTCATTGATCATAAGGCTTTCTCTACTAGCGTGACCTTTCTGAATGTGGAACTTCTACTACGCCCCATGTGAATATGCAAATGAAAGCCTGGAGTTCTCAGGCTCCACCATATGTGGCCGTGAATATGTATGACGCATTGTTCAGTCAAACCGACAGGCATCCTACAGTAGAAACAAGTATCCACAAATATTGCTGGCACAATGCTAGTCTTTGTCGTCACCCGATGCCCAGCAATAAACATATCATTTACATGACGTTGCAGTGGCTCTAGTCACCAATCGGATGCGCGGGGTAGGCTGCTGAACCGACTAGCCGAGGCCAATCGACGATGGAGAAAAAGTACGCGATCTACTGCATAGCAGCGGAGGCCAACGGAGACTACTATAGACGACCCCAGATTTCACAAGCGTTCGGCGGGAAGTATATAGTACCGAGGCTATACCTTTGTTCTTCATAGTTCACTATGCGGTGTGCTGGAAGATTTCTTTTCCACGATTTGATTACACCACTCGCTTGATGCAGCACATACTCAAGAAAGTTAAAGTTGAAAAGCAGGCCCAGGCCCAACGGCTCAGATCATGGTGGCGATTTGAACGTTGCTCAAGTGCAAGACCATGGATCGGTGTTTCTTAGAGCATGCCGGGTCTTGAATAGATGCATCGCTACACTGCAACGGTCCCATGTTTCGCTTCAAGTGCTTGCTTCATCGGGCCTGGTACTTCGGGCCGGGGTATTAATTCCGCTTTGGTTGCAGTCAATGCCTTGCCATATATAGCAATTGACCAATGTAGGAAGGTTCAGCCACTTGAATTTTTTGCAGCTTGGCCACGCGGCTTTCTTGACACAAGGCTTTCGGGCGATTGCCAAACCAAGACGCATCAATTTAAAGAAGGCGATCTTCATATTCGCAAGGCTTCGCTTTCGATAACTGTATCTGCTATCAAGCGAGGCGGACGCACGGAGGGCCGCGCGGGCCGACCGCCTTCGACGTGTGCCAAACGTCATTGACGTGTAACGGTATTACGTGACTAGCAAGAGACGCGAAGACAGGGTCGAGATGGTTCGCATAATGGGGGGTTGGGTTGTTCAACATGCCTTTCCAGTCCAATTGGCTCCCGCTCCCCAACATTTCGCTTCCCATGGCGGCTTATGGCGGGGCGGGCAATTTCGTGAACGACCTATGCAGCATCAAGGGTCCGCGAGCCCGTTGCGAGGGAAAGTCGGCCGGCGAAATGGATATGACTAGCCGACGGGGTCAGCCGCATCGGGGGACGCGTGCGCATGCGTGCTGGAAGAGGCAGGCGTCATGCGAACCCAGCTGACAGGAAGTGTTTGTGCCACTCGGAGCTCCACACGCCCACGTACCTCTTGCTGGCCGGCGGCGACCGCGCCGGCCCTCTGGCGGCGTCGATTATTGCCTCATGGGGGAGGATCATCACGGACTGGATCTGTGATGCACTGTAGATCAGTGAATCGTGGATGCAGGCGGGGCTGGTATTTCCATCGGCACTCCGTCGGCGCGGCTGGAAGGGCGGCAACACGAGCGCGGAGCCACGGCGCAAGGTTTGAAGAGACGAGCTGAGCGAGCCCCTTTTCGCGCGGTGCGTAGGTGGCTTCGCAGGGAAGGCGATGGCAGCGGAACAACGGCCAGGCCAAAACGAACCGCGGCGTAGCCAAGCGAAGCCTAGCGGGGCGCCGGCCCTCGTTCTGGGGATGCCACCGGCTGGGATTCGCTCGTGCCTGGGCGGTGGCGCGTTTCACCCACCCCTTCGACCACAGTCCCTGCGGAGGACGGGTCAAGCTTTTCGAGTCCTTCATTCCTGCAGCAAAAGGCCCAGCACGCCGCGAGCTGGTTCTAGACGCGCCGTTGTTTTTCTTTTCCGTTTCACTTCACTCATTGCTGCACCTTGACCCCAGATCGACGGCCGGCCCTCGTTCACGGCTTTCCTCTCATTCGCACTGTCTCCAATTTTGCAACCACACGCCGGCACGCTCAGCGTACATTCCTTCCGGAGGCTGTTTCGTCATTTTGCGCGCGGAGCAGCTTCAGCCCCTTGACGTTCAAGACACGCCCGGCGCCGCCATCTCTAGCGATCGTCACGGCCGAAGACTTTATCGAGCTGCGTCCTTGCGCCTGCTCCACACTGCCTGACTCTCTCCACAGCGGCGCTGTCCACGCGCATCGCCATTCAAATGTCCACCAATCCCCCGAAGTCGCCCAGGTCGCCGTCGCTTCGTTTCTCCCGTCAGGGCTTTCACCCGCTGCGCGACAACCCCAACGACATGCCTCCCAACGACGCTACCATTGACATTCCGCTCGAGACGGTCGTGAGCCGCACGCCGTCGACCGGCATGCGCAGCGGCAGCGTAGCCCCCATCACCAAGATGGCCACCCACGAAGAGCCCAACGAGAAGGAAGGTGCTACTCATCACTACGGCCGCCGCGTCAAGAAGCTCGACAAGGGCGAGCGCACTGGCAAAATCGGCTATGATGGCGAGGAAGACTACATCAATCGCGTGGGCAAGATCTACTTCAAGATTCTCCACTTCAGCATCATCACTCGCTACTTCATCTACGTTCTGCCGCTTGCCCTGTGCATTGCGGTGCCCATCATTGTCGGTGCCACCGCTGCTCAGGATGCCAAGATTGGCGGTGTTCGGATCGTCTGGTGAGTGGTGCGCTCAGATCCTGCGATCTGCACTGACATAACTCTCAGGTTCTTCACGTGGGTCGAGATCGTCTGGCTCTCCGTCTGGGTCTCTAAGATCATAGCCCACTTCCTTCCCAAGATTTTCCAGATCCTGGCCGGTGTCATCAGCTCTGGTGTCCGCAAGTACTTTTTGGTCCTTCGTGCGCTTGAGATTCCCATTTCTCTTGTCGGCTGGGCCGTCACATCTCTCGCAACTTTCATTCCTTTGATGGTCCACAATCCCGATATCCAAGCGAAAGCGCGACAAGAAAAGGCGGAAACCGGCAAATCTACTGCTGACTCGGTCCAAGAGTGGCAGAAAGTCGTTCGCCAGATCCTGGCTGCAGCGGTCGTTTCAGCCTGCGTGCTCCTTGTCGAGAAATTCCTCATTCAGCTAATCAGCATCAACTACCACCGCAAGCAATTCAACGCAAAGATCAAGGAGAACAAGCGCCAGACCTTCCTGCTTGGCCTGCTCTACGATGCTTCCAGAGCTCTTTTCCCGGCCTACTGCCGCGAGTTCCAGGAGGAGGATTACATTATCAACGATACCCTGAGGCTCAACCTCCCCGGTGCCAAGAAGGGCCACCGACGATCCGGCTCTGCAACTCCCATGCGGTTGCTACACGATGTTGGACGCGTCGGAGACAAGATCACTTCTGCTTTTGGCAACATTGCCTCCGAAATTACGGGCAAGCAGGTCTTCAACCCTGACTCTGCCCACTCGATTGTTGTCTCAGCCCTTGAGAAGCCCCGTTCGTCAGAGGCCCTTGCCAAGCGTCTGTGGATGTCGTTTGTTGTCGAAGGCAGAAACGCCCTCTACCACGACGACATCGTCGAAGTGCTTGGCGCTGGCCGTGAGGCGGAAGCCGAAGAAGCTTTCGCGGCGCTTGACAATGACGGAAACGGCGACATCAGCCTTGACGAGATGATTCTCCAAGTTACCGAGATTGGACGCAGTCGCAAGTCTGTCGCCACGAGCATGCACGATGTTGACCAGGCCATCAACGTCCTTGATGGACTGCTGGCGACCGTCGTCTTCGTCATTTGCGTCTTCGTCTTCATCGCTTTCTTGAACTCCAGCTTCGTCACCACCCTCGCAACTGCTGGAACGGCTCTCCTTTCTCTTTCTTTCGTCTTCTCGGTTACTTGCCAGGAGGTCCTCGGTTCTTGCATTTTCCTGTTCGTGAAGCATCCTTTCGATGTTGGCGACAGAGTCGATCTCAGCAGTGGCGTTGACCAGCTCACCGTTGAGCACATCTCTCTCCTATTCACCGTTTTCAAGCGGGTGACCAACGGTCGTACCGTCCAGATCCCCAACATTGTTCTTAACAGTTTGTGGATCGAGAACACAACCAGGTCCTTGGCCATGAGCGAGCGGATCCCCATCTATGTTGCTTTCGGTACTTCGTTCGAGGACATCACTGCTCTGAAGGACGAGATGCAGAAGTTCGTTCGCGACAAGGAGAACGCTCGCGACTTCTACCCTGACATTGACATCGATGTTAGGGGTATTGCTGAGCTCAACAAATTGGAATTGCAGATTGAGTGTCGCCACAAGAGCAACTGGGGCAACGAGGCCTTGTCAGCTTCGCGTCGCAACCGATTCATGTGCGCTCTGGTCCAGGCGCTCCGCAAGATCCCGATTGATCCGCCGGGCGGCAACGACGCTGCTCTTGGCTCTGCTGACCAGCCTTCTTTCTCCGTTGCTATTTCTCCCTCCGAGGCTTTGGAGCGCCGCCAAGCCTTCCTTGATGGCAGGGAAAAGGCTCGCCTCTACCCGTCTAAGAAGGAGGAACCTGCTGCTGCCACGTCTTCTGGAGTGGACTACGTGGGCTCTGAGATGCATTCGGAGAACCAGGCCATCAACACTTTGACGGCTCGTCCCATTGGATCCGATCCTTACCGTGACGGCGCATTCGCCGATCGGGCTGATCAGGCCGACATCAACCGGACCGGCTCGATCGTACGGTCCAGCATGGATGCCCAGGATGCGGAAGACGTACGCAGCAACCTGAAACGCGAGAGCACTAGGGGCAAGCGCAAGGCTGGTCCGACCAGTCCTTCTGCGATCACTGTCTCAGGCCCTGGCGGCGAGAACAGCGAGTACTATGATTACGGCAGCCCCGTGAGCCCGCAGCAGAGCCAAGCCTCGTACAGATCGCAGCAGCAGAGCACGGCTTACTATTCTCTTCAGCAGCAGCAGCACCAGCAACTGCAGCAGCAACGAAGCCAGCAGTCCCTTGGACGGAGACCTAGCAACACCTATGCGGACTCACCTTAAAGGGTAATAATTGATGCTGGCCGCGTAGACGCGGCAGGCAGCGGGACTCGCGGATTGTATGATCGAACGAGTTCACGAATCTTCTCTCGGCCCGTCAGGATGGAAAAGTGGATGATCGGCAGGGATTCGGTAGGTATGGAGGTGAAGGGTTGAAAAAGTAACACCTTTTCAGTTTGCTAATTTGCATATGGCGCTCATCGCCCTAGCGGCACTTCTTTTCTCACGTTTGGCTTCATGTATACTATGTTGTAAAGAAACGGCGTTCCTTGCTTTCTCGTCGTTACCCAGCGGTGCCAGCCTCGAAGGTTGCGAAGCCAATCGCTGCCTGCTGAGGTGGTGCAGCTGCCGAGATCGGCTTAGTCAGATCAGGTAGAACATGCAGAAGAATAGCATGCACTTGGTCCAGCACTTCAGACAGGACTAGACAGCGCATCGTCGCTAGCGTGCGAAGGGAGGAGGTGTGAAATGTGACCCGGCATCTGATTTGTGATCGGCGGGCGAGCGACCAGAAGCGATCGGGCTGGTGTGCTGTTCTGTCTCTCTTGCTCGGTGGATTATCTATTGCTTGGCCACGGCGTCGGGCGCTCAGCTCATCCCGAAGCGGCAGCTGCGGAAGCGAGGCATGACTGATGGATGGTGGGCAGAGAGTCGACGGTGGGGGTGATGGCGGGGAATCGTCCTCGGTTCCTTACGTAACCTGATGTGGCACGACGCGCTCCCCTTTGTGAGAGGCTGATGATGACTGTGACGATGACTACTTGGGACGTTGCGCACGGCTGTTCTGTCCCAAACGGCGGGCGGCGAGATGACGATCAGCTAAGCAGGCCAAGAATAGCGCTGCCACCGGCCTCGCGCAGTCTGGAGGCGACGAGCAGCGCGGTTGCTGGCGGCAGCGGCGACACGGGGATAACCGGGGCAGTTGTTGAGGGAGACGGCGCAGCCCTAAATACCCGGGATTGGTAATCGTATCGATGGAGGGTCGCTGACCGGCTTGGGCGTGGTGTTCGGAAAGGCCGGAAATATCTTGAGGTAAGCAAAGTCCGAGGCGCTGGTTCTGCGCTGCGCTGGACGGCGGGCGGGCGGCGGGCGGGCGCGTACAAGTGGGCGCGCATCGCTGGGAACCTCTCTGCTGCTGGCCGTGCAACTTGTCTGACATAAACCTGCGTGCTGCCTGGTGCGCTGTGTATGCGTCTGTCGGACTCGGGTAGCGGAAGGGTAGCTGTTTCCGACGGCTCGCGCGCCTCTTGGCCTCGAGCTAGACCGCCCGCTCCGAAGCATATCTTAAAGCCAGCGCTGTCTCCGCGTCGACTTTGTCAGAACTTATTCATCAAACCTGCAATCCAGGTAAGTGTTAGAGCCTCCACACCAAGCGCGCCGGAGCAAAGCAAGAGCTCGCGACAAGCCGCCCTTTGCAGCCATGGCCGCGCCCTCTCCCGACCTGCGCTCACGCATCGTGTGCCTGCCAGACCGCGCGAAACCCTCTCCCACCCCAGCCTGCGCCCGCAACCGCTGCCGCCGCCCGCCTTCGTCCCAAGCTGCGGGTTGAATGACGGCCGCCACGAACTCCTGGAGCTACACGATGAATCAATCGCCCTCGGTGAGTCGAATCTGACTGCGCCCGCGCCCCAACCCTGCCACCCCGACCGCGCGACCGCCGTCGCGACCTGCTGAACAGCTAGCTAACCACCCATGACGCGCGCAGGGCTCCACGCACAATCTCGAGATGAGTAAGCCGGACCATTCCTACCTGCCACAGCTGCATCCCCCGTCCACATAGCCCTCGCCTTCAGCTGTGCCTGCCTGCTAATGTCCCATGCCGCGCCAGGTTTAAGAGAGCACCTCATCGCCGCCGGTGCTGGCCAGCCGCACCCACCGCCCCAGCAGATCACTCCAGGTCCCACGACGCATGCCCCCGACCACACCCAACATCAAGGACTCGACCCTTCTATCACGGCTGCTGGATACCCAATGAGTGCCGGCGACGCGGCCGATGGCCACATGAGCGAGGGCGGCCGTAAAGGCCGTCGCGAGCTCTCGACGTCGAAGCGCGCCGCCCAGAACCGCGCTGCTCAGGTGCGTGCAATATATTGTCGCCATAATTTGCGCGCTGCAGCTTGTCTAACATTTGGTTTCTCTGCAGAGAGCTTTCCGCCAGCGCAAAGAGGAGTACATCAAGTCGCTCAAGGACCAGGTTAAAGACTACGAACAAATGGCGGAGCAGTTCCGCGCCATCCAGGCTGAGAACAACACGCTGCGCGACTATGTCATCAGCCTGCAGGCCCGCCTTATCGAGTCGCAGGGCAGCTACCCGGAGCCCCCAGGAAACATCGATCTATCGCGCCCGCACACGGAGATCCCCCCGCCCGTTCAGGCCATGCAGTCGCCGCAACCCCCGCAGAGCTCTGGTGCATCCCAGCATTCGCAGCAACAACAATCCCAGCAACAGCATCAACAACATCAGCAGCCACACCAGCATCAGCAGCAGCCCGCACCGACTGCGCCCATGTCGGCTTCGGCTGCCCAGCAACTCCAGCAAGCGGCGGCTCAGGCGGCAGCTGCTCAGGCGTCAACCGAACAGCTCAACAATGGCGCCAAGCACTCGCACGAGGAGGCTCAGTATCTGCCTGCGTCCAACGACTACCCACCGCAAAAGCGGATGAAGAGCGAGGACACTGCGGCCAATTCAGGTAGGCAAAGTTTTTTCTGATTAATGCTTTTTCATAATCATTTCGCCGTTGCCACGCACTGGTCGACGACTGGATTTCCAATCCATAGTCGAATGGTCAGCATCTTGGCTCTGCAGACCGACTTTTTCAAGCTTACCTCGCTCAGTACTTTGGCTTTGAAGCTGAGTCGGGATCACTTGATGGTTTCAGAGAAAATGCTGGTTTATAATGCCTAGCCAAAAGACCATCCTGCTCTCAGTTCCCTCTCTCGGGGGAGTACGGCTGCAGTATGAAATTCTGGATTTTAGCATCACAATACGCACGGTATAAGCTATCCAAGCCTCGGCATACACCAGTGCTGAGCTGCCGCGACGTGCGCGCTGCCCTGGAATCCTTTTATTCAATCCACTTCGAGCCGAGTCTCTTGAGACGCAATCGTTCTTAGACTTTTGTTAGGCCTAGACCCCGCTGACTTTTGGGCTTTGACAGCACCTGCACCTGCAACAGTAAACGCTGGCTCAGGGCACGACCAGTAACACCGGTCAGTGCGACTACAGACAACCAGATGCTTTCGTAGTGGGCGAAGCATTGCTCGACGTGCGAGTAGTGTTGCAACCATCACGCAGGGGGGAAAGTAAGAATCTTACTGCTGACATCATCTTCGCCATCAAATGTTAGGAAGATCGTCAAGATGATTGGGCAGGGTGGAGTGCGAAACGACTGGGGGTGGAGAAGGGCTTTTGACCGCCCTTTCTTTGCTCCGCGCTCAAATGTTTCTTCTTTAGGGCGGCTTCTGTTTTCATCATACATGCGTAACACCGTTGCAAGGTGCTATGGGAGGGGCTTTCTCTTTTCTATCAGTGGTGGCGTATGGCGATGCTTTCGAGAATAATCTTGCTTTTGATATGTTAACCTCGAGTCATATTAAGCCCTCATTTCACGCTAAGCAATCATCGACGTCTCCTTTATTAGCTGACGATGAGAGGCTGGGTCGTCAGGACGGACATTTGCCCACCAGTCAGATCAGCTTCTAGCCTTGTAACAATTTACTATGGATGAGAACTGATTGGTTGAGCTGGCACGGCGGGTGTAAGTGCGGAATCCTAAGGGAAGGCTTGTGTGTTTAACTAGATCGTGCTTTTTATGTGGGTGAGATGTCGACTATTCGTAAATAGAGCTTTGGTGCACGGCGATTCTTTCGGTAAGAGACAGTATTGTATATCATCTTATCTACCTATTCTAGGAGCAGACATTAAGAAAGCATAGTCAAATAGACTGCGAATAGGGATTTAGTCAGATTTTTATAACTGCCGCTGAAGTCGGTGCCTAAGGAGCAGCTATTGTGCAAGATAATTTAAAATAGAATAGAAGAGAGTCATGCTTTAGCTGTCAGAACTCTATCGTATTCTGCGCCGCCCCTTTAATGTTTTCTGGAATGCGGCAGTGATGTCAAGTTTCCTTGGCAGCAATAGTCCGCTGTGTTAAGTTTAGTAAGGTTTAAGCACAGTTCGTATTCGCCCTGGCCCTTGAGTTTGTGTACTCAGTCATGTGCGAGACTTTTCCAGAGAAGAGCGTCAATATAAATATTGTAGTTCAGGCTATGCATGTAATACCTGATGTGAAGATCACGGAATGTTTGGTACTATCCCGCAGCCGCGTCCTTTCGCGCCTTCACAGGGGCTGATCGTTCAAAGTAGTTAGGGAGCACGCTCCTCTCAGCCCGAGCCGGCGGTTACCGGGTCCATCGTGTCCTGATTCGCTAGGTCATCTCCCAAAGTAGACACGGAACGCACGGCTTTGCTCGAGGATATGAAAGCGGCCTTTCCATCACTATTTCCAGCAAGATGCCTGCCCAGCCCTCGTATTTTGTATGTAAACGCCAAGCCTACCCAAGACATTTCTCGAATACACCGCAGCTTAATGTGATCATCCGGTGAGCCCGTAGGGAAACAGGTGATACTCGCAAGACGTGTATAAAGCAAGGATATATCAGTAACTTATTACCTTCGATCCTCCTAACTTCATCTCCACGCTCCACTGTTTCCTGCCTTTCCCACAGCTCTTGTTGCAATAACACTACCAATCAGTAAAGAGCAAAAGGAAACCAAGCACCATGCACAGCTCAATCTCCACCGCCCTCCTCTGCCTCGGCGCCGCCGCCACGCTCACGGCGGCTGTCCCCACCTCTATTGCCGCCGATGGTAAAACCTTCAGCGTCTGGGCCGATTACTCTCGTACGTAGTTTCCTTCTCTTTCTTTCCTTTATCCCGTATTCTCCTTTCCCCAACCATCCATCCTCTCCTCTTCCTTCTCCCAAAACCTTTCATCAATCTCACGATCCTGGGAACAAAAACAGGTTGCGACGGCGCCTCGGCCCTCAGCCTCCAGATCCTCGACTTCTCCCTCACGTCGGGCACGCCGGACCCGGTCGCCGTGCGCCAGCCCACGGGCGAGGACCTTGTGCAGCTGACGGCCCCTTTCCACGGCTCCTTCACCCTGCTCGAGCCCGAGCGCATGGGCCCGTACCGCCAGCAGTCGGTCACGGTCGAGCTCTTCGACCCCCCCACCGGCGACAGCGTCTACGGCAACGCCACGTTCGTGCCCGGCGCCAAGGTGCGCAGCTGGGACCTCGTCAAGTGGGGCAGTGAGGAGCAGGGCCTGTGGCCGGATGAGGGCGAGGTGGATTCGTCGAGCGCGCTTCAGGGGAAGGCCGGGAGCGTGGTGACGAAGGTTAAGGGAGATAGCCTGTTCCTTCAGTGGTGCACGAGGTGATGAGTGGGAAGATGATCGGGTGGAGAAGGGTCGGATTCTTGGGCGGGATATTGTCTTGAGAGCGCCTGAGTGTTTGCAGGTTGTTCGATGAAGTGTATGAGAGGATTATGAAGCATAAAACCCATCAACAAGCTCGCGTGTTTTGAATGCTTGATTTAGGATGCGAAGCGAAGAAGTGAAAGTCGGGGGCCAGAGGGATCAGAACGATACTGGAAGCCTCCGATGGGCGACGCATGCATTCGCGCCAAATTGTCAAGCAGAATACCGCTTCTTTCCATCATCTGTCTCTATTAGCGAGTTGTCTTCCCAGCTTACTAAATTATCAATCTCCAGAGTCCGGACTAGGAAACACCCGTCATGCTTACACAGTACTGTGTAATCAATGCACAGAGGTGGAGACGTGTGGATAGCAACTGTGGGGAACGAGGGTATAATCGTAACGCTTTGACGCCAAGCCGATGCACTGTCGATCTTACTGCAGAGCTAGTAAATAGAGTTTTGTGGTTTGACGAATGTTTCAGCCCTGTTCGGTGGAGCGGCATGCTTGTCAGATGTCGTTATCGTCCGTATCTAAGAATCCTTATGATAAGCGGATTTCGCTTCGGGCTGAACGATCATCATCTTTGCTTTAATTCTTCTGGCATTGAATGGCGACTTTTTGCTATTTTTCATTCTCTTATCGTTTACATTGACCCAGCAATCTTCCAGTCCCATGACTCCGTGGTCCGCAAATTGTTTCGGCAGTCGTGAATCTCGGCAATGTTTTTTTTTTTGGGTTCGCATACTGTATGACATCTTCTTTCCTCCAAATCCATGGAAATCCTCTTGAACACCCTGGAGTCTTACCTCTGGTGGTAGAAATCCTGTGAGCTTTGGCGGTGGCATGTTCCAGCCAGTGCTTTGCTCAGCAACCCAGGACGAGGAATCTTCTGGGTTTTATGAAGCAGTGAGTGGAAGGAAGTGGAGGACCTTCTAGCTGGTCCCCGAGCTATACGGTAGATGCCGCCTTCTAAAGGCCCCGAAAGAGATATCCGTCCTCCTCAAACCAATACCCAACCGGAACCGTGAGAAATCCCCCCAAGAGTCAAATGAAACGCCCTCCAGGTCTAGTGTAAACTTGAGAAAACAGCCATTGCCCATCAAAGGAGTCGTTAAATGAACTCAAGGCTTCCGGAAAATCATCTTCGTGTTCTTATCATATTGACCGGCGGCCTTGACATTAGCAATAAACTGGTGTTGGCTTGGGCTGCCTTGCTTGAAGCGCCCCTTGAACTTGGAAATCAAATGTTGCATGCTGGCACCCTCGGGAGGAATGACAGCGCGGATCTCCTCGACAGACGGAGGTGGGCCGAAATTGGCGGGGGCTTTTTCTCAATGGTCAGCAATTATTCGTTAAAGTTGAAGGTATTGGAAAATGCATAAAAGGGAGCAAAGAGTCTGACTTACCACGTGCCTTGGCACCAGCAGCACCGGCGGCTGGACTGCCTGCACGACTGCCTGTACCACCCACAACAGGACTGCCAGCACGGCTCCCGCCAGGGGTAGGCGCTTGCGAGTTTGCTGTTTGCTTGATCCGAGACGCTAGCGGCTTTCCGCTGTCGGTGGCTTCACTGTCACTACCACCTCCACCGAACTTCTTCTGCTTCTTACGTGAAGACTCGTTACCGCTTTGCTCAGAGAGGTTCGGAGAGCCGGGCCGCTTAAGAGTTTGTGATGAAGACAGCTTGAGTGGATCGCTAGTTTTTGGGCGATTGGAAGGGGTGTTGCTGCCCTTCGTGGAAGTGCCTGATGCAGACTTCTCTGCGGGTTCGTTGGCCTTGCCTTTGCCCTTCTCCGCTGCAGCTTTCTCCTCTTCACGCTTTCGCTCCTCTTCTTTCTGGCGCTCCACCTCGGAGTCTTCAGACTCGCTCTATTATCCCGTTAGACAGTGAAAGGCGTAGACAGTGGCGCAACTTACATCTTCGGAATATGGGTTCTCGTCACTGTCGTCCAGATCATAGTTATAGTTCTTCTCGCGCTTGACGATCTTCTTACGCAAGCTCTTTTCCAACTTCTTCTTCAGCTCCGCTTCCAAAGCTTCTTCTTCCTCCTGCTCCCACACATCTTTCTCGTCTTTGTTCGCGAAGAAGTTGGCTGACAACTGCTCACGCTTGATCCTTTCCTCTGCGTCCTTTGTCGTCTCATCGTCGCCTTCAAACAAACCATTGACGCCCTCCTCGTCGTCGGCAAAGGCCTCCTTGTCGTCGTAATCAATGATATCTGCATCAGGGGCACCGTCGGTCTTGATCCAGTCGTCATCGTCCGAGCGGCGCTTCTTGACATCCTCTTCGTCTCCACGGCCTGCACTGCGGAGGAAGAGGCCCTTGGATCTCATGGCACTGTCCTCTGCCATTTGCTTGAGCTGCTTCTCGGCCTCCATCTCTCTCATCCACTTGGGAACGTTGCTCTTCTTGGTCTCACCTTGAGGGTGGAGAGCCCAGCGAGACAAAGCAAAACCGCCCTTTTCCTGCTTCTCGATTTCCTCCAGCGACATGCTAACGGCTTTGTCCTTTGCGGAGAACTTGTACCATTTCTCAATGGGGATCATGCGGTACTTTTCCGTTACCTCGCCTGTCTGCGGGTTGACGACTTGTTCCTTGATCATCATGACGTGGCAGTCCGAAAGAGCAGCCTCATAGGCACCAACCCAGGTGTTCTTGTTGTCGAAGTCCTCCAAATGCCATGGCAGCGTTTCCTCGTACCGCAGGCGGGAAGCTTTGATGGCTTGCGGGGTATCGTTACGCTCATAGACCTGCTGGATTTTCTTCTTGTTATCAACAAATGTCCTGCCCTTGGACTTGGGCGCAATCTGCGCCTGAATCTCCTCACGGTTCCGGCGCCTTTCTTCCTTCAGAGCTTCTATCCGCAGTCTTTCCTTGACCTCCTCGTCATTCTCTTCTCCCTCACCCCCAGAATCTGCGCCGGCACCGGACTTTCCAAGCGCAGCGTCGCGTCTATGCAGGCGGATAGGACGGGTGAACTCGGCTTGGTCGGTCGGATCGATGGGGTTCTTGGACTGGAACTTGACAATGTGGTGCCTCAGGCCCTCCAAAAGCGCGCGCTTGGTGGTGAAAAGCGGCGTCGCCTTCACTTGTGTGCCCGGAGGCGGCATAAAGTTCTCATATAAGTTGCTGGAGGGCGCGGCCTTCTGCTGCGCGGCGGCGCCATTGGCAGGAGCACCGGCGGCGTTTGCACCAGACGGAGCAGGCCTTTTCGCCAGCGCGCGCTTATCTTTGGCGCGCTTCGGCTGGACCAAGGGGTTGGCCTTCGGCTTCGGCGGGCGGCGGAGAGCTGACGGAGCGCTGCCGTTCGGGGTGTTGCTCCCGCTGGCGGCGGTCGGAGTGGAGCCGGGGGGACCAGCAGGCGTAGCGCTCATGGTTGGCAACGAAGGACGTGACGTGGGTGGGTGAGGGTGTCGAGGTGAGGTCGCGCGGGCGCGATGATGTCGAGGCAGAAGCTCGAGCGCGATCGAGCAGGCGGGCGCTTTAAGACGGGAGCGCCAATGCGCGAGCGCGGGCGGGGCAGCGAGAGCGCGTGTCGCGGGTAGGCGCGACGAGGGGCAGCACGACACGGCTGGGAGGGAACGGCGAAGGGCTTTGTCGTGTTGGTGTGGGTGGAGGAGCTCTTTGAGGCGGCAACGCTGGTTCTTGGATCATCGGCGCCAAGAGAGGCAGGGATGCGGCTTCCGGGGAAAAGTAGGGCCGATGCGCGTGTCCCGCGGCGATGCGGCGGGTAGGTTGACGCGCAGTGGGCCTAGCGCATGATTGAGCCTCGCATCAATCCCCGTTTGCTCCATCTCTCCTCACCTTGCTGCCATGCCTACCCCGGTCTTTCCCTGAGTCTGCGCCCCCGCCACGTGCTCTCCTCGCCGCCATCCTTATGGATGCTGCGTGCCCTTCAACCATCTCAAAATCTGCCATCTTGCAACCCACGTGGCCTCCGTGAGTAAGGCCGGAATTCTGCTGTAGTCCCTGCTGCTCGTTAAGCTGTCGGAATTACTCAATCGCATAAGCCAACAATTGAGTCGAAACCTGTCGCTTTCTTCTTGCGACGCTCACTTGCCCTCCACCACCAACTTCGCTCCTCTTTTCAATTTCATAGCACCACACCACATTTCCTGCAGCAATGAGCGCGCTACCTCTGGAGGACCAGCTGAGGTCCATGATTCTGAAGAATAGTGGTCCTTCAGACAGTGGTCCACCCTCGTCAGACGGCCAACTCCCCATTTCAAGCGACAACTCCTCAGCGGCACAGGCCACCCCTCAGCGCTCTCCACAGCACCCGCTCTCGCAACCGCGCACTGGACGTTATTCAAACCGACCGCAATCACAGCAGCTTCCCCCAGGTTCTGCAGGCTCACCCCATCAAATCCGCCACAGCCCGCACCATGGACGCGGCCAATCAGGCCCCGGACGCCCGTACTTTGGTCAAGGATCTCCTCAGCAACGCCAGCATGGCTTTCCCTCGCCTCATGCCAGCCCTGGTTATGTTCCACCCCACATGCGTAACCGCAGCAGTGAATGGCACCAGCAAAGAGGAGGCTTCCATCAATCCAGGGCATCTTGGCAGCCCCAACAGCAGCAGGGACCTCACTTCAGCCCTTCCGCACCAGGCGTGCCTCCCAACTCAGGCAACTTTGGCTCTCCACACGGCTACAAGCAGGGTGCCCCGGGACCTCCCCCCTTCCAGATCCTGCAAAGACCGAGCCCGAGCGGACCCGTGAATGGTCCATTCCGCCCTGGACCCCCGCTTTTCAATCCCAACCAGCGTTATCAGCAGCATCAACTCCAACTCCAAGAAAAGCTTCAGGCACAGTGCAGGTATCTGGGCAATCTTGCTGCGATTGAAATCCCGAAGGTTGCTATGACCGATGCCGAGCTGAAGGAGAAAGATGATTTCATTCTGAGACTTCAGCAAATATGCCAGAGCGAGATAGGCGCTTTCCCTGAAGTTCCAAGCATTCAGTTTAAGTGCTTTGGGAGCGTAGGTACTGGTTTCGCTACGAAAGGTTCCGATATCGATCTGGCCGTGGTTACAGAGAACGGCGATGATACGGAGTTGGCGCAGAAGTTTGGACCCCGCGCTCTGGAGAAAATTTTCCTTGATCATGGTTTTGGTGCCCGCCTTCTTACGAACACGCGTGTCCCTATCATCAAATTCTGCGAGAAACCGTCAGCAGAGTTGCACGCGAATCTAATTGCGGAACGCAAGAAGTGGGATGATCTCCCCGAGGAGGAAAAGAAAGCTCTCCTAGAAGGCGGCAGAAAGTCTCCTGATGATGAAAAGGCGGCTGAGGACCCCGAGGGTGCAGATGCTGCAGTTGGCGAAGAATCACCAACACTGAAGGACGATAACGCGCTTCACCCGGACAAGAAGACACCGTCGAGACGGAAGAAAAGCGGTAGCCCCACTGCGGCATCCTCAGCCAAGGACGATAGTAATGATACTACACATAAGGAGGTGCCTACAGCAGGTGGTGAGAAAGCGGCGTCTCAACCAGATCCTAACGGTCAGGAACAAGTTGCTGGAGATGAGTCCGCTGCAGGCCAGAAGCGCGACCGCCGTCCGGAGAAGCCGTGGTTGCGTGAGAAACCAATGGGGCCGCTCGATTTCCCGAAGGACGGCGTTGGCATTCAGTGCGACCTCAACTTCGCTGGTCACCTGGGCATCTACAATACGAGGCTCCTCCACTGTTACGCAATCAGCGACCAGCGCATTAGAGATATGGTGATATTCGTCAAGGCTTGGGCCAAAACGCGCAAGATCAACAGCTCATATAATGGCACCCTGTCATCTTACGGTTACGCCCTGATGGTTTTGCACTACCTCATCCGAATCCCCGAGGAGCCAGTTACCCCCGATCTGCAACAGTTGACTAACTTTACCGCAATTGGCCAGTCTCCGGAGGTAGTAGACGTCATATGCAACGGACATGTCGTCAAATTCCTTGCGGACAAAGAGTACATCCTTGAAAAGGCCCACAAAGGACAGTGGACGTGCAACAAGGATTCGCTAGGCTCGCTGTTGAGAGGCTTCTTCCGATACTACGGATGTCCTGGAGTGCCCGATCGTGTTGGAGGTTTCCATTGGACGCGTGACGTGATCACTTTTGGTCAGCGGAAGCCCCAAGAAAGGATGGTCACGAAAGAGGAGCTGGGTTGGACGAAGGCGCGCGTGGAAAAGGCTAGCGTAAGTTGTATTCGCTTTTCTTTTCATTTGTGCCAGAACAGCTTACTAAAACTTGCGAACAACAGAAAAAAGAGGTCCGCCACCGCTACCTTGTCTGCATCCAAGACCCCTTCGAACTCGACCACAACGTCGGCCGCACGGTCAACCACCAAGGCATCTGCGCCATCCGCGAGGAGTTCCGCCGCGCCTGGCGGATCCTCGACGATGAGGCCAACGGCCGCCCGCACAAGGACCTCTTCGCAACTGTCGAGGACGACCCGCCGCCGCCACAGTTCGTCGGCGGTGGCCAGCACAGGCCGACCCCAAGTACTGCCACAACCGACCCGACGACGGACCCTTCGACGATGGCGGCGACTCAGCGAGGTGGCGAACCTGGCACTGCCCCATCTGTCGGCCACGCCGACGCTGGCGTAGAGACACTTGTTAGAAAGGGCATCGTCTCGACCGTCGACGGTGCGAGGCGACCCTCTGCTGCGGGTAACGGTGCGAACGGCTTCGGTGCGGAGGCCATCGCTAAGGTGAACGGGAAGCTGGCCGAGGCGGCGAAGAGGCAAGCCTCGACTTAAGAGCGGGTTCTTACGCCATGTCAACGGGACTTGGGAGCACCAAAAATACGACGGGATCGACTGTCCTCTGTGGAGAGGTCGTTTACTGGAATTTCAGTAGGAATACGTGTATCGGCGTCGCGGTTACGCGTTGGTGCCGTTATACCGTCTTTTCTTTTCCCTTTTTCTTTCCCGGCGGGACCATCTGCTCACTTTCGGCGCGTGTGTATTATATCGGACATGGTGGCTATCTGACGCAAAAGTAGGGGGCGTTTAGGAGGCATAGTAGCAAGGAGTTCGGGGAGGCAAATCTCGGAAGAAGGTGGAGGCAAAATTCAAAAGAAGATGAACAAAAAAAAAGCATTTTTCTCGGGCTAGGAACTGGTACTGGCTGACGAGTCTCGGGCGTGGGGGTTGGCTCTAGAACGGCCAGCTGAAAGATAGGCAGGAATGGCCTGGACCTGTTTAACGTTGCACAAGGTTAGGAAAGGAGTCATAAATCATGGTTGTACGACAGAAAGAAATAGGGGGCCGCGATGCATCGATCCGACTGTCTCACATCTTTAACGCTTTGCTCTTCTGCCTTGATGTTGTGCTACTTCTGAAAATGAGAGGGGTTTCATAGACCGTTGCTGCTGGTGAGACTGGGAAGTGATCATTTCTGGCATCTCGTGCGCATTGAAGCATGTGCCCGTCTAGGCTGTAAAGTGCCGGCTGGTGATGAGAGATTACGCTCGTTTGTGTTTGCCCCTTGTGCGTTTCAGAAGATATTGCTAGCCTTGTATATTCTTTTTGCACTTTAAAGCCTGTTTCAAATATACCGTGGGGAGGGGGGGATCTGCCGGATGGCCTCAGGCTTGCATCACGAAAGACCAGATAAAGAGTGAAGAGAAGCCTACAAGGCTGCATCAATTAAACTATTGCTAGTCATCTCCTGATCCACCAGGCAGGGTCGCTTGCACCCATAACGGTGAGAAACGTCCCATCATCGAACCGTGATATCATGCGCAAAAGGAAAGGATCCCTCCTTAGAAGAGTCCAGAGCGGAAAGGAAAGAAGAAAATGAGACGAGATTTGTGCTCTACTCTCTTTTCTCTCCGTATTCTTTAACCCGACTTGACAGTCTCCTCGTGCGTCGAAACAACGGTCTCCTCGCCGACGGTGTTGACGGTGACCTTGCGCTCGCCCTTCTCGATTTCGCTGGCGAGGCGGTCGAGCTTGGAGCCCTTGAGGGCGGCGGCGCTCTTCCAGGCGGGCAGGCCGGAGTCGAAGACCTCGTCCATCTCCTCGAGCGTCTTGCCCTTGGTCTCGGGGGCAGTAAGGAACATGTGGATCAGAGCTGCGCCGTTGAAGGCGGCGAAGATCATGTACCTGGGAATAACGCGTTAGCTGGAGGGTAGAGGCAAGTTAGGGTGGGGGAAGGGCTTACATCTTCCAGTTGATGGACCAGAGGAGCGGGGGAACGGCGAAGGCAAGAATGCAGTTCCAAGCCCAGTTGGTAGCGGTCGAGAGCGAGACGGCCTTAGCACGAATCTTGGCGGGGTAGATCTCAGACGGGTAGGTCTGGAAGAGAGTTCACTGTTAGCAAAGCACGTGAAAGCATGGATGTTGAGAAGACTTACCCAGGACGTCGGGCCCCAGGTGGTGGCGAAGGAAGCGACGAAGAGGTAGGAGCAGGCGATGACGGCCTTGGAGGCAGCCGGGTTGCCCATGAGCACCCAGGAAATGTCGTCCAGGGTGGGGTCGGTGCGAGGGTTGGGGGCACCGTAGGCGCCTTGGACCGAGCCGGAGATGAAGAGCCAAGTCATCATCATGAACGAGCCAGCGAGCAGAGCGGGGCGACGGCCGAAGCGGTCGAGGTAGAGGATGGCCGGGAGAGTAAGGGCGACGTTGATGATGTACTGGATGGAGGCAGTGAGGAGGGGCGAACCGACGCCGGCAGCCTCCATGATGTAGACGATGTAGTACATCATGATGTTCATGCCGCAGAGCTGCGACCACATCTGAATGGACATGCCGAGGATGACACGCTTGAGCATGCGAGGAGCGACGAGAGCCTTGAAAGAAGAGACGGCCTCCTCGCGCTCGAAGCGGAGAGCCTCCTCAATCTCGTGGTACTCGGCAAGCACCTTGGGGTGGTTGACATCGCCGCTTCCGTGAAGGTTGGCGAGAACCTGAAGAGCCTCCTCCCAGCGGTCCTTGCTGGCGAGCCAACGGGGCGAGCGAGGCAGGAAGAACATGCCGACAAACAGGATAGCACCGGGGACGATCTGGATACCCCAGGGAATACGGAAGGCGGCAGTGCCCTGGTTGGGAGCCTTGGGGCCGCCGTCGGCGAAGGAGGCGCCGTATTGGATGAAGTACTGGATCAGGATACCCCTAGACAAAATGTCAATTGCTGGAAGCGAGCGGTCCAGGCGGGCGTTTCTTACCAGGTGATGGCCCACTGCTGGAGCGAGACGACACGACCACGGATCTCCTTTGCGGCGATCTCGGACTGGTAGACGGGGACAATAGCAGAGGCGATACCAATGGCCATACCGGCGATGACACGACCGACGCAGAGCAGGGCGACACCGTTGCAAACGGTCTGGAGGAGAGCGCCGAGCATCCAGATGACCGAGGCGACCTGGATGGCGGTGCGACGCGAGTACCTGTCGGCAATGAAGGACGAGCACAGGGCGCCGACCAGCGAACCAGCGGGCATGGAGGCGGTAATGCCACCCTGGCGGTACGAGGCCGGGCTGTCAAAGTAGTTCTTGTAGGCATTGGTGCCGAGGACACCGGACATGGACGAGATATCGAAACCGAACAGACCACCGCCAAGTGCGGCGAAGCCGCTGTTGAAGAAGACAATTAGCTTGGTTCAGCGCGATTCTTGGAGTGGAGACGTACCAAATGGTGTAGACGCCGTAGAACGTCTTGACCATCTTGAACAACCTGAGTGGAGTGAAGTGATGGGGTTCGGATGGTGGGTTTGGCGGGCAGCTCAGGCAAAGGTCCCAGGCCTTGGCGCAACGAACTTTTGAGTTGCACTGGGGTAACCGTAGGCAGCGAGAGAAAAGGCGGGCCGGGTGAGGAGGGGTAAAGGTTTATTTATGGGCGGTTGGCGTGCGGCGGCGAGAGTGATGGTGGCCCGTTTAGGACTAGCGCGAGCAGTGAATCTTTTCAGCCTTTTCGCAGCTTCGCATTTGCACGACGCGAGATTGCGCCCCGAGCTCAGTCGCGCCGGCGCCATGTCCCGTTGTGAAGGAAAAAAAATTTCGAGCTGCGTCGAAGCTCTCACGCTGCCATTTCGCGACTTAATCAACGTGGAACTTCTCGCTCGCGCTGTTCTCCTCGCACGCTACATTACCCGACGAGGCCAGGGACTCCTGCGACTGGAGCGAGATGCGATGCAGCGGGGATGCGGGGGAAGGGCACAGCAGCGTGGCACGAGCATGGGTGGGCTGGTCAGGGCAGGATTGCCATCCTCGCGATACGACCAATGGGGCCCGAGTGGTCTCGCGTGCAGCATGACACGGGCGGAGCTTGTGACTTGTGTGGGCTGGACTGGGCAGGCGCCGCGGGTGTGGCCGAAACAGGGCGCTTCTCCGCTTCTCCACACAGTTTAATCGACCTTAATCCAACCTTCAGCCGCGGCCAAGCCAACGCTGCCGGAGCAATGCACGCCGTGTCGTCTGGGGGTGCGCTCCACGGAACATGCCAACGCGCGCGCACGCCGGCGACGCCTCCGGAGAATTTGACGCCTGTTTCCCTCAGCGCTGCGCACCAATGCTCCCCGAGCGCCCGCAAACACCACGACTCTGCGCTCGCTTCGTGTCACGCTGACATTTATCCGCTCCTGCTTGTGCGCGCCAGCTAGTTCCAGACCAGGCACTTGTTCGAAGCGAGCGGCGAGTCCCTTGGAGCTACCGTATCGCGAATCGTGAAGATCCTCCACCGCCAGCTGCTCTGGTTTCGCACCTCGCCGCCACGACTGGAAAAAAGCCACATTGCAACCGTTGCACCGCTTGCCGACCCTGCTGCACTCACCGCAAATGGCCAAAACGCCCCTCCCCGCAGCCGCGCTGCTCATTGGTGGCCCATGCGGAACGGGCGTTGGGTCGAGGCGTCGGAGGAGGCGTCGCCTGAGTCGCCTGCTGGATTCGCGCCTGCCCAGACTGCCAGTCTTGGCCCGCTTTCGGCCTTTGATGCGTGACTGCAATCCGGCAGAGCGAGCTCATGTGAACCCGAGCCCTTTGCACAGGCGTCCAGTCGACATTCTCTTTCCTTTTTCAACTGTCACACCCCATGTCACCATCCAGCCAATCATGCCGCCCCCATGTCTCTTCCTTTCAGCCTCGCCGCGGCCACGCCGAGCAATGCCACGAAAACTGCTTCCCGTTTGCCACAAACCTTAACCTCTCGTGCCACTCGCCTTGCGAGAATCACGAGAGCCTACGAACATCATGGGTATTCGATGCAGAATGGTTGGCTCAGACAGGGTCTCGCTCTCGACCGACTGCTGAAAACCCATGCGAATCCTTCGACGTCCAGCCAACCGGTCAGCGAACAGGAACAGCGAACGCTGCTGCAGCTGCAGGGGTAACCACTAACAATATAGCTGCATCCATCCATCAGGCGCGGTCAGGTCAGGACAACGTTACTCCAGCCAGGATAGCTGCCGAATCCCGAAATCACGGCGCATTCCTTCTCGCGTTCCCAAGAGACATCTACTGACCACGTGAATCTCTTGCTTTCTATTTTTTTCTGCCTTCACGGTACCCCGCAAATTGCAGCCACGCTAATGCACGTCAAGCGCAACGCAAGAGTAGTCTCTTGGCCGCAACTCTGAGCCGGGATTTCACACAAGCCGATCAAGCTTATTTCCAGTGACCGCAGGGCTGGTAGCTGGTTGTCGGTTCCCGGCGGCATGCTCTGCCTAATGGTCTTCTCTATTTTGCCGGTAGAGTCATCTCGCACATTTCTATTCACTAGAATACGGCACATGAACTGGTATACTGGACTGTGTCATGCTGAACCGAAGAGAAAGAGAAGAGAGATGCGACACATGTTGCACATAGCCTTGTCAATGCATACCAGTCGTAACGTGTGCACTACAAGAGCAGTAAGATTCCCTGTTGTCCATGCCGTAAGCTACATCAGTTGCACTCATTCGGCCATCGAAAGGAGGATCAGGCGAAAAAGAAGGCAAACATCGATATTTGCTGGGTTGCACAACATGACCATAGTGATGCCTGGTCAGTACGACAATGCTTCCCACGATTCGTGGTACCGAATTTAATATCCATGCAGGTACGAGCCTGTGAGCCGCGGCTAGCCCACATGGGTACTCTGACGCAAGCAAGGGATGGAATATCCTGCCAGAAGTCGAACAGGTAGAACAGCAATCAAACAATCAGGTCCGCGTCTACTGTTGGGGTTTTACGACTTTACAAATGGGAAGTCTTTTGAGTGACTGGACCGTTAAAGTTGCACCTGTGCATAACTCATATGATACCGGGTAATCAGCAGCGACAATGCTTCAGCAACGTGACAAGCTTTACAAGGATGTGTTGCTCTGGGCGGTGGTTTATCCGAGCCGAGTAAGCGAAGCCGGCGTCCACACTTTGGGTACGATCTAATCTAATGAGCGTAAAAGTAAGTAGTCAGTGGTCGCTTCGCTATTTCTTGTGACGATCCGCTCCTAACCTTTTCTTTGTTTTCGCGAGACAGCTGCATTGGAAACAGTAGTACGAGCCGCACGTAACGTGGCTTATGAGGCTTGTTCTATTTCGGCAAAGCTTCTTTACAAAGATCATTTACCGGGATCAGCAGCCCGTTAGCGTTCGAAAGGGCTTGGTAAGACAGGTCATGGAGTTCTCCTCGGAAGCGGTAATGCCACGTGAAGCATGCATGGTCCCCAGGGGCGCTTGACTAACCATCGCTAGAAATCCCATCATCATGACACGCATGCTCTACCACCGATACCCATCCAGGAAGCTTACTTGCACTACAACAAAGTGAAACGAGCAGACCTAGAGCAGGACGATGACCTCTTGTATTTCGGCCGTGAGCTTAGCGAGAAACAGCGTGACATCTGGCGCCCTGCAGGCAGCATTTCTGCATCCATTATAGAAAATGCATGCGCCGAATACCGGAAAGCAGCCCTACCGCACCTAGGCGCCGAGGGTCCGTCGAAGACAGAATTTAAGGATGCTATCATCTACGAGCATAAGGACATCCCTGGTAGGTCTAACTGCAGTTTTCAACAAAGTATTCTAAACTCATTGCCTCACAGGCCTTCAGATAGTGCCCGGAATCCTTCCCATGGAGACTCAGATACTATACACATCACAGTTGATGCACAGAGACCTGGCGGACCCGAAACATAAAATCAACCTCGAGGCAGACTATCGCATTCCCTATCCGCCCGCAAAGTCGGAAGACCCCTCCGATACAACAGCCACCACTAAACCCTCAGTGCCGTCGTGCTCCTTCTTCAGCTACGCACAGTCCTCCCCATCGCAACAGCTCCACCCGAAGGACACAGCGTCGGGCAGGAAGCCGCTGAACATGGCGCAGTTCCTGGCCAGCAAGCTGCGGTGGCTGACGCTGGGCGAGCAGTACGACTGGCCCACGCGCAGCTACGGCATCACCCGCACGCCCTTCCCGCACGACCTGTCGCGCCTCGTCACGGGGCTGTTCCCCCACATCCGGCCCGAGTCGGGCGTCGTGCTCATCTACTCGGGCAAGGACTACATGCCCGTCCACCGCGACGTCAGCGAGTTCTGCGAGCGCGCCCTGGCCTCGTTCACGCTCGGATGCGAGGGCATCTTTGTCATCGAGAGGGAGGATGACCGAGGAGATGGCGGTGAGCAGGAGTCGTCGGGTACGGAGGCGCCGGCTGGTGGGCAAGAGGGCGAGGGAGACCAGCAAAACCGCCTCGAGCCTCGGCGTAGGCCAGACAAGACGGTCGCTATCAGGGTTCGGAGTGGAGACTGCATTCTGCTGTCAAAGGAGGCGAGGTGGGCGTGGCACGCGATGCCGCGGACGATTGCGGGCACGTGTCCGGAGCCGTTGGCGAAGTGGCCGGTGGGCACGCCGGGTGCTACGGAGGAAGAGCAGAAGGCGTATGCGAAGTGGAAGGGATACATGAGCGCGAAACGTATCAATATCAGCTGCCGCCAAGTCTGGGATTGAAACCTGCACTTGTGCGTGTTGCTATCTGATATAATTAGGGACTCTGCTGAGTTTTGGCGGTCAGTTTCACACGGGGGTACTAGCAAGTCTAGAGCCTCATCATCAGATGGCCGAATCGAGCTTCGCAGAGTTCGGCTTAGGGCGGCCAGAAGACAAACATCGACCCGGATGCGGGAAAGGCCACTGAAATGTGAGCATTGAGATGGACACGAACAGTGGGTGGCCAGCAGAAAAGCATTACGGTATTTTACCAATGGACTTCATCGAACAAAAATCAAAAGAACGAGGAAGGTACAAGAATCAGAAATGTTCCAAAATCTGTGTTGTCCAGAATCTTGAGATAAATCAGACTGCTCCGAGACGCCGACCAAGATGTCCCCAAAATGCTCCCATCAACCCAAAGACCGTGAATATTGGTGCAGACGCATTCTGCAAATCATTTGGATGATTCTTCAACCAATATATCCAGAAGGCAAAAGCGGCGAGTATAAGGACGGCATGATAGATGAAAAGCATTGCAAAAGACAAAGCATACTCTGCCTCAATTCCGAAAATGACACGATCATCCTTGGTCAAAGCTGTCTTTTTCCTGGGAATTCTCATCAATTTTTGAGAAGTTCTGGGCAGAAAGCGGCACTTGTGGAGAGTTGCCGACATCGAAGACCAACCACACCTGGTGTTGCATGCCGCCAGACAGGCGGAAAAGAGCTTGGAATCAATCGGTGAGTTTTTTGCCCGAGGTGGCTTTGGGCTGTAGTCGTAGTCTGGATCATGCTCGTAAATGTTGGCGCTGTTGAGCCAAGCTGGCAGTCCATCCTCGCTGGAGAAAAGCGGATCGTCGAACACATGCTCAAACTAGCGCGGTCAGCCTCACAAATGGCGCGTCTATGCAGGTAAGCTTACGCGGACAAAATTGCAGTATCTGAAACGAAACGGCGATAGCCATCGGTTCACAAAGGGACGGTAAGCGTCATGTCGGCTCTTGAGCTCTCCAAAGAATGACGAATCGTCTAGATCGTCCCTGGTTCCAACGGTCTCGATGTGATCCAACCCATATTTGCTTCGTATTCCAAAGATGACACGTGGATCATTGTTGTGAAACCCCGGGGTGCTATTGTGATCAACGCCACAAGCTTGTGCAAGCCCTCCGCTCTGTACTGCGCTCGAAGACGGAATCGCTGCTATGTTCTGACCAGAGTTGGAGTTCGAAGGAGCACTGGAAGAAGTCCTCGCCGCCCCAGTGGGTGTATATCGCTGCTGAGCTGTCGAAGGGGCTGACGCAAATGAAGAAGTTGCAAGATTCTGTTTTGCCCAATTCCGGACCCCCTCGAAAAAGCTGACGGAAGGGCTGCTCAGACTGAGTGATTTCGGATTTGTTCCATAATCAGAGCATTCCGGTAGATTTCCGTCCATAACTGCAAGGGCATTCCGCAGAGACTCTGCATCTTTGGGAGAAATCTCGCTGTAGAGAAGTTGGCCGCAAACCTGAAAAATGTTAACATATTCTCAACACCATATGCTGAGATACGACTCTGCACCTACCTCCCACTGAAGCCGGAATTTATTTCGGCCAACATCCGGCACTCGAGGCATCAGAGGCCACCAATCCCATTCCACTCCAGTATAGTCTTCCGTGAACGCCTTCGCCCTGTTCACCAATGAACTATCATTGGTCGAGGAAATGGCAATCGAACCCATAGACGCCATGTCGAGTACATCTCGGATAGAAAGTGGAAGAGTTAAGAGACGCAGCTGAAGAATTAGATTCTGGAAAGGCTCTCCCCGCCGCAGAAATGCTTTGGCCTGTTCGATACTGGCGATGCTGATATCTTCAAAAAGCTCTCCATCTTCAGCCTCATTGCTGCTTTCGTTAGTCCTATCGTTCTGCTCGTCTATGCTTTGCTGAGGCGCCGTGTTGCCTAGCTGTGCAAGCCAATCTCCAATTCTCTTTTGGACCTTCTGTGATGAAAGTTGATCCAGATGTGACGAATCATCCTTGCTAGTGGTTTGCATAATGTTAGCGATCCTTTGTCCAATAGTGTACCTGTTAAAACGTTTTCTCAGAACAAGCGCCGTTTGCTTTTCGACGATGGTTTTGGCCTCCCTCTGCAATTTCACGAAGTACAGTTTCAGAACTCTCCGGTAGTTCTCAGAAAATCGCTCCGGACCAAGTTTCTCCAACAATTCCTGATGTAACGGACGTAGGTCCTCTACTTCGGCAAAGAAGTGTCCGAGTTCTTTGACTGCCGCTATCTCCTGGTGCGAACGATTGCTCCCGCTCTTGGAAGCAATGTCTTCGTCATTAGATACGACGGATGCATAGTCGTATCCTGTATCATGATATTGCTCGGACGGCCCTGGGTTTGGGAAGGAGAACTGACCCTCAAGTGTCATCGCTTCGGTTTGAGTGTCTATTAGTGTTGTTTCTGCTGCTGTCGAGTCCACAAGAGTAAGTTGATCAGAAGTGGGCTCTATAATTGGCGGGAAATCCGAAGCGAGGGAAGGCTCCTCCGACGGTAGGAAAGGGTCCTCTAGCGGTAGGCCAGGCTCGACCATCTTCTCTTTCTTGTCTTTCTTCCAATTAGCCGTTCCCCACCCACCCCAGTCATCTTCGGCAGCAGGTTCGGGTGCAAGAGGTGGAAGAGGTGGTGGCATAGGTTCAGGCTCCGGCTCGAGATTCACATTCTTACCCTTCTTCTTCTTTTTCTTCTTCCGCGAAGAAGCTGTTCCCCATCCGCCCCACTCGTCATCCGACGCGGCTTCAGCAAGTGGCGTTATCTTGGATACTGGTTCGGGTTCAGGTTCAGGAAGAACGATAACGGGCTCCGGCTCAGCATTACCATTTTTCTGATTATCCTGTTTGTTCCCGAGTGCCCGGATGTCATCCGCTGTAGCGTCTGTAGTGGCTAGAGGTTCGGGTTTAGGCGGCGGTAGCGGTGGCTTGTTAAGAAGCTCAAAGCTTCCCTTCTTCTCTTTCTTGTCTTTCTTAGACATCGCCGTGCCCCAGCCCCAGTCATCTCCCTCGTTTTTCCCCTCTACTGCAGCGTTGAAGCCGAAATTGAACCCAGTACCGGGCTTCGTCGAACCCTCAAAGTTCCAGATATCATTGGCGTCGGTAGCCTCATCCACAGCGGCGTCATCTTTCTTATCAGTCGAGAAGGCCCAACTAGTTGCACCCCAGTTAAAGCCTATATCTCCTCCAAAGCCGGTACCGGCCTTGGAATCTGTACCGTCAAAATTGAGATCGATATTTGGGGCATCCGAGCCATCGCCCAGGTCGATGCTATCGAAGTCCATGCCGTTGGCGGCATTTTCAGGAGCGTGCTCTGATGGCATATCGTGGTAATCTGCGAAGAGTGAATATTCGTTGATCCGGTATAATAGAACAAAAGCAACTTACAAGGCGTTGGTACCGCCTCCTGATCTGAAAACAATTTCTGGTAGATATCTTTCCACTTCTCCCCTTCTGTCTTCGTGTTACTTGTCCGCTCTTCATTCTCCACCCTGCTTTCTTGCTCCTGATCAAGTCCATCGCTGTAGTCCACCTGACATTCTCCCGCATCTTGGTGTTCATCGAGGGCTGCAATGTTGTTGAACTGTTCGTTACATCTAACACAGCGCGGCTGCATATGATGCCTATATAGATGCTCCCTTGGCTGCGTTAGAGATAGTTATCGCAATATGCTTTGAGCTGCTTACTTTAGACGTGCGATGTTCTTAAAACCAGGATAAACACAAGACCTCTGCTCAGGCTCTTCGTTTGGCGACCGCTTATAGTACGGACAGGCAAAGCGTAACATCGGTCCTTCTGTTATGATTCTAAGCTCTGGCCGAGATATCTGATTAGGTGCTGGCGGAGGTGCGAGCCGATCGAAATTGCCCAGTCGGATGCCATGACCTGAATGGTAACCACCTTGCGCAGCAGATGGAAAGCATTCATGGTCCAATCCCTGGATTCCTGAAGAGCTTGACAAGAGTTCCGGCTGCTCTGGACGGATAGTTGCTGATCGCGGACGCGAGAGTGACTGGATCTGAGGCTGGAAGGGCGTCCATGCATCTTCTTGATCACCAGCCTCGGGCTGACCTTCATTTCCGCTTGGTCTCATTTACTCGGGGAGCACCAGTATGATCCAAAGACACAATTTTTGAGGAGGCGAGATATATACCGTCTGGCCTAGGACAAAAGAATAACAGTGCAACCGTTTCGCAAGAGAAAGATTGTGGGCGAAGAGGGGGCAAGGCGGAGAATGGAATAAGACTCAGCCTCGCAGCTTACCAAAACCTGCGCATGCGTAGTGGGGCGACATCCATTTAGTAAGCGATGGATCAACGTTTCTATTTGCCAAGTGTCTACGCCTTGCAGCTAAGCGCCGACTCTGCCCTCTACGCCTCCGGGCTTGCATCAATCCATGCCGTGTTCCCAAATTCGCCGCTAAATGGCCACTGGAACACCTTGCTCAAGCTATCATACGGCTCATACTCCTCCGTTGTCAGCAGCCTCGTCACATTCGCCACCTTCCTCCCCGTCTCATTCCAGCCCGGCCCAAAATCGTCAAACTCGGCCATGAAGGTGTAGTTATTCGTCCTCGGATCCGTCGAGCCCCAAGGGATATACCCGCTGCTCTTGATCGAGTCGTCCAGATAGGTATCCGCGAAGATGCTGCGATGCTGTGCGTTCCACGGGCGGCCGAGCGGACACAGGCCGGCGATGGCGAGCGAGGAGTTGGCCTTGCGCACCTCGGAGTCGTGGATGTAGACACCGTATTTGTTCTCGAAGGTAGTGTTTGTGCCCTTCCACGCGGTGATGCCGCCGCCGCAGGAGCGGAGCGAGAGCAGCGAGGACTGGATCCACGCGGTGCCGAAGCCGTAGAGGAAGTCGGTCTGGCCGGCGATGGTGGAGTCGTAGAAGTAGGCGTTGCCGAGCTTGCCGATGTAGATCTGTTGCGGGTTAGTCAATCGTTTGCAAAGAAGGGGTGCGGTATTTCTTTGGACTCACGGTGTCCTGATAGCTGTAGAACCCGCAGTAGTAGAACCCAGCGTTTGCGTAGCTAACGCTGATGGCCAGGCTCGGCCCCGCCGAGTACGGCGCGTAGTCGTTCACAAAATCGACGTTGTAGGCGCGGAAATCGGCGTTGCCGAACGGCGTGCCTGCCGGCACCGCATGACCCGTGGGCCCGCTGCCCGTCAGACTGCTCTCGAGCGTCGGCGCGACGGTCAGAACGGACGTATAGGCGTTGTCGAAGCTGTTGACCGCGTTGCCGGTCGCTTCTCGCCACAGGATGGTAACGCCGTTGGTGGTAGCGTTGTTGGGCGAAGAGGTCTGGCCGAGAAGTGTGACCGGCCCAGGCCGCGTGATGTTGACTTGCTCGGTGTAGGTGCCTGGGAGAATGAGGATGGTTGCGGGCGTGGTGGTGTTGCCGAGGGAGAGGATGGCGGATTGGATCGAGGTGAAGGTGGTGTTGCTGCCGCTACTGATGGTGCTGTTGGGGCTCACGAGCAATGTCCCGGGTTCGCAACCGTCCAGAGGGTCTGCTGTTGGTGCCTGGCATTCTGCACGGCTGTAGGCATGGAGGGCGGAGGAGTGCGGGATTGCAGAGAGTAGAAGCAGAGATAGGACAGACGTCAACGATTTCAGTGAAGAAAATGCAGCCATGATGACGAAAGCTCAGGGTCCCTAGCACTGAGAGACCGGGAAAGAAAGCACGTAGATCGCATCTATGTACCTGGGCACCCGTGTTTATCAATGTTCCGGCAGATGCACCAGGAGCCGGGAACGGTATGCATGGGTCGCCAGTACCGAGGGGCTGGGGACGTGTCGATATGGAGAAACGGACTTTCTTTTCCTGCTCGTATGCAAGCAATAGCGGAGCATGCAAGCATTTCGGCACCCAGGACATGGCTTTCTGGGGAAAGTGTGGGGTTTAGCCGGACGTGGGGAAGACAAGGATCCTGATGCATCATTCATTTCTTCCACCAGTAACTTTCTCTGCTCAAAAGCCTCCGAATTGAGTCCGACGCTTTGACCCAGGGGCAGCATGGGTAAGCTTTGGCGAAGCAATGAAACATCCGCCAATTTTTCTTTTTAATAGTGATTGCATAAGATTGCGTTTATCAGATGAATCGAGTTTCGAGTATTGGTTCTGAAAGTTACCCCATTCAGAAGTGTGCGCGCGCATCAACAAAAAAGAGGATTTACTCCTTGGAACTTTTCCATTTTCTTTTAGTCTCGGCTTTGACGTCCACCTGTGCTTACTTTTGCTGATACTTCTCGCCGGTGCCCGTCTTGACCGCAGACCTCTGCGCAATCCTGTCGATCCAGGCGAGCAAGTGTGGGAACTGCTTCACATCCTCCTTGGTGAGTCCGCTAAACTCCCACTTCGCAATCCACGGCCATGTGCCGATGTCGGCAACGCTGTACTTGCCCTGGCCCTTGCCGGCCAGGTACTGGCGGGGCTCGCCAGAGTACTTGCCCGACAGGTGAATTTCCAACACACCATAGACCCGTAGCGTTTCATTCTTGAAGCGCTCAATGGCGTACGGAATCTTCTCCTTGGCGAACTTGCCGAAGTGGTTCAGCTGTCCCTGGTACGGCGCTCCGCTGCCTATCATCGTTTACGTCATTAGCAAACATTCGTGTAACTAGGTCAAAATTCCCTGGAAAAGGCTTACCGTGCCAAAAAAAGAGCCACTGCAGCGCCTGGCTGCGCTCGAGATCGTCCTTGAAACCGAAGACGTCATCCTTGTCGTACTTCTTGAGCAGGTACAGAAGCTCCGCCGACGTCTCGTGAACGGGGAAAGGCGGGTTCTGCGTGTTGTCGATAAGGATGGGGATGCGGCCGTTAGGGTCTAGACGCAGGAACCACTCTTTCTTCTGCTCATTCGTGGCGATGTTGATCAGGGTGGTGGTCCAGGTGATGCCGTAGACTTCGGCGAGCTCTTCTAAGAAGATTTGGACCTTCTGACCATTGGGAGTGCTCTGTGTGACGAGGTGCAGACCCTTAGCATTCTTCACGTCCGTAGGCGTGTCGTCGCCGTAGAGGTAGGACATGTTGAGAGGGTAGGTTTCTTGCACGTGAAGGAAGTGGGGGGTTGTTGTGAAGGATGATCAAAGGATTCGGTTATGCAGTGGCTTTGTTGCCGGAAGCTCGGATTGAGATTTACGAGTTTTTATAGATCGGAGCAAGAACTGTGGAGCCCGAAGTCGCGCGATATAAGTTGACGATGAGACAAAGGTCCCGTCATCATCGTGAAGCACGCAATGCCCCGCAATTACTAAGCCACTCCTGCCCCGCACTCACTGCGTCGGAGCTAACCAATCCCCGAGTGCGAAGGTGTCGCAAGGGATGTGCGCAATCAATCAGCTGCTAGAAATTTGAATGTTCTTTTATTACTTAGTCATCTTTATTTACAAGGTCAAGTGGTTGTTTAAGCAGCAACGTTGACAGTGCTGACGGTCACGCTGTTGCTCTCGCCGTTCAAGACACCACCACCTGCGATGAGAATCTCACCCTCAGTGCCCAGCGTCATCAAGCTGCGCGTGTATGAGGTGCTCTCAACCGTTTCCAAGTCGTACCAAGCATCCGGATGACCGAGCGCCCGGTTGATGAAGACTTGCGACTTGGTGCCGCAGCTGACAACAATGGTGCCATTCTCGCCGCCAGCTGGAGTCCAGACGACGTACGGAGAGCCGACGGGAACAGTGTTGGACTGGGTGCGGATGACCTGGCCGGGGGCTGAGTCAAACAGAAGCGGGTCTTCGGAGAGGCGGTAGTAGACGGAGAATGAACCCTCCGCAGCGCCGTGGAACTCGTACGTGAGGATGTACTGGCCGTTGGGGAGAAGGGCGACGGTTGGCATGCCAGGGCGGAAATCGTAAGTATCGTAGGCAACATCGTCGACGATATCGCCCCAGTTGACAAGGTCGGTGGAGACCTGGTGGACCATTTTCTGGCCGTGATCGGGATCGCGCTGGTCCGAGTAGTAGGTGATGATTTGGTTGTTGTACTCCATGATGAAAGGCTCCCAGACCGGGGTCTCGCCGTTGTTGGGAAGACCGCGGCCTCCGCTGGCGACAGACGAGACAAACTCCCAGTTGACACTGAATCTGTTAGAACTACGCTTGTCTAAACTTATAGAGATTGTTGGACTCACCCCCTATCCCTGCTGGCATAGATATCAATCTTTGTGAAGTTGAGGTCGGTGGGCAGCGCGTTGCCAGCGCAAAGAATGGTGCCGGCCTCGTAGTCGCCATAGGCAGCCTTGAGCTCGTACAAGAAGGGCTGGTAGCGGTTGCCCCAGTTGTTCACCGTGTCGTTGACCTTTGAGATCTCGTACCAGGTCTCACCCTTGTCGTCAGAGCGGTAGATGGGATACCACACGAGCGGGGGCTCGGGCGAGTAGTTCTCCCATGTTGCAAGCAGTGCATCTTCCTGCTCTAGGTACAGCGTCCTTGCGTACAGGGTCCTGGGAATGTTGTAGTCCGAGGGCGGGGAGAAGATGGTGACATGATCGAGGGCCTGTGCAAAGTGCGACAGAGCCGCAGCGGCAAGGGCGAGAGAGAAGCGCATCTTGAAGGGCGATTGCTTGCTGAGCACATGTTGCAGCCATCCACCGGTTTTATAGGTACTACGTAGAAAATGGAAGTACGAGATGGCCGGACCTGGGGAGGGATCTACGCGAGATCAGGAAAGCTAGTGAGGGGCCCCGGTGGGCGGACACCGCCCGCGTGGAGAGAACTGGGGAAACGGCCTCGGCGCATTAGTCCGCGAAACCTTGCCTGCCCGCGCCATTCCGTACAGCATCTTTCCCGCAGAGTAATAAAGCCGCGCCCACAGAATGCATTTCGTCATGGCAGGCCCCTGCAGCGGCACTGACGTATGCTCGGCTAGAGCAAGCCATGAGCAAAGCCTCCTCACGGAAGGAACAAAGCTTGAAAGAATATGGGCAGAAGGCCATACTTTCGCTCATCCGAGATAGTAGGATTGAGAGAGGGTGGTGCGTGGTCGGATAGAATATACGTGTGAGCGGTGGTTTACGCAAGCTCGCTGGCTGGTCCTTGTTCCATAATGAAGGGATGCGCGGTTAAGACCAGGCGGTGCTTAAGTGGTGGGGTACCTGCGTGCGGTGTGAAGGTGGCGTGTGGCTGGCACATCCACCGGCTTTTGTGGTGTTAAGCGGGTAAGATGTCGATATTCCATCAATCAGAAGGCAGCAACTGTGGCATGAGTCGGGCCAAGCGCGTGACTAGGCGCGAGGCTCGAGAGCCGCACAGAAGTATCGTGAGACCCAAGAGCAAGGCCAAGAAGGCTGCTTCGTATTATCTTTCGGGAGTTCTCGGCCGGTGTGTCCAAACAGGGCACAAAGCCGTGCGGTGGGTTCAGCTCAAATGGACGGGTGGTGCCGCACAGCATGTCGTTTGGAAATGCGGAGAAGCGGTAGGGAAATGCCGGAGACACAAGCGAGGCCGGCACGCGTCCACGCGTTCGAGGGGCAGCTAGCGTGTCCGGGCGGTCAGACGCGGCAGAATGCGCTGGAGCCTGGGCCGCTGATGAGGTCATCAGGGTGGTGTTCCATTTTGGGCCACCGCGAAAGCCTTCGCTTTCAATTCTCTACCGCTGCGCCCTTTGCGACTATCATCGCCATAATCTGCGCTGCGCTTCACACTCCTTCATCTGCTTCTGCGCGCGTCTCCTTATACTCTCTCACACCCTGTAACCCGATCGCGACCGCCTGTTGTTGCCACCGACAGCTCGTCGCAATCAGGACGCGCATTCGAGACACCGCCGTTGACTCCACTACGCACTCCCACTGCGCGTCTGGCTCACCTGCACTATCACGCTCACTCAGCTAGTGATTGTGAAAACCAACCATTCCCACCGTTATCTCGACCTCGAGGTCCCCATCGTCGGCCCCTACGTTCGCGATCGCGCCACCTCTTTATCCTGGCCGCAACACCGCACAACGCAATGTCGGGCCCGTCGCCCAGTGACGAGAGTAGCCTTTCTAGCTTACCGTCCTCACCCGAGCTTGATGTCGAACAATATGCTGAAGTCGATGACGAATTGCCGCGCATTGACAAGGGCAAGAAAAAAGCGGAAGAGTCATCGGATGCCGGGGGATCGGATATAGATGGCGATGGCGATGAGGAGAGCAGGCTGAGGTTCCTCACCACCATCCGTGACCAGGATGATCTGGAACGCGATATTGGTCGTCAGGCCGATAAAATGCTCACCGAGCAAGCCGATGAACGTGACAACAAGCGCCTGCAGAAGGCGCTGGCCGAGAGACAACGCTGCACCACCCAATTGCAGAAGCTAGAAGAGCGGCTTGCCGGTCCTGGCGGCTCTACTATCAAGAATAAGGTCAGGAAAGATATTGCAGACATGAAGGCCCGCATCGACAATTTGAGTTCCGATGTCCAACAGATTGAAAGCCGCATCGCCGAGAGGCACCATCCCAGCAATGCTGATGGCCTATTGGAAGTTGGGGGGAACCGCCAACAGCCGAACGAGAGCCGTCGAGACTTCCTCATCCGCACCGGCAAGATTACTCCGTTCTCTAGGATGGCTCGTCCTCCGAAAAGAGTTGCCGAGAACGTGTCTGACGTACTCCTTGACGCCGAGTTGGGAGAAGATGAACAGGAGGAAGAGGATTTGGATGCTTCGTTCGCCCCAGAAGGCCCAGTATCCCATCGAAATCTAAAGAGGCCCGGCTTTGCAGATGACTTGAGCGAGACTAGTTCTACCATCTCTAAAGAGGATGCACGGCCTACGAAACGCCGCAAAGCTAGGACCACGCACGAGGATGAAGAATACTCGGAAGCATCAAGTGCCGAATCTGCACAATCGGATGACGCATACGATCCTGGAATGAACGATCGCCAGTTGGCTACTCTCGGCTCAACTGATGAAGAACTTGACGGCGTTGAAGATGACGATGATTACGACATGACTACTCCGGGACGCAAGCCGAAGCCCAAGCAGGCCAAGTCCAAGAAGAAAGTAAAGGCTGAAAGTGAGGGTGGCACTGACGAGGAAGAGGACCTTGTGGATCTCGATGACGGAAATGAGGCTCATTATCAAGCCAGACTAAACAAATGGGTGAAGGAGCGCAGCGCTGCCCGTCGCAAGGCTCGAGCCAAGCAGACCTCAGGTGGCAACTCTCTCCCACTGGATGATGACGATGAGAAGCCCGAATGGCAACAACCTCTTCCCCACATTCCCGACACGGCCTTCGATGGTGGCTTCAGAGTTCCAGGTGATATCTACCCTAATCTTTTTGACTATCAGAAGACTGGAGTCCAGTGGCTTTGGGAACTTTACAGCCAGCAAGTCGGTGGAATCATCGGTGATGAGATGGGTCTTGGCAAGACTGTTCAAGCAATTTCCTTCATCGCCGGACTCCATTATTCTGGCAAGCTTAACAAACCGGTCATTGTTGTGTGCCCTGCAACCGTCATGAAGCAGTGGGTTACTGAGTTTCACACCTGGTGGCCTGCTCTTCGAGTGTCGATCCTGCATAGTTCCGGAAGTGGCATGATGGATCTGAGGCGGGAGAACCAGATGGAGCAGAACATCGAGTCACAGTCTTTCTCAAAGAAGCAGCCGCTGACGAAGACTGAGAAGTCTGCAAAGCGAATTGTCGACAAAGTCAAGACTGATGGGCATGTTTTAGTAACGACTTACTCTGGCCTTGCAACATATGGTCAGTTCCTCATTCCTACTGAATGGGAGTATGCTGTTCTGGATGAGGGCCACAAGATTCGTAATCCGGACTCGCGCGTCACCGTCTACTGCAAGGAACTGCGCACTGCGAACCGCCTGATTCTCTCTGGCACCCCGATGCAGAACAACCTCGACGAATTGTGGTCTCTATTTGACTTTGTGTATCCAATGCGTCTTGGCACTTTGCCAGAATTCCGCAATCAGTTCGAGGTCCCTATCAAGCTTGGTGGATATGCCAACGCATCGAATTTCCAAGTCGAAACAGCCATGCGATGTGCAGAGGTGCTAAAGGAGACCATCAGCCCTTACCTTCTACAACGCTTCAAGATCGATGTCGCTGCGGATTTGCCAAAGAAAACAGAACGCGTCCTGTTTTGTCGGTTGACTGTGCCCCAAAGGAAGGCCTATGAAGAATTCCTTGGCTCAGAGGAGATGGGCTCTATCCTTGATGGCAGGAGACAAGCACTGTTCGGAATTGACATACTACGTAAGATCTGCAACCACCCCGATTTGATTCACCATAAATCGCCGAAATTCAAATCAGATCCGAGATATGGAAGTGGGTCGAAGTCTGGCAAGATGCAAGTCGTAAAGGAGTTGATTCAAATGTGGAAGAGGCAGGGTCACAAGACTCTTCTTTTCGCCCAGCATAGGATAATGCTCGACATTCTGGAGAAGTTCATCAAGAAGCTCGGCAACATCAACTATCTGCGTATGGACGGATCCACGAGCATCAAAGCCCGCCAGGATCTTGTCGACAAGTTTAACAATGATCCAGACCTGCACGTCTTTCTTCTAACCACCAAAGTGGGTGGCCTTGGCGTCAACTTGACCGGCGCTAATCGGGTCATCATATATGATCCAGACTGGAACCCCTCAACCGACGTGCAGGCTCGAGAGCGTGCTTGGCGTCTTGGGCAGAAACGCGAAGTTGAAATCTACCGCCTCATGACTGCTGGTAGTATTGAGGAGAAAATCTACCACCGTCAAATCTTCAAGCAGTTCTTGACGAACAAGATTTTGAAAGATCCCAAGCAGCGCCAAACGTTCCATCTCAGAGATTTGCACGACCTCTTTACTCTCGGCAACCCCAGTGATGAAACAGAGACTGGCAATCTCTTCCAAGGTAGTGAAACACGAATCACTCATTCGCCCAAGGAGGCTCATGAACAAAGCCCAAAGCAAGAAGAAGCGATGTCCGATATTTATGGAATTGAACGTGGAGAAGATTATCGGACAGAACAAAATGATGTTGAGGCTGGAGGACAAGGAGCTCCTGCTCAGCCTGCAGGCTCCAACAAGGATGAGCGCCTGATGACCAGCATTTTCGCTCGTAGCGGTGTTCAGAGCGCGGTTGAGCATGACTCTATTATGGGATCCAATAGCAAGAAGAGCGCTGTTGGCCCCGATCCGGTAGCGATTTCCAGGATGGCTCGCGAGAGAGCCGAGCAGGCTGCGCGCGAACTCGCCCGATCTGCCGAGATGGCTCGAAACACGCCAGCTGGTACGGTGACCTGGACCGGAGAGGCCGGTACCGCCGGTCGTCCACCCAGCCCTCCGCCTCGTCGTGACCGCTTCGGTGCATCGCGCGGATCTCTTCGAGGCGGTCGTGGCGGCCGCGGTGGTCTATCATCCAGCTCCGTCCTCTCCCACCTCTCCGCCCGCCAGGGTCGTGACGCCCCCGCCGCCAATAGCGCTGCTCGCCGTGCGGCACCTGGCTCTGCTAATGGTCGGTCATCTACCCCCCTCAACAACAGTGGCTCAGCGTCTTCGTCTCGTGGTGGCACGCCACGCCCCGCTGTGGACCGCAAGAAGGATCTGGAGGGAACGGAACTGTTCAAAGCCATCAGGAACTTCATGCGTGCTCACGAGGGCGTTGTCTACACGGAGATGATCAAGCAGCAGTTCCAGTGGCAGGTTGGCGAGGGCAGGGAAAAAGCAGAGGAGTTCAGGGCGATGTTGAACATCTTGGCGAAATTAGAGAAGCCGAGTCAGGGTGATGGAAGGGGCAGGTGGAAGCTGAAGCCGGAGTGGAAGTAATGGAGTCGATGTGGGAAGTGATGAGACGGTGGTTGCAGTAATCGAGGAACGAGGGACTGCGGCGAAGGGGGATCATGCGAAGACTTGCACTTACAGGAGAGTACGATAAAGATGGGGTGATGCAAGAATATCGTTTGGCGGACAAGAGGTAAAGGAGTGTATGATAGGATGATACCCAGTATGGGCTTTTACGGCGCAGTGGCGGCATTTCTTTTAAGAATAATGATACCACATATGGATGAGGCAACGGTATTTCAGCCTCTTTGGGGATCCTGATGGATCTCGGAATCATCACAAGTTTCTTTAAATTTTAGGTGATTTCGAAACTCAGTCCTCCAGAGTCAGAGGAGATGGATGTGATGCCATAAAGGACAATACGGCGTACTAGGGCGAGAGCTTACTCACATTTCACGCTCAAGCAAATGACCGGCGTCAGCAGCTCGCCAAGAAAGTTTGACTTATCTAAGTTGATCAAATCGAATCTGCAGAGAGACATACGCTGACGTTGCGAAGTTCCAAAAAGTCGTTCGGTACGGTTGCTCGGCGCCGGGGAGGGTAGGCCGACGAACCAGCGAACGAATGCCGAATAGGCTTCACAACAAGTTAATAGCCTATTTGCATCCAACTCGCCGATATGATTTCTGCTCCTGCTCTCTAGACTGATATTTCAACCTGCCGTGACCCGTCAACGATACTCTTTTGCCCCATCCATTATCTTCTCCGGATAAGAAACATCTCCGCCAATTCCCATTCCCTCACAGCAACAATGGCGACAAAGTTGTCTCGATCGGCAGCAACGCGCCGCTGTCTGCCGCTCTCCCCCACCACGCCCCGCATGACGACCACCCGACGACGACCACAAGTGCTGTATCAGAACCACCACCATCAACACCTACGTCTCCAGAACCCAGCACCAGGAGCAACATCCGTGTCCCTCTTCTCCACCACCGCCGCGGCGCAGCGCATGAACAGCCTCATGGACACGACCATCCTGACCGAGACCCAGCACGCGGTCCGCGAGGGCGTGGCATCCGTGTGCGCGCGCTTCCCCAGCAGCTACTGGCAGGAGCGCGACGCGACGTCGACGGACCCGACCGAGTTCCACGCGGCGCTGGCCGAGGGCGGGTGGCTGGGCGTGGCGCTGCCCGAGGCGCTGGGCGGCAGCGGGCTGGGCGTGGCCGAGGCGACCGTCATGATGCAGACCATCGCTGAGTCCGGGGCGGGCATGGCCGGCGCGCAGGCGGTGCACGCCAACGTGTACGCGACGCAGCCGCTGGCCCGCTTCGGCAGCGATGCACAGCGCGGGGACGTCCTGCCGCGCGTCGTCGCCGGCGAGTGGCGCGTGTGCTTCGGCGTGACGGAGCCGGATGCCGGGCTCGACACGCTGAGGCTGCGGACGCTCGCGCGGAAGACGGAGGATGGTGGTGCGTATAGGGTGACGGGCCAGAAGATCTGGATCACTTGCGCGCAGGTGGCACGGAAGATGATGCTGCTGGCTCGCACGACGCCCGTGGAGGAGGTGAAGAAGCCGAGTGAGGGCTTGTCCCTGTTCTGTATCGATTTGGATAGGACGAAGCCTGGGCTGGACATGCGGAGGATCAGCAAGATGGGTGGCCGCGCTGTTGATGCGAATGAGGTTTTCTTCGACAACTATGAGATCCCGGCGGATACGTTGATTGGCGAAGAGAACAAGGGGTTCAAGGTCATTCTGCACGGAATGAATGCAGAACGGTGCTTGTTGGCTGGTGAGGCGTTGGGGCTTGGATACGCGGCATTGAACAGGGCGGCCGAGTACGCGAGGGAGAGAGTCGTCTTCCAGCGCCCTATCGGTAAGAACCAGGCTATTGCGCATCCGTTGGCAGATGCGTATATGAAGCTTGAAGGCGCAAAGCTGGCAACATATCATGCTGCACGACTGTTTGACGCGAGTAAGACGGACGACTCAATCACGCCGCATTCGCTCGGAGTGGCGTGCAACAGCGCAAAGTACATGGCAGCTGAGGCAGCATTTACGGCATGTGAGAGGGCTGTACTTACGCACGGCGGGATGGGATACGCTGCTGAATATGACGTCGAGCGGTGGTTCAGGGAATGCTTGGTTCCCCGGATTGCTCCTGTCAGCCGAGAAATGATTCTGAATTACATCAGCGAGAAGGTCCTGGAGCTACCGCGTAGCTATTAGAGAACCCAATTGATAGAATACTGAAAGCAATCTCTTTAGACCGTACCGGCAGGACGTTGAACTGGATCAAAAAGTAAGCCGAAGTCCAGTGTAGAGTTATCCATTCCCTCCCAGCTCGTGCTGAAGAAGTTCAAGTATAGGTCAGATTCGAGCGCCTCGGGCTGAGTCTGCAGGGAAGTAGCCGGTAAATTAGCGTCAGTTGTAGTTGCTGAAGCGGTCTCCACAAAGTTGGGCCCGTCGGAACTAATTGTAGCATTCGTTTGATCTCGAGTGGCCTCTGTATGGTCTCCGTGGAGCCTTCTGGCGGTGGATTTGTCCAAGTATTGGAAGAAAAGATCAAGGACAATGTTGTTTATGCTCCAGTATTTTTGAACTTCTTTGAGGCCGAGCAAGCACATTTGTGCCCTGTTCTCGGCAAGCCTTTTTGCCACGTCGTCGGCAGTCCGGATTTCAATCACATTGATGCAAAGAGCCGCGAACAAGCTTGTGATCCTACCGCAACATGATTAGCTATACTTGAAGCATACCACTGCATGTGAGTTACTCACAGATGCATCTGCCCAAATCTTATGGTTTTCTGGGCCAACATATCTTCTGCAATCCTGCTAATCCGGCACGCAGCACTGATAGCAGCTTGCTTCTCGGAACTATCGTGACTCCGCAGGAATACTCCCCTGTGGACTAGGATGCGCAGGTGACTGGTAAATGATTTAGTTCACAATACTCCGAAAATGGCAATGCAGCACTCACTTGTAAGCCAGGTGCAAGAGATGCACCCAAACTGATGTCTGCTCGGGTTCTGGGGCATTTCTCATGTCTACTGGAAGACCATCTCTCCATCTCTCGAGGGCTGATTTGAGGCTGTCTACGCTTTCTTGAGGTGAAGGGATTCGGCCTGGGACAAAATGTATGTCGATGATCTTTCCAAGCAGACGGGCGATTTCAACCATCTTCGTAATATAGACAACTTGCTCCGGTCGAAAAGCTCCAAAATTCGTGGCTGAGTTATTGTCAACATCACTCGCGAGATCGGCCGTTGTGAGGACTTCGATGTCACAGTCTTCGTCCCGGATGCGACTGGGCAAGCCCAGAGAAGCTGCTGCCTGTCGTTCACGGACATAAATGGACCACCAGATCCTCCTTCGCAGAGCAGAAATGTTGGGGTCCCCGGCGGTGAAGCGGGTAGATCTGTGCAGTCCGAAGGTTTGGGCTAGGGTGATGGACACGCCCAGCCAGTACCGCACGTCACGGATATTGGATGGTCCACCTCGCCAGAAGCTCATCAAGAACAGAGACTGCAAGATGGTGAGCTGGTCTTTCTCCCAGTCAGCATCGAACAGAAGCCGTGCTCGGTTGTAGAATGAAGATTTAGCTTGGAAGCGACTGCTGAATCCCATGGCGGCAATGATGCTCTCATCACAGTAGGTTGCTGAAATGAAAAGCATGGCTTGCAGCAACAACGGGGAGACGGTTTTGTTCAAGAGATTCGACGCAACTTCTGGCCTGGAGACGATGGGGAAGCAGGGATGAAACCATGTAAAGTAGGCCTGCAAGGCTGGCAAGCAGCTCTGCACCTCGGGAAATGTAAAGGTGCCTTCTTCGTTAAGGTAACGTTCGGTTCTTTCATTTGTATTTTCGGTGTGATGCGTATCAGTGTGAGGGGTATCGAACATTCCAGGGTAGGACAAATTTCTACTGTGTGGTTCATGCGGTGAGGGGGCAGAGCGAGGAACTGAAGTGAGGAGGTTGGATTCCCCGAAGAAGAAGCTGCTTGCTGTTCCTGGATGTAGTGGAGCGGTTTGCGGCGTATCCGGCTGTAGCCGGCGGGTTTCCTGCGCTTCTCCATCTTGTGGATCGGCGTGGTTCTCAGTATTGGCCAGCGTGGAAGGGACGTGTGTATGGTCTACGGGCACAGTGGGCGAACTGGGAGAGCCCTGCTGGGGTACATTATCTGACAGCTGCTGTCGAGACTTCCTTGGGTACCTGAAGTGGGCGGTTCAGCTACGCACGGGTTGCTCTAGCATTGTGTATTACCGGCCTCTTTTTGATGGGAGAATTTCGCACGTCTTCCCCGAAGAGCGGCAATTGGAGCAGGGCTGAGAGTCGTTGACATTGCAGCGGACGCGTCGCGCGTTACACTCACGGCAAGCCTGTTTGGCGCGTTGTCTCGTGCGGCGAGCTTCTGGCATGACAAGTCGACTGTAAAGTAGAGGATGATGAGTGTGGATTGTGGGGCGGAGGCGACTCGTGCCGAGCACACCCGGACTCGGTCATCTCCGGGTGACGTCACTACCCAAAGAAGAAGGAGATGTTTACTATTACTCAAAGAAGAAAGAGACGTTTACTAGTACTCAACCAGACCGAAATCAAATCCTTGCCTCAACACGGTACTGCTCCTGTCCTTTCGTGGCTAGCTGGAGGACCCCAAGAGCGTTCTTCTGAGCGTTATGCTCGGTGCAACGACTCATCACCGCCTTGATTTCACCTGTTGAAATTTGTCAGCCTAGTCCAAGACGTGAATATGAGTGCACTTACTGAATTCGCGGCGCGAACCATCTTTTCCTCTGCAGCGAGTGGTCTCTTGAACCCAGTCGACCCTCTCCTTCCTACACTGCTCGTATAGCTGCAGGCGGCGAGGAATGTCCTGCACCGTCGTTCCCAAAGGCAGCAGAGCGGCCAACGCGACACCATCCTCAATTGCCTGGGCAGCGCCTTGGCCCATATCTGCATCAACTGTCAGCAATCTCTCCGGGGAAGAGCACTTGAGAGCTTCTCTTACAAGGAAGGAAAGGATGCGCTGCATCACCGATCAACGCCACGCGTCCATTGATCCAAGTGGGGAGGACTTCCATATCCAACAGATCCCAAACCGCCACTGTTCCATCAGGTACCTTCTCCAGCATCTTCTTTACCGAAGGCGCAAAGCTGGCGAACGAGCTGAGCAGCTTGTCCTTGTTGCCAGATTGATTCCAACCTAAAACAGTCAGCTACGCTCCGCATACTCTCCGCAGACACTTACCTGGTTGAATCTCGCCCACCTCTCCCACCGGCACAAATGCCGCGCAGTTCATCAGCTTCCCTCCCGAACACGGGTAGAAGACGATACGGCGATCCGCACCCACCAGCTCCGTCAACACGCCCGGCTCCTCGGTAAACAGGTGCAACTCCTTGTCCTCCGCCAGCGCCTCGTACGGCATCAGCCACCTGTAGCAGCACTTCCCCGACGTCTTCGTCTCAACATGCCTTCCCACGACCGCCTCCCTCGCCACCGAATGCACGCCATCAGCCGCGACGACCACATCCGCCGTCCTCACCTCGCCCGTGCCCGCCAACCGCACGCTCGCCGCCGCGCAGTCCACCTCCTCGACGGGGCAGCCGGTGTGCAGCACGACGCCGACGTCGGCCGCGCGCCGCTTGAGTGCGGCGTGCAGGTCGACGCGGTGGCTGAGCCAGTAGCGGGCCTGCCAGCCCGCGCGCTCGGCCGGGTCGACGGCGATGCGCACCAGCATCTCCGCCCGCGGCCCGTCGCGCACCGCCATCCCGCTGTACTCGGTGCCTTCGAACGTCTCCGGGAAGATGGAGAGCCCGTTGAGCAGCGCCGTGGCGTTGGGCGCCAGGTGCACCGCCGCGCCGACTTCGCGGGCGAGCCGGGAGCGTTCGAGGACCTGGGAAGGGAAGAGTGTCAGTTGTGAGTGTGGTCTGGTTTGTATTTCACTTTTCCTTGTTGTTGCAGGAAAGTATCCACTTTTGCTTTCTTTCATTGGGTTGGGCATACCTCGACCTCGTGGCCTTGCTGCCGCAGCGCAATGGCAGCTGACAGACCGCCAATCCCGGCGCCAACGACGAGAACTTTCAAAGCTGGTGAAGACATCTTGGACTTGATTGCTGAGATTCGCAAAGAGCTGTGTGTATAAAGAAAACAGCAAGCTGATGGCTGTTTCGTGGAGCTATTTAAACACTTTCATACGAAAGGAGGTCCGCGAGACGTAACGTAGATCATTACCGTGCTGAGAGTAAACTGGCAACTGACCATATTAAGGCAGACCGAGGCCGAGGCCGAAGTAGGAGCAGAGGTACGAATGCACAATGAGAGATGAGGCTTATACTAGTGGGGCTGACAGGCAAGATGACGACGTGTGGGCCAATACGAGTCCCGTTTGTCGGTCTCGAGGGCGGCCTGGATATATTGCTTCTTTCTAGGGCCATGTCTCTATTGCATGCTTCCACCGTTGATGATTTGAACATTTTCTGCCGAGCCAGCAGTCTGTTGTTCTTCTTGATCTCATGCGAGTCAGTTTTGTACATTCTGCGGCGTACTTAAGCTTCGCGGAACGGCCCTTAAGGCGCCATTGGCAAACCTTTTTTTTTCTGAGCCACAAAAGCAAGACACTGATTCAGTACATGCTTCTTTCTTTCCCTTCTCCCACCCTTGCCGCACCCTGGCAGATTCATTTGGGGCTCCTTCCGATCGGGGCCCCTGATGCAAAATCTTCAATCAGCGTCGGCGGTGCAGAATGCCGACTTTTCGGTAAATTCGGCCTCCAACAGCGCCGCCTCGGCCGAAGATTCCGGTTCGTCAGAGATGAACGTTTGCCTCGACCAGAGTCAGACCATCTTTGGATACATCTCAATCGCCGACATTCGTTGCTTTCCGCGCTTTTCCGGAGCTCTGGTATGTATGGTCTGAGAAGGGGGAATTCGTTACTATTGGCCGTTCGGAAGGGCTCATCAGGTGTCAAGAAGAGAGTTGACTAGGGTCCCGGCGAGGTGTCGGGAACACAAAGACCAAGATTTCTTATGTGCATTGAGCCAAGATATGCCGATCGGATGGATGTGTGTTGGGTGATGACTAATTCAGAGTTTGTTGGTACTTAGTGTTGTAAGCTTAAAATGACTACGATACTTATATACATCAATCCCATAGAGCTGAGGAAGGTGTGCTTCGATTTTCTCAGAGCGAAGACTCACATTTTTTTGGATGCGAAATCATATGTAGACAAAATGATATTTAAGTCGATGTAGAAGAAGCTTTCCATTATTGTGTCCCAAGACCTGTCGTTGGTTGAATTAGTGATGATCACGCCTGTGCCGCGATTATATGTCGTAATATAACAGCTCATTCATTTGCGTTGCAACAGTTGCAGCGTTCAAGCTTTTCGGCTTCAACTCACGGGTTTGCTCTAAATAGCCATGCTATCGTGGGCGCGCGGAGGGTAATTGCGATAGCGTGTGGGAAAAAGCTGCACGGGCCGAGCGCAGGAAGGGCGTAGTCAACAGTATCGAACTATTGACACGCATGACGTTGAGCCAATGGAAATGCTGCGGCGCATGCGGTCGGAGGGTAATGGGTGAGCCCGGAGATGAGTGTGGTCCAGGGAACTGTTTGCAGGAGTGGTAAAAGATCTTTGGGTTGCAAATGATGCTTGGATGGAATAGGGAGTTAACAAGCCTTGCTATGGGACTGACTCAAGGTCTTATTTGGTGTTTTTTTTTGCTTAGAGAGCATTTCCCCTGGTTGACATACGTTGCTGACGGTGACGCTATGCCATGTGCTCATGCAGGACACCAACAGGGGACACTAGTCACGTTTGATAATTTTCTTCAACATCGCTCGTGGCTGGGCAAATAAGATAAGCTGGAGAATTACCGTGAAGCTCGTAACGAAAATCCCCTTGCGCAGCAAGTTTTCGCACAGAGGAGTATCTTGTGAGAAATGATATGTCATGCTTTGGATAGAAGAGTCGGGCTCCTTCCGCAATGTGAGATAAGCTCGACGCGGCTGCATTGACTTGCTCCATGACTTCCCTCTGCATGTCCATTAGGGTACTCTGCCGCAGCTACTCTTTTAGCAGGCGCACATGGTCAGACGGCCCCAGGATTGATCCGCGCTAGCACCCTATTTAACACGCTGCTCCACCTCGATCGCGCTCGAACACAAAACAACCAACGTTGGCATCTTCACCGCACCAGCGACTATATCGCATCACCACCATTGCCCGTCGGGCAGTGCGCCTGATCACTACCATCACTGCCTTTCAACGCCCTGCCTCACCAAGAAAGGCCCTCCGATCCACACAGTAGACCTGAGCGAGCGGCAGGTCTCGAAATCAAGCATGCAGCATGGGCAGTAAGCGCCACCTCACATGTACATCATCTGGACACCTACTCACGTCACAGCAGGAATGGAGCAAATGGTCCGGGCTGGCGTATCGGACAGATCAACGGAGTTCAGCCTGCACAGAAATCAACCAATGAACAGCAGTCAGTGAAATGCGCTTCAAACATAGGTGATTCATGCACTAACATGAGAGTAGGGACAACCGCGTAGGTGCTCGGAGCCGATTGCAAGCTAGAAAGGCAGTATCTCAGGAGCTTGCGAAACGGGCCGAGAAAGCACAAGAAGAGGGAAAAGAGCTGGACGAAGAACTTGAAGAAGCAAACAGCCAAGTGGAAACTCTCAAGAGAATTGTGGAAGTTGAGGAGATGAATGCATCGAAGAGGCAGAAGCTCTCCTCAGTAGAGGAGAGGATCGCGGAGCTCCAGCGATCACTCAAGAAGACTAAAGATGATGGCAGTAGCAATAACCAAAGTATGCCGGTGCCTGGGACCGGCAGGTTCGGCGATCAGATGCCAATGACGCCTTCAAGTGGAGAGAAGGGAAAGCAAACGAATGGGTTACAAACCCTGCATGAAGGAGATGACATACCCCTTGTGCAAAGGTCCAAGACTGGCAGGGATATCTCTACAGGAAAACCCAATCCGGCTCCAGCGAACCAGCAGACAAAGGAGGACCAGGTGACTGGAAACCAGACCAAGGCTCTCAATCACACCCATGGGGTGTGGTCAGAGAAAACGGCAAGGGACATGCTCGGAAACAATATTGATTTTCCCCTGATCCAAACAGTCTTGAACTACTTTGAGTCTTTCATGTCTGAAAAGATGCTGGATGAACTGGCTGAGACACTTCGGAAGACTCCTACTGCCCGAGGTTCCCTTCGGAAGCTACGTAAAGCTTGGGGCGGCGACAAGCATGATTACTTCCTGGAGTGCACGAAATGGACCAAGACGCGATGTGCCACCCGAACCCTCAGCTGGAACAAGTATTACCAGAATGGCTATCTGGTTTACACTCACGGCGGTCCCACCTCTGCAAACCGGAACATTCCGATAGCGGAGTACAGAAAAGCTCACAAGTCCCCACTCTTCGGTCATGCAGTCTCGCTACACATGGCCAACAGCGATACTGACCGTGCTAACCTCAGTAAACTTTACCGTTCTTATCTTCAGACGGAATTGGCTGGCTCAAGCCCTTGCTATGCTCATGTTGCTGGACTTCTTGGTTCAGAAGATAAATGCCTGAGATGCGGTACTAGAGGATCACTCAACGACCTCAACTGAATCACCGAGCCTCCTTCGAGAAAGGTCGTAGACAAGGGTTTGGGAAACAGAATGTCGAGCCTTGGAGAAGGCTACGACATACTCTTTTGAAGGCAGAAATCGCAGATCCAGACCTGCCTCACATCAAAACATTCCTGGTCTTTCTTCTTCCTTTTGACTCTTACTATCAGGCGTTTAAAAGTCCAGCATCTCTTGACCAGGCTTACGAAATTGATCAAAACCTCGTCAGCATGAACCTTAAAAAGCAGGATTGCCCTTTTCTTTTCTTTCAACAGGGCTTTTTCTCGAAAGATGGATTTGTTTTTCCTGCTTCACTACTACACTTTCATGGGAATACAAAACGAGCATCCCGAGAAAGTGGACAGGACCAAAAGAGCTTGACGTGGTAGATAGAGAAATTGAGTATTGAATCACTTCCCACAAAGACAGTACAGTGGGGGATCATGTACATGAAAACAAATACTTGAAGCGAGAGGCAAGGCAGATGTTTTTCACGTTCATCTGCCTCCCATGAGCGATATCGCACTCACAGCAGATATAAAAATACCAAAGACAACAAAATGAAATCACAATGCCTACCTCACCCTCCGGTACCCCCTTTGTTCTCCCTCCATCACTACGTAGAGCAAACCTCTGTCCCGCGTATACATGCCTCGCGAGCTCACTCGGGCCGGGGCGAGGCCCCGCCTGCTCTCAGACCCCACTCGCGTCCGAACACCGCTGAACTGTGGGGCATATACTTCGCGAACACCGTCACGGTGCACATGAGCAACGTGCGATGCCGGATGTGCAGATAGACATTACGTGCATCGATTATGAAGGAGAAAATACGAGATTTCTGCCTCCGCTTGACGATCGTGTGGGAGCGAGCGAGCGAGCGAGCCATGGCTTGAGCGGGGTGCCATAGCGACGTCATCTGTGGAGGAGAAAAGGAGTGGATGGAGTGGAATGAATTTCTGCTGTGAATGGTCAAGGCTAAGATGAGGGATGAGAGACACGCACGGGCGTGTAGGGAGGTTGGGGTCCGGAATTTGGAGGCGAAGGGAGGAGCACTGCGTTGTTAGAAAATTTTTACTCGCACGTACTCTGCTTTCTATCCGATACCGTCGTTATTGATGCGTTCTATGGCGTCTTTTCTTCCCGCAGCCATGACGATCGACCCGAGGTCAGTCGGTTGAGCCGAGGTGGCTTGCGACAAGCCGCGGGTGGAGCGAAGGATTTAGATTGTGAAAGGGGAAGCGAAGCCGACAGACATCATCTTCTGGGCTTAGCAGGTCGGGGAGAAACCTGATAAGTGGATTCAGATCTGCTGTTGTTGATGGTTAAAACAATGTTTAAGTGTGGTGGTAGCTAGCACTCGCAGCATAAAGCCAAGATCCGGTTCTCTGGAAGCGTGGCGTCGGTTGGCGCGGGGGGAAGCATACCCGCGGCGAATGGGGCATAGTTTGGAGGAGTGAGAAACCAAGGATTTCTTCATCATTTGTTGGTGTGGCAGGTGACGCAGCGTTGGGAGGACGCGAAAGCGACATGCTTGGGGTGATGGAAGATGTGTGGTTGATTGGCATTCAACTCGAAACAGAACAGTGCCTGTTGTCCATTGGCTCCGATTGACGGGATTGCAATTGCTTCTTCTGCCTGGGGCGGTTAAATACGGCTCATTCGCAGAGCTTGCGCGGGCACAATGGCAGTACGTAAGAAAATCGACGGCAGGATTGCTTTGTATCCAATAATTAATGAAGAAGTCGATATGAAGTTGGTTCCTGGTAATTGATTTCTCCGCCGTAAGGCGGAACTGTAGCCGGCGCTTGCGATTAGTGGCGGAACCTTACGGCGCCTCCGAAAGCACCATGACACCAACAGCTGAGGGAAGAGAAAAGGATGACGAATGAAGAAAAGGGAAAGAGGCTGAAGGGCGTCCGATGCCGGCGAATCCGATCCAATCGTTGTGGCGATAATTTGACAGAAGCCCCTGACGATGGCACAACATTGTTGACGCTGTCCAGACATTGGACGTAACGTTTGCACTTCGGTCGGGGCCTATGTACGCAGTGAGCTAGAGTTGCGGGAGAAGAATGGGGACATGGCTTTTGCTTAAGGGGCGGTTTTGGAGCTTCCCAGTTCAGCCTAGAGCGTTGGGTGGGTGGAGGGCAATTTTTCAGCTGGCCGAAGACCCTTTGCTGCAATCGGAAGCAATGGGCCGAAAATCTTCGATCGAGGCGAAGCGATCGCGGCGCAGTCGCGTGAAACGCTTGACGTGCATCGTTTGCTCTGGCGCAGTGAACAGAGACTGGCACCATGGCGTCAGCTTGCAACAGCGGCGCGGTGCTCGCATTCGCGAGTGGTTGGCCGAAAGACGGAACGGTCATCTCTCGGGTAGAGGCTGGTTTATGCGCATAGCACGTTTTGGCTACTCGACTTGCAACTAGCTGGAAGGGGAGTGTCCTGTGACGATGGGTGAAGCTGCGATCGACCGGTACAATTTCATCTGCATAGGGAAGTTGTCGAACCGCTTACGGCTGCTGACTGCTCGGGTTTTAAGGAGGCCGGGTCCGATATTTGTCGTGAGCGTTGGAGATGCTTAGTGGCTCCGACAAAACCGCCCATTGGCGCGCAACGGTGGCCTGATAGGTTCCAACGGCCAGATATCAGAGCTCAATTCCACCGTCTGGTGTCAATCATCGCGCACAGGCTCCAACAACGTCATGGGCGATGGCGAGACTGCCCACGTGGTGAGGGGTGAGGCGAGCTGATCTGCGCAGACAAGAGATGCACAGTGGGGCGCCAGGGCTGCAGGCGCAATGCACATGCAGAGACTCGATGTCTGAGAGCACGAAGTGCACGAGGGGCGCGGCAAGCAGCAGAGGAGCGCGGTTACAGGCGCGACGTTGGAGGCGCAAGAGTCATGGAGCGCGAAGCAGGCGGGCGGAGTCGTCGCTGCCGCAAATCTCCGGCTTGAGCCAAAACTCCACTCTCACGGCTGCCCGACACGGACCACCGCTGCCGATCCGGCTTACTTTGCACCGCACTAGACCAGAAGTCCTTTCCAACCTCGCCACCATTCTCGCTGCTGGCTGCGCACCTGAGACGTGCTCAGAACGTATCCACCAGGCGCAACGCCGTCTGTCTTTTGGCCCAACTGCCAGCCAAGCGAACGCCTTCCGTCCCGTCTCTGGCAGCCCCGGCCCTAAACACGCCTCATACCACCTGCCGCCTACCAGCGGCCCCGGACAGCACGGCCCCTGGTGGAGCGATCTTATTCCTGGCTATTGTACCTATTTGGCACGGCCTCTCCTTTCCAGTGCAGTTAGCGATGGCGACAGAGACCCAGCCCACCGGGCCAAGAGCATGCGATGCTTGCCCAAAGAGCACCTCACCAACGGAATGAAGAAGGAACCCGGTCGTTTTAAGGCCCAAGACAGCAGTGCTTGTCCCATGAGGTGCGATCAGCCACTGACTATCGACGCTGATCCACGTGCGTCTGGGTCTGCGTTATGCCGAGCACAATCTGTCAGCAGTGATCGTGGGGTTCAAGGGTCTGTGTCTTAACGCGAAACGGCCGTCCTCCGAGCCGCCACGCTGCATCCACTTGGCTGGGCCTCTGACCTGACCAGGGGGCCCAGCACGCCGGCGCAGGAACCCGGGGTCGCGTACCAAGACCTCCTCCACCATTCTGATCGTTGGCGTGTGCTCCGTTCACGCCCCGAAGCATTTCCGCTGTGCCTCTCTTAGCACTCTCTAGAATAATGGGGCCCCTGCGAGGATCTTTTGCGCTTAAGCTTCTCCATGTCAACTGTTGATAATACCCGTCCTCGCCCTCCTCCTCCCCGCCTCTGGTCCCCTCTGGCCTCTCCAAAGTCCATTCGACTCCCAACTCCACATAGTCCGCCATGGCTGCTTCCGCCAATGGGACGCGCTTCGCCGCAACCGTCGTCACCATGACGGTGCTGGCCTTTGTCATCCTTTCTGCCCGTCTCGCCATCCGAACTTGCGTCGTGAAAAGCTTTGGGGCTGATGACTGGTTTGTCATTTCTGCGATGGTACTGTACATTCACCCCTCTTGACGCCGCCCATCGACTGACTTCTCGACTAGGCTTTCACCATCGTCATGGCGGCTATGATGCTTTTGCGTGCGGCTCCCTCTTGCCCATCTCACCTGCGTCCTCAACTGACCCCTGACAGAGGTGCACCATGGTCTCGGCATGCATACGTGGGAAGTGTCCCAACTGAACCAGATGGAACTTTCCAAGGTGTGCAAAATCGTCCGTTTCCTTCCAAAGCTCTCGCTCAACCTTGTCTAGTACTTCTACGTCAGTGTCATATTTTACAACGGCGCCGTCGGTCTGGTCAAGATCTCCATCCTATTGCAGTATCTTCGCATCTTTGCCATCAAGAAGATGCAGCTGGCTTGCCGCATCGTACTGGTACTCAACAGCTTGTTCACCCTGGAGACGGTCATCATCAGTGTCTTCGACTGCACGCCTATTCCCTTCTTCTGGGATAAGTCGATCAAGGGTGGTCACTGTGTCAACTTCGGTGCCATGTGGTTTTCGCACGCATCCACCAACATCGTTTTTGACATTGTCCTCGTAATTCTGCCGATGCCTGTCATCAAGAGTCTCAACCTCCCCAAGAAGCAGAAGATTGCGCTCATGGGTATCTTCGCACTTGGAACATTGTACGTCTCACGTTTGAGTCAGTAAACATCCGCTAATCATGATTGGCAGTGCCACTGTTACTTCGAGCCTGCGACTCTCGTCGATCTACAAGATTTCATACTCCAACGATGTTACATACGACAATGTCGGCGCTGCTCTGTGGTCTACCGTAGAGATCAATACCGCCATCATTTGCGCCTCGCTACCCACCTTCAAAGCCTTCTTCAACCGCATCTTCCCGCACCTTTTGGGATCGACGCGAACGCAGAGCTCGGCAAACCACCGCAGCCGTACGTGGAACTCTCGCCTCGCACTGGGGACTACCAAGAACCACCACACCCTTTGTAGCATGAACGATCAAGAGCGCGGAGAGTGTGACACGGTGCACCTTGAGCTGGCTCGCCGGGACGGCCAACTGAACGCGGTGAGGACGAATTGCGAGAAGGCCATCGTCATGTCTGAGGGATCCAGCCACTCGAGCAGAGACAGCGACGACGGCATCAAAGTGGTCACAGTGGTCACGCAAAAACGGACGCGGTCGGGAAGCGATGAGCCGATTACACCTACGTTGCCGCCGATCGAAGTTCCAAGAACACCAAGTCTCACGCAGAGCGAGAGGGGCTTTTTCATGGAAGGTGGCCGACATGAACGGATATGATGACCGCGAGTGGCGTTTGGGCGTTTTCCTCTCACAGGCATTTACTGTGTGATGACTCAAGGATGGCTTCAATTATACCCCTGTATCTTTATTCAACTACATCTTGACACGACAAAGGGCCGGCGATGCCCTTAGACATAATCACCTACAGAAAAGATCTCTTTTGTCTCACAACCTCGGGCGTACGGGAAGATCCTAATGCTTGACTCATGCGGCTATGAGGCAGTAGCTTTCACCGGCCCGCTGCGTGGATGGTCTGATTTGACTTTCATAGCCACGACAGGCTCAGCAAGCCAAAACCTTAACCAACAATGCTTGCACATCACCAGTGACGCGAGTCGGTACAGCCGCAACACTTGCTGCCACAACATGGTATGGGAGTCTCGCGCTGCAACGGCCATCGAGGCTGTGCGAGCGGGGCGCGTTGGAAGTAACGCCTCTCATATTTCGTTTTCCTTTTTCCCATCACGTTCTCTCGATGCATGCGCAGTCACTCAGGAACACGACCTTGTTAGGGCTGAACTCGGTCGCATGTTCCGAGTCAGGGCAAGGTTTGTTCTGTAAGCAAAATTAACAGCGGGCCGCGACTGGAGGGGGTGGGAGATTATCCCGCGTCGTTCCCCCGGTTACAGATAGATTAAGGTGATCGGCTGCCTTCGGTTGGGCGGTCGGTTGGTGATGCGACGGGACCAAGACCGGTCCGCCCGCAGCCCCTTCCGCTAACTTGTTAACGCCAGCCAGCCACAATTAAGACTCCTAACTGCCGAAGTGGCGTCCGGCTGTTACTGTCCTCTCGTATAGGCGGAGCGAAGGTAGCAAAGTGGTTGCGCCGGCTGTTTTGCGTGGCCAGAGTCAAAATGTTTCGCATGTAAGTGGCGGCGTCCTTTTTATTTTCGCCCTGCTTCTCTGGTTCCGCGTCTTTCTCGCACTTGACAGGGAGTCTTGAGTCGAACATGTGAATGTCCTTGTCTGAGATTTCTGACTGCCGTACGACCCCACAAAACCTGACTAACGAGGCAGTTTGAGCGCGCGTTCCTACCCTTTCCTTTTTTTTCTCAACACTTCTTTTCTTTTTGTTCCCTTTTGCTTTTCCTCAAACGGTTTGCGATCCGAAGCAGGGATGCTGACGTTATCGTGCCGCCCGGACGCTCCTCGCACCGCGACCATCAACGACCGGACTCTCCGAGGCGCCCGGGAACGAGTCACGTAGCATCGGGGGCGTGCGGTTTCGAAAAGATATGTAGTGGCGCTCCAGCCAGCCACTGTCCACCCGGTCACGGCCCGCTCATCCAGACCATAGGCTCACGATTGATCATTGCTTCAGACGAACTTGGTTTGGGGGGCGCGCCGGCGTGCGGATGCGGAGCCATTGCCTCGATGCCCCCCGAAGCTACCTCGAGAAAGGAAAGGCTGGTCATGTAGCCGTGTCACTGCTACGCTGCCCCACCATTCTGAAGGCTGAGCCCGTATTACGATGGATTTTCCTGTTTATGATTTTGCTCCCCCCGTCGGCATGCGACGATCGAGGTGTCGGGCCATGCTTTCTGTGCAAGGCGAGCTGTCGCCTCTCCATTCTCAAATACTGAGTATAACGCAAGCCCGCGCGCGTTCTCCGGCCCGGAATCAATCTGCAGCTGTACTACCTACTCAGATCGGATATGAGATCATAATGCTTGGTGGTCGGGATCTCAAGGCGAACGCGTCTCAGCTAGCAGTGGAACTTCTTGTGTTTCCCCACCTCGTCACGCCAAGCGGAACGGATGCACGGCAGGGGGACCCTATATCGAGGCTGTGATCTGGATTCATCATCCTTCGCGGCCCAATTCCACAGGAGCTCTTGTTCTTTCTTCATCCTTCGGAATAGCCGGTGCCCGCTCTCTCTCTCTTTGCTTTTTTCTCTTCCTTCCTTCCGATGTCAATTAAGAAGCAATGCGGCCAATCAAATCTAACCAAGGTTTAAACCGCTCCTCTGCCAAGTGTCTTGCTTTCCGCTTCCAGTTTCACTACCGTGCCAAGGAACGAGACATGACTCTTGTCGAACCAACACCTCTCCTATGGTCTTGTATTCTTGTAGACTTTTTGGCCTCACTATAAGTTCGACAGAACTGCAGCTGCAGTGAGGAAACTCAGAAGCCTATTAGGGATTACAGGATACGGTCCCGCAAGCCGATGGCCAGTCGAATTGAAAACGTTATGTCGCAGGCAACAAACTTGAGTCTCAATTTAAGTAGAGAAGTATTTGCCTCATTCTTCATCGATGGATTCCAGAACCGGAAGAAGAACGCCCCGAAGAAAATAATTCAAAAAAGAATGATAATAGAGTGGTGTTACCGGGCGCTTATGCAGTAGCAGGGATAGTCTGGCGTGCGGTAAACCATGTGCTGGAGAGTCCAGTAGTAATCAGTCTGCTTCCAGAACAGACAGAGGCGCAAAACTTAGGGAACCACGTGTATCTTGCTTCCAGTCAATTGAAGCACATCCACCCGGCCTGAACCCACCCCGTCAACCCAATCACCACCTCGGACAACCAATCAATCACTCCGCCGCCTTCCCCGGCTGCAAATGCGGAAAGTTCCTCTTCACAGCCGAGAAATGGTCGGGCGCGGGCCCGGTGAACAACAGCTTCGAACCGGGCGAGACGTCCTTGATCAGATTGACAGTCCGCTCGAAGACCTCGGTCATGTCGGGCTGCGCGCGCACGCCCCAGCCGACGACGATGCCGTCCCAGGACCGCTCGCGCAGCTTCTGCTCGATCTCGCCGACGTAGACGCGCTCCTCCTTGTCCGGGATGAAGAGGTAGAGGTCGTGGGTGAGCCCCTCGACGCCGTCGAGCGTCTTCAGGCCTTTCATGACGGCGGCGCGGACGGCGGCCGTGTCGATCTTCTCCTGCAGGTTCGCGGCCGCCCAGTCGAAGTCGATGCCGATGGTGAGGATGAATACTTGCTGTTGGGTGGCCATTGTTGATTGTCGAATTGTTGAGGGGAAGGCGGAAAGCTCGAATGGAATGGTGTGGGTTTGATGTCTTGTTTCCGGGCTTTTATGGTTTGGCAACAACGCGCGGTCGTGTTTATCACCGTTTATATGCTTTTGACAGCTGTCAGTCGCGTGACGTATGTCCCATAGTTCGGGCGGTCGGAAGCCGAAACACTACGGACCTTCCCCGCCCTCCCGTCGTAAGCGTCGGGCCCGAACACAATACAGGACACGAAGTGTCCGTAAGATGAGCTGGTCCAGATTCCTGCGTGCGCGCATTTATGGGATTACTTTTCTTGGTGGTAATGCTTGGCTCGTTGCTGAGGAACGAATAACATCAAGAATTGATGGTGTTGCGTTGGCAGTACTGCAGGGATCAATTAGGTTCTCACTACTACAATGTTCTAATAATATTTTCGGAACAAATTCACCTAATTCCCGACGTCGTCATGTGAAGTTTGGTGAGCGGACTCTATGTCGATTGCCTGGTACATTCCCAAGATCCATGTCAGATTGGTCTCTTCAGCAGTTGTTGGCACAAGGCACGGATTGAGATGGCCGAGATCACCGATGGGCGGCGGCAATCAATCGTGCACCTTCTGTAAGGGCAACAAGGTGTTCAGCAATGCGGTAACACAGCGGCCCTTCAGTGTGACTTTGCTATGTCAACGTTCAATACCGCAAAGGAACATGAAAGAGCTGTTCATACTTAGAGCCATGCTTGTGTGATATGTTATTCCTACCAAAATTCTGCGGCTATTATGTGGCATGTTGCTTGTCAAGTGATAGACAGTTCCTAGAGTTGCCCCAGTTGAAGGGATTCAAGAAGTTAGTTTGCTGGCATACTTCATTTTGTTGTGGAGCAATAAGGAAAACCCACATTTTCTCAACAGTCACTCATCTGTAGCTCATCTTAGCATCTCAATAGGGTGCTCCTATTGAGAAGTTCCCGCCTGGCACGACGTGGATGTGTGAGCTTTTCGCCAGGCGCGTGGGGAGCCGGAGCTACCCCACGCCCGCGCATATCGCAGCGGAAAAGTGTTGGAGAGGTGGCGGAGGTGTCAGAGAGGGAAGAAGTGGCCATGGCGATGATGATGGAAGCTGAGGGTGATCCGCCGTGGTCTCGTGGGTTTTTTGCCAAGCTGGTTTTCCTTCCAGGGGTTCTTTTTACTTGCGGGTCTGCAAGGAGAGGGTGTAGAGAAGACGGAGGTTATCAGGTTGAAGAATGGTGATGATAAGGTGCGTCATCCATGAGGTCAACCGGCAGAAGGGAACAAATGCGGAAATCGGTTGGCGAGAGGCTGGTCGAATCGCTGGTAGGGGGCTAATAAGCGCAGTTATCTTCATTCTACGCCAAATGTTTTGAGTTGCGGAAATTAGACTTACACAGCATCCACGGACGGTGCACCGCGCGTTCGCGATCCCGCTTGTTGAGGATGTGCCAGATCCTCAAGCGATCAACCTGCTCTTCGTCCTCGTCGTTCCACTGAAGTTCAAAGTGCGGCGGCCACATGCCAGCGGCATTCCTGGCGAGGAAGTCGGCGATCTTGTTGCCTTGGATCTGGCCTCGTGGAATCCACTGGAGCTCAACCTCAACACCCTGGGAACGGATGTCGTTCGTGACGCGGACTATCTCCCGCAAAAGGTCTCTGCTCCAGTTATGAGGGCCAGGAGGTCTCGCCTGGCTCCTGCGGTAGGCGCGGATGGTGTCGACGACACGGAGATTGTCTGTGTAGATGGCGACGACACGTTCGTGCTGGTGTGCGCGGACCGAGGCGTATCCACGCTTCAGGGCCATGAGGACGGCCTTCATCTCGGCGCGTCTGATGGTGCAGGGGTGACTCCAGCAGTCAGGCTCTGGGCAGCACTCGCACCGGTAAACTTGAACCTCGTCCGCCCATTCCCAACCACCATCGGGCAAGGGTCGGCGCCAGACTACGGCCGCTGCGGCGTGATCGCCCTCGGCACCACCCTCGGGCTTGGTGCTGAAGTCGTTGGTGCGTCTCATAGACGCGTCTGTCCAAAAAACGGCGCGTTCGTGGGCGTCGCTGCGGAAGTATTCGTACGCTGCTTCGGAGAGGGCGGCCGCACGGTTTCTCTTGGAGCACGGGTCGTCCTCCGGATTCGGGGTCTTGATCTGACCCCAGAACCTCTCGACGTTGTCGTGGAGGCGGAGCGCGATGCGGCCAGAGAAGACGGACGACATGGCTGCGGAGGTTGTTGGTGGAGAGGAGCTCGCGAAGAAGAAGCTGGTCAAAGTGGATGAGAATGGAGCTGAAGAGGAGAGGGTTTAGTAGACCGTCGCTAGATATTTTGAGCTCTCGGGGGAGGAGTCTGTGCGCGAGTAATGCTGATCAAGAAGGAAAGAGCGGACCGCATGGAGCTGCGACCGGAAAGGGAAAGAGCAGAGGCACATAATGCAATGCAGTCCGTCTAACGGTGATCCTGGAACTCAGTGATGGCTTCATGGCCTACTCAAATAGGCAATTATCCCTCTATTCAACGAAGCCGAACCTGTCATTCAGTAAAGCCCATAGACCACACCAGATCTGATGATCTCCACTGTTCGACGGTTGATGGCTTTGCCGGGATTCGTTTATAAAGATTGGGGGCTGAATTATCTTTATGCCTTGATGATATATGAAGCGGATCAAAATGCTGCGTTGCAACATGGAAATGCATCGCCGCAAGTGGGATTGACTTTGAAGAGAGAACAAAATCACAGTGAGAATTAGATGTGAGCATTGGAGATATTCCTCGGAGATTGAGGTATCCTACATCTCTACTCGATATTAGAAACTGCAAAACATACAAAGAACAGAGCTGAAGAGCGTATGAAGAACGTGTCCACACGGTCTTGGAGTTTAACCATCATCATCATGCTACACCCGCTTTGGCAAAAGGAGCCTCCTCGGGCTGAGCCAGAAATTCTCCATCCTCTTCGACAAAGTAGACTTCTCATCCGAATTCGGCACACCCTCGGACCTCTCCACGGCGGCCTTCTTCTCAATCTCGAAAATCTTCCACGACCTCAACATCCACAAGCTGCCCGCTCCCAGAATAAACATGGCGCCCACAAACACCTGAGCAACGAGATACTTCTTCGTGCCCTCGCCCAAGCCGATGCCGTTGACCAGCTGCATAGCAATGGGCTCGGCAAACGTCGTCGGCAGCACCAGCGCAAAACACACGATGCCAAACACGCCGGCCATCTCGGTGATGCCGACGACCTCAGCGAGCACAGGGCTGATGGTGGACCAGAAGGTGCCGCAGACGGTGCCGGCCAGGACGGCGAAGACGAGCAGCAGGGTGTAGCTGTGGGCGGGGATCCACAGGGCAAAGCACAAGACGGCGCACAGGGCCGTCATCAGCATGGCCATGTTGATGCGGCCGAGGCGGTCGCTGTAGTAGCCGACGACGGGCCTGCCGACGCCGAGCCCCAGGTTGAGCAGCGCGTTGGCCACGGCGCCCTGCGAGTCCGACAGGCCGATGGTCGTGGCGAAGTTGGGCAGCGAGTAGTAGAGGGTGATGTAGCCCAGCTCCGTCACCACCCCCCAGAAGACGATCAGCAGCACCTCGGTGCGCCCGAAGTCGCGCAGGTCGAAGTTGCGCGGCATCATGGTCGGCTTCGACTTGCGCCCGGCCGGCTGTGCGAGATGTTGCTGCTGGAGCACCTCCTTCGGCACACGGTCCTTGAGCAGCAGCGACGAGACCGTGTTGACTACGACGCTGCAGATGGCGAGCACGCGGTAGGTCCAGGCCACGCCGAGCTTCGGGATGGCCTGGCCGGTGCCCAGGCTGTATGCCAGCCCGCCCAGCCCTGCGCCGGACGAGGCTATCCCGACCGCGAGGCTGCGTCGTGTCGAGAACCATGGTGGCAGAACGGCCGTGGCTGTGATGTACAGGAAGCCCATCCCCCAGCCATACGCCACACCCTGGCTGAGGAAGAGGTGCCAGATTGCGGTTGCGTAGGCCGACGAGAAGAGGGCGAGAAAGACTACGGCGGTGCCGATTAGTAGAGTCGTTGGCGTCCCGAGCCGTTCGCGGCTTGTGACGGCGATGGGAGAGACCATGAGGGCTTGCGAGATGGAAAGACCACCAATGAGGGCATATTCCAGGTGGCCGGCGCCCGGGAAGGTGCCCTTCTGGAGGAAGTAGTTGAGGATGACCCCCCATGCCTGAAATCGAAAAGTTAGCCTCTCAGTCGCCTTGGTTGGATATTGAGTCACTTACGCCGTTGATGCCCCAAGTGTGAGCATTGATGAGGAAAACACTGGCAGTGCAGACCCAAGCATAGCCTCCATTCGGCGGGACGTCCTCTTGAAGAGCTATGCGCGTGTCCTCAGGCGCTTGCACTGAGGATTTGAATGACTCACTGGAACCATTTTGGAGTGTTGCTTGTTCAATGTCGCCGGCCGCTTGTTCCGGGGATGGGTAAGTCGCAGTTATGGGCTCGAACATATCGTTCCAGGTACTGAGGAATGAAGAGCAATGAAGTGCCAACAGTCTCTTCCGGGCCTCGATTTCTTTTAAATTTTTTTCTTTGACGTTGAGCAACAGAAGACGAGGGTTATGGCTAAAAGGCGCCACTTCTCCACATGGTTACCGGAAATGGAGAAGCAATCCGCACCGAAAAGGACCGAAGAAAGCTTTGTTGCTACACATACCGCTCATTGGGCCATCCCGCATGTATTACATGTGAATATCTTCCGACTTGGACCTAGCGCCTCACCATCTGAGCTATTTTGTATTACTCGCTTGTGACGAAACCCGACCACCTGCCTGTCGAAAGCTTGGCACTCACCTTCTCGCCGCTTCTTATCGCAATCTTTGCTGCATCTTTAAAAAATACTTTTCCTGCTAACCACTCACATTCACCGCCTAATGCAGCACGGCCTTGGCGATGTGAGTCACTGTGTTACTAAGCAATGGAAGGGTGTGCAGCCCCGCCCAATCCTTGCATGGGTATGCGATATTAGTTGTTCTCCGGCTTGCGGCCATACACGACAGAGCTACGGATTCGTAAGCCACGAACGCTTGGTCGGCGGGGTCGGCGCAGGACTTACTACGTGTAGTAGGGGTGTACTTTGCGACTCCTGATGGCAGCACGGTACCTTGCCACCAGCACCTGCACCTCCTCGTATTTCCACTGGCTGCGTGTCAGCTCTACATCCAAAAAGGTAAGGCAATCCGGGGAGAAGAAGCATACGCCAAGTACATGTGTGCAGAGGTACATTGCCCATCCCTCGGCACCCTGGAAGCAATACAGCAAGTGCCACTTGCCGATCTCCTTCAACCTAGGATCGCTACTCCACGGTCCGATTGGCACCTTGTAGTCCACTTGATGCACATCTTCGAACCCCGCATCCAGCATGCGCTGTTTCATGTCCTTCCAGATATCCAGCGTGCGTCCGAATTTAGGAGAGTCGGCGGCGTTGATAAACAGGGGACCCCACTCCTTCAACACTTTGTCTTCGTACTTGTCGAGCGTATCGTCGTCGCAGCGCGTGAGGATGGACATTTCCAGCTGCTGGAACCAGCCGCCGGGCTTCAGGGCTCGGAATGCTTGCTGATAGTACTTGTTCCAGTCATCGATGCTGCCGTACAGCATGCGCGTGTGGATGAAATCGAAATGGTTCTCCGGGAAAGTCCAATTTTCGGTGGCGTCGTCGAGCTCGAACTTGCAGTTTGGGGGCCTTCAATACCGTCTTCAGTCTCACATTTTCATATTGTTTTGGCGGAAGCCTTACAGCAGCGAGGGCTGAATGGGAGACAGGTCGGTTCCGATGACCTCGGCGCTCGGATACTCATCCGCAAAGTCTCTGAAACGCAGGAGCATTAGTACGACGCATTGCTATTCGTCCGGATCATACTCACATGGCCCATATGCCGGTACCCGTGCCGACATCCAGGACCCTCTAGAAGCTCGATTAGAGTTATGATGCCTGAGACTGGAAGGGATCTTGCCTGGGGGTTTTCGCCAATGGGAGCGAGAACGAGCTTATCACCAAGGACTATCCTCAGCATGTGATGGCTGCAATGCAATCAGAGCTATGTTTTGCACCGAGAACGACATTGCATGAACTCACCCGATGTCCAATTGGTCGTTCTGGGTATCATCATTGGGACCCCTAGAAGGCGATGGCGTGAGATTTGAACAGGCGCACCCAGGCTGTCTGCATACCAGTAGGCACCTTCCTTCCACTTCTGGTAGCGGCGACCGTTCTCAAAGCGGTGGCGCCAAATGGTCGAGGCGATGGAGGTGGTGTCGCTCAGCTCGTCTTCACCAATGGCCGAGTCATCTTCGTCGGCGTCCTGGGCACGTGTTTGTGAGCGTTGGTGGCGGAGGGGTAAGGTGTAACGTTTCGTACCACTGGAATGTTGACGACGGGCTCATTTGATGGAGGAAATTCGGGCGAGGCGGTGGGGCGGGGAGGGGAGGACATGATTAAGCTCGTCGGAGACTAGGGCGGCTGCTCCCGTGCGCTAAGAATTCTTCGACGACAGAAGCAAAAGAAAAGTGTGTGAGGCGACGATAGGGGGCGCGGGCGGGGAAGCAAAGCGGCGTGCTCGGCGGTGATAAGTGAGTGGGAACGAGACAGTGGGAACAACCCTGCAGTTAACGGGCGCGCCCGTGTGCCCGCCTTCCTCGACTGCCGCTGCCGTCGTTTTTTCCGCGCCACGTCACGAATTGGAAGTACCCCGACCCGAGTCATCATTGTCGCTCTCCCCTGTAATCTGGTTGGCGCCGCGAGCCTTGGAACTTGCGTGCTGCTTTCTGGTTGTGGGCGAGGCTCCACAGAAATTCCGACCGTTCGTCAGGGCACTCCGAGTCATGGGCTTATCAGAAGACCTGCAGCATCTCGCTTCTGCATGACGATTTCTTCACACATCTTGGTTCTGGAAGACCACGGCATTGATCTTCGATGCCCTGTACAAGAGAAGCAATCGCCTAGGGCATGCTAATGTATCATCACGCATCTGCGGTCCGCAACACTTACACACTTCAAAGAGTCTTCAGTGGCATGATAACCGTACGAAATAGTACCAGGTGAGCTGAGGAGTCCTTTGTTATAATTGATTTAAGCCAAGAATATTCGCCCGAGAAGCCTTTCCTGGATTGTTCTCCACTGTCTTCGTTCACGAGGGAATCCAGAAGCTCAAGTTCAGGTTCTTTGCCTCCAATCAAGCCGGCCTCTCCTCATCCACTCGTTCAATGTGCTCCACATTTCCGCCATGCACGCTAAACCTCTTCCCCGCAACGACATCCTTCTCCATCTGCACCTCGATGTGCGAATTGAGCAGCGGACTCGGGTCCTCGACCCAGAAAGCACAAATGGTCGTAATGACACCAAACGGGATGCTCGCATAGAAGACCATGCGGAAAGCCTTCGCATACGTCTCCCTGAAGGCCGTCTTCGTCGCCTCGGCCACGGCCTCGCTGACACCTCCCGGCACCGCCTGCAGCGCGCCTGGCACGCCGACCGCGTTCTCGATGACAGCAGGGACCAGCGCAGCCATGTTCGCCGGATCGAAACCCGCACGAACGGCAGCCTCCGCGATATTGCTGCCAAGCTCGCGGTTGGTGACGGAGCGCAGGATGGTGCTGAAGATGGCATTCCCAATGGAGCCGCCGGCGCTCCTGAAGGTGCCGATCAAGCCCGAGGCCACGCCCAGCTCGTCCTGCGGCACGAACAGGCCGGCCGTGACGTAGGCGATGGTCGTCAGCCACGTGAAGCAGCCCTGGCCGAAGAACTGCAGCGCCATCCACGCCGCCTTGTTGCCCGGGATGACGGCCGCGTAGCACGCCGTGAAGGCCGTTTGGATCACCAGCGCCACCACGATCTGCTCGCGCACGTGCTTGATGCGGTGCAGCAGCGACGGGATCAGCCACCCGCCCACCACGCCCCCAAGCCCGTTGGGGATGGCGATGATCCCGATCTCGGTCGGGTCGTTGGTGTACATGTACAGCGACGCCTGCGGCAGCAGCGCCGCCATGGCGTACCAGATGAAGCCCGACACGAAGACGATGAGCAGGTGGATCGTGAACTTGCGCAGCATGGCGAAGAGCGACCGCGGGAAGAGCGGGTTGGCCGGCACCGTGAAGTCGTAGACGAAGCATGCGATGGTGACGAGTGCGCCGATCGTAATAGTCGACCCGACCAGCGCCTTGGAGTACGACGACTTGCCCAGGTAAGTCAGCCCCACCAGTAATATCGTCAGCCCTGCCGTGAAGAGGAACAGTCCGATCCAGTCCAGCTCCCTGAATTCGTCCCAGCGTGACTTTTCGTAGTCTCGCCGCGGTCGAGACGGGGGGAAGTAGAAGATTGCGATGCCGACTGTGCAGAGAGCCGAGTAGATGATGGCGATGTAGTAGCACCATCGCCATGTCGCTTCCTCAGCAAGCTTGTTGGCAATAATCACACCGAATGCCGCCCACGGAACGTTGATGCAGAACTCGGTCCAGCCGAGCCCAATGCCGCTGCCGCCGCTATATCAGCATGCAATCAAGGCCGAGAGCCCTTCAAGTACGTACCGATACTTATTAGGGAGGAGCTCCGAAATGCCGGGATATGCTACAAAAGCAACACCGGCTCCAAATCCAACAATTGTTGATGCTGCGGCTACGGTAGTAGTCTTCTGAGCAGTTGCTCCAATTATCTGCACCATGTCAGTGCTAATACCGTTGAAGACGCACTGAATTGGCCACTTACCGCACCCACTAATGTAATAACCTGGCCAGACAGCGTGACCCAGCGACGGCCGAAGATATCGCTCCAACCTCCGGCGATGGAGAAAGAAATGGCAGACGCGACACTCCAGCCACCCGCAATCCAGACTATATTCTCCGTATCATTCAAGTCTTGCCCGATGGGGTTGAGGATGCCATTGACAAGCACATAGCCGCAAGCAACGGGGGCCACGAAGGACATGCCCAGGAACTGCCATCCGAATAGGGGAAATCAGCTCACTCATCTTGACCCAAGTGAATCTGTGCGAAGCTGAAGTCTTGACTCACGAAGACCGCAATGATTGCTGAAATAGAAACTTTCTCCTCTTCATCGCTCGTCATACGTGTCGATCGGCCTTCTACTATGGTGTCAGGCGCTGTAACAACGGGCTCAAGTGACTCGGCCGAGTCATTCTTCTCAATCTCGGGATTGACTGATTTCGGGGTCGCCATGCTGTGTTGAAGCAGGCTTGGATTCGATGGTGAGGCAATGTTAACAAGAAACCACTTTCGGGAGAGGACCGCTTGGGATGCCGCTGCCTCAAGGAGCAGATGCAACTCCTGAGCGACACTTATAGGCGAGCGGGACCATCGGCGGGTATATCTGTGGAGCGATAGATTAGACTTCGCGGTCTTCTATGCGGGATGACGGTCTCCATGAGTCGAGCATGCAAGCACCCCGGGCGAGTCAGGGAAGAAACCGGGATGAGCACAGAGGCCAAATCACCCCTCCGGAAGGTGATTTGAGAAGTTGCGGGACGAACGCCTCTTTCTCCACACGCGGTGGGTCCCTTGGCCCGCAGGCCCCTCCCCTGCCGAAGTCTGGGGTTACCCGGCGCACCCCACAATTCTACACATCAACTCCTAACAAAGAAGCTACATAATTGATAGGCTCCCCAACAAATAAACATGGCTGCAAAGCCTGCCCACTTGAGATCGACATCAACAGCAAGAATAGAAATGAGGCAGCGCCACCACAGCCACGTCTCACACCTGCTGGCCCGCAATCCAATGGTGTCGTTCCCGGATCAGCTGGCCACGTTCTGGATCTTCGGCACTTGCAAATGCCTGCCGTGCCGGCAGTTGTGACGCTTGCCAGGGTCTGCCACCCCGCCCTGGCAGATGAATGCCTCTTCGTGCATTGCTACCGGACCGCGCCCGTCCGATTGGCTCGGATATTGGGCTTCTTGTTTGCGGGGAAGCAACGATCCTAGCGGCGACATACAGTCCCCTCTCGCAGCCATTTACTTTTTTGCTCATGTCATGGGTAGCTGAAGCTATCGTCCGGATGAGAATGTCGATTTAAAAATTCTACATACACGTCCAGACGATAGCTTCAACTACCCGCATACGTTAATTTTTCTAAAGCCCATCGAGGTTACGAAACTGTTTTTTACACCTTGTTATGCACGTTGCACCTACTTGAAGAAGGACTTCAAGCTCACGTCTGGATGTATTTATTCGACCTTGACTTTGAAATACAGGTCCGGATGTTTGCTTCCGCCATCACCAAGCGATGCAATGACTAGCCCACCGAGACGCTAAGCTAACATAAAGAATGACCGTCGCACCAACCTCCGGCATCTTCCTTCATCATCGCGTGGCCACCGGGATCTAAATCTGCACGCCGAGCTCAACTACCACACACTGCCCCCATCAGCCACTCCCCCGCTCCAAGAAAACACTCCAGCGTCCAGATCAAGCTCACAGCTTAACCAGGTACCACCATTAAGTCATCAATATCATCGTGGCTACTGCCACACCACCACCAGATCCGCAGCCTTTTCTCCTTATCACATCTCTCCTTCGCAATCCTCAATTGCCGAGCCTTCTTTTCCGCCAAGTACATCCACTGCGGCTTGCGTAGACGAAAGTCGTCATCACCTGCGGAACGGGGCTCTGGATCGTCTTCAGGTAGACTAGGAGATGCGGACTCCCTCGGACGGGGCTGGAGAGAGGTCTTCTCGGCGTAGGTAAGCTGCGGCTGACGACGGGACTGTTGTGCTATCGGCATCCACTTTGGCTGGGTCCCAAAAGACCTGGATGTAGCGTGACCATCGCCGCCATGGCCCGCGCCACCGTCACCCTCTTCCTCACTCTCTTCCCCATCCTCTTCCTCATCATCTTCCCCACCCTCAACATTCAGAACATCAGCAGGTGACGATGGCTGTGAGCTTTCCATCTGAAGCTCCCCCTCTATGTCACCTTCTGTTGCTTCCGTGGTACTGTGAACGGAATCTATCCTTTGAACTCTGGTGATGATGGGGGTTTGGTCGGAGCTAGATTTTGCTGAGGCCTCGGATATATCCGGTTCACTGGCGGGATTGGGGTCTTCGGCTCTTCCACGAAGTCTGACTTTGAGATTGCTCTCTTTGGGGCGGTTCCAGCGAATTGTCCATTTCGTGTTTCTTACACTGCGGTTCGAGGCGGGAATATACAGGCATCCCTTGGAGTTGTTGGAGAGGCGTTTGGAAGACATGGTGGCATCGAGGTTATTGTAAGCGCGAAAGCGGTCCATACTGCTGGCAGGTTTGCACCTTGTGTATGAAGTCAGTCCCTGCCCCTGCTCTGGAAGAAGGCTACAAGCTGACTTACAATTCCTGATACCGAGATGTCTCGCGCGATTGAGTCTTGAAAGAGTGACGGAGGCGTTAGAATACTTGGGATAGTACTTGGCTCCAACGAGCGTAGAGTTGAAATGTTGAGATGTGCAGTGTTGTTCGAGTTGCGTGGGGCGAGAGAAGTACGTGTTAGGTGGGCGCGGTTGCCTCGCGCGCCCGTCTTCTTAGCTCCTTCCACTGCTGCTGAGCGCCGTTGAACAGCAATCAGGTTTCTGTATACCCTACGAGCGCCAAATACCGATTCCCAAGTGGATTTGCCTCAATACACGTCCCAGGTCGATACACCCGTCACCCGTCCTTTGCGCCAATCCACGCCATGCTTGTACTCGGCGGCGATCGGTTCCTCGTCGATACCGCAATGATCTTCACCATCTCTGCCTCTAAACCATCCAAGGCCATACGTCTTCCCCTTCATTTTCTCCAGATACCGGGTCATCGCGGTGCTGTCCAGCCTCTGCGTGTTCACAAAGTTCACGAGCATGTTGCTTTGGTGGATGTACGCGAGCACGGATGCAATGGTACCAGGCTGCCGTGGCAAGAAGTAGTGCCTTCGCTTTGCGTACACAACGCCAGCAATGACGCACAGGTAGACAAGAATGCCGAGGGCCAGAGCGAAAGATACCCAGAATGATTTGAAGGTTTCATCCGTGGTGTAGCGGCTGTCGTTATCGTCATCGGACAGCACATCATCGTGGCCATCGCCGGAAATGAACTTCTTGCCGTCGACAGAGAATGAGGACATGCAGACAGTCAAAACCTCTGTCATGACCGCGCCGACACCGACGGCAGAGACGAGGTAGTGACGGTTGAAGAAGGCTTTGACAGGGAGGTAGCCGGGTGGGGTGCCAGTATAGTCGAGAGTAAGGGTGCGCGGTGGCGCGTTGCGGCGCGAAAGGATGTAGAAGGGCTCGACGATGCGAACGTCCATATCAATAGTGCCCCAAAGGAGTTTGATGACGGTGCCGATGGCAGTGAGGAGAAAAGGAATCTTCTCGGTGACGACGTTTGCATTCGGTTGGAACAGGAAAAGTGGCAGTAGGACCATGACGATGATTAGGCCGCAGATGTATGGAATACCACCTTTGAGGGTGAGCATCAGCGGATGTGGGTTCTCGAACTTCTCGGTTACTTCTTCAGTACGTGTGTTCCGAATGTATTCTCCCTGCCAGAGGGAACTCTTGTGCAGAATGTAGCGGCGGTGCGCGAGTTGCTTATGGATGACGGGTGTCGGTGCTATGTCCAGTCCTTGGAAGTCTTGCAAAATGTGACTTTGCGTTGCCATGGCCGCGATACCAGCGATGCCCTTCGGATCACTAAGTAAACCACTCTTTCTCCGAAGCTTGAATAGGAGAAGCATGCCACAAAAAGCCACAACGAATAAAGACGCCGACGTGAGCCTTGACCAGATGGGCACGATGCGGACGAATTTGAAGTCATCTTCTTTTCTATCATCCTTGTCTGGATACATTTTCACAGACGCAGACTGCAAGACCGGGATAAGACTACCGGAGGTCAGTGTTGCCAAAGAGGAAAGCAAAACTGCCCATTGTCGATGGCGTGCTGCCCTGATGGGAATGAGGTACGACAAGAAAGTCAAGTAATCGATGTTCAGGCTGGCTGCGGCAGTGGCACCTTTAGGACGAGAGAGTTGGTAGTAAGGTTCAAGCCGTTTGACTTCAAAGTCGGATATCTGCCAAAGGATACCGTAGGACAGTAGGATGATTGTTGGTGCGTATTTCCAGGTAAAGTAGTCTGTCAGGGAGATTTCCTGCGGGGTTTTAAATCTCAAAAGTCCGTCGTCTTGGCCTTTCGTTATCGATATCTGGCAGAGTAATTCCTGAAGGGCTCCAAGACCTATTGCAATGATGATGAGAATTGTGATCCACCACCATCGCATTGACACCGGCCTCCAAGAAGGCATGTCAGGATCTGGAGGGAAGTAATAGCTTGTCTCCGACTGGTCCTTTGGCCCGGTGGCAACTCTGTCGATGATGCTACGACGTTCGTAGTCCGCTCCATCGAGATTGCTGAGGTCAACCGCTGGCGTTTCAACGGCCAAAATTTCACCAGACTTGTCTGCTGCCTTTTGAGCTTCTTTGCGTTGAGCACTGGCTGACGTCTTTCCTCTCTTGATTGTTGCCTGACGGACAGGCTCAGAAGCGTCTCGGACTCTGTGCATGCCGCTTCCCATGGCACCAAGCCTGTGCCCAATCTCCGATTTCTGGCTTTCAGCACCCAAGCTCGTATAAGCTCCTCTTGTCTCCTGTTCTGACTTGTCGAACTCTTCACCCTCAGACATTTTCCGAAGTGGAATCGGACCTTCAAACGCGCTTATGTCGAAACCAATACTATCAGCGTCGCGTCCTTCGTCAACATCCGTCAGTCTGGCCCTTCCCAGGTCCGCGCTTCCGTTGCCATCCTCATCTTCCAACCTGCCGTACCTTGAGCGTCGCGATCCTCGTAAAGCTTTGAGTGAACCGAGCTTGCTGAACAAGCTGGGCTGACGCGCTGGTGCAGGGCTGGATTGGATGAAAGAAGCTGGCGCAGAATCATAGGCGGTGGATGCGGAAAATGTTGGGGGCGACGGGACATCCGAAACGGCGAACGACGTCTTCTCCGGAGAAGATATGGATGAGGCATAAGAATATCGCTGACGGGAATCACGGCGGGTTGAGATCAAGGAAGGGCGTTGAGGGTAATCGCTAGCCGGCGACTCTTGATGTGGTGGTGTCTCTTCTTCATAAATGGCATTGCGGTCCGAAAATGGGCTGTAACCTTCGGTCGCAGGAGAGCCTGCGCGCAGTGAGGCTGGAACGTTATCCATAAGTGGGAGTTATTGAGCGGGCGAAGCCGAGTGCTGAGTTCTCTCGCGGACAAGTAGGATTTGACGGCGCTCTCGAATCACATGTGGGTATAATTGATGAAGAGGGACGGGTTGAGGTTGCGGGGTTGGAGAGGCAAACAAACAGCGGACCGGACGGTAGTGACACTACATGTCTAAGGCATCCTTCCCGGGGCTTGACATGGCGGCACGGCGGGTACAGTAGCGGCAGGATGCGGCGCAGGAACCCTCCAATCTCGTGCATCGAGAATCAGCCCCCAATATTCGGCACTAGGGATCAGCGGTCTGGAGTCGCAGCGAAAGAGAGACCAAGAGACCAAGATGGGGGCCACGATAAGGCGCTGCGGTCAGCATTTCGTGGAGTGAAAGTGAAGCTTCGGCGAGTCCAGCAGCCCATTATTAGCAGCTGAATGTAAGTTTGACGGTGACAGACTCATCGAACGCGAAAAGGCACGTTTTCCCGAAGCGGTCATCGCGGCGTCAGCCATCGGGCTAACGGTAGTCAGCTGGCGCTATTCAGCCTTGCTCGACAGCTTGCGTGCTGGCATGTTCAGGCTGCATTTGGTAAAGCCCAAGATTACGGCGCTTGATCCTTGAAGCAGTGGAGATCCGGTGAGGCTGTTACCGCGGCAGCAGGCGAAGAGACTGCAGTGGTTGGAGGGCAGGGGCGACTGGCCAGGGTTCACTCGCTTGCTGCGTACCTAACCGACTGTTCGCACACGCACACTCCCCCACACATCAACACCATCGTACCCAACCTTGATGTGCGCAGGGATGGCCGCGCAAGCACACATGTCGCACTGAAGTGTTCTGCATGTATGCAGTAAGCATTCCAGCTGCCCGGTTCCGCCTCAGAGCTGGCTCCGTCTGGTGAGACGGTAACCAGCTCTTGTTTCATCGTCGTCGGTGAGCCATCACTTCCCCAACCATCCCATCACCCCTGCAGCTTCATGATGAATCCTTTTATCCATTCAAAGTTTCAAGACGGATCGGAGGGGATTTTTCGTACTTCTTCCCCGTGAATGAACGCTTCTCTCTGAATTCTGCACTCGTCGAGTCGCCTCAACCACGAAGACCCTCACACAGGACATGTGCTGACGACCGAGACCACAGGCAGGCTGATGAATAGTGCGACCGAGCGGTTCTCCCACAGGGAACCGTGTCGTGACGCTCACATTGATACGCGTACAGAATCGATATATAGTAATACGACACCGTTTCACATTCCATGCATTAAGCTTTCCGATTGCAATGAACCATCCGGCGCCGCATATTGACATGCCCAGCTTTTACTGTTCGAGTACATGGCAGCATATGACCTTTTTTCTACGAGGACTTGTTCCTCGAGCTCCGCCTAGGCTCGCCCGTCTCAGTGGCAGCCTTCTTGGGCTCCCTCTTCGGCTTAGCCTTCGCTGCCGGCTTCTCACCGTTCTCGGCCTTCTTGGGCCTGCCGCGACCCTTCTTACCGTTTGCCTCAGTCTCCGTCTTCTGCTGCTTGGCAGGCGGTTCGCCATCGCCCTTGTTATCCGCCTTCTTCTCCTCGCCCTCCTTCTTGTCCTCGCCGTTAGTCTCGGCCTTGCGCTTATCGCCGGCTTGCGCCTCGTCGTTCTCCTTCTTCTCTGAAGTCTTTTCTTCCTCCTTCTCGGCCTTGGGAGCCTCCTCGGCAGGCTCCTTCTTTTCCTCTTCTTTGCTTTCCTCTTTCTTTTCCTCCTCGTCCTTCTTCTCGGCCTTCTCTTCCTCGGCCTTCTTCTCACCGTTGGTCGTCTCCTCCTTCTCCTTGTTGTCGTCCTTCTTCTCGTCCTCCTTGTTGTCGTCCTTCTTTTCCTCCTTCTTGTCTTCAGCCTTGTCCTCAGTCTTATCCCCGGCGCCATTGGCCTTGCTTTCGACCTCGAGCTCGGAAGCTTTCTTCACGACATCGTTACCGGGGCGCTCGACGAGTACGGCGGGGTTCTCGGGTTCGGCGTTCTTTTTAATCGTGTTGCCCTTGTTCGACTCGATGGCGATCTCGCCCTCTTTGGCGACCTCGGAGACGGTACCGCCGGGCGCACCACCGCCCCACTTCCACGACACTGCAACAATGGCAATAAGCGACCAGCTTTGGGCGAAGAAGGATGGAGGAGAGATGCGTGTTGTCTGCTGACATGCGGCACTACGTCATCGCACGGCCCGGGGGACGGGCAGATGCCGGGGTGGAAAGGTGCAGAGGCGAGGGTGCGCGCATGAGGGGGTGCATGGACGCGCCTCAGCTGGGATGCGATTGGACAGCGTACCTTCGTCGCCCTTTTGGATTTCCTGCTCAGACATGGCGATGATGCGGATTGATGCGCGTTCCGGGGAGCTGAGGGAGCTAAGCTGCTAGCGCTGCGACACGTGAACAGGCGCGGATGGGCGGCAATGAGAGTGAGGGTGGTCGCGGGGCGAATGCGACGATAGGTGAGGGTTGATTGATGCGCGCGCAGGTGTGGACGATGGGAAAGGAGAGGGAGAGAGGAGTAACAATGGTGTGATGTTGGAAAGCTGAGAGGACGGAGCTAAAACGACGGGATCGGCACAGGCGCGAGCGTCATCCAGCCCCATGCAGTGTTCTAAAAAGCGGAGTCCACGTGACGCGGCAGAATCATCTCCCCCCAGACGCCTCTCCTCTTCCTCGGGCAGTCGTCGCGGCTGCCCGCCTGACTGCCTCACCGCACGCTGTGCCCGCAATTGGTCCAGGCCAGCCCGTTGCGCTCGGACAACGGCTGACGGGCTGCAGCGTTTCAGCAGTGGAGCTAACGGATCATCTCAGAATAGAGTCGAATCATGGACACGCTTCTATCTCCGTCGCTCACCCTCTACGCTGCGTGGTAGTCTACAAATGGCTCCGCCGCGTGCTCCGGAGACGCTTGAGGCTCTGCAGGATCTCAATCTTCCTCAGCTCCATCTGCAAGTCCTCCTCGTCCATCCCGTCCAGATCAATGTTGCCGTCGCTTACCGCCGAGTCAATCCGCTGACGAAACTTCGGCGCCTCCGGCTTGGACACAGCCTCGCCCCTGGCCTTGCCGGGCACGTCCACCCAGCCTCTGCATTTTTCCACTGCTTTCGTCCACGCTGCGAACTTTGCCTCGCGATCCGCAGCCGAGGTTGACGGCTCGAAGACAGTGCCGCCCGCACGGTTGACGTCGCGCAGTTCGGCAAAACTGCGCCACACGCCCGTCGCCAACCCCGCTGCAATGGCTGCGCCAAGTGCCGTCGTCTCACGCATCCTGCGTATATTAGTGACGTGTGCCTCCTCAATTCCGCCACTGACAATACGTACTTTGGTCGGTATACCGGAATGCCAATGGTATCGGCTTGGGTCTGCATGCAGAGATCCGAGTTGGACATGCCGCCATCAACAGCCAGTTCGGCAAGAGCATGACCGCTGTCGAGCTGCATAGCATCGAGAATGGCTTTGGTCTGATAGCAAGTTGCTTCAAGCGTGGCTCGAGCGATATGGCCCTTCTTCGTGTTGAGTGTGATGCCAACTGTAGGTGTAGCCTCGTCAGTCATTGCTCTCTTAATCGTCTTCTCTCAGTCAACGCCAGGTGGTCTTGACTCTTCCTGTTTCTCGTCGTCAAGGGGGGTTCAGAACTTACACATAGTGCCCTTCGCGTCATCGATCCAGTACGGAGCAAAGAGGCCACTGAACGCCGTGACGAAGACGACACCTCCATTATCCTCCACGGAAGTGGCAAGGTCATTGATCTCCCGCGCCTCGCTGAAGAGGTTAAGGTTATTCTGGAGGAATTTGATCCCGGACCCTGCGACTGCGATGCTACCCTCCAAGGCATACACTGGTTTGCCGTCGAAGACGTATGCGATTGTGGCCAGAAGTCCATGCTTGGAGATAACAGGCTTGTCGCCCACGTTGTACAGCAGGAAGCAGCCTGTGCCATAGGTGTTCTTAGCAAGGCCCGGCGAGAACCCCTTCTGGCCAACCAGCGCAGCCGACTGATCTCCCAGACAGCCTGCAATGACGAAACCCTCCAGGGCTCCGGACGCCAGGGTACCATATGCCTTGGCATCTATGCTGTCAACAATTTTTGGCAAGTGCACCTTGGCCCTGTTCAACTGAAAGAAGTCTAGCAGTGCATCATCATAGCGCAGCGTCGAGATGTTCATGAACATGGTTCGCGAAGCGTTAGTAGCATCGGTCACGAAAACATCATTGGCAGGCCCTCCGTTCAGCTGGTATACCAGCCAGGTATCCACAGTACCGAATGCCAACTTTCCCTCGTCGTATGCGGCCTTGACGTCGGGGACATTCTCCAGCATCCACAACAGCTTCGCCGAACTGGGATACGTTGACAATGGCAGCCCACAGATTTGCTGAAGGTTGTCGGCCCCAGGGCGTGTCTTGAGCTCACGGACTAGCGCCTGGGCTCGTGTATCGGTCCAGACGATAGCATTGTAGAGCGGTTTTCCGGTCTCCCGATCCCACACCACAGTTGTTTCGCGCTGGTTCGTGATGCCGACCGCTCGGATCTGTGAGCGGTTATATCCTTGGGACTCGAAAGACTTGACGGCCTCTTCAATGCAGACGTCAACGCTGCTAACAATCTCCAGGGGATCATGCTCGTGCCAGCTGGAGATGGTCAGTATACGCCTCAAGAGAATGATCCTGGACGATTCCATACCCAGAGTTTGGGAAGTATTGCGTGAATTCCACTTGATGCGAAGCAACAAGCTCCCCCGACCGGTTGAAGATCAGGAAGCGGGAGCTGGTTGTTCCCTGGTCGATCGCGCCAACGAAGATTTCCTCGTAGTTGCTATTCATTTTCAGGTCGGATGGGATTCAGCAATCCAGGGTTCGAGGCAGAGGAAAGATTGAAAGAGCAGTGGTACAACAACCAGCATATTGGAACAGCAGCGGGGCGAGTATTAGAGGGGCCTGGCACGCCACAACAGAGCTCAGTCGAGCGCGAACACCGCGGGGTTTGTCGGACAAACATGCCCGATGACCCAGTATTGATTGGCCAAGGGTCAGGCAGGATCAACCGTTCCCCGCAAAGCTTGGCGCCAACCCTATCCGAATCAGCTCTCTTTTCATGTCTTCGACGTGGTCGCGCCCCCCGGCTCAGCGCGGCATTATTCCACAGCTGGGCATACCCCCGGACGTACCCTCAAGTACCGTAAGCTCACAAACACGCTTCTCCGCACCCACCCGCCCGGAAGAAACGCCATTGTACGACCTCCTGACTGTTCTGGATGCATCGCCGCTGCCATCAGCTCCTACTTCCGCCCACCAAGCCTCGTCCAGAGCACTCATTACCTCGGCATGAAGGTCGAGGCCTCTTGTGCTACGCGGCAACCAAACCCCAACCCGCCTGGCCGTGTTGCGGCAAAGACCCTGTCCTAGGCTGCGGCGTCGCGCCTAGCCCGGAGGGGATATTTCACGGCGTCTAAAAAGCGACCTTATGCTATTCGTCACAAAGCGCCTGACAAGAGGGCTTACGCAGTCAAGTCCTGAAAATGAACACCTGCAGGTCTGGGTGTCTGTCAGCCTAGTCGGCGGGACGAACGGTGCTTTCTAAGTGGTGAGCGCAGGTAATACGGATCAAAGGGTTGAAGAAGCACAACCAAGAGGCAGCCACGACCTGCACCTCCAACCCACCGGGGAAATCATGGCCATCACGCCACCCGGTCGTGCCGCCAGTGTGTCTTCGTATCCATCCTCCTTCCGTAGCGAGCTAATGCCGTGCGATGAGAGACGACATGGGAGGGGCAAACCATGAACACCCAATCACTGAGTCTCGACACGGCGAACGCATTTATCTGACTCCCTCGTCTTACCCCTCCCAACGGCTTGTTTCGTCCATGGCACGGGTTACATCCGCCGCCACTCCAGGCTATCACGGCATCCGCTCTCGGATGTTGGCAGATGCCATCGCCATTGGCGCCGCGGCGTCCAGGAGGTCGTGTTGGCGAATCACCAGGCCTTTCGAAATCGACTACTGGGCGTATGGCGGTCGGAGCCTTGCTGTCAACGCGATTGCCGATCTCCGACATCACCGAGGGGTAAGGACTGGATTGGCATGGTATTACTGATGATGCGGGGGAGAGGTCTTGGGTCGAGTCTCTTTGGTAGATGGCGGGACGCTGTGTGATGGCTTTATAAACTCCAGATGCTGCCCGCTCTAGATCGATCTTGATTATTGAATCCAGCATCGTCCCAGTTTTCTGAGCCTTGCCCGTTCTACTCTCGTATTTTGACTCTTTCCTTCTTGATTGGACCACCATGGCGCCTCATCATGGAGACCAGCTCACTCTTCACCCCAGTGAAGACTCGGGCTTCGGTGCTATTCACGTTGAAGACATAGCCGCCCCCGCTACCAAGACCCAAAAGTATCAGCCTTCCAAGGGGGAGCAGCCACCACCCAAGGCGGACAATGAATATGGAGTTGACCATAAGATTGCTATTGAGACCAGGAGTGACTCGGACATTATCGTGGAACAGTCTGTTCGGCCAACCCTCCTCTGGAGCCGGATCAGACGCATCCACAAGGAGGCCTTCTCAGAGTTCCTCGGCACATTCGTTCTGATACTGTTCGGCGATGGCGTCGTAGCCCAGGTGGTTCTCTCCAGCGGTGAGAAGGGCGATTACCAGTCCATCTCCTGGGGATGGGGGTGAGTTGTCTTTCCTCATACTCCTGTCGCTTCGAAGTGATGGCACTGACCTGTCGTCCAGCCTCGGCGTAATGCTCGGTGTATATTGCTCAGGCTACTCGGGAGGCCACATCAACCCAGCCGTGACCTTCGCCAACTGCGTCTTCCGCAAGTTCCCGTGGAAGAAGTTCCCCATCTACACGGTCGCGCAGGTCCTCGGCGCCATGTGCGCCTCGGCCGTTGTCTACGGGAATTACATCTCGGCCATCGACAACTATGAGGGCTATGGCGTGCGCACCGTGCCGGGCTACTCCAACACTTCCAGCGCAGGCATCTTTTGTACTTATCCTGCAGAATTCATGACCAGGACCGGCATGTTCTTCTCCGAGTTCATCGCCTCGGCCATCTTGATGCTCGTCATCTTCGCCCTCAAGGACGACGACAACATCGGCGCCGGCCCGCTCACGCCGCTCGCCTTGTTCTTCCTCATCTTCGGCATTGGTGCTTGCTTGTAAGCCGCTTTACCCCACCCTCCCAGTCTACATGTCTGTAAGCTGCTGACAACGATGCGCGCGCGATCTGCAGCGGCTGGGAAACCGGCTACGCCATCAACCTCGCGCGTGACTTCGGTCCGCGCCTGATGTCCTACATGCTCGGCTACGGGCCCAACGTGTGGAGAGCAGGGAATTATTATTTCTGGGTACGTTCACCTTCTCCCTACGCCCCTCCATCACCGGCGGCATCGTTTAATTCAACCGGCGGCTCGCTAACAAATTTGCGCGACACGTTACAGATACCCATGGTTGCACCCTTCTTCGGCACAACTTTCGGCGGCTTCCTCTACGACCTCCTCCTCAACGACGGCGACAGCCCTGTCAACACACCTTGGATCGGCTTGAAGAGGCTCGTACCTGGCGCTCTAGGGAGGAGTCCCCGGGGCAGCGTGAGTCCTGTGTAAATAATCAAGTGGTGGGGGAGAGATACACAAGTGTATACGAGACTAGGGTAAAGACTGTTAGTTTTACCGGGATGAGATCGAAGTCCGAGCCAGACTCATCTCTGTCGGTTTGTGCAAGCGGACACAGTGTGTTAGGAAGAGCACGTTCAAAATGATATCAATGGAACGGAGACTTGTTCAGGCTTTCTGTATGGCCTCTGTCTCTGGCTGTATGATAAGTAGAATACATGCGCTTTCTTCAAAACAAATCTCTCTTAGATTTTGATGGCTATCTCGTTCTTGACTTAACAATCTTCAGGAAGGACTTCCAATGACAAGTGCGTCTAGATGCTTCAAATTTTTCCAGATACACTTGACCACTTGGTCTCTGTGACGGGCGAGGCGTTGGCACCGGATTCAAGCTCACTTATTTCATTGTCTCATCTTCTGATAAAACGAAAGCAGCAAAGCAGAGAGGATCCAAGCAGGGCTTGGAACGTAGAATTTTCATCAGATAACAGATCTGTTGAAAGCTATGACGGTGCATGTCCTGAGCCTCACGCCATCCGGGACAAAGGGTAGCGGATGTCCATTGCCGTAAGGCGCCCTCTTTTTTTTTCTTTGCTCCCTTCGGCCGGATGACCCTGCCTTAGCCCCTGTTCAAGTCGGGCCCTGGCAGGTTGTTACACCGCGATTGCGGATAAGCAGGAAACATACCCGGTTCGGAGGTGCCCGGCTTCACCAAGAAGAAGCATGCCGTGTAACATGTAGAAATTTCAGAAAAGTTACTTTAACGGCCTCGGTAAGCCCATTCAGAGTGATTATATGGAACACATGTGGGTATGTGAAGCTATCATCCGGATGCAAATGTTGGATCAACAGTTGTACATTTACATCCTGATGATAGCTTCAACTACCCATGGCATGAGCGAAAAACGAAATGGCGCTAGTCTTCAGCTGTGAACGCCTCTGTATAGCGTGTATTGTCAGCTTTAGATCCCTCAGCCTCATTGAACATACTTCAGGTTCTAATTGTAATACAACAACGAATGTGCTAACACCCGATGCGGTCATTGCTACGTAACGCCTTGCGGAATTTTATCTCGTGATACAGACTTAGCGTAACAGTGGCTTGCTAGGCAGAAGAGTTTCACCAAGGTAAGCATTATCGTAATATTACACTGCACATATGCTCGATTCAGCCTTCACCCGATGCAACCTATACTCCGCCCCTGGTTTACACGGCGAAGGATGGTACCTTCTGGTACTTAAGTGCACTCACGAATAGCCCTTTAGTCATCCATTAGAGACAGTGATTATGGCCATACTACGTGTTCTCGTCTCAGGCCTCCGCTTATGTTTTCCTGTTGCTCTTCAAATAACCTGTCGATTGAGGTAGGATAAGAATTTCCATACTACGGAGTACAAATGCCTGAAACATTCGCTTTATCCGCGGAAGACGATGAATGCTCTGTTTATCCACTCAGGCTAGGTTTCTGTATTATCCATATAGTTCGAAGAAGCATCTGGTAAACGCTTGGCCTCAAAGCTGAATTTCTTCCATCCTCTTCCTGAACAATGAAACCTTTGCATCCGGGTTGATCTCGGCTCCTTGACTAAATCACATCTTCTGCATGACGCTGAGATGGAAGATTCCATTCGTACTTCAAAGGTGAAATAGGAGGCTCATCGTTTGAGATAAAAAAAGAAAGGCCCAGAGTCTCGGTACATTTTGCCCACCATGATGCCCAGCAGCGTCTTCTCGGAAATGTTGCGAAAGTGGGTGACGATGGGATGATTATCACAGACGAGTGCAGAGGAGACGGCGCCTCTGTACTTGGCTTCGATGACCTGTGCAGAGCGTTATCATACCACCATGGCAATATGGGGCAGGGCAGGGCAAGGCAACAATATTACCTCTCCATTCCCCCACTCCTCCAGCCACCTCCTCCTTGTGCCGGAGCCGTCCCTCGTCTGCACGGCGACGACAATGGGCTCGACGTCGTCGACGTTGCGGAAGGTGATGCCGACCCAGTTGATGGAGCGCAGCCAGGCATCCATTGGGTGGCCGGTGTGGAGGCTGCCGGACGACCATTCGCCGAGGAGCTCCAGGGGCCGGATCGAGGGCAGCGTATCGACGAGGGCGTACAGCTCGTCGGCTTGCACGGACGACGTTGGGTCATTTTCGGAGGCTGAGATGAGGTCGGAGGCGCTGGATGAGGCGGTTGATCTGGAGATGGGAACGGTTGGTTAGCAATGCAGCACGGAAAATGGAATCGAGCCGTTTACCCGTCCGTGTGAATTATCATGGTAGGGTGCGTCCATCACTGTGCGCGCCTCGATGGGTGTTGGAACGAGGAGACTCGAAGAAGCTGATCACTTGCTATGTCGACAAATGGGCGCCCAAGGTTCTAGAAGTTGACAACGGTCTGGCCCAGCCGTCCCGGGTATGCATTATCCGGGGACGTGGTGCACGCACCTTCCCGCCCTACACTCCCCACAGCTCACCCCCGTCACCGCCGCTGAATGGAAAATCCCAAGGCGGAAACAACCCGTCCGGACCCAGATCCAAGAACGAACCGAAGGCCAGCCCGCCTCCTCCTCCTCCAAGAATTTCCCCGGGCACCACGGCTGCCGATGACGACGATGATAGTACCTTCTGCCGGGGCGGGGGAAGACGGATCTGCCACGCGCGGGCGATGCTCCGGACGGCGCGGGCGGCGCGGGCGCTCCACTGCCACGCCTCGTCCATCTCGTCCAGCGCGTGCGTGAGGCCCTTGGCGCCCTGCAGCGACCTTCCGCGGACGGCCGGATCGTCGGATGTGGTGGCGGCGAGGAGGATGACGGCGGCGGTGAAGGCGCAGTGGACGGCTGAGATGGGGATTTTGCGCTTTTTTTTTTCGTGAGCCTTGGATGAATCTGTGAAGGGGGCGAGTGCTTACCAGGCCGTAGTGGCTTTTATACCAGCGGAATATGGCGGCGATGCAGTCGGCTGAGGTTTGGCATGCAATGGCGTGGGTGCTGCCATGTCGCAAGCCCCCGTTTGAAGATGTGAGGAACGGCCTGTGCAGGAGTATCATGACGGTGTGGTATTGGAGGCTGTGCACTCAATCAACATGGAAGACGCGGGAGACGCGGGTCCGAGAAGACTCACTGCAGCATGTATACGTTTGGAGCTAAGACATGTTGCGGCGATCTACTCAGCTTCAAAGAGCCCGGTAGATTGTTGTAGAAGGTGGCCAGGCGAAGATGGGCTTCTGAGGAGATTGCCTTGCGGTCCTCGATGTTGCTACCCGGGGCGTAGCTGATTGTCGCATTAGCACGGCCGTTGACAGACACGCCGAACAGAGCTTACATGGAATCAAGAAAGCCGGCTGAAGACCTGAACAACTCGCACGTATGAATGGAGCAGCTGGCAACATTCAAGCTGCGCGGAGTCATTTTGGCGGCTGAGGGACAAGGAAGAGTCTCGTCGCTGCACGATGTCGAGGGCTTCCTGGCCGTCACGTCGCGGTCCTGTATCATGGATGGTCTCCCCAGGCCAACATTCCACAGCCTGCAAGCACATTAGCACAAAAGCACCCCCTTGGTTGGCTTCAGAGGCGGCTACTTGTCCAAAACATAACAACCCCACCAAGTCACCGAGCGTACCTCTGCCTCGTCGGCCGCCATGGTCCCGTCCTCGACGCAGCGAGAGCAGTCGAGGTGCAAGCCCAGGCTGAGGGCCATTCGAACCGCCATGCCGCAATACATCCACCCGAGGGCCTCCTTGTCGACCGCCGCCTCGCGCACGCTGAGCAGCGCCGTCGCTTGGATCGTGGCCGCCGTGGGCGTCTCGTATTCGTCCATCACCATCTGCTTGGCCTCGGCCGCAAACGCATCACCCGCTGTGGCAGCGTCATTGGGATCCGTTCTGAGCTCGGGTGCGTCCGAGTAGCGCGAGGCCAGGGCGTAGATGGCGGAAAGGAGGGCGGGCGACGAGAAGTTCCCCATGGGGAAGGAAGGGCATGTGTGAAGGTCGTGCAGAAACTGGTCCCTGGAGACAAGGCGCTGCCATGAGTTCTGCCAGGTCCAGAAAAGGTCCAGCAGATGGTCTCGCATCTCGACCGATAGTCTGAAGGCTGCGCTTGATGGGTTCGGACAAGCGTGGCGCTGCACTTCTTGTGGCTGCGACACGCCTGTCCGAAGTAGGTGAAGATTGCTTTGGGGGCCGAAGTAGCATATTGTCCCCCCGTCACCAATGTTGAAGCTCCCTAAAGTCTTGGTGATGTCGTCCAGGTCGAGGCCCGAGACACGTGCCATGCCGCTGGATTCATGATGGCATGCTGCGTCTGCAGGCCGCTTGTTGGCGGCTAGTTCTTGTTCCAAGGATTTGACTCGAGCTTCCAAAGCGCGCACATAGTTTTTACTGGGCGGCTTGCGGTTGTGCTTTGCTTGTGGATACGCACAGGCTTGGTTACGGCGTCGACAAGCGGAACATTGCGTCGCATCTCCGTCGCACTGAAGACGAATGCAACATCAGCGCCGCTGAATCCATTTGGACAGGCTGTTTACCTTTGTGCGCTTGATTCGGCATGCCTGGCAGGCGGTTGAGATGCGTTGTCGGTGCTTCTTGCCTTCCATTGCGTTGGATGACGTGCATACACGGAGGAAAATGAAAGACGATTAGCCTTTTCCGGCAATGCCTGTCACATGACTATCCAATTTACTCTTTTATTGAAACTGAAAAAGCAAGAGCAGAGGTCATGTGGATTCGAAGCGTGAAATTTCATAGACAAATACAAAAGAGGCCCCCCGCTCTCGTCATACCTACCTATTGTTTACTATTCATCAATATTCTAGCCACACCGTTAGGCCTCGACATATTTCGCCGGGCAGTCGGCTAGGCCTCCGGAGTAGGAAACGCATCCATAGTATTTTCTAATCCAGCCAGGCCTGAGGCCGTCACCCGACAGCGTGTTCGTTGCCATCGCCCGGGTAATGCTTACCCGCCAGGTCTTGGCGGGATAACCACACCTGCTTACACAGCTGGAAACACTCTCCGGACTACCATGGTCCTGGCTAGCTATGACGAAAAGAAAAGAGGGTCATGGGAGATGCTCAAGTTGCAATTCATAAACACTCCCCTTTGCCTTACCTCCTGGCTACACTCTCGCATTCTTCCAATAGCATCATGACCACCTCATCTTCCCACGGCGCTCTAGTCGTCTTCGGCTCTGGGCCGGGCATCGGCCGGCACATAGCCTCTCTCTTCGCCTCCCGAGGCTTCCATGACGTGGTCCTCTTATCGCGGAACCCTGTCCGTCTCGAAGAAGACGCCGCCGAAGTCAAATCAGCAGCACCACGGGCTTTTGTGTCGACGGTAGCAACGGATCTCTCCAACGGCGAAAGTCTGACGGAGGCGCTCGCCCAGGTTGACGGCAAGCTGCGCGAACACGGCGTCATGGTGGAAACGGTTCTCTTCAACGCCGCGCGCGTGGGCGAGAGCGACGTGCTGACCTTCTCCGCCGAAGAGCTGGAGCGGGATTTCAAGGTGAGTTCCGCTTTTCCGACTTGTGACACGAAAAAATAAAAAGCCATTGGCTAATTGCTCCCAGCTTGCCGTGTCTTCCTTGTACACGGTCGCGCAGTGGATCATGCCGCGCTTCCTTAATGACATGGCCAAAGGCCGCTACAAGCCCACCTTGCTGGTTACCGGCGGCTTCCTTCACAGGGAACCGTATCCGCCGCTGTTTTCTCTTTCGGCCGTCAAAGCCGCGCAGTACAACCTCGTGTGTACTTTGCACAAGATGTTCCGGAAGTCGGGCGTCCATTGCGCCATGATTCTTGTCGGAGGATTCGTCAGCCTCGAGGCCGAGCGAACCAACCCGAAAAACATAGCCGAGAGGGCTTGGGAACTGTACGAGCAGAGCCCAGACGTTAGAGAGATCGAAATCGTAGAGCCCGACTGGGAGAGCAGGACCAAGTGGGACATCTAAGCTTTGGGTCATAAGGCGGACGGTTTCTGGTCGCCACTGCGCTACAAATGACCAAGTTATCTTTTATTGCCGGTTTTGGCAAAACTCGTCATAAAATATGTGTACCCACGCCTTATAAACAAGTCTAATGTAAAGCCTATTATCCATTGCCCTTGGAGTTCAAGTCTAATTAGAACGATCGATATTCGTTTCACCTCTGTTATTGCCGCCCTTGACGATCTTAATTGAAGCTCATGGTCTCCGAAAGGATGAATTCGCGGTTGAGCAGACGACTCCGACACCTGAAAAGGCGTTTAAAGCTGCAGATGAGCCGGAATAGATTAGTCCCAGAAGGAAGAGCTGTATGTACAGCCATACTCAACGTCATGGCGGTGAAAGGCACCTGATCGAGCTTCAAGTTGACCATCTTCCAGTAGCTTAAGTTTGTGGGATATAAACCTTGCTTTTCGACAATCCTATTAACTTCTTCATCTACACGTCTATACGTCATTCCATTGGTATCAAATGCTTCCCAAGAGGCTCGAAAAAAAAAGAAAAAGAAAAACGCTCCGAAGAAAAAAAAAAAGCAAACACCGTGTTTCTAATGCGGCACCTCGACCAACTTCAAGCCTGACCCCTGATCACCCATGCGCACTCGTACCCTCTTCGCCACCTCCTCCATCCGGCCCTCACTCGTGACCTCCTCGCGGTACTTGGCCACCTCCTCCCCATCCAAGCCGTGAAACAACAACGCCAGCGGGTTCCCTTTCCAGATCCTCCCCCTACTCCTCGCCACGCTCTCGACGATGGTCGCGACCAAGAACACGCCCGTCAGCGCCAGCAGCACAACAGGGTACGCCAGCCACGGCCACCTGACGCTGACGCAGGTGACGGTGCGCAGGGCGACGCCGCGGGCGGGCTCGCTGTTGCTCGTGTCGCCGTTGCGGCGCATGTTGGCCGTCATGCTGTCGGCCATGCTCTCCCACAGCGCGGCGGCGCGGGCGAGGCTGGTGTTGGCGTCGTTGTACAGCTGGCCCAGCCATGCCGGGTCGGAGCTGTCGACCTCAGCCGCCGAGGCGACGTAGCCGGACAGGAAGCCCGGCAGGAACTCCTGGGCGCCGAGGGTGCTCGCGTAGGCGAACAGGCACTCCTTGGGCAGCCAGGCGGCCGACGTGTTGCCCGGCAGCACGCCCCACGTCTCCCACATGTTGGTGGCGTTGCGCTGGGCGAACTCGGCGGCGTCGTGGTAGGTGCCGTTGATCAGGCACGGCATCGGGGTTGCGGCGTAGCTCGACCACGGAATGTCCGGGGCGGACCGCTTGGCGAGCTGCTGGTCTATCAACGTCTCGTGGGCTACGCCTTGCGTCACGTTGAGGCGGTAGGTGCGCACGCATGGCGACAGCGAGCACTTGTATGCCGCTGTCCGGAAGGTGGAGAGGTTCGACGCCGAGCCCGTCAGCGGATCGAGGAAGGTCAGGATCTCCGTTGCAACGAGCGCCGTCTCGTTCCAGGTGCTGCCGTAGGAGCTGTTTTCGCCCGAGCCCATCTTCATCGTGACGGGGTACGGCAGTGTGAGCTGCACCCCTGACGGCAGCGTCCAGTTACACGTCTGTAGTTGGCTGGATACGGTGATGCACGACTTGTTGATGGCCGACGAGTAGTCCTCACACGAGCTGCACATGCCGATCGTCCTGTACTCCGGGTACGTGCAATTTCCCGTCTCGCACGCCGGCTCGATGTTCTGAAACGAGTCGTAAGCGCCTTGATAAATCGCGGCTTGCATCGGGAGGTCAAGGCTGCTCAGCCCGGCACCGACGTGCGCTCCTTCCAATGTGTAGTTGTTTGTTCGTGGCATGAACGCACTCTCTCCAGCCTCCTCCTGCGGGCAGTTATGGTATCTGATGACCTGCTGGATAAAAGGGTCGCTTGCCACTGCCAGCACGGTAATGATGGCGCCAAGTGTTGCCATGTTCTGAACGTGGAGGTAACGGATGAATTTGAGGGACCCCCAAAGCCCTCGGCTCGCATGGTCGAATCGTGCAATGTCGTGGAGCGGGCGAGCCTCTCTGTACCAGGACCATTTCAACTGACTGACAGCTGATGGAAAGCCGTGTTAGCAGAATCGGCGCGCGAACAAGGACCTGAAACTCACCCTCAGCGACCGGGATCATCATGGTGGCTTTGAGAATAACAGCGAATACGGATATCAGAGCGTTGATCGATATCCTAAACGGCCAGTCTGGAAGGGGATGCCCGTCGTGCGTAGCTAGTGTGATGATGATTGCAGCCAACGCTATGAGAGAAACGAAATACGCCAAGATTTCCGTGAGCCATCGTCCAAAGCCGCCTGTGTAGCCTGGCTGGCTGCGGCGCTCTGTATCCTTTTCGACGACATCATCTGCGGGTGCCTTGTGGTGTGGGGTTTGAGTCGAGTCCGAGTCCCTGGCAAACAAGCTTTCTGGGCGGTCGCCACCGCGGCGATCATCATCGGAAGAAGGACGCATCTCATACTGCATCTCGGGCCCTTCGGCCGCTTCCGAGCCATGGACGGGCTGGTAGCTCATGACTGCGACTTGTTCTGGGAGCCGGCCGGTGTTGACGAAGCGTGGAAGAGGAAACTATCATGTTTAAAAGAAAACCGCGGCTCGAAATGTTGCATGACCCTACAACGTGGGGGCTGTGTGAATTGGGGGCCGAGATGCAGGTTTGGCCAACAGGAAGCTCTACACCGCTTGGTGGCGCCCTAGCATGGCAGACGGCGCCGGCGTTTCGGTGCTGGCCTGCACTGCTAAAATCCTTTTGCTGACGGCCGGTGTCACGGTCAAACATGCAGTTGCAGCGGAAAGCTAAGTCGCGCAAAGAACAATATACATGGGTAGTTGAAGCTATCGTCCGGACGTGAATGTGGAATTTTTAATTCGACGTTTACGTCCGGACGATAGCTTCAACTCCCCATGGCATGTGTGAAAAACAACTTCATGCTAGCCTTCGGCTGAAATACTCCTCTGTATCACAAGCCTGTCCATCGCAGTATTTCAGACTTCAACAAAGAGTGAGAGGCTCCCGATATTCAGCGTTTAATTAGGCGTCCTGTCGCCGAGCGTCGTGAACCCGCTTGTCGGCTATATTGCTCGTGTTGGCGAAGAAACCCGTGGTGTTCGTAGGGCCAATCCGCTAAGCATTAGCCTTCAACGGTCTAAGCCTCTTCTGCGCCGCTGCTTCTGCTGCTGTTGCTAACATGGCTGCCGCAGTTACCGCAGTGGCTGGTAGTCGCATCGCTGCCCGTGCTCGCTGCTATTATTAGCTTCCATTCGCTGCCATGGGGCGATCCGCTCCACGCACCTTTTCTTTTTCTCGCAAGCAGCTCATCACGGGCCGTTATCCGCCGCGCATGTCCCCGGCCTTGGCGAGTGTGGTTGTGATGGCGGGAAGGAGCTGCTCGCTCGCTAAACTTGATTGGCTTACGCACCCCCGCCCATCAATGTCTTCAATCCGATTGACACCATCCGAAGGTGAATCGGGTCAACGGCACGGTGTAAGAGCTGTCGGAGCTGGATGACAGGTCGGTATGCTATTGAAGATGGACTGTTGAAATGCTCCCTTCAACAAAAATACACGGCGTCCCCAAGCACGAGCAAAGCATCTTGATAAGAATCCAACCCTGTTGTATGTACGACTCAGTAAGCCGACACTGTACTCTGAATTAACCTAATCCGGACTTTCCCCCCATCTTCGGTATAGCCTAGTTAAGCACAATGAAATCAACTGTACTTTCAGTCCAAGCTTTAAGAAGACCTGATAATCGACAACTTGGTAAACCTACGTCCTTTGTTTGTTACCATGACTTTACAATTACAGCCTCATGAATCTAACTGAGTATCCTTAATGTGTACCACGGCATACCCGCCACTCTTGACGTTCGCCACCAACTACCGCCCCACATATCCCAGCCACGTTCCCATCCTACCCTCGGCAACCTTGCATAAGACCATTAACCCCGCAAATTGCACACACTTGTCGCGAAGGAAGAATAAGAGTCGTCACTTATCTTCACCCCAGCCTCTCCGGCATACTTCTCCTGTAATCATCTTCAGGCGGCAAGACGGCGCTTCTCCTCCTCCTTTCCTTCACCACGTCTTCCCTCACTACCTCCCTCTCCCTTGGGTCGATCATCGACATCCTTTCCCTCTTGTGCGGGCCCTTACTCTTACTCCTCGCCCTCCCACTACTGCCCCCGCCCCCACCGCCCACGCGTCTCTGCTTCGTCCGCGGCGGCCACATCACGTACTCAAACGACTCGGGATCGCGCTCCGCCAAAATATCTCTCTCCAGCCTACTCAACGGCGCCTCGGGCAAGACGCGGGTGGTGACCGGGACACGCTGGTCATCGATGCCGCTGCGCAGGCGCCAGAAGATTTCGGGAGGAGGTCCGCCGCTCGGTCTGCCACCACCGCCATGGTGATGATGGTCCGAATGCTCGTCTGGGGGATACTCGACGACGAGGCGCCAGTCTTCGAGCGCCTCGGGATCGTATCTGCCCTTGTCCTCCGTCCCGGGTCCGCCCATCCTCAGCCTCGTCCGCACGCTCGCGTGCATGTATTCGCACGTCTCCCTCAGCGGCCTGCCTGTGCTGCGTCCCGTGTGAGGGTCAGTCACCGTGTACTGGCCCGGGGTGCGTTTGGTGCTGCCTGCGAGGCTGTAGATGCCTGACGACGAGTTCGGGATCTCGCCGAAGCTCCAGGGCCGGATGGGCTGCCTCCGCTTGCTGTAGAAGCGGTCGTTGGCCAGCTCCTGATCGAAGACGTACTTGGTCTTGAAGTCCAGGAACGGCTGGAGCTGCGCCACCATCCACGCCAGCGTGATGTTGGCCAACTGCTGGTCGTCGTACCCTCCCCCTACGTTGCTGTGTACTCCCGGGAACCACACCTGCCGCAGCACCGTCCGCTTGTTATCGCGGGACTTCTCCCAGAGCGCCGGTGCGAACGATGTCCGACGTTCGTCCAGCGCCAGCGCTTGAAACGCGTAGTCCACGCAGTTGGAGAGCTTGGTGTCGTAAAACGTCATTTCCTTTGACTGCATGGGCTGCAGCCCGACTCTCGTGAGCCAACCGATCCTCGGAGCACCCAGTGAGCCGACAGTATCCCAAACGCCAATGGCCTTGACCCGGACGCCGAGTGTCGTCATTCCTCTCGCTTCCAGCTCATAGCGGTACGCTAGGTCGCCGGCATTAGGCTTGTTAGAAAAGGGAATATCCGGATTCCTGTCCTTGTAGTGCCGATCTCGCCGGTGCTGCACATCCTCGAATATTGCTACAAAAGACCCGAGCCCTTTTTTTGTCAGTACCCCAATGTTGTCTATCAATCCTGCGATACTGCGTGCCGTAAATGCACCCCTCGAGAATCCAATCAGGAAGATCTCGTCACCAGGGGTGTAATTGTTGCTCAGGAAAGAGTAGGCCTCGCGCACATTCTCCTCCAATCCACCTCCGGTCGAACCGCTGATGACTCGATTGACGACATTGCCACGAGATCCAACACCGAATTGGTAGTAAACGATCTGAGGGATCCTATCTTTCGACATTGGCTTGATCGCTCGAGATATTCGCGTCACGTTACTGGGAACGGCTAGTTCGCCATTCGCCATGCCGTTGTCTGAGTTCAACCATGTGCCTTTTCTCCTAATTAGCAAACGACATCACTGTAGTATCTCTTCAAGGTCTAACCACGCATTGAAGGGTGTTGGCAGCTTAGAACTGCCCTTCAGGCGCACTGAAATGTCAACCGAAAGGAAAATAAAATGTTCGAACTTCACGCTGTCATAAAAACGCTCCAGATACGGGGGAAACGTGATGGGGAGAAAAGAAAAGAAAAGAATCAAGAGCAGAATTGATAGCAAAGTCCAGAACGAAACACGAAGGAAAGAAAAAAGGCAATGGAATCCGCACTCACCATCACAAGCCACGATCAACCTCTTATACGGTGGCGGGCTATCCGCGCCCCTCATATCCAGACTCGCCTTTCGTCTGACCCTACTCTTACTCCTTGCCCTGCTTCCACTCCTGGCCACCGGAACGATCTGCTCGATGATTTCAATCTCCTGCGGCTGGCTCCTCACCACCACGACCCCATCATCGCGCGTGTACGCATACTCGTCCCTCGCTCTCCCAGCCGACGTGGGCCTATCGCCGTACTCGTACACCGAAGCGCCGCCGCCACCGCCGCTCGCAGGCGACTGATGCCTCGATATGACCGCGCCTGCGGCAGCATGGCTCGGATGCACGCTGGCGGGCGGGTGGACCATCGTGCTTACGTTGTGCCTCGCGCGGTCTGCAGGAGAGGCCCGGTGCTGGCTCGCGGGCGATGAGCGGTGGTGACTGGCGGGGGAAGAGCGGTGGTGGTGCTCTTCGATAACATCAATCACGACCTCTCTCTCCCTCTCCCACTCTCTGTCCTTCTCATCATCCCTCACCGAGTACGCTTGGTGCCCGGGCGGCGACGGTGCAGGCGTCGGCACAAGCCCCAGCGGGGGAGGCGGCACGTCCACGATGCTCCTCCGGGCGCTCGCGGGACGGCGGGGAGGAGGGCTGCGGCTGCTGCGCCGCTGCTCGCGGTCGACGACGCTGTCTTCGTCGTCGTACACGACCTCAATGTCGTAGTCGTTGGGCGGCCGCTGCGGCGTGTCATACATGGACATGGCCCGCGGCCTGGAAGACGCGCCCCTTCTAGCCGAGACGTTGTCGTTGCTGCCGCGCGCGTGGTGGTGTTGATGATCCACAACCACGTACTCGTCGTCATAGTAGCGGTGATGCGGGTCCCGGCCGCCGCGGGGAGGCCGCGAGTAATCGCGGTAGTACTCGCGGTCGGACATTGATTTGACGTGATTCTTCTTTTCTGTTTTCTTTTTTTTCTTTGTCCTACTTTCTCCCGCTGCCCCCTCTCGTTTCTCGACCAGACGTGGCTTGTTTCGAAATTATTCGCAAGGTTGCCCTAACCAATTGTCGTTTCGAGCGTTTACTTTTTCTGGTTCGGAACGGGCCTCTTCGGCAGCGCCAAGTCAATCAACTCTGGTTGGTCAGGCCGGTTGTGGTTGAACAGCGATGATGGCTGGCGGCTATTTGCCCGGTTTCCCTTGTTTGGTTCACCGGCCCTGGCCTGGCCGGCCTGCTGGGTGGACGAGGTGCGGTGTTTCCTGGCTCGCAAACGCTGCGGTAGAGCTGGCTGGCGGGACTCGCAAACGGCGGCGGGGCGCGCGTCACAGCAACCCTGCTGTCTGCGCTGCTTGGTACCCGACGACCGAGGCGCTGCAACGTATCCAGGGTATGGGCTGGAAGATGCGAACCCAGCCGAGACGGGGTGAGTGATGTTTGGGCGGGCGTGCTGATCGCTGTTAGGTTTGTTGCGAGGCGGAGACCTGTCACATGGGTCACGCCCTGCGTGGCAGCTGCAGGAAGAATTCGAGAAGGACCCTAGGCGCCATTCCATATCGCATACCTCGCCCTTGCTAAACCGCCCCTTCTCGCTCGCCGCGTTGCCGCGCCGCAGGCCCCATTTAAACTGCTGTCAGCCTTGCCAGCGCATTCGCCTGCTTTCTCGCCGCACTCGCCCACGCTTTTCGTCATGATTTGGGGCGTGCGCGAGGGTCCTGCTCCGACCGCAACTTTACCTGGCGCCGGTTTATTAGGTTGGGCTGATAGGTAAGGCTGCTATGCGGCTCCTCCGCGGTAGTGCCCTGCTAGGCAGCATCCCATGGCGCCTCCCGGTCGCCTAGCCGTCGAGCGGCGCACTGGGCATTAGTATCACTGCGGTTTGCATAAATCTCCCGTGTCCTACACACAAACGCAGTCGGCGGCAATGTCCGGACGCAGATGTGAGTTTTAAACCCGTTCAAATATGATATCTCTGGCGAGACAGGTTTAGGAAGGTCAAATTCCTTTGCGCCCCCGGTGGTGACACTTTACTTGGAGTACGGGCACGCATAGTATCCAAGCGTAGACCCTGGTGTATGTGCTTAGTTTCGCCTTGCCGCAGCGCCCGGAAGAAAAAAAAAGAAAAATGAGCGTCAAACAAGAACACAGCGAACAAAGGCGGTGGAGTTTGCGGCGTAGGTTCGTTGATCCGATTGATGATCCGCCTGGCTGCTGCTCTCCGTGTGTCCCGTTCTCCTGAAGATCATGCATCCCACGAGTAGTCCATGCCCACCCAAACGCGCATCCCCCAGTCAAGCCAGAGGCTCATCCGTTGACTCTGATTGCTCCCTTCTTTGCGCCACCCATGTCACTCAGCTCGTATACCCAGCACAGCGGTTTGATTCGTCGGGCTTCCCCCGGATCCTCCAGGCAGCGCTCCCGAGCGTCTGCCTGCGCCGCGAACCCAAGTGGACCTCGGCGTGCGCCCACGTACACTCTCTGACGCCCGAAGCACCCGATCACAGCATACACGGATATAGCAGTAGCGAATGAAAGATCCTTTTGTGTCTTAACTTAGGCCTCCCAACATCTCCCTCCCACGTCATCCATACACGTATCAGAACAAAGGGGGCTATTTGGCCAGCGCCGTCAGACAATGATCATCTGTCCTCGTCTTCGTCTTCCATGTGCTAATTCTACAGCGTCCACCCCTGATCCCGCCGTCACAACAGCAGATACATACTCCATCCGAAATCTCAATCTTGCGCCTCGCCTGTCGTGACTGGCTTGACTAAGCAAGCCCGGCAACTAATCCCTCGTGCAGAATGACCAAAGACTCATGTGATACAGCAAATCAGCGCTATGCCACCCCAGGCTGGACCCCACGTCCAGCAGAGAAAGTAAGAAATGTGAGGAGAAAAAGGACATGAGGAGAAAGAGAGATGGTATGAGATACAAGAAATCGAGCTGAGAGGCCGTAGACATCCGAAATGACAAGGGAATCCCGTTTTGACCCCGTACGCCTAAGTCTTTTGAATTCTCAAATCAGAAAAAAAAAAGTGAAACTAGTAGTCGCCGAGCAGGTCATCCAGCTCATCCAACTCAATGGATTCCGGATTCTTCCAGTCGGACCAAACCCAGCTGTCGTCATTGACGACGCGGACGTCCTCCATCGCATCCGTCTTGGGGTGCAGTGCATGATCAACAGGCTTGAGCACCGGACTGCTGACACCGAAATCCATAGCGGAAGAGGTAGCCGAGGAGTTACTCTCAACGCTCTGGCCGAAAAGAAGTGCTGCAGCCTCCGAATTACGCAGAGCTGCACTCTCCTCGCTCTCGGGCTCATTTGCAAGACGGAGGCTTTCATCGTCCGTGTTGCTCGACGGAGGAACATCTGAGACGTTCGACTTCTCTGATTGTTGATTCCGGTTACGCTGCTGTAGCGAGGAAGCCGTAGCAGTGAATTCCCGCTCGTCCCTCTCGAGCGGTGGGCTGGCGGCGCGCCTGTTGTGTGCCATGTTGGTCGGGGGGGCATCGCGCATCAGCGAGCTGCGTCCGGAAAAAGTGGTGGTATCGCTCTCGTTGTCGAGCTCCGGGGACGAAAGATCAACCTCAGGCGAGGGTGACATTGCGCAGCGGGCCCGCCTGTCGCGCTCGTCCTCTTCCGAGTCATCTGCGGCAGAAGAGAGCGATGGCGAGATTATGCGCGACGGAATGTTGGCGTTTGCTGAAGCCTCGTTGGGCTCGGGAATCGGCTGGTGAGGAGTGGTGGTGAGAAAGAAGTAGATGCGCTTGGGGTGCGTGCCAACGAGTTCTCTTCCCACTGGGCAGGGCGAAAGAGCGGTCCAGGGCCGGCGGATGTAGGTAGTCAAGCGCGATGAAATTATAGCAGAAGGGTTTGCAGAGCTGAATTTCGACGTCAGTGATTATTTTTGGGAGCGAATTGCACTTGCAGGACGTACCTCTCGACGATGGGTAGCTGCGGGGCAAGCACGGCAGCGAGCTCCTTCAGGAGGTGCGGACGGTTGCCGGTCTCCTCGAGCTGTTTTATGACGGCGACGACAATGTCATCGTTGATTCCCTCGGTGTCGATTTTCGAGACGCCCTCGGCGCCTGGCGACGGGGGCGGAGTGTGCTCTGCGGGCCTGCCCGAGCTCTTGGAGCGATCTTCGCGAAACTTGGGTGCTGCGGTTGCAGGCGGGCTGAGGGGCGCGGGCGACGCGCTCGACGTGTGCGATCGCTTGATTTTCTTCTGCGGCGGTTGTTCGGATGCGGGCGTGGTTGAGGGCGGTGAGCGGTGCGACGAGGATCGCGAGCTGTTTGGCAGTTGGATGCCGAGCATCGGGAGCGACAGCGACTTCCTCCTGGTGTTGTAGCCCATGGCGATGGATTTCCGGGGTTGCAGGGCGGGGATTGCGATGTCGAGGGCGGCTGCGAAATGTCGCGCGAGCGAGACAATAGCTGGGAGGAATTGTTGTGAAAAATGGAGGCCGCTTGAGAGGCGGTGGAAAGGTCGTCCTATTGGGTGGCGACCAGGGGTGCGGAATGCAGACAATGCAAGACGGTCAGACTGCTGGCACGGTTCCTTGCCTGAATGGTCAACCGCGCATGCGACGTGGTACAAGCGAAGCGCAGTGATGGGCAATTTGGGCGTTGGCTGCGGAATTAGGCTGCAGCGGGGTGCTGAACGATGCTTTGCTGATGCTGCTCAGCGAATGCGGGCGAGGTTGTTTGGGTTCCGTGTCAGTGCGCCCTGGCGCGGCGTAAAAGCAGGTCGATTGAGCAACGCTCCAGCAACAAGGAGCTTCAGGAAACGCGCGGCAATACGAGTATAATACAGGATCAGAGAGTATGGAGGGGCAATGGCAAGAGATGATGATGATGATGACGAAGCGGAAGGCACAGGCAGCAGCAGTGGCGGTTAGGTTAGGAAAGGACAATTCTGGACGGGAGGTGTGAAGGGTGCGGCGATACTAGGACGGCGGACGACAACCTCTGTGGAGTGGTGGGCAGGGATGACGCAGTACGGACTACACACGATTTTTCGTCGCATCACAGCCAGGGGCAAAGCTCCCCGAACTGCGCCGAGGTGCCGGCACGCACCGCCTGCCAGGTGATACGCAGACCCTTCATTCAGTCGCCTCCACCCGCCCGCGGAGCCATGGCCACAATGCTGGCCGTTGGCGGCCTGCCAGCTCGCGAGCCTGCGCCAGCGCCTGCCCGGCTCACACGACGCCGGCCCAAGAAAGATGACGCCTACCGCGCTGATCGCCTCCGGGCGGCGCTGCCCTTGCACACCACAAACATCATCGCACGCGACGGCTGGATCTGGATCTTGCGCAGTCCTCCCGGAGCTCGGCCGATCGCAGCAGCTGAGCGCACGCGAAATTGCGCGCCGGGACGACCAGCGCCGCGAATCGTCCAACAATTTTTTCGCGCGCGGTCCCACGACGTGGAAAGACACATGGAAAAGGGCGATCCTTGAGAAGAGCCGGCGCTATCACATAATTCGGGATGGCTCAGTGGCCCGCAGAGATTCAAGCTGCGCTAGGGTCGGTCTGCGGTCCTGTTGGCCCGGTCCTAGCGCGACGCCTGTCTTGACCGTGGCCGCCGGCAACGCGCATGCGAGCGCCGCTCAGCCCAGCGGCAAAGCCGGGTTGGCCAGACTCCCGCCACAAGACTGGCCATAACTTACGGACATGAAGTCTCGGCGGCGCTGGTGGCCGCAGGACCGGTGAGGGCTCATCAGCACGACGCTGCAGCCAGGCGACGTGGAGAAGGTAGCCGCTGCGCGTTTCAGCACCCATCCGCTCTCCACGCCTGCGAGGGGTGTGGTGAAGCTTTCATCAATATGCGACCCGTCCGCTCTGATACATACCGCATCAGACCGTCGCTACGAGCAGCCAGCCCCGCGCCTGCGTTTGTCTCTCGCGCCTCGCCCAGCCGTCAACCAAACGTCAGGGACCGGCTGGAGGCGACGGCGCTGCAGCGGCTGAGCGGCAGGAAAAAAAAAAAAAAAAGAACGTGCGACACGCCGTTTGAGCAAAGAAGCGGCTTCAGACCGTTTCTCGGGCGCGCCAATGATGGGCCCTGGATTTGCTGCTCCTGACTCGGCCCCCGGCGCAGCGCCATCCCTCGCTTGCCCGGGCCTGCAGCAGCGTATGCAGGACGCAATCCGCCGCCGCAGATGTCCCCGGCCGAGCTAGCTGCTTCTGCGTTCGAAGAAGCTGGCTGGAAACTCTGCAGCTCGGCCGTCTTATGCTGCTTGTCGATCAGCCTGCCTCATTATGCACGCATGCAAGCCGCATGCACTACACGCCGCAGACCGCTTTCTGAACCCCGTCCCCTCCCCGAAACCATAGCAACAGCGTCAACACCGCAACTTTGGCCAGCCGTGTGCGCTGGCAACTGCGGAGAATACTCCCACCACCTCCACTCGCAGCTCGCCTCTACGAGCCATTTCCGGCCTGCTCCTATCAGTCTATTTACGCTCGCAAGTAGGCCCGAATGGCGATCCTCAGGCGACTTTGATTGTCAGATTGCGAGATGACAGAAGTGCGGGGATGGAGGGGTAGCCAGCGACGCAACTGCTACGCCACCGCCGACTGTCGCGCTGGAGTTGCTTTTCGGCTGCTGATAGCTCGCGCTCCGTCGCTTCAGAATAAGTCTGGTTCAGCAAATTAGCCCAATGGCTCGAATCATCCCACGCCCTTCCTCCTGCTTGCGCTTATTCGCAAACAACTCCTGAGTACCCCGCCATCCCTCCACAGTGGGTTGCAGAAGATTGGAGTCCTCTGTGCCCCACGAAGGCTGCTACATGCTTAGGAACACAAGTAGCTGAAGCAATTGTCCCGACATATATGACAATTACAAGTGCACGAATACATTCAGAAATTGGTTTCAACTACTCACGCAAGCAGGATGTTGTATTCCCAGTGACTATGTTTCGGGAGATACGAATTCCTTCCGCGCAACGTGAGTGGCAGGACTTGAACATCCGCACGCGGCTCGTGGCTCGTGGCTCAACTAGGTTGGTGACGCCACACCTTTCGCTACGGCTGCAGCTCCTGGAGAAAAAAGGTTCGAGCAGCCAGCCGCTCTCGACTAAAATGGCTGCGGGACGCTCAGGGATGCTGCCTGCATGCGTCGTCAATTGGTGTTGACTTACAGCATTCCTTTCGCTTCTGGTTGTGTCATCTTGACTCGTTGACACTACACTTTGCGATCGGTCCCCAGCTAGGCCATCGGCTGTCCCGCATGCGCCATGGCTTCAGACACGAGGCTGCCGCGTGTCTCTTCATGGCCGCGATTTGCGCTGAACCGCGTTACCCGTCATCACGCTGTCTCCAAGATAAGATGTGAGCTCGTGGCTAAAGAATGCGGGTGTGGCTTCTAGAATGTTTGAGGAGAAAGGCTATCTCTTTCCACCATACAGAGGGGTGTCGCAGCTGAAGACTAGCGTGGATTTGTTTTTCGCTCATGCCATGGGTAGTTGAAGCCATCATGCGGATGGAAATGTTGAATTAACAATTGCACAGTCACGTCCGGACGATAGCTTCAAGTACCTACATATGTCGTTGTTCATCGCAGCAAAGAAGTTGCTGAGGCATAATGACCTCATTTTCTGAGGATGCTATTGTTTTCGCCAGCTCTTGGCTGCAACGCCCCTTTGCGTGCCTGCTCGGATTAAGGTTCTTTGCAATATTTATGATTTGAAGGTTGTCTCAAACCTTCACCATTAAGGTGTTCTGCCCGCGCTAGGGTGATTCCGCAATATGCCGTTCAGACCTAAAGTGACAAGACTGCGAAAGGAACGTGGTTGCTTTTTCGCGGAGCATTCAATCGGCCTTCCGGGTGCGTTATCTTGATTCGTCTAGGTCATTTGGGCACCAATCGCTTTCATGATGCAATCATCAGTCCGGATCGTCGTTATGACGACCTCCAGCCGCCAAACCAGCCACCTTTTCCGGCCGCCCTATCAGACCCATCCCGCTCTTTTCCCCCGCCTTCTAATGATTTCCGCTGTGCCGCTTCCGCCTGCGCCTTCTGGCTTTTCCGCAGTTCTACCCACCATGTCGTGCCAAGGTGATACCAGGGTCTGCTGATCTGGACAACTTCCAGCCCGCTGTTTTCCACGATAGCCCCAATGTCTTTATTCCACCAACAGCCATGTTTATCTGCGTGTCCTGGGGCTGCTTTGTCCAAAAAGTTGTTCAGCCAGTTGTGTGATGCTCTTCCGTGCTCCAGCAGCAATATCCTCCCATCTTTCTTCAGAACGTCTTCCATGCGCTGCAGCAGCTTCTCAGGCTCGGCTGTAGAGCACAGTCCCATGGTTTGCACAATAGTGTCAAACCTTCCTGCCTCCTCACCCTTTTCGAGGGCCTTTTCCAGCCTGGGACCCTCAATGGGGTCGAACGCGCTCTGTGCCCTGAACTCCACGCTCCCAATCTTCTCCCTCGGGCCGACCATTTGCTTATTCCTTATTTCCTTCTCCCTCTTCAGCTCCTCCCACTTTGTCTTTGCCACCTCAAGCATTGGAGCGCTCTGATCCAAGAGCACCAAGCTCCTCACCTTCTCCCAATTGTAAAATCTTGTATTCCTGCCCGTCCCCGCGCTGACCTCGAGCACGTCGCCGCTCGCTTGGCGCGCCATCTTCTTCCGCAGCCTATTCAGGCCGAGTGTCTTCTCCGTTGCGCCGATCTCCTCGTCGTATGTAGCCGCTGTGCGGTCGTACCTGTCTGACACGTCTGCGGGTACCGGGTGTGTTGGTTGGTACGGGTTCAGCATCGAATAGCCCACCGATCCGAAGTAGAAGGCGATGCCCGCGCCGACAAAGCAGGCGCCGATGAGCGGCACGCGCCGGCTGCGCGGGAGCGGCGGTGGTGGTTTTGCTGCATTGATGGCAGCCTGCGCAGCTTGGAGGCGGGGTGCGCGGGCGCGGGGCGCGTATGCGAGCGGTTGAGGTTTCGGGCTGGGGCTCTTTGCTGCTTTCGCGGGCCCTTTCTTCGGCGGCGGCGGGGCCGCAGGTTTGCTACCCATGGTGTCGCACGCGGACTCTTGTGAATATAACCCAGTGCTGAAAGTGATTGCTGAGAACTAGGACGACATCGCCGCTGGGTGTAAGATCGGTGATGGGCTGCACGGCGCCTGGGACGGGATTGCCGCGCGTTGGTGAGATTGAAGTGTCTGCTGCGAGTGTTGTGTGTCTTTTACCGTTTGGCGATGTGAGTTGTGGTTGGAGCTTCTCAGAGCTCTCGGAAGCGCATGCCGGCTTCGGAGGCTCAAGCCGCCAAAAGCCGCCGAGGAAGCCGCGTCTTAGGTACCTCCGCATCTCATAGCAAAAAATCTTGTGGGCCCTGTTGCGGAGGGGCCGTCTATCTCACGCCATCTGCTTTCTTTCCCTTTGAGCGGCGCGGTCTATATAGATCTTGTTGACTTTTTCTTGAACCAATTGAGCATTCCGTTGTCTCTTTATCTGTTTTTACTCTCTTATCTACGTACACCATGACGGACGCGACGCCTTCTTCTATCCTCATCATCGGCTCCGGTGTCTTCGGCCTGTCGACCGCCTACTCTCTAGCAAAGAACCCAGCGTACAAAAACACCAAGATCACACTCGTCGACCGGCAAAGCTTCCCCGCAGGCGACTCTTCCAGCGTACATTTCACCACCAATAAAACCGCTTGCGCCTCTTCCCCAAGTGCGCCCACACATGCAATAGGCTAAGACAGAGATCCGGCTTCTACACAAACAGATCGACACCTCGCGCATCATCCGCCCCGACTATGCCGACGCCGCCTACTCCGCCTTGGCCTACGTTGCGCAAGACCTCTGGCGTACGACCGAATGGGGCGCTGACGGGCGATACACCGAAGCCGGGCTCGCTCTCACCGCGGGACCAAACGGATGCCCGTATGTGGACGAAAGCCATACGAACGTTGTCGCGTTAGAGCCCACAGCTACGAGCGAGCGGTGCACACTGCCAGAGTCGCGTGGCCATGGACGACCGAAGATCGAGACACTGCGAAGCGCGGAGGATGTGCGGCGGTGCGCAGGGACGGGCGGCATCAACGGGGTGCAGGGCTACGTCAACTGGACATCGGGTTGGGCGGACGCGGAGGCGTGCATGCGGTTCGTGTACGGAAAGGTACAGGCGACGCAGCGGGTGCGCTTTGTCAAGGGCACCGTGGCCCGGCTCGACATCGACTTCAACGGGCCTCAGAAGCGCGTCCGCGGCGCGCTTCTGACCGACGGCCGCGCCCTCTCCGCCGACCTCACCATCGTCGCTGCCGGCGCGTGGTCGTCGGCACTGCTCGACCTGCGCGGCATGGTCAAGGCGACCGGCCAGACGCTGGCCTACGTTCCGCTGGCGCCCTCTGAGCAGGCCGCGCTCGGCGCCTCTCCTACAGTGCTCAACCTTAGCACTGGTATGTTCTGTATCCCGCCTTCGCAGAACCTCCTCAAGCTTGCCCGCCACGGTCATGGCTATGTTAATCCAATCACGATCCCTCACCCCGAAGAACCGCTCTCTGCCACCAACAATATCACCGTCTCCCTCCCGCGCACCCACCTCACCACCCCTCCCCTCCCAGCCCATCTCCCGCGCGAAGCCACGCTCGCCCTGCAGCAGCTCGCGCACGACCTGTACCCTCCGGGCGCCGCGCCGCACGACAAGTCCTTCTCGCCCCTCCCCATCGCCGCGCGGCCCTTCTCCGCCACCCGCCTGTGCTACTACGCCGACACGCCGTCCGGCGACTTCCTCATCTCCTACCACCCGGACTACGCCGACCGCTCCCTCTTCGTCGCCACCGGCGGCTCCGGCCACGGTTTCAAGTTCCTACCCGTCATCGGCGACAAGATCGTCGACTGCATCCGCGGCGACTGCCCCGACGCTTTCCGCGAGAAGTGGGCCTGGCCCAAGGAGCGTGTGCTGCCCGAGGACGGCTGGGCTGGCGACGGCAGCAGGGGCGGGCCCAAGGGCATGGTGTTGGATGACGAGTACGCGAAGAGCGGCGCGAAGCTGTAAAGCGAATCGAACATGTTTATATCATAGCGCGAGCGGAACTTTCCATCGGGATATTGCGTCGCTGGGAAGCTGAAACGTTTGCCTGGACGTTGATGTATGGATGAAAAATCGACATCTGCGTCCGGACGAACGCTTCAGCTCCCCATGGGTGTGCGGGGTATTTAAAGAGATAAAGTGCATATACGAGTGGCCGCTTTGATGCATGTTAGCGAGCGGAGCGGAGCGGGGCGCTTGCGCAGCAGCATTACGGCACCGTATGATAATACTCGATTCTTGGAAGGATGGTTAGATTTGAAAAGTTGAGATAAAGCGCAGATTCAAAAGTATTGTTGTGTGGTCACACGCTTGCAGACAGCACGTCTTTTTGCTCGTGGAATTTGAATTGATATCAACTACGTACGTATCTATCCACGACGCTGTTATTTTTGTATTTTTGTGGGTATTTCTGCCCTGGTAAAAGACCAGGGTGAAGAGCCATGACGTCGCATTGGTAGTCAAAGCAGGCTCTCCAAAAGAAAACTGATCATCCCTCGTCAAACCCTCTTCTCCTTCCTACTGGATCATTTCCCGGAACCTCGTCGCAATTTCCATCCCAACGAAAAAGCAGTGTATCAAATTAACCCAGCGAACCCTCGGGTAGTATCCGCCGCATCTTTGAGGGTTGCTTCCTCTAAAACGTGTTGAGAAAGTGAAAAGGGTAATAAGTTTTTCAAACCCAAAGCCTCAGCGAAAGCAGGAGGCTCAAATAAACCCCACCAAGAACACCATGCAATGCCGCAAAAAGCAGTAGACGCAAGCACGAAGCAGGTAATGTATCCTCTCCGTGGCTCCATGAAGCTAGGAGTAGACCATGGGAATCGATGCCGGGTCCCGGCTATCGATCAGCTGCGAGTGTGGTTATTAATACAAAGGACAATCGAGAGTGATGTCGATGGCTGTTGTCACAGTGCCACGCGCGCGAGTGATCTAAAGGTGAGTCGAAATTCAACTTCAGCGCAATTATTTAGCTCTTGCGGAAGTCTACATGAGGTCAGTAGAGTATTCTTCAAGCATGGAGCGTTCCTTCGCATACCAGACAACACCGGGTAGATCAGCTCGAAAGCCTGGTAGATCTCCTCGCGGACCTTAGCGCCAGTGAGGACGATTTTGCCGGAGACGAAGATCAAAAGGACGATCTTGGGCTTCATCATACGGTAGATGAGACCAGGGAACAATTCAGGCTCGTAGGAGCTGAAGTTGTGATGGCGGCTGGCCAAACCCTCGAGACGGATCGGGAACTTGATGTCGCAAGAACCAACGATGTTCTGGATCTTGAAGTCGGTGAACTTCGCGTTGAAGCCGAGCTTCTGGATGATACGAGCGTACTTGCGCGATGCAAGCTTTGAGTCATCCTCGGACTTCGCGCCGGTCACGACCATCTTGCCGGAGGCGAAGATGAGGGCGGTCGTCTTGGGTTCACGAATACGCATGATGACGGCCGCGAAACGCTAGAGCCAAAGTTCAGTAAGACCGTTCATCAAGAACCAAGGAGCTGACAAGACGCCAGTACCTTCGGGTTGTACTCGGCATTGCGAGCATGCAACGCGATCGTCTTCAGGTCTAAGCGACAGTCAAGGTTGACAGTGGCACTGTGTTTTGTCAGCGGCTGAACACGAGATTCAGCACACCGGTACTTACACGATGTTCTGCAGAGTGGGGACGATACCCGAGACACCGTTGGCGGCGCCGGGAGTAGCAGCAGGCGTAGCGGGCATCACCCCATTGCCAGCACTACCGCCGTTCTGGCTCTGCTGAACGTCCTTCTCGGACGACGGCGGGGTCAGATCGCCAGCGCCACCAGGGAAGGACAGGCTGCCGGGAGCAGTGAAGGCCTTGGCCTGAGTTGCGTTGGACGGGTGGGTGGTGAGAGAGTCCATAATCACGGCAGACGCAGTTCCTCTATTGCTTTGATTATGTTGCACTACTGGCGATCTGATGGGTATCGCGTTAGAATGGAGGCTGGTGAGGGGTGTTGTTGGCGGATCGGCGAGGGTGACGAGGCTCGTAGACGCGACTTGAAACGGCGTCGGCGACGGGCTCGAAGGTTTTGCCGGATCCCGAGTGTGAATGTGTGAGGCCGTACCGTTAGTGGGAGATGAACAACTAAATGCCTCCCCTACAGTCGATGCCAAGCAATATGCAAGATTCCCGCTCGATCGCAGCCCTTCAAAGGTCGACAGCAGTGGCGCTGTGCGAAGATGATCGACGCGACACGGTCAGAAGCGAGGCCAGCTAGCCTCTGATGTCGTCGAGTGAGAAGAGGGTGTGCGACGATGTCGGGTGGAGAGGTGCGGCTGTCGCAGTTCCGACGCGGCGCGCGTTCTTGATGAAAGCGGGCGCAGGGACTCGTAGAGAGCGTCTCAGTGCAAGCAGAGAGCACTGGAAAATCGCGAGAGGGTGGAGAGAGGTACGCGCAAGCCGGCGATGTCAAGATGGTCGGATGCGCGAGGACGTGGTGGTGGTTGATGACGTCGAACACACCAAAATCGGGAGAGGGCAACAAGACTCTTCAAAGTGGAGGGAAGACGCAGCTACTTATAGGGCGGGCCAGACAGCGCTCGGCCCTATACCCCCAATTTGGTTTAGCGTAATATGGTCTTCGCCACAACATAATTCCAAAAAGAACTGCTCTCGCTCGCTGCTCGAAATGCTCGTTCGATCTACTGCACTCTATCAAGCTCGCATAAACTCAATATAGATGCGTTGTGGCAGAGGCAAGCGCAGTGGTGCGGGTAGGCAGTAGCCAGGAGGAAGGAAAAGCCTCGCGCCGATCTTACTACTGCTGCCTGCTGCCCACACGCGAATGAAACGGACGCCTCCTGTCAACGAAAACTCTTCTTCATTAGAGGACCCGCTCATCATCACCATCACGACTTGCAGTCTCGACTTGCAGTCTCGACCGGCAGTTCGTACGCTGGTTTGGCCACCCACGGCGAGCCCGGTAAGGCTACCGGCGGTGCCCGACTTCGCAACGGGCAAATTTGCGTTAGCCTCTCATCGCGGTGACTTCACCGACGCCGAGCGCCGGCGACCAGTACAACCATCGAAGGCGATCCAGCCACGGCGCAGCCGTCTCGAAGGTTCGGTGGTGGCCAAGTGGATACGGCTGCCAGCGCGACGCTGACGCGAAAGGGCGCGCCCTGCGCGACCGTGGAGGAGTGCGGGGCGGGATGTGCGCGCGGCCTTGATGCCAGTAATGTGGTCGTATTGGCTGCGTGGCATTCTCGGCTTTTCGCGTCCGACGCAGCCCCCTTTTCCTGGCCTGTCCTCTCCCGCGAATCAAACGGGCGCATGATAAGGGAAGCCTGCTCGGAGTCACTCCAACAGCCGCAAGCCCCGTCGCCGTTTGCACGCTAATTTGGCGCGCATGGTGGCTGTGTCTTGGAAAATTGCTTCATGCAATAATGGTACACAATCACTTCACCGGACGACTTTTGCGACAAGGCTCTGCAAGAAGGGAGCGTTTGTTCGGTTGCAGACCAGACATCTTTCGCCGCGTACGCGTCATCATATGAGTCACACTGGAAATGTGGCAATCCAACGGCATACTTTAGTAGATATCGAGGAGGCTGAGCTAACATTCCTCGTTTCTGAAGCCTATTAATTTTCAATAAAAGAAGCTTATCTGTCACCAAGTCCGATTCCTCCCCGTTCTCCACTGATCGGCGCGAGGAGTGCCTTTGCGCTGCGACTGGATGACTCTCGACGCGCCGGTGGCTTGGATTGAAACGCTTACATCATTATTAGTGCAGACAACAGCTGGGAACGCCTGTCCATTCCTTGCACATCAGAGGGATAGACGATGAAAGATGGCACCCGCATCGGTATTGCCAGATTTCGGGTGCGTGAGAGGTTTACGTCGGAATTCCCCGGGTGCCTGCGCCTTTCCAATCGGAAACCTGCCCAAGCAGCCTCACAAGCCTTGTCACTCAGCTTCGCCCTTGTCGGGAGCTCGCTTCGCGAGGAGGCTGACAATAAGCTCAACCAAATTTCCTCCATCTTGTTTCAGTTCATGCGAGCTGTCACAGGGGTGTTGCAGCCGAAGGCTAGCGACAACATGTGTGGGCAGTGGAAGCTATCGTCCGCACGAGAATGTTTACTTGTTAATATCACATTTACATCCAGATATGATAGCTTCAACTACCCATGGCATAAGAGAAAAAACAAGTTCACGCTAGCCTCCGGCTGCAATAGTTTTCAGTATCACGTCTTTTTTATTTTTTGAGCAAGGAGGCTGGAGGTAACAACAAGCATTACCTGCGCAATTTAACGCCGCGACACCTATCTGGCCCCAGCTGACTCCGGACACTAACCGTTGAGTGTGGAGAGCCTTGGAACAGATCTGACGGCGACGAGATGTGTCTTCCATTTCATGCGCTGGATTTGAGTCTTGGTACTCTCACCTCTTTCATGACTAAGCGCCTACAGGCGCTGGTGCACTTAATGCCGCCCGCAAGCTGCATCCACCATGCGGATTCGCTTTCTCGTGATCTGAATTGAGGAGCAAATAGGAGCGCGGTGCTACCCCAGATTCGCGCGTCGATCCTGGCAGCCTCTATCCTCATTGGGCCATTGCACGAGATCTCTGGCTCAGCCCTATCAACGACACCTCACAAAGGCCACGAGGTTCGACTAGCGATAGCGAACTTCGGCAAGAGTCGGTAGAAACTCCCGCCAATACATTCGAAGGAACGAACTGCTATCCCTTCAGTTCACCAATACCGACGATGCTGGCAAGCCACGGGATGGCGGCGTGAAACGACGAATCCTTCGTCAGTATTAGCTCGAACTGCTCAAGGGTTTTATCAATTGGCATACGTCGCGGCGCTCCCTGAATATTCCAATGTTGCGAAGATCGCAGGCGGTCGCATCGCAGCGACCAGCAGCGTTGACCGTAAAAGGGGGAGGAGCATATCAGATATACTGTAGCGACGTATACTGGTGTCTGATCATCAGTCAGCGCTTGCAGTTGCAAATCCATGGAAACCCTTATCTAATGCCAACTTTGGATGGCCGCGAACGTCGGTGTGGTTGGGGTGCGCGTGATGAGGTATCGGTGACGCTGTTCTTTGTCGGCCGTCCCGACGTCCCGATGATAACCGTTTTGACGACCACTACCGCCGCTCCAGGGTAACGAACCCCTTCGACAAAGTAATTGCGGCCGTTTTGGATCCTGAAGCTCCTGGTAAGCCGTTTCCCACATTGGCACCGTTATTTGCTCTCCTTTAAGCGATTGATGTTTAGAGGTCGCAGCTCGCGCGAATGTCTGCGGCATCGTCAACAACCCCGCAAGGGTGCATCCGGGGCACTGGATGAAGTGTGGAGCAATTTGCAATATGCTGCGGCTCATTGACCAGTTTGCCGATATTCTCCTCGTTTTGTTTGCTGTTACGTACTCGTTTTCGAGTCAGTCTTTTGTGGAGGGGGAGGCCGGAATGTTTCCTATCAGGACGTCTTTGAGGCCGGAATCAATCCGGCCTCAAGATATAAGCAGCTCGACACTCCCTTCGCTAGATTGCAACTCAACGCACACAACCCTTTTCTTCACATCCGCCATCCCCGCCTCTAACGACCATTGCCACAATGTCGTCTCCACCCCGCTTCGGCTTTGATGTCCTCACGGACTCCAAGCCCAACGACAACTCCCTGCCGGCATTCATGGTCTCCACCACCCGTGGTTTCCTGCCGCGCCAGGACCCTGTCGTCAAGCTGCCTGCCGACTTTGACCCACTCGAGTCCATCCTCTCCCGCATGCCAATCAAGACACTCTCAGGTGCTCCGGGCCTGTTGGCCAGCTTCCAGCTCGGCCCTACCGTCCACAAGGAGTTGCCTGACTTGTCGAATGCGGTTGAGAAGTACAAGGACAACCTGCCCTTGATGAATGCACTGTACCGCGACTACTCCTTCCTGGCCTCGGCGTACCTCCTTGAGCCCTGCCATGAGCGCTTCATGCGCGGCGAGCTCTACGGACTCGGTCGTCAAAGCCTCCCAAGCAACATCGCACTTCCTATCACCAAGGTTGCTAAGTTGTGAGTAATACTCCAGACTGGCTTTGCTTCTTCACGCCCTAACATTTTGATACAGCGCTGGTTTCATGCCATTCATGGAGTACGCAGGCTCCTATGCACTGTTCAACTATCGTCTGGAGAACCCGGCTCTGGGTCTCGAGTACGACAACCTTCGTCTCATTCGTGCGTTCGAGCTCGGCTTAGACCCCACATCTTCTGAGGCAGGTTTCGTGCTCGTGCACATTGCTATGGTGAAGCACTCCGGCGCTCTCGTGTCGGGTGCTGTCGAAGCTCTCAACGGCGCCCTTGGCAAGGACCGTGAGGCATTCAACGCGGGGATGGCGGATCTCGTGAAAGCCATGGATCAGATCAACAAGGTCATGAACAGTAAGTCGCTCTGCATTGGTCAAACGATAGCGTTGTGCAAACACTGACCCGTCACAGCCATGTGGACCAAGAGCAAGCCCAGCGGCTACACCAGCTTCCGTACTTTCATTTTCGGTATCACTTCGCAAAGCATGTTCCCCAATGGCGTCATCTACGAGGGCGTCAGTGACGAGCCCATGTCTTTCCGTGGAGAATCGGGTGCCAATGACAGCATGGTTAGTCCCTCTAAATCCTACTGATACCTAACGAGAGGCAGCTATTGACACCACCAGGTCCCGCTCTGCGACAACCTCCTGCAAATTGCCATGCCTCAGACTCCCCTTACAGATATCTTGAAGGACTTCCGCCAGTACAGACCTGGCAACCACCGCGACTTCCTCGAGGCTGTCAAGGACTACTCGGAGATGGCGAACCTCAAGGAGTACGCCATGTCTGACCCTACGTCTGCCTCGCTGTACCTGCGCGCTCTGGACCAGGTTCGCGACTTCCGTTGGCGTCACTGGTGCTTCACTCGCGAGTATATCCTGAAGAACACTTCACACCCCACGGCTACTGGCGGCAGCCCTATTGTTACTGTATGTTCTATAGTGTCTTCATGGCTTTGTTCATAATGCTGATTGGTACACAGTGGCTCCCCAACCAGCTACAGGCGGTCATGGCCAACATGGTTGAGGCCTACGACTTCTGCAAGGACGTTCCCGGCACCGGCGACATAATGGACGTCGTGCGCTCGCAGCAAGACACTCTGGCCAAGGAGGTTGCGAAGTACTGCGCCGAGCGCAGCGCTTCATAAACGCGCCCTCTTGCGCTTTTCGGGTTGCTTTCCTTCCGGCGTTACACTTCACTCTTTTCACGACAGTACTCTGCATAACACTCGACACGGCGTTATGTGAGCAACGAGGCTATGATGGGACTCTGCACGGCTCCTTTGAGGGGCTGTGTGAGCAACGAGGCATCACGAATTTTTTTGGATTTGTACTCTGCATAACGCGTTTTATGGGATCGGGCGTTGTGTGAGCAATGAGGCATAGATACCCCGGGTCGTCTTTTATGGTACTCTGCATGACGGATTACGGCGTTGTGCGAGCAATGAGGCATACGAAGATACCCCTGGGAGCATAGGAAAACAAAATCCAGCATTCTGTCTTTTTCTGAAAAACTTCCGCTTCTGCGTTGCTGTGCCGTGGAGTGAATGGTGGCTGTGCAGTGATGAGTCAATGGTCAACCCATCACTTGAGAACCACGGCCAGCACCGTCCTTCTTCACAAACCTTTCCAGCAGTAGGCGCGGAACCCCGACCCTGAACGCACCTGCCTTTTCAAAGAAATTTGTATCGATAAGCGCACCTGCATATTCAACTGAGCACCTCACCTGCTTCCACTCTCCTAGCGAATAGCTCTCGACTTGCGCTTAGCTCCATCACACTATACCACCAGTATCTCACCTTTTCCAAGAGTTTTCTCCTCTACGAGCCCGCATCTCAGAGTATACCAGTTTCACTCCCGCACATTACCCGCGCAGGCAGCAGCCACCGACTCAACCAGAACCATGACCAAGTCCGACCACTACCTCTCCCTCTGCCTCTCGCAGGCCGCGCACTCGCCGCTACACTACCGCCACGGCTGCGTCATCGTCCGCGGCGGCAAGGTCATCGGCGCCGGCCACAACGACTACCGCCCGGGCTACGACGGCGGCGCGCTCAAGACGGGCGTCTTGCCCAAGCATCATCCCAAGCCCAAGCGAAAGCCCAAGAAGAACGACGGCAATCACCACGGCTTCCAGGCGCCGCCGCCCGTGCCGCAGCCCGCCGCTGGCCACACCTTCACGCCGTTTGAGGAGATGGGCCGCGGCGGTGGTGGCTACGGCAAGCACGCCACGGCACCATTCAGCATGCACGCGGAGATGATGGCGATCGCCGACGCCGTCGGCCGGTCGTCGTCGTCGTCGTCGCAGAAGCGCCGCGGCGCGCTGGCTCGCAGGGCGCTGGAGGGCGAAAAACCGCGCGCCAAACTATCGGGTGGTGGCGCTTCCAAACGCAAAGGCGCAGTGCTCGAGCGGGGAGTGCTCGAGCGCTACGTCGAGAGGGTCTGCAGGGAGTGGTTCGGTGGTGAACAGGAAAAAGAACAGCGGGTTCAAGGGCGTGAGGGAGGAGTCTGGTGGTCACCGGCTTCATCAGCGCCAGCATCAGAGCCGGGCAGTGTCTGAGTCTGGGCGAGGGAATTCCACCAAACACACCACCAAGAATCAGCTTGTAGGTCTCAAACGCCACGCCGTCCTCCTCCCAAAGCGTCAGGCCGGCACCACGACTTTTACTCCTTCTCGCCCCACTGTCAAGGATCGCATGAAGCACCGCTATCTCGTCGGTGCTGATCTATACGTCACACGTCTCAGCAACAACTGCCCCACGATGCTGTCTGCTTCGTCCTCGAAGCACAGCGGCTATCCGAAGACGGCTTTGTCGACAGTCCAGCGGTTCAGTGAAGGGATTCCAGAAAATTCAAACAATGGGAATGAAGGCCATGGTATAAGGCCTGTGCAGACACCGCTGACGGGCTCGCTGCATGATGAGTTGACGTACAAGACAGCAGCGGCGACAGTGGCCGCCGATGACGTACAGGATGAGGTGCTTTTGGGAAGAAGCAACGCGGCTGCGTCCAAGCCGTGCTACAGGTGCGTGAATTTCATGCATAACGTCGGTATCAAGCGAGTCTTCTGGACGAACGATGAGGGCGAGTGGGAGGGGGCGAAGATAAGGGATTTGGTTGATCAGTTGGAAGGTATTGGGTGTCAGGACACTTCTGAGGGTGAAGATGAGAGCGGATGCGGGGTATATGTTACAAAGCATGAGGTGCTTATGCTCAGGAGGCTATTCGGGGGGTATTGATGGTGCTCTTATTTCTTTAGCTGTCTGGTATGGCTAAAGTTTCTTCTAGAATGGTAAGGTCAGAGATATGAGAATGCATATGGAAGAATAGAAATGAATTAAACAGCTTAAGAAATATCCTCTAGTAGGTCAGTTCACTAAAAGTCCATCTACACTATTCCTTGCCGGGATTTGTCGGCGTCCAAGTCCAACTCTACTTTAGGTCGCTGGCTTAGAACATATATGGGTAGTTGAAGCCATCATCCGGATGTAAATGTATAATTATTAATTCTATACATCTACATCCGGATGATAGCTTCAACTACCCATGACATTGGCGAAAAATAAATTCACGCTACCCATCGGCTGCATCGACCTCGCGCGTGACGCCAGCATTACTTCGATCAACGCACAACTCACCCAAGCCCACAATTTCTTCGACATTAAACTACGCCACTTCATTAGAAAGTCCAACGTCGAAAATAGATCTCGCATTAATCTTCACATTAGCAAAGTTCCCTTGGAGGATAGCAGCAGCTCATTGCAGCCAATAGAGCTAATGAAGCTGGATCTAGACGCATACTGGTAACGGCAACTCGAGTTGCCCCTAATTCTAGAGGAGCCGGAGGCAAATTGAATTGCTGGAGCTGCTGTAAGCGCTGGGTGTCCGTACCTACAAATCACCCTTGCTTCCAGCGTCGCCTGCGCCTACTAGCACACGCTTAATTTTTACGCGTGGGAAATTTGATGACGCAGTCGACTAAATTCTTTCAAGCAAGGGGATCTAATTTTTTTTTTAAAAAAAAAAGGCCTGCGAAGACCCTGGGTTGGATTACATTGGGAATTTTATGATAGAACACTCAATATGATGATCTGGAAAATCGCACAGAGAATTCACTGTGATGGAAACAATTATCTTTAAGGGTTAATAACCTACAATTTTAACAGCCGTCCCCATTTTTTCACGCTTGAGGTCGAACTATTATCTTACATTGATGTGATATGAATGTGATATCAAATTTGTTTGACAGTAACGTCTGATTGAGTTTTTAAATTACCCGACAGTGGCCGAATGGCCGAATGCCGGGAGTGCGTGTTCTATCTTAAAGTTAAGAGTACACTCTACTACTATATCCATTTGTATTGGTATTAATAAGAGAGTGCGCATATTATTTGTACTAGGTTTACGAAGCTTTATTCTGAGCTTAGTGCTCTGCTATTAAGTCCAGGCGGCATGAAAAAGTTTTCCCACCCTAACCTCCCCGCACCAAAATTTCAACCTCGGCAATGCTTTACCCAGCCATCCCAGCCCCCCGAACACGCATCTTCCTTCAGCAGAAGGCACCCGCACCTTTTGAACCCGCTCATTTTCGTTAACCACTTTTTTTGATTGATATAATGATTGTTGGCCATCAACCTCCCATCAATCAAGCACAACAGCTTGGTTCAACATCTCACTCCTGAGTTGTATAGGCCGCATGGCCCAATGGCAAGGCGCTTGACTACGAATCAAGAGATTCCAGGTTCGACCCCTGGTGTGGTCATCTTTTTGCGCTCCTATTGCATGGGGGCACTCTTTTGCTTGTTGGACGGATGGGAGGGTCAAAGGGACTGTTTTGCCAGTCTGAACTGCCACGCACCTGTCTGGTCTAGACGGCAGCAGCAATGCGGGGCCGTTACTTGTATTGCGTCCATTACCTGCTGGAGATATCAAAAGCCGTGTTGAATACTGCAAGATATTGCTGAGGGCCGGTACTGCTGTACATATTGGCCACAGCCACGGTTATGACGAGAAATATGCCGCTATCTGCTCTCTATCTCTAAGATGTTGCGGGTTGACTGCACTGTTATGACATTTGGGCGGTTCGCCCAAGAAAAAGTTGGTTGGTATACGATCGCGAACCCAGAACGCGAAGTGATGCTCAGACCGGACAAATGATATCGGGTGCTGAACAGATTTCAACTGAAGCACTGCGGCACGACTAACCAGCACCATCCTCACGTCTGATTGTAATGAAATAAAATTCAGTCTGAAAATTTTTATATTGACGATCTACATCTCATACGATTTTCTCTTTTTACTACTCAATTCAACCATGTTTACGGTCAAAACCATTTGAGTCGCTTAACATTAAAGCAATATCAAAGACAACAATGCGTGCACATCGCGTGGCATGTGTTGTTACAGCTTTCCGATTGGTCTCATGGCACCTTCAATGTTCAAGGTACGACTCGGGTCTTCACATCATGTAGCAGTTGCTTCACAATCACATCACCTACCTTGACGAGGGCAGACTCCAGAGATGGAAGAAGTAACTTGTACTGACGATGATGTGTGGCTGAAGGCGGTATGCCGTCCTTGAGGATGGAGAGGAAATGGAGTTGAGGTTCGATAATTTTGGTGTTGCACCTCTTGTTTTGCGCGTGACCTAGCGCGGTGGGAATGCCAAGATTTGCCGGCCCCAAGACCCTAGCTTACCTGAGAAATAACCGGCATCAGATTGGTGTTCCAGAAATTGGTCTGGGCGGCTTGTGGTGATTCACGGAGCAGAGAGCTCGATCAGTACGCAATGGATTAAGGGGAGAGTACACTCTAGCTGCGTAATTGAGATATTTGTCCTTTGAATTAGCCCATCCTTTACATCTTGATGTCAAAGCTCGTCCCGCATCCGCAGCTGCTGCTAGCTGCAGGGTTATCCACAATCTTGAACTGGCTTCCAATCAACTCCATGGTATAATCCACCTTGCTTCCCTTCAACAACTCCAGACTTGGCTCATCCAGCACAATTCTCGCGCCGTCAGGCCCCTCAAACACCGTGTCTTCCTCCTGCGAGATCTCAGACATTTCAGTCAAGGACATGAGGTATTGGAAGCCGTGACAGCCTCCGGACTCGACAGTAATCCGTAGCACAAGGTTGGGGTTCTTGTCTTGTGTCATGATTTGCTTCAGGCGCTGCAGAAGACCTGTCAGCTACAAAACTTTGAACCTCGATGGAGAGAATATCCTGGAGTGCCTACATGAGCTGCGCGCGGTGTAATGCCCACCACCATCTCGTTGCCATCCTCATCTGTTCGCGGGTTCAGGACTGCTGCGCGCCGCGATGCGGAGGTCGAGAACCCCCGGACAGCAACATCCGGCTTCACCGGTCGCAGTCGCGGAGTTTGTCTTATCGATGTAGCGTATCCAGATCGTATCGAGGGCGCAAGGAAGTCGAGGAGTGGTGTCGGCGGAACAGTGGCGGATGCTGAGGAGACGGCGAAGCTGCGATGAGCGCCACGGAGGGCCTGTCGCACAGTCGCGGGACGGGCGCGAGCTGCGAACTGCATAGAGCGGAGGCAGGAAGAACAAATCACAGGGGCGGACGCCATGGTGTCGTGTCGGCGAAGGTGGAAGAAGGAGCGCTTTGAAATCATCGGAGAAGCGGGCGATGGCCGACAGCCGGCCGATGATGCTGGGGGTGCGCCACACTGCGTGCACCAGCCACTCTTCGCCCCGCCATGACGATGCGACCTTCTTTCCCCTCGGTCGCACTCTCACTGCACAACCATTGAGCATTCGCCATGACACAACACTCCTGGCCTGAGCTCCGGCTCGATGACCCAAAGTCCTTCACCAAGGAATATGCAGAAGCGCTTGACGCGCAGGACCCTCTCCGCAAGCTCCGCGAAGAATTCGTCATCCCCACCCGCGCCGGCCTGAAGCGCAAACGCCTGGGTACCGATGCCGGCGCTGTGGAAGTGAGCGAGACAATAAATGCTCTACTACCGGAGAATGAGTTGACCTACCCGTGCACCTACCTTTGCGGCAACTCACTCGGCCTCCAGCCGCGCTGCACACAAGAATATATCCGCAAGTACCTTGATACCTGGGCCAACAAGGGCGTCTACGGCCACTTCCAACCGCTGGAGGATGCCGTATCCAAGCCATGGGTGGATATTGATGAAGATGCCAAGGTTGAGACGGCCAAGATCGTTGGAGCACAGCCGGAAGAGGTGGCTGTCATGCAGACATTGACGGCCAACCTTCACTTGCTGATGGCCAGCTTCTACCGTCCGACCAAGGAGCGTTACAAGATCATTATCGAAGGCAAAGCTTTCCCCAGTGACCACGTATGTATATCAAGTGTTTTATTCCCGACCAGAGTATGCTCACCCTTCTTGTAGTATGCTGTACAATCCCAACTCCACCATCACAACCTCCATCCCTCCACCGCCCTCGTCGAGCTCAACCCACCAGACCCCGGCACTTCCTACCTGCCCACCTCCTACATCCTCTCCGTCATCGATGCCCACGCCTCCTCGACTGCCCTGCTTCTTCTCCCAGGTATTCAGTACTACAGCGGCCAGTTCCTTGACATCCCCACCATCACCGCCTACGCACAAGCCCGCGGCATCATCGTAGGCTGGGACCTCGCGCATGCAGTCGGTAACGTGCCACTGAAACTGCATGACTGGAATGCCGACTTCGCCGCCTGGTGCAACTACAAGTACATGAACGGCGGGCCCGGCGTCATCGGCGGGCTCTTCGTGCACTCCAAGCACACCTCCGTCAACCACAGCCCCTCTCCCCCACCTTCCGACGACCAACCCGGCACCACGGCCATCACCGCCGACACCCTCGGCTACCGCCCGCGCCTGAGCGGCTGGTGGGGCCACGACAAATCCACGCGCTTCCAAATGCGCTCCACCTTCGTCCCCATCCCAGGCGCCGCCGGCTTCCAGCTCTCGAACCCCTCCGCGCTCGACACTACCGCGCTGCTCGCCTCCCTCTCCGTGTTCGCGAAGACTAGCGTGGCCGACCTGCGCGCCAAATCCCTCCGGCTGACCGCGTACCTCGAGCATCTACTATTCACGCCCACGGGCGACGCAGACGCCAGGCCGTACAGCCTCATCACGCCGCGCAACCCGGACGAGCGCGGCGCCCAGCTAAGCTTGCTGCTGCGGCCTGGCTTGCTCGAGCGTGTAATGGAAGAGCTAGAGCACAAGGGTGTTGTCGTGGACGAGCGCCGGCCGGACGTCGTGCGTGTTGCGCCGGCGCCCCTGTATAACGGGTTTGCGGACGTGTGGAGATTCGTTGATGTGTTCAGAGAGGCGTGTCGGAAGGCTGTTTTGGAGGCGGGGGTTGCGGTTGAGAAATAGAGGAGACGATATGTGAAATGGTTGGTGCTGATCTACCTGTTGAGGAAATTGGGGGATGTGGAGTTTTACAGTTGCCCTGGATGGCGATGCTTATAGTGGAAGCCGCTTAGTGATTGTGCATATGTTGTATAGAGGATGCTTTCTAAAAGAAAAAGAAAAAGGCCATATGCCCTCCGGTGCATGAAGTTCGAGCGTGTCTCTTATGTTCAGAGATCAGGGACATTGCTGAATATTCTACACAGGAGCTAGTCGAAAACAACAGAGTTTCTTAACTACTCCTTGATCCACACAGGGCATCGCAATCGGAACAACCCACCTCGGAGGGAAACAAACAAAATAATGCTCTTGCATGTCTGGGTAGATATGAGCAAAAAAGGAAAGGCTCGGTTTGCAAATGGTCAAAGACGAAGGGCCAATACCCGGTAGAAGCATCAAGTGATACCTGAATTGTCTAATTTGTCCAAGCCGACACTCATCATGAAGAATACTAATTGATTAGCTCATTCATCACACTAGCGCCACACACACAGTCGATCAATAGCGGACGTTGCTCATCAGCGGAAGGGCTCGGTGGCACCACCACAAAACACTTCAACTTTTGGCGCAATGCATGGACGCATCCAAGAACAGAAAAGTCACAGTCATCTTCTGGATCCAGGCAGCGGGGCGTCAACGTAATGGATGGGATAATTGCCTTTGATTTGGGTCTTTCATCGACTCATGAGAAGAAAGTTGTTAATAAGACTACCAAAAGGGGGAGGCCATTGGAGAAGCAGCGCCAGCAGCAGCAGGAAGGACACGAGAGCCCACTTGTTCAACAGCCGAGAATACCGGGAGGACCAGAAGAAAGAAAATGAAAAGAAGACTTCATTGGCAATGCATCAATTGAGCCGATGTGGCTAAAGTGGGGGAAGAGAAGGAAGAAGCACAACAGCAGCAGTCCGTTGTTCTCCATTTAAAAGCTCGGTGATGATACACCACCTCCAAGAGCGGAGGCGGAGAATGGTGACGTGCGAGCTGCAGTCGCCGGGGTGGCGCTGGCGCCCATGCCAAAGGGCGTCGAGTGACTCGGGATCGGGCTGCCGATTTCTCCCAAGCCGTGCAGCGCACCTTGTCCCGGGATGCGAATGCCGCCGGCGCTATTGGCCGAGTCAGGCTCAAACTTGACCTCAACGGTGCCATCTGGACCGTCCTTCTTACGAAGGAATCCGCCCCCATTGTGCGCATCTCCCTCAGTCTCGCAGATATCGATAACCTCGTGCTCTTGCACAGGCGCATCTGTTAGACCACGAACGGAAGATTCAATGGTACGGATGATGGTCGGCATATCATAGAAGCCATCGGGTTTGGGCTGGCTCTGCGCAAGCTGCTTGCATGCCTGGCACACCATCAAGCGAACTGATACAGGGCGTGAGATACTCTGTCTGTGTGGAGCACCAAGTGGAGCGCCAACGCTACCGAAGCTGCCAACCGTAGTGGGCCAGCCACTGCCAGCAGGAGGAGATCCCCACGTGCTACCACCCATCCCAGGAGGGCCAAATGGCACGGTTGGGGTTCCCCACGTGCTGCTCCCTCCACTCGCCATGCCAAAAGGATCAATGCCACGAGCTCCCACGTCAGTGAAGAGTGGAGAAGTGCCAAAGCCCATTCTACCTGACCTTGCCGACGGTGCTAGACTCGGACGACGGACTTCACCCGCACTCGTAGGAATCGGCTCATCGCTGTCGTCAAGAAGAGCACTGCTTCCCAAGTGGTTGCTTAGCTCGTCCACCTCGTGATTGCTTGGTCTCTTGTTCTCCAGAGTGGGTTCTTGCGGCTTGACGCTAGATGGCCTCTGGATGGGGGTAGGCCGGGCAATGGGATGAGTCGGAAGCCCGCCAATCGACGAGTCAAATGATCCTGATCCAGATGCCTGGCGCGAATGCGATGGCATTATGTCACGAGGAGCACTGAATCCGGGGATCTGACCTGCCGCACTCATACCGGGCAGAGGCTGGCCAAAGCCTGGGGGCATGGACATCCCCGGGAAGCCTCGACCAAGTGGCATACCCGGTGCGTTCATACCAGGCGGTGGTGCGGGCATACCGTTCGGGGCAGCGAAACCGGGGTACTGCGCGCCGATCGGCGGAGGGTGGGGAAACATGGGTCCACGAGGCTGGTTCAGGCCGTGCATGATTCCCCCCTGCATTGGCGAGGGTGCACCCAGACCAAGAGGCAGGCCGCCAAAGCCAGCATGCATACCGGGAGGAGGCCCTATCGGCGGCATTGGCGAACTCGGTTGTGGATGCTGCAATGTCGACGTATGAACTTGTGGTTGGGGCTTCTGCAGAATAGTCCTCGGTTGCTGGTTGCTCGGCGAGACCGACTTGCTGGTTCCAGGGAAGACCTGGGGTGTCCTCGGCGATGATCCGTGAGAGCCTTGTTGAGAGCTTTGGCGAGGCTTCGATGGTGTCGGGGCCTTTGGGAGGTTTGGAGTTGCGACTTGGACATGCGGGGATGGGAAACCGGTCGAAGACTGCTTGGAAATGAGACCGGGCGGCAAAGCCGGCGTTGGCTGAGAAGGGCGTTTGTTAGTTTGCGCTTGATGGATGGCCTTTGCCGCCTCTTCCTCCTTACGCGCAAGCTCAGTTGCCTCTTTCTCTGCCTTGATCCTAGCCTCCTTCTCTTTCCGCTGCTGCTCTGCATGTGCTTTCTGCTCCCTCGCCTCCCTTTCTCTGGCCTCTCGCTCCTCACGTTCCTTGCGCTTTGCCTCTTCCCGAGCCTTCTTTTCCGCGGCCCTCTGTTCCTGAGCCTTGCGCTCTGCTTCCTGCTGCTTCAACCGTTCTTCCTCTAACCTACGCTTCTTCTCCGCATCCTTTCGTTTCTTTTCCTCCTCCTGAGCCTTTCGCTCAGCGTCCCTCTTCTTCTTCTGCTCTTCTCTCTTCTTCCGCAATTCTTCCTGCCTTTTTGCCTCCGCCGCTTTGGCAGCCTCCTCCTCAGCTTTCTTTTCCGCTTCCTTGCGAGCCTTCTCTTCGGCCTGCCTTTGTTTCTGCGCAGCCTTCTTCTCTTTCTTCTTCTGAGCATCCTTGGTCTTCTTCGCCTCGCGCTCTGCCGTCCGCCGATTCTCCTCATCGAGCTCTTCGATAAGTTTCTGCTGGCGTTCGTTTGCGACCTTTTCCCGGTATGCTGACAGTACACGCTGTTCGAACATTCGCGCTGCGAAGATTTGGAACATTCTTCGGCCTTCCCGCATCCGTTGCTGTTCCGTCATCGTGTCCTGGTACTTGTCAGAGATGGTCCCCGTAGCTAGACGTTGAATCCTAACCAAGTCGTCTTCCTCCTCCTCGTACTCGTCCTCTTGACTGTCGTAGTCTTCATCCTCGTCGTCGTACTCTTCGTCGTCCGGGGGTGGGCCGTGGTTGTGCCCGGCGTGATGGTTCTGCATCGATGATGAATATGCCAAACTGCCTGCGTGTTCTACAACTTGATCTTCTCGTTGCATCCGACGCTCCGCCAGCTGCTCCATCATCTCGATGAACTTCTTGCCGTCGTTCTTCAGTAAATCGTCTGCCACTGTAAGAATTCCACCTGCTAGAAAACCTTAGTATCAATTCTTTCCACGCCGAATTTCCACGCAAGTCCTGCAAACCGACCTTTAACCGTCAGACTGTTACCAAAAAACGAGAAATCCGCAGCTGTACCTCTCACGGGTAGCTCCTCGGGTTCCTCTTCGTCACTGTAGTCCTCCTCATCCTCGTCGCTATACTCTTCTTCGTCCAGCTCGTCTTCCTCGTCCTCCTCGTCTCCTATCTCTTCGACGCGATTGCCAGAGTCGTAGGGCTGGTTAGGATCGATCATGCGGTCTGGCGGGAGGCGAGGATCTTGTCTACGGCTGTAGGGTCTCCCTGTGGTTAGCACGGAATCGCCATTATCAGGAATGTTGTCCTGGTCGCCGTACAGCTCCAACTCCTCATAGTACGCATCGTACAAGACCTCAAGCTCCTCCTCGATCGCCGTTCGCTTCCGGCCGCAGACGGTGCAGCTGCACGAATGTTTCTGCTGCTCCTTCATCTTGCGCAAGACCGCCTCTTTCTCAATTTTGACCAACGACTTGCGCTCCTCCTCCCCAAGCGACAGCCAAAACTCCCTGATCCTCTCGCGTTCTTCTTGCGTCGACGTGTTCCATATACGGTCCCTAGACGTCGAGCTGCGCATTGAGCGAAAGGCAGGATTGGATAACGGCGGAGGTGGAGGGGGCGGAGGCGGATGCGCGCCTGGGTGAGCAAGCATTCCCGAAGAGCTTCCGCTCGGTATATCGTAGGGTTGCGCCTGCGCATCGGACAGCATTCCCCGCTTCTTCTTCTTCTTTTTCTTAGACTTGCTGCTTGCCGAAGCCGGATCCGCAGGATGTCCGTTTGCCGTCGGGACTCCGACATTGTAGTGCTGCGCATAGGCGGCGGCCTCGTCATCCGTGTAGTACATGTCCTCATTGTCACCGCCGTCGAAGTGCTCCGTGTCGTCGAGCTCGTCGTCGTAATCCAGTGGGGGCTGAGGCTCAGGATGGGATACATGGCCATTGTGCACGGCGCTCTGGGCATGAGGCACGTTGCCATTCCGCAGGCTAGGGTTCACTGGCTGCTGATCCTGCTGCAGCTGCTGTTGCTGCTTCGCGGCGAGCTTCGCGCGACGCTTCGCCTTCTTGCGATTGACACTGGGGTTGCCGGGCGGCGCTGCGCCAGTGAGCACGCCGTTGCTGGGCGCAGGCGCGCCGGGATGTGCTTTGATGTTGGCCATGTGGTGTAAGGCGGCGTCGGGGGCAGACCTAGCGCGCAGCAGGCGGGTTAGATAGTTGTTCTGGCAGGGTGTGGCGCCGCGGCTCGCGCGCCCGTCGGACGAGCTGACGGCAGCCAAGATGGTGTTCAAGGGCGCTGGGCTCAACAAGGCCCCTCCACCTGGTGCAGAATGTCACGTACGCGTGCTCGGAAGTGGCAGCCTGGAGCTCCGGCGGCGCGGAGAGCTTCGCTGCTAGGGGCCTTGGTGCGGGGGATCGCGAGTTGCTCGGAGCTCTAAGGCGGCGGTGGTGGTGTTGCGGCGGCGTCAAAGAGCGTGTGCATCATCCTCTAGGTCAAGGTGCTGCGGTCGGATCGCAAGTCCGGCGGCGTTAATCCGGCTGCCGGGGCCTGCCTAGAAGCAGCGAGGCTGCCCATGCCCATGCGTCGCTGCTGTGCCCTGCCTCACTTCCACCCTCGTATCTCAGCACATTTCTTCGCGCTGCTTCTCCTTGCAGCTCCGTCCGCCGGCCGCACCACCGCCCTCCCCGTATATACCAGCCTCGTTCCGCGCCATTGCACTGCAAAGCTCCCTCGCCGCTCGCCCTCGCCGACCGCGCCCTCGCTCACCACACCCGCCCGCTCCCCGTGTACGCTCGCCGACCGTCCCCCGGCTGCCTGGTCCAACCCCCCGAGCCGCGTTTGCTCCCAATCGCCCGCGACCGCGCTTCGACTGCCGCCTGTGTGTCGCGACCGCACGCTTCCTGCGACCGCCCGCTTCGCCTGAGCGCTGTCGCCGGCCTGACGCCCTCAACAACGCCGCGAGCACCGAAGATACCCCAACCAGTACACTGTTTACGACGCCCGCAGCTCGACTCTAGGCGCGTCCAGCACCGCGCTTCTCAGAGCTACTCGGAACTACTCGCACCGCAGGAGCCGTCGCTGCCCGCGCCCCACCACTTATTCGTATCGCTGCCGGGAGCCCGTCAGGGGACAATCAGCAGACATGGCCCAGCAAAACGCCCAAGATGCTCAGGTCATGAGAAGGTATGCCAGTCCGGTGCATTTTCAATCAGTTTCATCAAGGTGCCGCACGGAGTCCTGGAGATCGACGGCGCTATGCCTCCGCTTGCCTCGCTTTCGAGCCTCGTAATTCCTGCGCACCGGCATTCTACCTCTCCTGTCACGTTTGCTGCCCCCTATCCGACTCCGTTCCCATTGCCGGGGGTGGAAAACTGCGCCTCGTAGCTTTCCAACCCTAAACGAAGCGAGGGAAGATCGCGTGCATTGGCGTCCGCGATCCGAGCCTCAGGCAACCAAAAATAGACCAGCTTCCCTGGGATTCGCCGTCGCACTTTTATTCTCTTAGCCGCGATTGCCTTCCTCCTTGTGCTGGTCGCACTGCCCACCAGCCAAAGTTTCCAGTTTGCTGCATCGTGTAACCTGCTGACGCTGGCTGCCTTGCATAGAAAATTAGTCATTATCGGTGACGGTGCATGCGGAAAGACCAGTTTGCTCAGCGTCTTCACTTTGGGATACTTCCCCACTGTAAGTTCTAGGCCCGGCTTCTCCGTTGACGTAAGACCAATGACTGATCGGTATGCAGAGATATGTAAGTCACACGCACCACCGGGCTGACCAGGGCACGTTTTTGACCTTTACAAAAGGTTCCGACGGTGTTTGAGAACTACGTGACGGATTGCCGCGTCGATGGTAAATCCGTGCAGCTTGCACTATGGGATACCGCCGGCCAGGAAGACTACGAGCGTCTACGTCCTCTAGCGTACTCGAAGGCCCATGTTATTCTTATCGGTTTCTCCGTGGACTCGCCGGATTCTCTGGAGAACGTCAAGCACAAGTGGGCCGAAGAGGCGAGGGAGCGATGCCCGGACGTCCCGATCATCCTTGTGGGTCTGAAGAAGGATCTCCGCGATGATCCCCTAGCTCAGGAAGAGATGCGGAAGAAGTCGCTGAAATTCACGACCACCAAGGCTGGAAACGACATGAAGGATGAGATCGGTGCCCGGAAGTATCTCGAGTGTTCTTCTCTTACGGGTGATGGCGTCGACGACGTATTCGAAGCGGCCACCCGCGCAGCATTGCTGTCCGTCGACAAGGCCGAGACCAGTGGATGCTGCGTCATCCTGTGATAGACTGATCGAATCGAGAGCGAGGCCAGGCGGCCCGCTCTTCTCTCTTGCATGGGCGGAGTTTTGGGTTTTGTACATGCAGGCGTCCAACCTCACAGCGCTTTCCCACGGGGTCCTTGTTCATTTCTTCAGTTCAGTTCGTTCTCGTCCGATCAAAATTCTTCGTTTCAAGGCAGCGGTGACGCTTAATGACGGATGATACCATCGATACGCTCATTTGATATTCTGTTTAGCGGCTCGCCTACATTGTTTGTTCGGCTCAGTTCAGTCTAGACGTCGCTTGGTCTGGCTGGACCGCATTCGTTGGTAGTCCAAGCTTTTCATATTGGTTCAAAATTGCGGCCTGGACCCCGCTGGAGAGAGGGTCGGTCTTTTGTCTTGGGTTATTGTATCGTAATTGAGATACTGCAATAGCTCGCCTATGGAAGGACTCCTGGCTGCTGGACTAGTTCGAATCCTGTTTGAGAATGGAGAAAGTGTTACTGGATCTACAGCCCCTCTCGCAGGCTTCATAACATAGCGTAACTATGCCCCAGCTCTGCCTGAGAAAAGTTAATATATGTGGGTAGTTGAAGCCATCGTCCGGACGTGTATGTAGAATTTTTAATTCGACATTATCGTCCGGACGATAGCTTCCGCTACCCATGACATGAGCAAAAATAAAAAAAAAACACGCTAGCCATCGGCTGCAAGCGGGAACTGTAAATAATACATGGTGTTGAAAAGCGGGCATGTTCCGTTCATCTGGTCAACAGTTCAGCATGGGGTCTCTTAGCTGGAGCTATTCATCCAACAATACCCTAGACTATTTCAATGGTTCATCAAAATTTCTCGTGGAAGCGGACTCGACCTGACATGACCTAATGTAGTTCTCTAAACTCAGAACGAATCGTTAGGAGACATCTAATCTTATCGATAATTAGCTGATCAGAAATCCCTCGTCATGTTGTTACAATGAACAGTACTATTGACTGCTTGCACACTTCTAGAAGCATGTTCCCTTTCTCTTTTTTTTTACATGTTCCATATACCTCAAGTCCCCGCATGACCCCTACCGCTTCCACTCGTGGTTCCAACCTTCCTTCGAGGGCGTATCAACTTGTGGTCTCGCATACTCAATTGGGACGCCGTTCCAGATTTCTTCCTTCATCATAGAAGTCCGGTACAGGCGGCCGACGTTCTTCGCCGTCTCGGGACCGGGCATGCCGTTGTCGTCAATCAACCTCAACGCCTCACACGCATTCCGCATCGAGTTGTACTGCCGCTCAAGCTCGAGCTCCTGTTCGCGGCGCTGCTTCTTATTGAACATCATCCAGGCGCGGTGAATGGTCCAATGCCGCAGAGCGCGAATACGCGAAAAGCGGAGCGGACGGGGGGTCTTCGGGTGGAAGAGATGGTAGCGGATTTGTGCTATGCAGCAAAAAAAAGATGAGGTCAGCAGGCAATCCTTTCTCGGGCAGAGGCGCCTTGTCGGGGCAATTGGCGCAGAGGGAAAAAGCGGGCCTGCTCACTTATTCTCGCATCCTTCTTTGGGCCTCGTTTCTTTGCCTGCAGAGCGGCTGATGTGGAAAACGGGGTGGTCTGGCTGGTTGCTGCGGCAGCGAGAGGAAGGCGGTGCAGGGCCGGGAGGGCGGGCGCCGGGCGCAACCCGAGCGGGCGGAAGATGGGCTGGAAGGCGCGCATCGAGGTCGTAGCTATTCGGCTCATGGTTGCGGTGCGGGGGGCGGTGGAGGCGACGAGCTTGTCGGACGCGGTGCTTTGGCGTCTGCTCGACGCCGGCCAACATGGCCGGGCCGTTGATTTTTCCCGCGCTGCGGCAGGCCGAAAGACGAGCTATTTTGGTCGCTCACCGCCGTCTCAGCCCTACCGGATAGGCGAGAGAGAGGGGCCCTAGCAGAGCGCCCCCCCGATCGGCGGACGGGCGCAGTCTGTGTGCTGCGCGGGTGGAGCTGTTGGCTAAAGACACCGTTACGTACAGCCCCTCCAGCGACACCCCCTACCTCCTTCCCCGCTGCTCTCTCTCCACCACCGCCTTCGCTCCAGTTCTCTCCCTTCTCTCCGCGCTCTCTTCTCTCCGTCTCTCTCCCTTCGTTCCCCGCCCCACCACCACCATGGACCAGAAAATCTTGGAAGCTTCCGCAAAGCACGCCCAGCCGGGCAAGGTGTTCCAGTATGGCACCGCCGGTGTAAGTCTCACTCACAAGGCCCGCGCTTCTCGTGCGGCCGCGTCGGTTCGTCCAACCAGGTGCTAACGATGCTTGCAGTTCCGCATGAAAGCGTACGTCAATTGAAGCTCCCTGTTCCCCATCATTGTTGGCCAGCCTCTGCACTGCTAGCATTGAATGAAAGCTGACAAGCTTGCCCGCCGCCGCAGCGACCTGCTGGATTCCGTCGTATACCGTGTTGGCCTGCTGGCTGCCCTCCGCTCGAGGAAGCTCAACGGCCAGACCATTGGTGTCATGATCACCGCGAGCCACAACCCGCCCGAGGATAACGGCGTTAAGCTTGTGGACCCGATGGTGCGTGAATCGCATCAAGCTTGGGCGTGAGCACGTCAGGCTAACCACAACATCGAACAGGGCGAGATGCTTGAGGTATGCGCACTTGCAGGCGACCGTGCGAACAATGTGTCTAACGCTGCCCCCAGTCTTCGTGGGAAGCTCATGCTACCGTCCTCGCAAACGCCGAGACCGACGAGAAGCTCGTCGAAGCTTACAACAAGCTCGCAGTTGACCTCAAGGTGAACCAGACGGCACCTGCGAGGGTCATCTTCGCCCGCGACACCCGCGCCTCCGGTTCGAGGCTGGTAACCTGCCTCGTCGACGCTCTTGAGGCGACGGGCGCCGAGTACACCGACCACAAGTTCCTCACCACTCCGCAGCTGCACTACTTGGTCCGCTGCGTGAACACAAAGGGCACCGTGCACGAGTACGGCGAGGCGTCCGAGAAGGGCTACTACGAGAAGCTTGGTGCCGCCTTTAAGAAGGCCCTTAAGCACAGGCAGATCCCTGAGGATGCCCCCGAGGACAAGGGTGTCGTGGTCGACTGCGCCAACGGCGTTGGTGGCCCCAAGCTGAGGGAGCTGATCAAGTACCTGCCCAGCCTCGAGGAGAAGGGTATCAAGATCCAGGTTGTCAACGATGATGTGCACAAGCCCGAGAACTTGAACTCGCAGGTGTGTATCCTTGGATTGTCTTCGATGCAATTTTACTGACGTCGAATAGTGCGGTGCCGACTATGTCAAGACGGGTCAGCGCGCCCCGCCGCTGTCCAAGGCTGGACCGCTGGAGCGCAGTGCATCTCTGGACGGAGATGCCGATCGCATTGTCTACTACTTCAACGACAAGGACGGCAAGTTCAACCTCCTGGATGGCGACCGCATTGCCACGCTCGCGGCCTCTTTCATTGGTGACCTGGCTCGCCATGCTGGCCTGGGCGAGCAGCTCAAGGTTGGCGTTGTGCAGACGGCGTACGCCAACGGTGCCAGCACCAAGTACATCACCTCGGGCCTTAACCTGCCGGTCGTGTGCACGCCCACGGGCGTTAAGCACCTGCACCACGCTGCGCTGCGCTTTGACGTTGGTGTCTACTTCGAGGCCAACGGCCATGGCACCATTGTCTTCTCTCCTGCAGCGCTCAAGACGATCGAGAAGCACGAGCCGCAGTCGCCTGCGCAGCACGAGGCGCTGGAGACGCTGCAGGCTTTGACGGATCTGATCAACCAGACTGTCGGAGACGCGCTCTCGGATCTGCTGCTCGTTGAGGTCATCCTTGCCCACAAGAAGTGGGGACCTGCCGAGTGGCTGCACACGTACAATGACCTGCCCAACCGCCTGGTCCGCGTTGAGGTCAAGGACCGCAATATTTTCAAGGCGGTGGATGCGGAGCGCAAGCTGGAGAGCCCGGCGGGCATTCAGGAGGAGATCGACAAGCTGGTCGGAAAGTACAAGCAGGGCAGGTCGTTCGCGCGTGCTAGCGGTACCGAGGACGCGGTGCGCGTTTACGCGGAGGCGGAGACTCGGACCGAAGCGGACGATCTGGCGCAGAAGGTTGCCATCCTGGTGAAGCAGTTCGGTTCTGCCTAATCAGAAAACACAAAAAGCATCGAGACAGCTCCGCCTGGGCGGGATTAGTGTGGGAATTGGCGGAGCCTGTCAGCGACTCAGGCTATGACGCAAATGCAAGTATTCAAATAGTATTTTTTAGAGAAACACCCAAAAGTTTGTCCTCTGAACCCCGAAGATTGATTAAGATGTCTGTACTCTGGCGAATACGAGTCAAGCACCGGGGCGCATGGTCGAGTAATGGGCCTTAACTGGGGCCACACGTCACTGGCTGACCGCCATGCGGCGCGCTCTCGGAGGGGTATGTGGATCTCGCGTGGCGTCTGGAGACAACCCCGCCATGCGCCGTCTGCATCCTGACACTTTCCTCCCCAACAGCTCGTTCACACCACCTAAAGCTCTCGTCCCTTCTTTCACACTATCGTCTAACTGCAGCTCCATTGTCACATTTGAATTTTGCACACAGACTTCGGCACAATGGCAGACCTCAACCTCCAGGAGATCCACGACTTCCTCATCGAGGTCGCGAAGAAGGCCGGTGAGATGATCACCTCGGCCAAACCCTCGACCACAACGACGGGCGAGAAGAAGAACTGTGAGAGCTACAGCATCTACCGCATACAAGAAAGAAATTGACAACCCTACCACCCTGTAGCCGCCGACCTCGTCACCGAAACCGACCAGGCGGTCGAGAAGATGGTGTCGACGACGCTGAAGGAAAAGTACCCTTCTTTCTCTTTCATGGGCGAGGAGACGTACAAGCCAGGCGACAAGCTGACGCCTAACCCCACCGTAAGACCTTCACCCCGAACTCCCTCGTCTTCTACCTACCACCAAGACCGCCCCCTTCTCCCAATCCCTGTCCGCTAACGGAGGATTGATCGCTGCGTACAGTTCATCGTCGACCCGATCGACGGCACGACCAACTTCGTGCACGGCTACCCGTACGTCTCCATCTCGCTCGGGCTGGCCGTCGACCTGACGCCGACGGTCGGCGTCGTCTACAACCCCTTCACGCAGACGCTGTACTCGGCCATCCGCGGGGGCGGCGCCTTCCTCAACCGCACGACGCCGCTGCCGCTGCGCGAGCCGGAGCCGATGCAGGACCTGAGCACGACCGTGTGCTGCGTCGAGTGGGGCTCGGACCGCACGGGCAACGACTACAAGGTCAAGAGCGAGACGTTTGCGAAGCTGTGCGCGCGCAAGGAGGAAGGCGGCGCCATGGTGCACGGCCTGCGCAGCTTCGGCAGCGCCGCCCTCAACCTGTGCGGCGTCGCGTCGGGCGCGCTCGACATCTACTGGGAGGCCGGCTGCTGGCCGTGGGACGTCTGCGCCGGCTGGGTCGTGCTGACCGAGGCCGGCGGCATCGTCGTGGATGGCAACCCGGGCGAGTGGAAGCCGAGGATCGATCAGAGGAGGTATCTGGCCGTGAGGAAGGGCGAGGGCCAGAAGGCGATTGTGGAGGAGTTCTGGGGGTTCGTTCAGGGGAAGTTTGAGGTGGGCAACTAGATGGCACGTTATGAGTTATGAATTGGGACGATATAGACGTATAAATTGTTGTCTAGAGTAGACCGTGGACAAAATCAGGTTAAGCGCAAGATTGGATGCTTTGCCGACCTGATAGAGGGGCATTCTGGGTTACTAAAAGCCAGCAACAGGAGAATTTCTGTAATGGGCGTTTGAAAGGTATGATAGTCTCCTGGCATCGTTCGATTCGAGGGGCTGACTATCATATTTGTACTAGCAGACTGCAAAAGTTTGCTGGCCATTTCATCGGCAAACTGCCTGTGGAACCCAGGCTTCCACGAATTATTTCTTCAGCTTGCTAGGTCTACGACATCAGCTGTTACCTGCTACCTGGGTTTAGAGCACCTGCTTATTGTGGAAGAGACTCTCAGTGAATCCTGGATTAGAGTCAGCAGCAGAGCCGCATGGAAGCATCTGTTAGGGTCTCTATGTAGGCTGAGGCTGTGATGAAGCTCGCTTGGAGCCGCGATGACCTATGTGTCCAATCATAGGAGGCAGAACAACACCACATTGCGGCTCAGCGTCGCATTAACCAGGGTTACCGTATGCTGTCAGCATCTGCTTAAACGGTTTGGCGCATTCACGCTGCAATGTCTTACTAAAATAGTAATGGGTGGGTACTTTGGCCCCCACTCATTTCTTCTGCAGAGATATGGCTGTATAAGTACCGCCGCCTGGCCTTCCTGTTCTGTGTTGTACATTCTGCTAACATGCTAGACTACGTGTAGAGGATTTTGGCCTCTTTGAAGGGGACAGTGAAAATGAGACCAAGGCAGGAATTCGTCCGGCTACATGCCCTTGGATCCCAGTCACAGGAAGAACTGCAAAGTCCAAAGCCCACGCCCAAGCCAGGATGGCCCAACGAGCCACAACAGTTACCAAAAAATCTCTTTCGGAGCTCATGGCCAGCAACATCGGAAACATATTTTTCATACTTTTCTCCATCTTCTGTTTCGTCTTCTGTGGGCTGGTATGGGCATACGACGGTCGGAACAAAAATACTAAAGTGCCATCGTACAACTTTTTCATCGAGATACGGCAGCTGGTAAGCTGCTACCTGGAACTTATTCCAGAATGCTCACCGCCTCAGGGTCCTACAGTCTTCCCACTTGTTTTCGCCGCTGCGATGGGCAACAATCTGAGAACGTTCGCATTTTAGCGTCTCGAACAGGGAGAGCGGCTCGGTCTTCTCGATCAGCTCCTCGGAAGCACTGCAGTCATCAACGCGATATCAACGCAGATACAACTTAGAGCTTTCAACACTGCCGGTGTCTTATTAATCTTGATGTGGTTGTTGTCCCCCCTTGGCGGTCAAGCAACGTACAGGACCTTCAGCGACCAAGACCACCAACTCCGTGACCATCCGCTCGTCGACTATCCGAACATGAATTGGACAGAGGCGTATTTTCCCGGCTACACGACCAGCATTTCCGAGCTCTATCAGATGTCTTCGAAAACGACGTTTTTTGCGGCGGCCGTGTTCGGATCGCCTTCAGTGAAGCATTCCAAGGTTGACCTTTGGGGGAATGCTAAGGTTCCTCATCTCGAGCGTCTGGAGGAAAATGGTATCAAAGCTTCAGATGGCTGGATTGATGTTGACGGCGAAGAGAATATCGCCCATTCATCTCTACTTGGAGTTCCGCTTGGGAACCTACCGGACTCTTCTGCGAAGGACGTTAGCACTTCACTTACCATCAACACGACATACTGGGCGCTCGACAGCCAAAGATCGATGCAGTCCGACTTTACTAACTTGTCCGACTATTACTACTAGTTCGGCCCGAAACAAGAATACAACGACTAGGGCAGCATCCAGATAGCGACGCACAACAACTACACACGGGGAGCTGACGGCAAGAACATGACCAAGAGGTAAGACTAGACGCTCCTGTATGAGACCACCAAGGGGGGCTGCAAGGTCGGCGACGAAGGCTGCATCTTCCACTCCGTCTGCGTCTACGGGACGACGTATGCGGAGACGCGGATCAACTGCACCTCCAACAACGGCAACAGCTGCGGCGCCACGCAGATGCGACGGTTGAGCATGGACGGCGGCGACGAGGAGGGGGCAGCGAAGAAGCGAAGAAACCTCAGCGACTGGACCGACCAGCTCGGCAACAAGACCGTGCAGATCGCGCCCAAGTAGAAGCAGGAACGCAAGCCACGAACGAGGTGCTGGCGTGCAGCGTTGTGTGCAGCTCCTCGTGGTGGTGGGCATCGCGTCGTTCATCATCCTTGCGTTCAGCGTGGCGGGCATTCTGGTGGATTATGCGAAGGGCTGCCGGGCACGCCGAGGTTGGAGATGAACGCGTCGACGCTGCTGAGAAATGGCGAGGGTGGTGGTGGTGGGGGCGGCGGGGGCGGTGGCGCTGCAGCAGCTAAAGCGGCGAGAAGTGCGGGCTTTGCGGGTGGTGCGGCGGTTTCGGATTTGGAGAGCGGGGAGGCTGATGAGGGGGCGGATGGTCAGGTTAGGGGATATGTGAGGTCGGAGGAGGATGTGGGGAGAATCGGTGTGGCGGTTGTAGATGAGAGTGGCCGTGTGGTGGGTAAGTTGAGGGTTGGGCGGTTGTACGAGTGATTGTGGTCCTGGTTGGTAGTCGTCAGGGGCCTGCAGTGAGCACGACAGACACTTGCTCTGTGCATGGTTCCCCATTTGCCATCACAGTGGATCGCAAAATAGTTGAGTGCCCAATGCTCCACGAAAGGACTCCACTTACTTCCTGCAGGGGTCAGTAAAAGCTCACATCTAGATTGATTACATATAGGTCCGGATGCTTGCATCAACTACCAACTTAGTAAGAGGGCTGCGTAGCGTTCATTGTGTGGCGTGGTTAGTTGAAATATTATGCAACATACTATGCCATGTAATTGGGAATTTGGCCTAACGTGGTATACGATGACGTACCCTACCAGGATGATGTCTTCTTTTACCTTTTTGGATTTTTTCTCCCTCTGGAAGTAGATGGGACAAAAGACTGGGGAGCCTGGCTGCAGGTACCCGTGCTCTCGGAATCCTTATGCATGCTTATCAAGATGCATGCATAGGGTGATCGAAGGGACAGCGGTTGGGGCGCAGCAGAGGCTCAGCGACGGTGATCCAGAGGATGGGGGAGATAGTTGAGCCGTGGGCAGAAAGAGAAATCTCTAGATAGTTCTAGACTTTTGAGTTGTTTTTGGTTCCACGTGCTGCAGCCATTCGCGTGGAAACCAAGCCCCCGAGGAGATCGGAAAAATTCTCAACTTCCTCTTTTGGGTATTCCAGCGGGCCAAGCTGCCAGCTGCGTCGACTTCAGCCATAAAAGCCCGACCGGCAGATGGATGATTGGCCAATTGGATCTGGCGGCAACGGCGGAGTTGGGCGAAACGTGGTTTTCCACGGCAAGCACGGCAGGCTGCTGCAAGCTTCCCGGAAGGATGGAACGTGGAAGCCATCTGGAGTTTTTGGGACCCATGGCCATAGCCTGCGCCACCCATCAGGAATGTTTCAGCCAACTCCAATTGTAATGAAGGATTCGCTTGGCCATGGTATTTCGTGGGTCGGAAGCGTGCGGGATGCACGCGATCCAGGAACACAGAGAGAGAGGATGGAGTCTACACACGGTCCGCATGAGTGAGCAGTAAGACATGTACTCAACGCTAGCTTAGCAGATTTGTTTGGATTTATTTTTTCTTGTGCAAACCAGGGAATGGTAAGCAGCGTGTGATGCAGCGTGACGTAGCCATCCAGATATCGCATTCCGGCTGATTCAAAAAAAGCGAAATTGAAGTCCCGCTTACACGGCTGCACGGTGGAAAGGCAAGCCCCTGAAGACATATCCCTGTACAAAGTGACGCCAACATGTTGGAAACGGGTGGAGAGAAAAGGATTACCCCTGCAAGATTCAGTAGATCCGTCCACCCTCCCGACTTCCCGCGTGGCCCGGGCTGTGGCGAGCTAGGGAGTGCCGTGGGGTCGGCGACTGAATCAAAGCCCGTTGTGGTGGCTGTCAGATTCTAGCTTTGCGCAAGTGTGGGATAGCGCCGCATGTCCTCAGCTGGCGGAGGCCACCTCCGGGTTGCGAGTCGACCAATGCGAGCCCAGAGCTCCCACTCGGCTTGCGTCAACGACGGACGCTAAATGCGCTTACTTGCTCAATCGGTACCCCTCGAACTTTATTCCCATCCGACTCGGCCTTCCTACCGTCCAGCCTGTGCGATTGAAATAGTGAGCAAAGCAATCTGTACCTGCAACGCGCGCGCACTGCCACCTTCGTTTGTGAGTCTAGATATCATTCTGCAGCGGGCCTGCGGCCGCATTCGTTCGCAGCTGTACTTCGACATACCCTCATCATCGTACCTGGAAACGAAGCCGTCCCCGCACCCTCGCTTTTGTGGAAAGGATTGCATCCTTGTCCCCGAAAATCTCGCCGTCTGACACAAGCCCACATGCTGTCGCGATAGAGGAGCTGTGTTTAACTCCTGCCCTCCCCTCGAGGCCTCTCCGCCCACCCCAGCTCTGCTCCCCCCTACCACCACCGGCCCACCATGACCGGGACGCTCGTGCCGCCATGGTTCGAAAAGTACAATGTCACCCGGCTCGACATGTCCGTGGTGAGCATTGTCTGGGGAATCAGCATCGGATGTTCCATGTTCTGCGTCGCCACTGCCATCAACCAGACTCTCAACACGTGGGCACGATCCCACCGGATAACCGCCTACATTATCATGGTGTGGATCGAGATAGTTGTGTCTATCACCATCGGCATAATATCATGGCTATACATGAGGAGCACCATTGGGCCGAGGTAACGTCATCCACTCCCCGCCGCTACTTGCTTGTCTGACTGTAAATGCTCCAGCTTTGAATTCTTCTTCTTCGTACTTTGCCTCTGGGTCATCCAAATCCAAGTCCTCCTCCAGATCATTGTCAACCGCATCGCACTTCTCCTCCCTGACCCACGCCAAGTCAACAAGATCAAGTGGTCCGTGGCGGCTTACGTTGGCGTTATTAACCTTTCTGTTTTCTGCATCTGGATACCGGCGCAGCTGCAGCGGTCCCAGACCTACGTCAGCGTCAACCACATTTGGGACCGCGTCGAGAAGGTCATGTTCCTAATCATCGACGCCGGCCTCAACATCTACTTCATGTGGCTGGTGCGCCGCAATCTGATCGCCAATGGCCTGGACAAGTACAAGATCCTCTTCTGGACCAATGTTGCCCTCGACTTCTTTTCCATTTTTCTTGACGTAAGTTTATTCTTTACTTCCAGAAAAACACCTTCAGACAGCTAACACATCGCAACAGCTCGCCATCATCCTCTCCATGTCCTTCCACAACCCTTTCATCTACGTCCAATTCCACCCGCTCGCCTACATCATCAAACTCTCCATCGAAATGTCCCTCGCCGACCTCATCGCCAAGGTCGCCCGCGCCTCCTCCGACCGCCACGTCCTCGACGAGCTCGAAGGCATCAACTGCTACGACCTCCCTGTAGCCCCCGCCAACGGCCGCCCCAACCACCGCAGCAAAGGAAACACATCCAACACGACCAACACCTTCACCACCGACACGACCGCCACCACCGCATCGAACATCAGCAAATACCACTACCCGGCGGCCAAGCTCTCCAAAATCGGCGCGCCGTCCTTCACGAGCGAGGTCTTGAGTGACAACAACAACCATTACGGCAGGAAGTCGGACGACCTGGAGAGTGGCATCACCAAAAAGGTGGCCGTCGACGTGCGGCGGAGCGGTGCCAGCCAGGCTGAAGACGTTGACGCGATTGCGGTAGCGCCGAGGCCGCAATCGGGCATGGATGCGGTGGACAGGGTGACGAGCCAGAATTCGGAGCTCGTTGGGGATCGGGACAGCCAGCGGTGGTTGAGGAGGGAGAGTGCGAGGCCGCGGGTGAATGAAGACGAGGAGGAGGATGAGGAGGATGAAGGAGAGCTCGAGATGATGAGGAAGGCATACAGCTATACGAACTGAGGGAACGCAGTGACCTATAGTAAGAGAGGAGAATTCTTTTTCTTTCCTTTTTCTTTTCGGAGGATGAACCTCCCTTTTCTTCTTGTCTATATAGAGGAGGCCACGGATATTGTTGGCCAGGTTTCTTTGATTCCTTTCTTTTCTTTTTCTTTCCCCTTAGCGCAGCTTCGCGGATACCCAGACTGCTCTGTTTGCTTTAGAAATGGAGTGCACATATCTTACGCCCGACAAAGGCGGAGAAGGTCTACTAGCCGAGCGGAAGAGTCTTAGTGAGCCACCAGGCGGAAATGTCGCTCGTGGATATGTGGCCTAAGCGATGAGAGTTTAGCGTTGTGAACATAGCCCTGATCTTGTAGCATTGATATCACGAAGATTTCAAAACTATTTCTTTGAGTAGCAGGCACTATAGAGATTTCTTGTGTTTATAGAGTCCAAGTCTACTCAAATTCTTGTCTGTATAAACAGTTCGCACTCATATTTTCTCATTTCAGTGTGCACCACTGCTTTCCAACCGTTTCGGTTCCTCTTTTCGCTTGGTCCACTCTTTCTTCGTAGGATCAGCATGCTGCTTAGTACTTTCTCTGAAAAAGACTAAATTTGTTTCTTGTGAAATTTTAGTGCCGTTAATTACGAAAGACTCAAGAACGCGAGTCGACCCCTTTGTGACTGACTGAATGGTTATGCATTCCGCAAGTATTTACACGCCCGTAATTTTGTGGCTACCATTGCATCTTTTACTTCGTTGTCGTTATTGTTTCATGAGGTATCAATGGTTGTTTCTCAATCCAGGGTTGGCAGCTGCATTACATTTCTTTCAAAATTGGTATGTACATTGATCATGAATCGACTAAATCTTGGTCTACTGAAATTTCTTTTTACAACGCTCATGTCATTTAAGGCAGACCGGCACCGCTCTTCACAACGGTGACCTCTCCCAAACCATCGACGCCCTCATCAGCGGTGGTCGACACGCCGCCCTGGGCAATGGCAACCTCCTTGCCATCATCGTTAAAAGCCAAAAAGGCACTGGTAAAGAAAGGTGCGCCGACGGCACACATGCCGCTCGTATCGAGGGTGAAGCTGAGGGCGCACACGTTGGTCTCGTTATAGTAGTCGTTAATACCCCTAGCGTAGCTCCTCAGGGGCACGCGGACGGTGACGTCGCGGCCGTCGACGCCGGTGAAGGTGTAGTCGAGGGTCTTGTTGGCCGGGATGCTGTCGCACGAGCCGGGCCAGGCCGGGTAGCCGTGGTTGTCGACGGCGCCCGTGGCGTCGAGGAAGTCCTTGGTCACGAGCGGGATGTTCTCGGTGCCGAAGCCCGAGTCGACGAGGCAGCGCGGCACCGTCTCGGTGTCGATGGCGAACTGCTTGCCCTCGTAGCTGATCTTGGGCGTCGCCACGTAGTAGCCCACGTACGTGCCCTCCGGAGGGTCCAGCGCCACTTTGACGAGCGGGCCCGAGTACTTTTCCGGACCGGGCAGCGCGCCGAACAGCGCGGTGCCGCGGAACTCGCCCCTGACGTCGGCCGGCGGCTTGTCGAACCACATGGACAGCGTGGGCGATTCGATGCGGCCCGAGGAGAGGAGGTTGCCGCGGAAGGACGGGCCGGTCGTGTCGGCCGTGTTCTCGGACAGGCCGAGGATGCTGCGCTCGTAGACCATGCCGTTGCAGGTCGTGGCCGACGAGCGGATCACCGTGTAGTTGGCCAGCTGGACTTGCTGGTCGAGCAGGCTGGGGTATTTGGTGTTGGTGAAGGAGATGGTGTCGTTGACGCTGCGGGGCGCTTGGATGATCTTGCCGTTGCCTGTGGATGAACGTTCAGTGATTTTGCTGGATTGGGTTTGCAGTGGGTGGCATACCGCCGTAGGCAAAGGCACGGGGGGAATCCTTGACATCGGTGGCGGTCGACGATTCGGGGTAGTTGAAGAAGGGCGTCACATCCTCAGTGCAAGGACCGGTGCCGAAGAGGTAAGGGCTGCCAGAGTTGACCTTGCCATCGGGACCGTAGACCTGCATTTTCGTCAGTGATGGTTGTAAGAATGGACTGATGGAGCTTACCCAGAAATTGGCAGAGCCTGTGTCAATGACAGTTTCGATGGGGGCTTGACCGGGAGTACCATAGACGATGTCGGTAGAGACCTTGGGATAGCCTCCGTACTTATAAGACAAGGGCATGATGGCAGGAGTCTGGGCCTGTCTGGCCGCGGGAGCGGCAGCCGCAAGAGCGGGCAGGAACAGAAGCGGGAACATGATAGCGAGAGGACTCAGAAAAAGATTCTGTGAAAGAGTGTTTCTGTTGGCTGGCACACTAAAAGAGCATTTTGGTGTGCGCATAGAAAGTATATAAGGGGCGAAAAAGTAGGGCGTCGGCTAAAGCACACAAGCACTTTGGTGGCGGCACCTTCGGCACCGTCCCGCTCATCATGCTACCTTGTGTTAACCTTGTTTGCTCGGACAGGGGCTCGGCGTCGTTGACTGCCTTTTCCGGACTGGCGGCCGACTGGTGGAGTCATGGAGAGAGATATATTTAGTCGGCGCTACACCGCATGCTAAGGCCGTGTTCGTGTTCAGGTGCAATGCTGGCAAGAAACAACGGCTCGGTGTCGGCGCAGGAGTGGGCGCTCTCGGACCGAAGTGCTTACATCGGTTTAAAGCCTGTGCTAACCAATCTAGCTCAAACGTCCGCCTTCCATCGGGCTTCTAGACGCCTCTCCCGCACGTAACGCTTTAACTCGCAGTACGAGGCTGAATCGTTTAGTAGTGCAACGGTGAGTAATTTGGATGGGCAGTCCAAGTACCCCTTTGAACCAATGGTTTGAGAGACAAAAGCACCAAGACGAATTCTTCACTTCGCCCGACTTTATCGTGATACTAAGCGACCGGGCTCGTATTCCACCCCACAATGATCCCAGCATCGAGCCGGGCGAGCAATGAAGATCAGCCCAGTGGCAGCCTGATCAAGCACGAGAAGAAGTGAACCCAGTCGCCCTTGCCGCACTTCAATCCAACCTAGTGATGTTCCATCGACCGATCAGCTCCGTGCGCGAATCATCGAAGCGACCTTCCATCACTCGACACGCAGGGAGCACTATCTGCCCTTCTTGAATACGAGATATCCGAACAGCGACCCATGATGTTGCATCTACTAACGGCCGTTTCGCCTCAATGATGGCGCTATAATAGACGTCTGTTCACCGGGAGGTCTTTCCAAGGCCAACCTCGGTTCATTTCTCTCGTTTGCCTCCCACCGAGCCAAGTGACGATGCATCTCCAATCACTTCTAGGCGCAGCCCTCTGGGCCTTCTCTCAGACGGCATCCTGCCGAGCGGTGAGCGCGCGCGCCGCTGTCGATCTCGTCGAGCATGAGAGGACGCCTGTGCTGCCAGCCGGCTGGAGATACATGTCCCCAGCCAATGATAACGAAACATTGCACCTGCGCATCGCGCTGGCGCACCCCGAGGACGCTGATCACTTGCGGCTGGCCTCCTCAGTGAGCGACCCGTCGTCGATCAACTACGGCAAGTACTTGTCGGCCGCCGAGCTGCAAGCCGTCCTCCCTGACGTCTCCTCCGCCGGTGCTGCTGTCACTGAATGGCTGGAGTCAGCGGACGGCGTGCAACACGTCTCGCAACATGGCGAATGGGTTAGCTTCATCACGAACGTCGGTACCGCTCGCTCGCTGCTCTCAGCCTCGTTCGCCCAGTACAGCTACAACGGCGAAGCTCCCGTGCTGCGCACACAGTCGTACAGTATCCCCGCGGACCTGCAGGAGAGCATCGACTTCCTCTTCCCGGCGACGCAGTTCCTGAGCGCTGGTGGCAGCCGCCGGTACCAGCAGTACTCGCGCCAGCTCGAGTCCCGCCAGCACAGCCTGCCAGGGCCGCCCGACTGCAACGTCGACACGTGCCCGTCGAAGCTGGTCTCGAAATATAATATCACCTACTTCCCTCCGGATGCCTCCTCGGGCAGCACCATCGCCATCGCCGGCTTCCTCGAGGAGCACCCGAACCGGACGGACCTCCAGTACTTCCTGCACACCTACGGCCTCAACAACTTCACGGCCGACTACACGACCGCCCTCGTCAACGGCGGCGAGGCGCCCGACGTGCCGTCCCGCGTCGGCGCCGAGGCCATGCTGGACCTGGAGTACGCCCTGGCCTTCACCGGCCCCCTGCCGGCGACGTACATCTCGACGGGCGGGCGCCCTCCGCAGCTGCTGCAGCCGGGCAACACGACGGTGCCCGAGTCGCAGGCCGGCAACGAGCCGTACCTCGAGTTCCTGGACTACCTCCTCGGCCTCGAGGACCCGCCGCTCGTCGTCTCCATCTCCTACTCGGACGACGAGCAGACGGTGCCGCCCGCCTACGCCCGCCGCGCCTGCGACCTCTTCGGCCGCCTGGCCCTGCGCGGCGTGTCCGTCATCGACGCCTCGGGCGACGGCGGCGCCCTGGGCACCGGCACCACCGAGTGCCTCGGCCCCAACAACGAGACCAAGTTCATCCCGGCCTTCCCCGCCACCTGCCCGTGGGTGACGTCTGTCGGCGCGACGGCCGCCTGGGGCGGGCCCGCAACCTGGTCGGCCGGCGGCTTCTCCGACCTGTTCCCGCGTCCCGAGTGGCAGGACGCCGTCGTGTCGACCTACATCGACCGCCTCAACGGCAGCCACGCGCCTTACTACTCGGCCGCCGGCCGCGCCTTTCCCGATGTCAGCCTCATCGGCGTCGACTACGTCACTACCGTCGGCGGCTTCACCTCGACCCTCAAGGGCACCAGCGCCAGCACCCCGGTCTTCGCCGCCATGGTCGCCCTGCTCAACGACCTGCGCCTGCGCGCCGGGAAACCCCCGCTCGGCTTCCTCAACCCCCTGCTGTACTCGGACGCCCTGAAGGATGTCTACAGGGACGTCGCAGAGGGCCAGGGCGGCGGCTGCTCAAACTCGACCTGGTTCGAGCCTGGCTGGGAGGCCCTGCCCGGCTGGGATGCCGTCACCGGCTTGGGTGAGCCCGACTTTGAGAAGTTGAGGGCTGCTGTCGTTTGATTGATTTTTGATGATAAGATTCCCTCGTCGAACTTGGATTGGAATGTGTGATATGAGAGAGAGCAAGATTTCAGTTTATGACGAATGAAGATGATACAACCTGTGCTTAGTATTAGTCCAGTGAAACTTGGTAGTAACGAAGAGAACTTACCGGTTCGCAGTCCGTGTCCGTTGAAGTGAAGTTGTTCCTATACCCTGCAAACACATGAAACGATTTACCTCGCCGAATGAACCGGAATGGCTGGTGTACTAAGTTATTTTCCAATTATCACCTGTACTCAATATTTTCATTGCTAATCTCGGCCCTCGCAACTAAAAGAAAGCACACCACCCGATATACATGGCCGCCAAGTTATGCGGATCCCTTGCTCTTTCAATCAGCGCGTCCACATACCCCTCAACACTCAACGGCACCGTCTCGTCCGGCAAGAATCCCTTCACCTTCTTCTTCACACTCTCAAGCACCTCCTCGGGCGTAGTCGGAACCCCCTTGGTATGCCTCTTCTTCCTCCCGAGAAAGTCGGCCGTCGGATCGTACAGGAACGTCTCCAAGATGGTCATCAGCGTGTCGATGTGCTGGCGCAGCTGCCGGAGCGTGAGCTCCGCCGCCAGCCGATAGGGCCCTTCGACGCCGTACGCCCCCATGGCGTCGACCATGTTGTGCGTGAGGCGGAACGGCACGAGCTCCGGCTTCTCGAACGTGAGCCCTTTGTCGAAGAGGCAGTTGAAGTCGACGTGGAAGACGCGCCCGTCCTCCTCGATCAGCAGCAGGTTCTCGCCGTGCCGGTCGCCCAAGCCGAGCACGTGGCCCACGATGGACATGACGGCGCACGAGCGCGTGTACTTGAGCCGCGCCGCGAACCACGCCTCGGGCTCCGGGAACGTTTCGATGAACCACTCGTGCAAAACGGGCCGTAGGTCGCCGAGTATCTGGTCGGTGAAGATGTGGATTTGGGAGGGATCGCTGCAGGCTTTGGCAAGCTGGTCCCGTATTGCACCGTAGTCGATTTTCATGCCCTTCTCGCGGTAAAGTTTGAGGATGATGTCTCGCATAGGCTTGAGCCCCTCCACCCATTCGATGGCGCCGCATTCTTCGTTCAGCGGCGTAACTGCGTATGTCTTAATGTCGAGCCGCCTCTTGCTGGACTCGATATCACCTAAAAGCGCCCGGTTTACCATCGCATTGAACTCCATCAACCGCTGATCCTTTCGAAGATCGTCCTTTGGCTTGCAGAGAAGGCCGTACGGCCGACCGTCCGAACCACGAACAGTGAGCTTTCGCGGTCGTTGGAGCGAGCTGAGGACAAGAACGTCATCGCTGAATGATGAAATAGTGATGATGTTCCCGGAAAACGCCGCCTTGTAATATTTCGGCATAACTTCTGAGTTGCGAGGCAGACTCGCGATCAGCGTCGTCTCAATCGGTACCACCAAACCGCAGGGGGCCAGCTTGTGCTGAAAGCCCATATCTCTGGTCAGACTGAAACGCGATTGCCTGTCTGGCAGTGCGACATCGCAGGCATTCAGCAAAGCCGCTGAGAGCTTCTCTCCCTGCGCAATCAACGTTTTCACATCTGGACTTGATGATGTTTTGGTCTTCTTGCTATGCTCCTACACACATATGAGCATAAACATCCTTAGTGAAGAGTCTTGATGCCTTACCTTCAACTTGGCCAGCAAGTGTACGCCACGATTACTGCGATCGGGGTTCTTGGATTTGACCACAGCAAGAAGACTCCAGAGGGATTGTTGGGGATGGGCATCCGCAACTTTGATGATGATTCTCGAAAGTACGTCATACGTCTGGCTGTGCGGATGGCTGATGCGTGTGATCATCTGTGCCAACGCAGTGTAGAATAGGTAAGCTGGCAACCTGTCCAGGACGTATTTTTTGATCTGCTGGTTAATCATGTCCAGCCGGAGAGCACGCACGCCGGGGACGTTTTCCCTGAAAAAAAAAAAAAAAATTAGCGTCAGACAATGCTGGCCAACTCAAAATTGTGTTGTGGACTTACTCCCTCTCATAGCGCTGCCGGTGTCTCTCCAAATCCTTCGGCAAGACGTCGCGAGATGCTTCCATACCAAGGTCGAGCCACAGAGTGAGCAGTTTGGGAATCGTCTCGTAAATGTGCTTGACGCCAAACGTGATGGATCGGAGGTAGTTCTCGATGACGAGCTTGGCCGTTTCGCCGCACTTGGTCGAAAAGCTGACCTTTGGCTGCGTCTTGTCCGATTCAAGTAGTTTGTTGTAATGTTTTCCGAGATAGTAGTGTCCCTTTTCCCACTTGTTAAAAAGCTTTATTGCTGTGTGGTAGCACTGAACGATATTGCTTGAGGCCGACTGCCCCGACTGATCCAGCCATTTGGCCTTCAACAGGTATGCTCGGGCAGCAAGCTTGTTCACAATCTGCCGCTGTTCATCAGTCCAATTGGTCCGGTTGGTTGACATGCTATCTCCGGCGTTGCTCGGTGTTTGTTCACGCGAGAAAACGTTAGCAGCGATCGCACCATCGAGATTCTGGATCGCTTTCCGGTGATGCCTGTCCTTCCAAAGAAGTCGGGAATGTTCGATCTTTGCCTCGCTGTCTCCGAGACGAGTTGCGTGGAGCACTGCGTCGAAAGCCGTGTTAATTTGATTTGCTTTCCTGGCCAACCTTGATGTTGTAAGCCACGAAGATGCTATATCAAGAGCGCTGAAACCACGCGACGAGAGCTGCATGGCTGCCCGTCTCAGCCCTAGAATGTACTGTTTTTCGGCAGTGTATGCTCCCAGGAGATCAAGGCGTCTGTCCAGGTTTTTGAGAAGGTCTGTACGACTGATTGAAGATGAGTCGATTGCTCCACTGATGGCCTCAATCTCATAGAGAACGTGCAATCTCAGCATCGGTTCGTGACATGCCTGCAGCGATGCCGTATTTGAAGGCGATAATCCTCGGGCGATTGACTTTCGCAGATCGTTAATCTTCGCGATGAAGCCCTCGTTGTCCTTTTGCCTTAATGACAACAAAGCCTGGCCAACACCGACGTTGAAGTCTTGCAAACCGGCTGGTGTGGTGGACAGGAGCTCTCCTAACGTTCGCCATTTGCCCGTCACCCACGAAGCTTCTGCTGCAAGAGAAAGGATTCTGGGCGCACATGATCCTGCTGACTTCTGGAAGCTTTGGACTTGTGCTAATAGCGAGTCGTATTGATTTGACTCTCGTAGACAACTGAGGAGCTGATACTGAATTTCTGGATCGTCTGGCTTCTCAGCCAGAGTCAACTCGTACCAGCTCTGTGCAGCCGTCCATCTGCCAGCTTTGCGATGTTCTAGGACTTGTTGAGTCGGGTCCAGGATTTGAAGATGGGCCGAAATGCCTTCAATGCCATCTGGTTCATCGATTTGAGTGTAAATGTATTGGAGGTGCTGATAGAGATTTTCTTGGTCGATAGCTTCCTTGGACAGTTTTGCTTGTTCGTTCTTCTGCCGCACGTACTGCTCCCAGTGGAAGAGAGCACGAGCGTAAGAACCACATTCCACGGCACGGCGAGATATGACCTCGGCTGGGATGGCATGTAGAACGCGCTCAATGTTACTGATCTGAGAGGTTGCTTGAACTTCGTCAAGCTCTGACGGGTCTCTCCCTGATCGCGAGGCAAGCATTCGAATATCATTAAGCTGCTTACGCTTCTCTTGTAGCCATTTCGACATGTAGTCAAGCACTTGAAAGACATTCTAGGACCAATCAGTATACGTTGTTGGGCGGAGGGATCTAGGGGAATTACCTCGCTACACTGCTTCAATGTGTCAGCCTCAGGGCCCGGCCCGCCTATTCCAGTCTCTAGGATGAGGACCAGTTCCTGAACAACGTTCTCGGCCTCTTTCACAGTCCCACCGAGGATGACATTGACTACAGCAAATGGAAGGAGAAATGTAGAAATAGCCAAGTCATGGCCCCTGATGACTCTTGACAATACCGGGAACATTGTCTGTGGGTTTTCCCCCTTCGGCCGCTGAAGCAAGTCGTGGACGAAGTCTCGCAACCACATGGCGTGGGTGAGTTTAGGTTTGTAGATCGGGTACTGTTGGGTGAGGGCTGGGTTTTCCTTTCGTTTGATCTCATACTTCGAATTCAGGAACGGAGTGAGTATACTCCGGATCGTCTCGGGAATCTCAATCCAGCGTTGGTAGGATGGACTTCCTTGTGATGAACGTGGCCGGTATGCAGTAGCTTCATTGCTGAAACCACAGAACTTGAGCATCTCCTGCATAGCATAGGCGATAAATGCTTGCGAGATGGCATTGGTCGCGGATTGGAAGGCTTTTACCAGTACGGACTCCAGCATGAACGCAACGAATTCGATGGCTTCATCCGCTCGCTCGAAGTTTGACAACACGAGGATTTCCCGCCTTGGTCTCACCGTCTCAGTCCGAGATGGATCCAGGCAGCCGACGAGGCCGAGACATTGTGCAGCAAGGATAGCGATCTCAGAGCGGCTCTCAGTGAATCTGATTGAAGCATCCAATATAGAACGGCAAAGCTGCGCCACCGCGTTGCTCGGATGCTGGGCAACAGTTGTTTCGTGGATGGACTGTTGGTCAGTCTCGAGGTACAGCCGTAGTTCTTTCAGGGCCTGAGCGACAACCGATGCATTCTCATCCCGGCAGCGCCTTGTAAATGCTTCGAACGGGTTCACCGAAGACTTCTCCCGAAGCCGGTTGATCTCGGATTCGATTTTACTGAACAGCGGGATGGATTGCAAAGACGGGAGCATGTCGATCCTCTCCTGAAGAAGCTTGTTGTGGTTGTGGACAATTTCTGAGATGACCGTGAAGGCCTTTTTCTGGACGTCCGGCGTGAAAGAGTCCCAATATCGAACCACAACAGAAAAGGTTTGGTCGATTAAAGGCTCAATTTCGTCTTTCTCCACCGCATCTAAAAGAGACGCCCACGCTGAAAACGCCTTGTTGCACAGCTGCGGCACGTTAAAAGCCGATTGGAGGCATGCGCGGATTTGGGGTAGCGCAGGGCTAACGTTGATGCCTGCTAGAGCAATGAGATCCTCGATAGCGCCCAGGCTCCGGTTCCTTTCCCAAAGCGGTTGGTGTTCCTTAGAGCTGTCGATGATACTCGAGAAATGGGCCATGATTCCGAGTATATTGGTGTCGAAGAATTGCGCTAAAACCTTTGATTCTTTGGTGGCCAGGCGACTGGAGGATCCACTGCGTCGCTCGCAAATTGTAGCAAAAGTGCAAAAGGCTCGGTGGATCTGCAGTGGTTAGCGCTATTCAATGTTAATCAGTTCAATGAGACTAACCTCCTTTTTTCGTGCGCCTTCTTCTCCGGCGGACGCCTTGAGAATCTCACAGGCAATGTCAGTGGGATCGGTCTTGATCAAAGTGGTCAAATCCTCTTTCTCAATATCCGGCACGGATTCGCATAGGAGCGCGGCGGTAGATGTTTCAATATCGTCAGAGGGGTGCATCAACAGCGTGGCCAATATCGCAGCAAGATTCTCTTTCGGCTGTAGGCAAACATCCTGAACGGTCGTGTTTCGTGCCATTGCGATTCTTTTCAGGACATCCTTCTTCTTCGTGAGGACGACATATGGCAGGACCTCTCGTTGAGTTATTACGAGAAGCTGGTTGACGCTTGCCTCAATGAGGTCCGACAATAGCTGGGCCTTTTGTGGTTTGCTGCAGAGGTCTTTGAATACTTCAAAGCCGATATTTCGCCAAAAAGGTCTTAGCATCTCCCCCGGCTTGCAGTTGAACGTATCTGCAAGGGACACAAGCTGTCGAACGTCAGAGCTATCCATCGTAAATCGAAAACGCTAGCTTACCTCATGATATGCCACGCTGCAAATCATAGGGTGAGTGTGGCCAAGGTAATTGACCAACTGTAGAAGGGCAATGTTGAGTTCGTCATCACCACAAACCCTAGTCTTGTCAACAGCGGAAACAAGTATCGTGTTTGAGAACATACCTTGCCACTTGTCCCCATGCGAGGATGAGCGTCTCTTGTTCCCCCAGCACTTCCCGGTCCGCGATTTGAACCATGACATTGAGCGCACTTATGCGGTTCTTCTGCCGGATTTCTTCAGGGACTCCGTCGTGCAGGAACACCGGAAGAGTGTGCCTTCGGAATTAGTTAGTCGGGTCTTTCAGATCTAAGGTGGATTCTTACCCCGCAGCAATGCGTAGTTCTCTCAGTGAACTTTTCAATGACTTCATACACCATTGCCCAAGCGAAGACTTCGTAAGGCTAAGCGCCTCGCGGTCATTGATGTGGCTCAATAAGTTCTTGATTGCTGCAGCGGCCAAGATTCGTGGACCCTTGCTCCGCTGAAGGTCCGGGCAGTTGATGATCTTCTGCATAACCGTAATGGCGTCCTTCCATTCCTGTCCAGTGCCGTGGGTATTCCAATTACGGTGACCGGGATGAGTTCTATCGTCCCCACCATCGCACAAGGCACAGCTCGAGTCCACAATATCACCATTACTGAGGATGTTGGCTTTCAGCGTTCCCATAGCTGCACAAGGTAGCCTCATGAATGCAGTCAAGGCTCTACACTTGTCGCTTTCCGACAAGCTTGGAAATTTCTCTCTAGTAGATGGTCAGTCTTCCAAAATACTTGGGCAACGAATGAGGACGTACTCTACTGCAGTCTTCATACCCTCTAAGCCGGGCTGATCATCGTTGGCAAGATAGGTGCTCGCTTTCAGGACTAGATGGTCCCAATAGGATTTCGATCGTGACTTTTGAGCTGGTGCATCAATGCGTTGTCGCTTGCGTGGCCTCTCATCGTCTGGGAATTCGTGCTGAGTTTCAAGCAGTAGTTCTGAAAACTTGTCCAACAATAATGTATCTTCAAGATCGGTAGCTTCTTTGACCCACTGCACCTGAAAAGACATTTGAGATTCTACCCGACTGCCTTTCCGTACATCTCTGCGTTTAACACAGAAACCGATGGCACTCTGAAGTATGATGTTAGTGCCTGTCGCTTATGAGCTCCTCGTACAGGATACTCACTCGTAGATCGTGTTCAAGGAGTACGGTCTGTGAGTCATCCTGGGCAAGCGATTCGATAGTCGAGAGGAATAACTCGTCGAAAAGGCTAGCAGTTGCTGATGCGTTCTCGAATAACAGAAACTGATCCGCTCTTGCCGGTCGGTTGAGCCAAACGGTGGTGAGGATGACGTCTGAAAGTTGGTGCTGAACATCCGGGCTGGCTGGCAGCTGGCATATCAGTTCAGTGATCTCGGAGAGTGTCTCATAGAAGGCAGTTGAGATCTTGGGAGAAAGGACGGTTGCTGTTTGCTCGACGATAGCTCGTGGCGCGAATGATTTCAAGACTGAGAGGAACAAGTGCAAAAGTAGATCAAAGTAATCCTTCTGAGACTTATTCAAAAGGTTGAGCTTGCTACAACACGTCCATAAACGACCAAGACCGTCAGCAATCCAGTCGGGAATCGCAGCCCGGCCAGTGGCTGTAATGTACGTGTCCCAGGAAGGACCAAGAAACCTGCAAATGGGATCCATGAGCGACAATGCAATACTGGCAGCCTGCGAATGGCTGTTCGTTTCCATTTGGCAATTCTGAGGAATAGCCACAATCTGTTGTCCGTCGGGTAGTAGGCGTGAGACCATGTTAGGTGGAGGCAGTGTAACCTTGTAAGAAGGACTTGCAAGTAAGGCCGAGCATTGATTTTCCAGAGTCGTAAGGATGGCTGCAGACACGGTCAGCAGTGAGATCGTAGAGGCGATTCTGGGAAATCAAACCGCTGATGGATGTTTGATACGTCTCGAACAAGACATTCGCCTCGTGCCACGTGTTACGGCTTATAGACAATACTTGGATAAACGAGTGAAGGAGGTCTCGTAAATCTGCGTGAAGTGCTTGAAGAGGCGGCCGCGATAAAAGAGAGAACAGAGTAGGCAGAAGTTTTGCGACAAGAGGTGGCTGGGTAGTATGGTCTGCACCGCTTGGGTCATGATAGAACAGCAGACCTGGGTTCCGCTCTATGGTTATCCTAATCACGGATATACCGTCTTTGGCCTGTGATAGCAGCACGTCACGGCCGAAAGGATTCTCTTTGAGAAGAGCATTGAAACCAGCCTCGACGACCACAGAAATCAGCTGCAGAGTGAGTCGCACATCAGACTCTTCTGCAGATGGATCTGCCAGGAACTCTTGCAGAAGCTGGCCAAAGAGCGCATTGTTCTGGGGTTCCTGGGCACCGTTTGCGCGGGAGTGGTTGTTGACAATCTGAGCGGCGATGGTAGACGGCGGAGGGATGCCGTTGGTCCAGCCCGCCATACCGGCTGCCAGGGTGCGGGGACCAGAGTCGCCAGCTTTGCGAGCCATACTGTTGCCGGATGGCGCTAGACCGGTCGACGTGCCATGTCGCGGCAACGGTGTGCGGCTGGATGTGAGTTGAAAACAGGCAGGGAGCGTAGTAACGCGCGGAAAAGGCGTCGCGCGGTCACATGGCGATAAGCGGCTTATCGGATTCAGCATCGCATGACGGTGATGCTGCGACGGCGATCCGGACGGGCGCAAATCACGATCCCCATTCATCTCGCGCCACACCCCACGCAAACCTCACGCCCTTCGCTCCCTCGCACCGCGGCCTGTCCCTGCCCATTGGCGCGCTATTCCGCCACACGTCATCCGTCGCGCCGCCATGGCATTCCAGTCCAAGAAGTTCCGCGGGGCCGCGGCTCAAAATACCCTCGCCGCGAAATACCGTGTCCAGATGCAGAGGCATCCGTTCCTCCTCTTCGGACTTCCTTTCATTGCAACCATGGTCGCCGGAAGTTTTTTCTTGACCCCAGCAACGGCCCTGCGTTATGAGCGACACGACCGCAAGGTCCGCCAAGTGTCGAAAGACGAGGAGCTGGGCATTGGCAAGAACAAGAGGAAGGTCGACATGAAGGAAGAATATTACGTGAGTGCTGGTCTCTTCTGCGGCATAGTATTTGCTGACAATTGGGTGCAACAGAGGCTTGCTGCAAAGGACCTCGACGACTGGGAGCAGAAGCGCGTCAAGAGGCTGCCGGGCGAACACGACGGAAAACTTTAGGAACGCTTTGCACATGAAATGGCGTTGGAACTGGACTATACAACACGCATCTGCATCCGGCGTTGGATTTGAACATGGCACTGTACAATTATGTTTCTGGGGTATCTAAGCTCCTTCGACCACCTCGGGCACTGCTCACACCTGCTCGGCGGACAGCGGTACGATATCCGTCTTCAATTCCCTCGTGCCCTTTTGTTTTGGCTCGGGAGCTATCTTGCATTAGCATCATCGACGGCGGACATGGAAGGCCAGCAGCACACCTTTGACGTTTTCTTGGACGTAGAACTTGCGCAGCAGCATGATGGCCTCTTCTCTGAAGATGCCGCCGTGGACCGGATACGGCTTGTCGACACTCGGACTGTGGCTGTTCAGCATGATTCAGCAGGCATATGTGGGGCGGTGCGCACGTACTCGCTATGGATGTTCAGGACGCCGCCAGTGCCGCCAAACCTGTCGTTCCAGCAGCCAAAGTACACAGCGCGAATGCCAAACTGCCTCAGGGCCGAAGCGCACATAACACACGGCTCGACGGTGACATAGAGGTCCGTCTCGCGCAGCACGCTGGCCGGATGCTCGGCGAGGATCTGCGAGATGGCGACGAACTCAGCGTGGCGCGTGCCGTTCAGAGAGCGGTTCGTGTCGTTCATGCCGCGGCCGATAACGCGTCCTTCGCGCACGAATACGCAGCCGACGGGGGTCTCGTCGGTGGCGAGAGCAAGCTCGGCCATGTGCAGGGCTTCGCGCATGAAGCGCTCGTGATATGTGCGGTCCTCGTCCATGCGCATTCTCTTGGGCGCCGGCTCGTCTGCCATGTGTAGCACCAGAAATAGGCTGGTGCAGAAAAAAGTCCGATGGATTTTGCGCAGCCGATCGCCGTTGGATGGCGCGGGCGCGGTGCAGGGTCCAGTTGGTGCGCCGCTTGGCCTCGCAGGTGCTTTCGCAGTGCGCGCGCAGATGGCCGCCTCCCCTTGGCTGCGCTGCCCATGGCTCGCTCTCCCTTCACCACGCCCGTCCCGACGCCATCACTGTCCCACACTTCTCCCAGACCAGGCGCCGGCTCGCGTGTTCCTCCACCTCCCCCTCCTTCGTCATTGGCGCCATCCTCCTCCCGCCCCTCTCCCCTCCGCTCGCTCCCAGCTCCTGCAGCTACACTCTCGCTCTCACGCGCCCGCGACTAGCTTCCCCTGTCCGGGACCCTCCCCGCAACGCGCAAATCACTCCAGCTTCACCCCCAGCAGATCAGGGTCTTCGTGCGCTCCTTCTCCCGGCCACTCCTTTGCGCCGCGCTCAAACACCGCTTCCGTCATCCCAGCTACCTAGCTGCAGCTGCTGACCACGCCACCAACCAAACTCCACCATGGCGCCCTCGACTACTAATAAGCCCGCTTTCGTCCCGCTCGAGATCAAACCCATCGAGTTCTCCCTCACAGCCGGGACCGATATCCCCGCGCCGCCCGAATCCCCGCCTGCCACCCCAGGCCGCCCACCTACACCTGGCCGTGGTCCACTCTCGTCGCATCCCACGTCTCCCCATGACAACCACTCTGACGACCCCATGGCCTCCACGAAACCCAAGCAGAGTTCCAGCGAGAGCTCCAGCCAGACCGGTGGTCCCGTCAATGGCGAGACGCGCGGTCGCACCGAGAGCGTCGCCACCGTCAACACCAAGCCCGGCTCGCCCGGCTCGAAAAATGTGTTGAGCCCGACGCCGACCGCCGGGAGCGTTAGCAGCAGCAAGCGACCTTCATCTGTTCGCCGCTTCTTCGGCTTCCGCTCCGCCTCCTCGTCGGACAGCCTGCGAAACAGCCGTCCGACGAGCCCGCAGAACTCGTCAGACGGTCCCACGCCCCGACCAAACATGCGCGAGCGCAGGAAGAGTGGAAGCTGGTTCAACAAGCGCGCGAGCACAATGTTTGGAAGCCTTGCTGAGGTCGGCGAGTTCTCGAATGGAAGCGCCATCGAAGAGCCGAAGCCCGAGACGAAGGGCCCGCCGCCGCCCAAGCTGCCAGACCTCAAGAAATTGGGTACGGAGCTCAACGACGGATCGCTCGGCGCGGATGACATGTTCAAGCACATCAAATAAATGGAAACATTGACGATGTCGCTGGACCTGGGAATAGACGGGCGCAATCACATGCATCATCCCAGCAACTGGCGCCATAAACTCAGAGCACAGACTCTGCCGCGATCTCGCATATTTGTCTAATTTTTTTTGGTTTACCCTTATTTTGGATTCTCATTATACCCTCGGAGCGACTCTAGCACTGAAAGGTCCAGACTGTTACTACTGCTTTTTTCTAGTGCGGAACTGCATACTCCACACCTCCACACCTGGTACTCTCCATCACACCTTTCCTACTCTATACCCTCGTCGCTTGGCAATCTCTGTAGCCTAAACTTCCCTTTCTGTCCATCGTTTTTGGCCGCGTCGGCTCCTATTTCTACCACGGGGAAGCGAATGGCCAAAATTCGGCTACCTAATTCTGGGTCTCCGAACCCTACGGGGAGCCCGAAGACCATGTATCGAGAAAAACCCGGGGAAGGTTGATAAAGGCCAGGAAGTTCCATGGTTGTTGTTGGGAAACGTAGATACGATGGCCATGTTGTACAAATGTTATCTCGATACACATCTCAACACCTTCACCGCTCCATCCCCATGCTCTCCGCCATCTACTAGAACACACACACACACCGTCCAAAAGTTTCAAGACCTAGCTTTAAGAAAGAGCGCAAGATGTTCGCTCTTCATGTCTGGTGTACGAAATCTCTGGATCTTCTTTCCATTTCTTTCTCAGTCGTTCAACGAGGTGTGGAACTTAAAAATAATTTCAAATCTTGCTTCTTCTTCTTCTTCTTCTTTGCGTCACATATAAGTCTGGAGAGGAGAAACACGCGTAAGCGCTGTGTACGCCTGTGTCACGAACGGCAGAACGTTCATCCCCTTCTCATTGTACATCCGGAAGCATTCCCGACTTGTAACCCACCTCTGAAAACGTTCGAACGTCTGTGGCAAAAAGTTATCCCTCTCGCCCTGTTGTCATTTTACTTTTTTCTTGCCCTTGTAGCCTTCGTCACAAGCCAAAAAGGCCCCGAGGTTATCAGCGCAGGCCGATGGGGGGATGAGGCGACGTCATCGTACCCTGTCTTCCAATCGGGCCTAGTGTGGATCGCCCGCCGTGCGCTGCTCCCGACGCTCGCGCCGCGAGACCAGACCACCACAAACTCCACTCTCCTGCGTCGAGGCGGTGACAGGGCAAGAACCCCACCAGTGATCCAAAATGGGGATTGCTCCACATGGCCTGATGCGTCGTGTCAATCCTGAGCACAATTGACGACTCGCTCATCCGAGGTTGCTTGTGGTGGGTCGTGAGAGAGGGGTTGCGGACGCACAGTGGGCCGTCGATCTTGAGACGGCGTCATTGTTTGTTCCTTTTAATTCATTTTCATTTCTGAGAGAGGTGGGTGGGCTCGGAGACCCGGATGCATGCCGTGTCTGTTCAGCGCCCGTCGGTATGCCCCACCCTTTCGAAGCCAATGGTCCATGCCCCATCCCCCAAGCAAGAGCCTTGGTTGATCAATCCAAATGCTGTCAATCGGAGCAAGGTCGCTCGGCGATGTTATATCTGGATCACTAAATAACTTGTGCTGTGCCTCAATGCTTTGTAGTCGATCTTCTCAACATCGCAACGGCGAGAATCGGTGGTTGTAATTTCGATAAGAACAAGAGCGATGAGATATCGCTAATCTTGTAAATAGCCGAAGAGTCTATATTTTGCCTTTCCGTTGAATCTTAATGAGAAGCCGTGGAGAGTCTTAGTTGGCGGAGAAAGGTGCCGACGGGAATTGTGGAGAGAATTGAACGACCACTCGCATTTGCTGCTGGTTGGGACACTGCTCTGGTACTGACGGTGGATTACGCGTTCTTGACGGAGAGATGAGAGCCTTGTGAGATAAATACGTGCCAATGCTGACATGCATATATCCGAGCCGGGAATTCAATTCGTTTAAATCGCTCTGCCGCGGTTCAGCCTTAAATGAGCATCGAGATTGCTATTTCTTCTTTCCCTTTTTTCCTTACAAGCCAGCGACATGTCTTCCTTCTTTCCACGTTGCATTTGCCGACACTTCCGCGCACGAAGGGGCTAGAAGGTATCACCGCACAGTAGCGTGGCATCTGGCCCAGCTTCGAAAACCTTTGAGGAAGCGGGATATGTGTTTCAGCCCTGCAAAAGGATTCGCCTATCGATAGTCAGCGGAAGAAAAATGTGGGGGATTCCAGCAGTGCGTCATGCCGCACTGAAATTTCATTATACGCAAACCTATATGGTCAGAAGAGAGCAATATACCTTCGAAGCAGTCGAGGTCTATGCCCAGATTTGTAGTACTAGTCATAAGGCTGGGGGAGACAAAATTCCCAATTGCCCACTCTCTCAAGCTTGCTGCATACAGCGGACAGTCGGGCACCACATGTGACGATTTACAGGACCTGCCTCTTCCAGGAAGCGGGAAGTCTGGCGGAATATGACAGGGGAGGTGGGAATAGGGTTAAGGTTCTTAAAACTGGCGCTTAAGCTCAGTAAGATTGTCAGCAGGCGGCGCAAGATGAGACCAATGGCCGTCTTTGGTGGCGCCGCAGAACGTGATGCCGCAGGAACGGCTGGCGCAAGTAAGCGTGACGAATCCTTCTCGCATATTGCGGGGTATTAAGGGCGTAGGGCAGTGGGAGCGATGACCTCGCAGGTGAGACATTTCGTCGGCGTGGCCAGCCTTTTGTGGACAGCCGTCATTCGCTGCGACTGCTGCGTAGCAAGTTGAGGTAGCAGGTAACTTGAGGCCACGCGCGGCGGATCCCTGCACAGCGTAGTATAAGCATCCTTGTCGGAGTGCCGCGCGAAGCCTGATGCGGTGGCGCGACTCGCGTGTCGCGCTGGATCTGCAATGCTTATAGGGCAGACGCACCTATTCCGGCAGAATAGGAGCTTGAACGTGCAAGCATCAGGTGCCGGGAAAATTATATTGTAGGCCAAGGTTCAACACTATGGTTTTACCTAAATCCCCACTCTACCACCGTCTCGTGGCGCTTGTTCTGGCCAATGGTGGTTGTGGAGGCGGTTCGGTCCGAACCGATCTGGGGCGTCTGTCCGACGGGCCGTGGCTGGTACATGGGGGAGAAGTCACTTTAATTATTTAATGAGACATGTTGCGGCAACCGTCCAAGCTTATGAGGCTCGGATGCTTCATATAGAGCCTCAGGATTCAACGTAGGGCCTGAAAATACCCTCAGCTGCCACCTGCTCTCACGAGAAGACTCTTCGCAAGCTTATAACCTCCTGCTCATCAAGTCACTTCCAAGTCATTCCCTCCTACCCTCTCATTTGTCGGGCCCTGTCTGCTCCCGGTCATAAGGTGTTCAGCTGATGTCAGCACTACTTTGTGCCTGGCCGCTCGCCCCTCCCCCACGTGCAACCAAGTCTGTTTCCGCGGCCCAACCGCTCAACTGTTGCCCCACTTCTTTCTGCTGATGGTTCTTTGAGTTGCGGCGAGTTGGATCCAGAACACCGTTCTGTGGGGCGACTATGCACGAAGTGCGTTTTTCTCAGGCGGCAAGCAAGACCGCCTCCCCGCGCCTGCAGCTCTTGTTTTGACGCCGTGTGCCCATTCAAGGAAGATCCTTGCCGTGCGAGAATCAATAGATACCTGTCTGTTTCTTGGCCTTCGAAAAGTACTTGGTCAGTCATCCAGCCCATGCTACCGTGACAGCGCAAGACTGGCAAGAAAATGTCCGAGTGGATGGAGCTCCCGGTCACGGGCACCGGCACCGACGACCCTCGGTCTCGGCATGCTTTCCCGGTTGATTTTACGTTTTAGAAACAATGCATGCAGATGATCCCGGGGCAGGCGGCTTGTCCGAAGGATTTGGTTCCGGAATTTCGAGGTAGGTCATGGATTTCTCTGTTCCCCGTGCTTATTTGCTTCCTTGCTCTTGCTCTTGGTCCTCGCATATGCACCCTGCCGGGGCTGTCAACCGGTTCATAAAGCTTAACGAATGAGGAGCTGAATACGCTTCCAATAATAGGGAAAGCCAAAAAATGAACATGAGAAATTTAGCGAATCGGAGGGCCAAGTACAACCATCCACATCCTCGTTAACATCAACCTTTAGTCCAGCCGACGATGAGATGAATTACCGGCGGGCTGCCCGTATGATCGCACGCCGCCAAAGCTTAAGGACGTGCGTGTCTGGTGACAGCTGACATCACTATGGTTGGTCTGCCTCGCTTCGACCCTTCGATTCCAGCGTGGTTATGAGACAGTATTGGCCTAATGACGACTAAGGACTTCCTGCGGCAGAGACATCCATGGGAGGCCACACTGCTTTTCGGAGAGCCACTTACACCAGCTTGAAACTGACAGCGCACATGTTCCTGTCTTGCGCTACTGTGGCGCTGTCCTGTTGATTTATCTCGCCCTATTCCTTGCCCTTACATGTATTTACTCGGAGTACTTCAGTGCCGAGCCATCAGTGGCGCTTGGTGCTAAAGCATCTCTGCAGGCACGGCGGCACGCGTCTGCAACGTCAGCTGCTTGCATCATACACTTCTCTATTCACTATTCCTACTGGTGGACCTGTCGCCGACTGATTTCTTTTCTAGAAAAAGAATACGGGAAAAGGCAATGGCTCGGACTGTTGCTTGCTGTGATGCGTTCTGTCTCGGCACTTGCGGGGTGAGCTCCCACCCTGTCATGCTGCCCCTCCGGCTACCTCTCACGTAGGCCACACGTGAGAGGGGCTTAGCAGAATCAAGAAGGTAGCTTCATTCAGTAGCACGGATGTCCTGGACGTGACTCCCCGATGGAGAAGAGACAGAGAAGAAGACGGCCTTCGAGGCCTGTGACTGGCCGCTTTGGGAGTATTCGCCCCTCTTTCCGATGCTCACTTGCATTCTTTGCAGGCGGGGTGTGAGCCTCTATTGCGTAGGATCTTCAGCATTCCTGTCAGCTGGCTGTGTGTTCTTCAGCTGGCTACAGAACGTCATTCTCCTCTGTGCAACTCATATATTAACGCCAGTGACCCGCGATATGTTCCCTTGTATTCAGCAGTGCCTCGAACTCTCCAATCAAGAGCTGCGCCTTACCTCGTCCGGAACGATGTATTCTCTTCGAATCACCTCAGCCTTGATGGCTGCTGCCACTTCAGTCTTGTACTTTCCCGATGCTGCTGCCGCTAAAGCAGTCTTTGCCCACTATATGGTACGTCCCGTCAGCACATTCAATCCTCGCCCCCACAAGCTTGATGTACCCCATATCAGCTCATGCACCTTCATCTCACATGAAGGCATCTGCACAAACATCTTATTTTATAACCGCTCCTTTTCTCTCTTGCTTATGTTCCTCAACCCTTTCCACCGTAAACTGAAACATATGAACAATACTTACCATTCTGTCTTTCGAAGGTTGGCACTACCACTGAGACCCATGTCCACACCGATGTCGACGATGCCGCAGCCGCCGGTCTAGACGGTTTTGCACTCAACATTGGCGACCCCCGGCAATCATTCGTGACCGATACTCTCTCCTACATGTTCGACTATACCGCGTCCAACCACCCCGACTTCCACCTACTTTTCTCGTAAGTCTCTCTCACGAACCGTAGTATGATCTCAATAATCATCCTTGCTCCCTCAACCCTTTTCTCCTAATCTAAACGCTAACGCATGATCCACAGCCTCGACCTCGCCGCAGCCGGCGGCGCCGGCGCCACGCTAACCGACTTCAACGCGCTGCTGAAGCAGTACACCTCGCACGCGGCGTACGCGCGCGGACCGGCGCCGGACGAGTACCCGTTCGTCAGCACCTTCTCGGACGGCGGCCTGACCAACGAGACGTGGGACGAGTGGCGCGGCAGCACCGACGCCTTCGCCGAGCCCAACGCCGTCTACCTGGTGCCCGACTTCGACGGCACCGCGGGCTACTACGACGGCGCCGACGGCTGGTGGGACTACTGGGGCGGCGTCGTCGACGGCCTGTTCAGCTGGGAGGCCGCGTGGCCCGAGAGGGCCGGCCTGGGCGGCGCCTTCCCCGGCGATACGGGCCCGGATGAGGTGGTTTCCAAGGCGGCGGAGGCGAGAGGGAAGGATTATATGATCGGTATGTGCTCGTGGGTCTCGAAGGTGTTGGGTTATGGGTTGAGAGGTGATAGCTGACATGTTTTCTTTTGACAGGCTTGAGCCCTCTGCAGTACAAGGATGCGGTGAGTCCAAGTCTTAAAATTGTGTAGCATGGGGAGGAATGATTGGCTGACTGGTTCCAAGTACAACACCAACCTCTACCGCCCTGGCGAGCTCAACCTTCCGGAACGCATGAAGAACATCCTGAAGATGAACCCTGCCCCAGAATACGCCCAAGTAATCACCTGGGTAAGTGTAATATCAAAATTTCATACTCTTCTTCCACAACCCGCAAACTCAGCTTGTTCCCCGATTCCAACTAGCCCTCTAAACATTTCAAACACTGACATCCTGCAACAGAACGACGGCCCCGAATCCCACTACATCGGCAACCTCTGGCCCGAGCAAAACACCGACGTCGACCCAGCCCGCTACGCAACCACCTCCCTCGCCCCGCACGACGGCTGGCAGCCGCTGATCGGCTCCTTCGCCGCCGCCTTCCGCGCCAACGCCTCGTCCGCTTCCGCCATGCGGCCCTTCGGCTCCGCCGAGACCGTCACGGGCGCGCTGTGGTACAAGACGATCCTGCAGTCGACGACGTGCCCGCTCGAGGGCAACGGCGGCGTCTACGCCAAGCCCGACGGCTTCGACAAGGGCGAGGACGTGCTGAACTGGGCCGTCGTCGTCGGCGAAGACGCCGAGGGCTGGAAGGCCAACCTGATCAGCGACGGCGAGCAGATCGGTAGCGTCGAGCTGGTGGCCGGGTTGAACTACGGCAAGGCCGAAGGGGTCAAGGCTGGGTTCCAGCGGTTGGAGGTGGTGGATGCCGACGGCAAGACGGTGAGGGTGGCGGCGGGCGGGAGGTGCGTGTCTACGGGCTGTCCGGACTGCATTTACAACATGAATCCCCAGGTGGTGGGCTTCTCGGATAACGAATCCGATGGGGAGTGTCCGGATCCTGACTGTAGCCAGTAGACTCCAGTTGTTGGAGCAGTAGATACCCAAGGGCAAGATGTGAGACGACGGACCGTAGTTGGCAGTTGGAAGGAAGAGAACGTATGTTTTCATAACCTAGAGTAGCCGTAACCTTTAACACAATATCCCACATAAGAGCATTTTAACGTTCGAACCTTTGACTATTTGTGCTTCATTTAGTCTATTGGTCACATACCATAAAGCCACTTAAGGCTGCTGCTGAATTAGGGTTGATTTCAATATTGCGGAAAACCACTCGGGTTTAATGGGTTTCGTTTAGTTGGTATTGTATGCATCATACCAAAGATCCAACCCTTTCCATTCAGTTCATGATTATTCCCGATCTACGAGACAGTTGCTTCTTCTGCATCAGACTTACTTCTCTCCGAAGCATGATCCGCGCATATACGAGGGGCCTTTTATGTGGATAGAGCCTCCAGTGGCACAGATGGGCTTCAACTGACTTAGTGCTTTAGACCTCTCCGAGATGACGCCAAAGCTGGTTATCGGTATTCCGCTGTACCTTCATGCTCCACTCATTCAGTTTTAGCTTTCTCTTTCCCCCCGTCTTTCGAGTCAGCCGTATCTTCGCCAGCCTTGTCTCCTAGCTCACCCATAAGACCATCGAGGAACTTATCCGCCTGAGCTTTCGATCGTTTTTCCTTGAGTGCTTTTCTCCGTTCCTCAACCTCCTTCTTCCTATCCTCCTTCTTTCTCTCCCGTTCTGCTCGCCTGCGTTCGGTTTCTTGCCGTTCTCTCTCGAGTTCCTCCATCTGCTTCTTGCGCTCCTCCTCATCCTGCGAGAAGTGGAAGAAGCCTGTACCCTTGTTCCTGATCTCTGCTTTGCCATCAAAGTGGGTATCCTTCGGCGGAGTGTCCTCTCTCTTCGCTGCAATCTCTGCCATCTTCTCCGCGACCGTCTCATCGGGGTTGAAGGCAGCACTCTGAATAGTATCGCCATAGATAATGTTCGACGGCATCGCCGGCCTCGCAGTGAAGCGGTCCGGCTCATCGAGCATCGACTTCTTGCGTCGTTCTTCCCGTGCAACGTCCGCCCTCGTGCCCTTCCTTGTCCTACCAAACTCATCGACATACTCGACGAGCTCCTCTGGCTCGCTGTCGGCGTCCTCGTCAGACGATGTATCCGATTCCCCGTTGCCGTGCTTTTCAGCCCACTTGCGGTCGAAATCCACAGCGTAGCGCTCGTCCATGTCCTCGACGTCGCCGCGCTTCATGGCTGCGTACAGACGCGCCTTCTCCTCCATTTTCCGCTTCGAGCGCTTCCATGTTGCCTCGTCGAGCGTTTCGCTGGAGGTGCTGTGGCGCTGTGTGAAGTCGGTGTCGTCAAGATCTTTGAGCGCGCGCTTGCGCGAGTTCTTGTTGTGCACGCTGAAGATGTCGTCCTTGTTCTTGGGACGCGGGCGGCCGGCGGAGCTGGGCTTTGATGACGAGGAACCGGCGGAGATGAGCGACGAGAGCTGCGAGGCGAAGGCGAGGTTGGTGGACGAGGTCAGCTCCTTGTCGGCAGACTTCTTGGGGCGCGGGATGCCGTAGAGCGAGGCATCTTTGTTCGATGACATGGTGGGCGGGGAGGTGGGTAGGTGGGTTGCGGGATGATGCGCAAGGCTGACCTACATAGGGTTGGCGGCGGGGCGGAGGGCCGAGCTCGGCCGTCGGAGGGGCTCAATTTCTATGACACGGCAGCGCAACAACTGCTCCACCTGACGACATAAGCAAGAACTCCTTAAATCCTGCTCAAGAAGCCTCTCCCGCATCGTCTCTTTCCATTGCATCTTCCAAATCACCCATTGCTGCCACAATGTCTCCTCCCCGCCAGGTCTTCGTCGCCGTTGTCGGTATGCGCGCGCACTCTGCCCCACCACGATCCTCGATCCCGGGCTGACACATCCTCTCCAGGTGTCGGTGGTGTTGGAAAGTGCTTCCTGAACCAGCTGCACGCCATTGCCTCGCGCTTCTCTCAGTCGGCGACCGCGCCGACCTACCTCTCCGTCATCCTCCTCTCCCGCAGCAGCAAGGTCCTCCACAGCACCGACTACCGCTCTCTCAACCTCTCCACCTGGGAGAATGACCTCGCCGCCTCCAGCACGCCCGCCCTGCCCCCGGCCAAGCTCGCCGACTACCTGAGCGCTGCTCCCAGCAAGGTCGTCCTCGTCGACAACACCTCGAACCAGGACCTTGCGGACGCGTACCCGCTCTTCCTGAAGAAGGGCATCAGCATCGTCACACCCAACAAGAAGGCCTTCTCCTCGACGTACGAGCTGTGGCAGTCCATCTACGGTGCCGCCGGCAATGGCACGGGCTCGGGCGGCTTCGTCTTCCACGAGAGCAGCGTGGGCGCCGGCCTGCCCGTCATCAGCACGCTCAAGGAGCTGGTCGAGACGGGCGACGAGGTGACCAAGATTGAGGGCGTCTTCTCCGGCACCATGTCCTTCCTCTTCAACAGCTTCCAGCCCGCCGGCGGCGCCGCTGGCGGCCAGTTCTCCGCCGAGGTGCGCAAGGCCAAGGAGCTCGGCTACACCGAGCCGGACCCGCGCGACGACCTCAACGGTCTCGACGTCGCCCGCAAGCTTACCATCCTCGCCCGTCTGGCCGGCCTGCCCGTCGAGAGCCCCACCAGCTTCCCCGTCCAGAGCTTGATCCCCAAGGAGCTCGAGAGCTGCTCCAGCGGTGACGAGTTCTTGGAGAAGCTCCCCGCCTTCGACGGCGAGATGGACAAGCTGAAGGAGGAGGCTGCCAAGGAGGGCAAGGTTGTCAGGTTCGTTGGCAGCATCGACGTTGCCTCCAAGAGCGTCAAGGTCGGCCTTGAAAAGTGAGTACCCCCGTTACTCGTGTCCAGAAGGCTGCATGTTTATTAACGAAAATGCAGGTTCGACCTCTCGCACCCCATCGCCGCTCTCAAGGGCAGCGATAACATCATCAACTTCTACACCAAGCGCTACGGCAGCAACCCCCTGATCGTCCAGGGTGCCGGTGCTGGCGGTGATGTCACTGCCATGGGTGTCTCCGGTGACCTGATCAAGGTTCTCCGTCTGCTGCACTAGATGCTACGAGGAAATGATAGTATAAAAAGCGATTTACTGTCGCCTTAGGATTTTGGTCTATAGAGGAAAGGCATGAAAAATCGAGGATAAATGACTTCGCAAAAGAATTAGCGATTTAAGTGAATGATAGAGAGCAGGGTTGTACTTTGATGACTGCCTGTTTAGCCAGACGTATGGAACATTCAGTTATGGATATGAAACTGCTGATCTGGGCAATCGATGAAGGCCTTGAAGATATAATGCACGTAAGGATTATTCTGGCATCGTTTTTCGGATTTCAACAGGGAGAAGCTTGCAACCAATTGAACTGAAGATTGTTGTTACGGTGCTATACAGGTCTGAGGAAAGAATATAGAAACTGTTGCAAACGGGATCAACGCTAAGTCTTCCAAAACTGGAGATGTCTCCGCAATCACAAAAGAGAACTGTGGGCCTCAGCGCTCATCTGCACTTCCTTATAGTATGGTCACAAGGATGGCACAAGCCCTATATAGAGCCCCTAAACCCTTGTATATACAGCGCTTTCTTCTTGGCACGAAGCTCAGTAACACGACCCATTGAGTTCAGAAATCGCAAGTCTGGCTTGGTTTGGCAATGCTTCCTATCCACCTTGTATCTTCGTCGATCTACCACAGTAGTACCACAGTAGTAGCTTCGCAAGACAAGTGCTTTTGAAGCATAACTCTAGATGATGAATGGCATCACAGACGGTCATGAAATAGAACCGCTGAAGGTCAATAGGTTGCTGGGAGATGAAAGAAATTCTCCATTTTCAAAGGAGGATACGTGTAAACTGAGCTCTTTGTCGTAGAGGTACAGGTGCCCTCAAACCAAAGGATTCAGAGTGCCCGCTCCCCACCTACCTACCTTTTTTTTTTCCCTCACAGCCACTGCGGAGAAAGAACTAGCACGAAAAACAAAGACAGGGCTAAGCTCAAGGCCGTTGCGCACAGCCTTGGGCTCGGCATCCGTCATTGCACCCACATGGGCGCAAAGTTTAATTTCCCTTCCGGCAAACCCATCGACCGTGCACTGCTCCTCAGGATCGCTTCATTCGGAAAACCGTGGAAATGACGTATGAGATCGTCAAAGACGAAGGAACGATGAACATGAGAAGGGAGCAAAAAGTTTCATGCCCGTCCAGCCCTTAGCTCCCGCAAAAACACTAGAGAAGTGCACTATGCTCACCGACCGCATTGACGCGCGGTTCGCCGCGGGGTCGCCGATAACATTGGCCGTTAGCGTAGCCCTATCCTTCACCGTCACTGCCACACATAGGACGCCCTCTGCCTGCTAGTATGACGGACATCCATACCCGTGGCTGCCGTGGCGGTGACCTCGGTGTTCTGTTCTGATAGGTGGTCGGAGCCGGGAGCCGGGCGCCGGAGTCCGCGGACGGCTGCACCCGAGGATACGGCCATCGCCCTACCTATGCACTGCCTCATTCGGCAATCTGTTTTCCTTCAACTTTTTTTTTTCCCTTTGGGCAACAACGTCATAGCTCCTTGGGCTTTCGCATGTGCCGTCCGTGGGTCCTTTTCTCTGCAACGTAAGCGAAAAGCGTGGCTCTCTGACTCGTACCGCTCGGACAAAAATTTGAGGAATAAGCTCGTGAGGGCAGTGAAGAGCAATATGAAAAAGGTGACGGCGATACTAAGGGACGGGTAGCGCAGATCTCTTATGATTGGTAGACAGATGCCCAATAGCACCCCATCGCCCTAAGACAAAACGCTGCCAGTGTGAATGAATGCGCATGTGCGTTAGGCATCTCGTCGAATGAGTAAGGCCTCGCCCAAGACTATCACATGCGAGAAAGGCACCCTGTACCTTGCGCTGGGTAAGTCAATTGCGGTGGCGCTACGCCACATCCTGAGAGCCTCATCATCACGATCCACATTCACCGTTGTGACCGTCGTTGCCCCCGGACCCAAGCAAGATCCTTGGAAATGACCTTCATACGCCTGTGGAGATTTGCAAGACGATGAGCAGTCGGATCTGGGCGGCAGAGACGCGTATGCGCACTTGCACTTCGGAAAGTACCGTGATTGCCTTTCGGCCTTGGAATGTGAGTGTAGTTACAGGTCGCTGCGCCACGCCCTTGGCCTGTTCTCCTACGGGAGTGGGATGTTTCCGGGGTTCCGCTCCGCTCTAGTTGCCCCGGCCGATGGGGAGACCATCCCCTGCTATAGGGTGTTGTATGTCGGCACGCGCTCGGAATTACTCGGGTTTCTGGGGATGAAGACGGTGAGCGAGTAGGTTTACAGAAGTAAAGGAAGCGGTCAATGATTGCCGAGTCAGTTTGTGTTTGAAAGAAAGAGCAGCTGGAATCTACCCAAGCAGTGAAGTTGAGAAGCCAAGCGAGCGAGCGGCTGGGCGCTGACTATAGCTGGGTAGCCAAGGGGTGTCGAGTGCCGTGGAAGCGATCTTCCAGGGGGACAGAGCCACCTACCTGCTATCCTATCCGCCAAGACGAAAAGCTGAATCACGCGATCGTCTCGCGGCTCGTATGTTCCCATTATCGCGGTTCCCCTTCTCACGCGAGCCGGAGGCCGGTACCATCTTACCGGTCTCCCACCCGCAACCCGCACCCCGCCATTACTCGCCGCTAATAACGACACGCGCTAGCCGTAATGGAGCGGGGGGCTGTGGGCGGGTGCCTGCCTCCTTGCGGGGGGACAATTTTAGTATGGGAGTGTTGGATGTATCTCACGCGACACTGTTGCCACCACTTTGGCGCATGAGCCAAGCCGCCAGGGAAGTTGTCGTGGCCGCTGTGATGTGTTCGTGACAATGACCGACCAAAGCCCGTGGTTTGTGATGGTGGTGCAGCTGTGCTCAGTGAGATGGGGCCAAGGTGGGCCGTGAGGTAAAAACAACAGCGCGCGGGCTTGAAAGCGAGAGTGGACATGTGTCAATCAGGCAAGCCATTGTGCCGCGGGTTGTGAAGACTGGAGGGGTGGGTTGGAGCGATCGTCGCGCGACCGGAGTCGAGAACGAGTACCGGCAGGGTGGTTGTCTCTGTTCGCGGCTACGTCGGACAGAATTATTGGATTGGTGCGGGTTGTTTTGCGACTTTGTAGCAGCAGTTGGCTAGAATGCATGAGTCTTTGCTGCTGTGGGGGCGGAACGTGCATCCCGTTGGCTGAGACCCCATGGATGGTCGAAGCTAACGTTGGAGGCCTCGCATTACCAAGAACGACGAAACATGCTGCTGGATCCTTTCACTGCGCGTCGATATGTGTGCATAGTGCTCGAATCGCTCGGGGCCCTGCCGATTCGATTCGAGAGGCGCGGACGAATGAGCCGAGCCCGCGGCAAGTAGGCCGGCAACACGCGTAAAGAGAGCAGCATCGAGCAGTCACCGGCGAAAACCATTCGCGCTCGGGGCGATCATATGATCAAAATCAAAGTTGGCCTTTACTTTTTCGAGTGCATACCAGTAGAAGCAGCCGCATGAACTCTTGCTCTTTCACGTAGTATGCTAAGCATGGGTGTGCGGGGTTCCGTGCAGCCGCATCCCTACTTTTGTAGACGTTGCATTGGAGGCAGCAAATTAGGGATCGCACTGCCCCCATTGGAGCGCTTCGTTTACTGTTGGATATCGCCAACCTGTCAGCCACAGTCTTAGATGCATGCCCAGCGACAAGACCTTGGGGCCGAAGTCAAGAAAATGCCATGGCGATAACGCGGCAGCGGCGGCTTGGTTACAGGTGGGTCAAGCCGACGGTGCTCCTGTTGTGCCTGCAACACGCTGCTGCCGATTGTGGGGCCTGCATGCTGCTGCACGCTGCTGGTCGAGACAGTTGACTGCAAACGATGGGCGCTGACTACGGCCGCGCTCGGCGACGACGGCGGCGGGGGAAGGAGAGCAGCTTGCGCGTTTTTTTAGTCTCTGGGGTGTAGGTGGGAGATCTCCGTGGAGCCGGCGCGGCATCTGCGGCTTGCGGGCAGCTCGGTTGTGGCACTTCTTCAGCGGCTTGTCGCAATCTCAGCCAGAGGGGCGATTGTGGACTGAAGTCCGCACATTGCGGGAAGGTGGGGGAGGGGTTTTTGGCGATGCATCCACAGCAAAACAATAATTCTGCCGCTCAGTGACGTGATGGGAGATAGTTGACGCGGGGCATGACGTTGGAGGTGGTCTGCACACTGCCGGTCGTCTTGTCTAATTGGGAATGGCTAGCGGCCAGAGAGCTGTTCTTGCGCAAGGGCGCTGCAGTGGGAGCATTGCGTGAGGTGAGCGCCGCGCTGATCTGGAGGCTGGCGGGCAATTTGTGTGAGGGGGAAGTGGACAAGAGATCGACCATCGGGGCGCGCGTATCAGATAGAGGGGGCCGCCGCCGGCGGCGGCACCAGGAGGCCGCCACGACTCGCCCAGTGTCCTAGAAACCCGTCGTGGAGTATTTTTTTTTCTTTTTCTTTTGCCGAGGCCAGCGGCTGGTGATCGTTGGCTGTTGCTCTCGTGAGAGGTGCTGTTGCTGCTGCTGCTGCTGCTGCAATGTGCTTGCTCTTTGTCACAATGTCTGACCGGCTGGCAGGCGCAGGTACATGCTACCTACGTGTCAGGCAGATGGATCACGCTTCCCCCGGTTTTCGCTTGGGACGGGCCATCGTCGGCCTCCCGCAGAATTCTTGCAGAGACCGGGCGCGGCGAGGTGCGGCGGTCGAGCACGCGAGAAGTGGGCCGTAGAAGGAAGAGAAGCCCTACGACGGCGCTTCGTACCGCTGTTTAGCGCCGTTGACCGGAAAAGCTCTCCCCACAGCGGCCGCTAGCAGCCCTTTTTGCGGCGACAGGGTGGGCTTTTCCTCGTTTCTTGCATGCCACATGCTCCTGCAGCTCTTCGCCCGATCCACAGCACGATGATTCACACACCGGTTTTGCTCGGACACCCGTTCCACAGCCCCACGCCGGTCCAGAACTTTGCTTTGTGGCTGCAGAAAAAAAACCCCAACGGCGGAACTTTGCGCCAACAGCAGCCAGGTCACCGGCGGAGCAGCGGACAACAGGCCAACCGCGCGCGCTCTCCCCCTTTCCCAGCCTGACCGGCCCCCGTGGAACGCAATAGGGGCCTGGCTGGGATTGCGACGGGGGTAGCCGTGATTGTGGCTCACCGCGTGATAGGCTCGCTGGTCGCTGGCTGGAGGGTGGCATGCGGAGATCTGACGCCAAGGGGCAGGAGCTGAGGCTTGGCCCGGAGCGGGTGGGCTTGGCGGGTGCGTGCGTGGGCGAGCTGTGGCGCTCACACACCGGCTGCGGCGGTGGCTTATTGGTGTTGACTGCGACTCGCGGGCCGGCAACGACGTCGACTGTGCAGCCACGCGGCGGGCGGCCATCACATGGCATAGCCGACGGTGCCGCGAACCCTTGGCCGCCCTACGTTGTGCGACACGAGGCGATGCGCCCGAGGGTGCTTGGGAAAAAGGGCCGCGGCACCGCAGCGTTGCGCCTGCAGCTGCCGTGTTGCTACGTCGCCGGTGGCCATGACTTTGCGGAGCGACTCAGGTGAGGTGATCCGAGTTGGCAGATCGACTGATGACTGCGATGAGGACCGGCCAGAACCTCGCTGTCGGGGCGCGCATCGTATCCCTATTCATAGACGTCAATAAAGAACAGATAGGGCGCACAGAAGCAGAAAGAAGCGGCGGGACGGCGCTGCTGTCGCACCGCGCGCCCCATGTCGCCAGCTTGACGAGGAGTGAGCATTGAATGATGGGCGCCGCGGGCACCGACAGCGCATCCCCGGCGAGCGGCAGCCTGGTCGTTTCTCCTCCCGCGCATCCCCGAGGCGCCGCACCTTGCTAGCTCCGCTCCGCTAGTCGCGCCGATGTGATGATGGTGATGATGATGCTGCGCACGAAACCACTGGCAATCAAAAGAGCACGGCGGAGGTGTGCAGCACGCTCGCACAGGGCTGACGCTGGCGGCAGGTCGGGCAGCAGGGCTGGCCAGCTGGAGGCCAGCTCGCGGTGCGTGTTTCATTCGACGCGAGACCTTGATTTCTCGCAGAGCTGCGCGCGCCGTTCCACAGTCGCCCTGCCGCGGTGGAGCCCGCGGGCCAAAGAATTTTTTTTGCGAACAAGACAGGCGACCGCATGCGGCATCGCACGTCAAAGGCCGTTTAGCCCTGAGCTGAGCAGCGATGCGCCGGGATGCGGTGAGCTTTGGCAACGGGGAGGCTGATCCGGCTTCAGAACGCGCGTAGAGTGGTTCGTCGGGCGGGCAGCGTGGCCGTTGGCGTGCTGATCGTTCACGAATTAATGCGGCGGCGGAGGATGAGACGGGCTGGCGGGCTGCGCTCATCTCGCATGGGGCAGCTGTTTCATCTCGTTAAGGCTATCGCGAGCCCAACGCGAGCGGAGCAGGCGGGCACGTTGTGCAGCCGGGCGGAGAGCAGGGGAGGAGGCGCAGCGGTCAAGGATCCGACAGTGTGGGCTGGGACATGGCTGCACAAGCACAAGCGGACGCCATTCTGAGCTTGGGTTGACTGCCCTGCTACGCACGGGCCTACACACCTAATCCGCCCGCTGCCTGCAGCATGGATAAATAAAGACGACCGCCGCCGCCGCTGCCTTGGCCTGGGACTCCGTAGATCACAGCCGGCTGTTTGCAACCCTCCTCGTCCAGCCTCACCTCTCGTCTCGCTCAGGTCACAGGCCGCTCGCATTCCCGCGCTTGCCCTTGCCCACGTGCGAAGCATTCCGCAGCTGCTCGTCACCTCACACCTGCACCACCGCGCATCTCTGTGCTACGCGAGCCACGCACAACAAGCTTCCTGCTGATCTGTCGAAACACCGAAACACCACCCGTCGCGCCGCGGACCCTTGACGTCAGCCTTATTCCGGCCACTCACGCATCCGTTGCCTGATCCGAGCTGCGCCTCTCTCCTAACTCGCGCCATCCCGCACCGGTCCCTCGACACCCGAAGAGGCGAACCGGAGCCAGCTATATATTGTTCCCCGCCATCGAGCCTCCACCTCTCCACACAGATCCCCCTCACCACCCCACCCACAATGTGCGTCGCCGAGCTTAACGTCTCCAACCTGCCCTGCAGGCACCGCTGGTACCACCTGCTGCGCCCCTGCTCGCCCACCACCAACCTCAGCAACTGCCCGAACAAGCTGGGCATTGAGGGCTGGGAGACCAAGTGCGACTTCTGCCCCTACTGCGCCGCTTGGAACCTCTCCAACACCGACTTCCGTCTGGTTGGCAACGACCGCAGCCCGTCTGTGGGCGGCCTCTCGCGCTCACCCTCCGCCAATTACGGCTCCACCACCACCCTCACCTCTGCCCGCCGCGACAGCCGCCGCGCTTCGCTCGCTCGCACCGACAGCACCTCCAGCATTCCCGCTCTGGGCCTGAGCGTTGTCGAGAAGACGGGCGAGAAGAACCGCGCCATCAACAGCCGCCTCGATGCCTACCTCGGCAAGCACCCCGAACGCAAGTACAGCAACTCGGACGGCGACACCACCGACGGAGAGGAGTCTCGCTCCCTCCGCGGCTCTCTCCATGGCTCTCTTCACGGGTCGGTTCACGGAAGGTGTCCTTCGACCGACGGAAGTGACATCATGACCAAGGTCGACGCGCAGATCGCCAGTGGCAACCTCAACGCCGGCGTCGGCAAGAAGGACAAGGGTTTCTTCAAGAAGATCGGCAAGAGCAGCAAGAGACTCAGCAAGGGTATCTTCAAATGAGGCACTCGCCTGCCTTGATCACGAGATCATCCCAGCCACCCAGCCACGCGTCCTCAGCCTGAAAGTCACGGCGACGATTCGCTTCGTCTGTATTATACTTGGACCTCGGATAGCACCTGCTACCTGAATACGTCGAACCACTTGCTCGACATCTCACATGCCCTCCATGGATGACCACACCTGGAGGGGGCCTCATGGCCACGCCACTCTTACGGCTCCTTCTGTCCTCGACTTTGATGCTCCGAGCAAAGAATGAGTGGACCTTGCATTACTACCTTCTTTTTTCCTTGGGTTTTGATTTGATTTCGGTACTTGGGACATGGATACGGCACGAAAATGGTCAAGGGACAAAAAGGTCAGGCCACAGTATTTGCTTTTCGGGATTGGGGGCTTGTTTCGCCCTGCGTTTGTTCGGCTTCAAGGAGTAGTGCGTTCCGGCGTGTGTTACGGGAATGGGAAACCTGGCGGGGAAACGGGAAAGTACACCAGGCGGTCACACATGGGATTATGGGTTAACGGCTGCTTCCTTTTCGCAAGTAGCTTTAGTTTTTCTTCTCATGTCGGTTCTTACTACACCACTCATGATACCCAGCAGACTGGTTCTGGCCTTTCCGTTTTGGAATCCACCAGCCAGCGAATGAAACTCTATTCACTTCTTACCACATCCCTTGCGGCGTACAATCTCACCTCATCCACAGCCTTTGACACGTGTGCCTGGCATTCGCCGATGAGCCATGATTGCGAATCGGCCAGCCCTTGTCACGTCGGGATCCCTCGGTCGCACCAGATATCCTTTTTTTGACCTTTGTCCATGCCGTTTCCGATGATCGCCGGTCGAGCTGAGCGAGTAAGGAGGAGAAGCCGGTCCAACCAACACACCATAACGGCCCCCACAAAACCGCGCCCCGACTCTTTCTCAGATTAATGCGACTTGTTGCATACCCTGCATCCCTGCCAGCTCCTACTTAGATAACTGTGATAAGGAAAAAATGTCGCGGGAAGCGGGTGAATCCTGTGCCACCTGCAAAATACACATACGGGGCGGGGCGGAACGACAGCCTGTACCGTGGGACGGTGGACCGTCACATCACGTCTGCTTTGGGCCTTCGGTCCCAAATTCGAGGTGGCGCCCCGAAAACGACCGCTGTTCTCGGATGTTCTCTGATATTCGTAAGACCAGACGAGATACGGATATACCACCGTATTTACGAAGGGTTGCACGGGCGGTAGAGTGCAGGAGCTGCAATGCTTATCAAAGGCTTATTTTGGCCCTCGTTTCTTTTGTTTCTGAAGGTTCACAGCAGAGTTTCGAGGGCCGTGCAGCAATCTGTGCATGGCAAACGCGCTGACAGATTAGCAGAGGTGAGACAGCGGCCTGCAGCGATGTCCGCGAAAGGCGAAACGCAATGCGCATTCTCGCTCGTCTATCTGTTGTTGCGGGAGGCACCGTGTCTCCCGCGCCCACCTTATCGGTGTACAGAGGGGCATTGCATCCGAAGGCTATCATTAATTTGATTTTGCTCATGTCATGGGTAGTTGAAGCTATTGTGCAGACGTGCATATAGGTAGAGTTTTTAATTCGACATTCTCGTCTAGACGATAGCTTCAACTACCCAAATGCTGTTTTGAATTTTCTTTTTTTTAAAAGAAAAGCCGAGGCATCCTGCTCTTTTTCGGCTGAAATACCCCTCTGTATCATGCCGAGAACACAGACTTCGGCTGTGGCTTGTGATTCGTGGGACGGAGCGGGAATCGTGGTTTCGTAGCTACAAAGGTGGCAAAAGTCCACATCATCATCATCAAACATGAACCGCATGTTTCGAATCGGGACCACAGAACAATGGCGCTTGGATCACGCTATGCACACGCGACCATGATGGAAACAATAACAATGCGTGCCTGCAGAAATTTTCTCCTAAAGTTTTTTGTGAGGCCTTCCTTGATCCGCAGCTTGCTGAGCTTGGATAGAGTACAGGATGTACGTCATGTACCCCATGATGCTGCAGGGATCATCGACGCGCAACGAGGACTATTCGCTGCCTCTCCCCGGATACATGAGTTACAGCTAGCGCAGGACTATTGATGTACATGCATAGGAGCTGCGCTAAAGCCCGCTTTTCCCTGGCGGCGATGATGCGCGCGCGCGTCGTTGCTCGCACTCGATGCCCGCCGGCGTCGACGGAGGCAAATGGATGGGCGCGCGTGCACACATCAGTGGACGCCATCGCCAGGGCTAACGTGACGTGAGGCAGCCGGGTCATTCAGTCAGCCGGTGCCGTCGCCGTCAGTCATCAGGCAATGCCGATCACGCACAGTACGGCGAGAATGATGGATGGGCAGACAAGGGTGTGCGCACAACTGCGACCCGGCGAAAGCACCTAAACTGCCTACTTTCCTAACCTTATCATGACTCTTGTCCTCCTGCACTAGCCACGCACGGCAACTACAATAAGGTGAATTCCGTCGTCGGGCAGCCAACCACCAGCCGTGTCAATTCCTTTTGCTTTTTCTCCTCCCTCCCCTTCCTTGATGCGCCGGTGCGAAATGCGAAATTGCTTCCGGGAACCCTCCGTACACAGGATGGCCGATGCGTCGGCTACTTCTCCCTCCGGCCTCCCTCGTGATGTTTTTCGTTAGTCGCGATGCTGGCCCGGGCGGTGGACCCGTCCGTCTTTCGCGCGGAGGATCCCCCCTAGCTGAAGGTCCAGATGGGGATGCTTGGTCATTGTGTTTTGCCCGAGGTGCCGGCTCCGGCTATGGCTGCGATACCCAATGCCGGCCGCGGGATCCGTTGCGAGAGCCGAAACTCTATTTCTCGCCGCGCGCGAGCGGTGTGATGCCCAGCTCCAAACGTGCTTCTGACGTATATCGGCCGCCTTGCCGTGGATCGACGAGGACAAGCAACAGCTGACAGGACCCTGGAATGGAGGCTAGCATTGCTTAGTATGACTATCAAAGTTCCAGCCGTGTTCTTCCCCTCAGCCCCTCACGCCTTACTTCTTTACCGGCGGTAGCCGTTGGTGTTGGCGGCGTGCTAGCGCCGAGTATGAGACTGGCTCGATCCATGGTATACGAAAGTGTGGGGAAATCTGGGGGATCCTAATCATGGCAAAGCGCCGGTGCAGCATCGCCAAACCTCGACTCCATTTCGTCCTGCCTCCCGCCACAATCCTCTCCACTGAACTGCCGCTGAAGCCTGGACTGACGCAGAATCCAGCCTGCGCGATGCCGTCGGTGGCTCGCTCTCTTTCGGACCTTCGCCGGCCATCGCACCATATCCCTTCCCGCCCACGCACAGTCTAGAACCCGCCTCTTCCCACATCGTTTCGCCGAACAGTCATCCGTAGCGCGCGCGATACACACACCTGACACCGCCGGCCGCCGCCACCATCCGCCGACAACGACGTCCGAGCACTGCCTGCGGCGCCCCTGGGCACGAGCTCCTGGTCCATCCCGCAACCACGTAAGCCCAGCTCAGCCGTACCTGAGTCTAGCCAGCAAGCGGCCGGTGCTAGCAGTCCTAGTCAGAAGCAACGGAAAACCTGGGGATGGGCGCGGAGGGCCACGTGAAGCGTATTCGGGTAGGCTAGCTCCTTCGCCGCTACCTCCGGCGCTTGCCTCTGTATGGGGGTGAACACGCGAGCGCGAGGCTAGAGCCGTCTGATGTGCTGGCTAGCTTCGCTGGAAAGAAACCCCTGGGAACGTGCTGTGGTAGCCTGTGTATCCTCCCAACTACTATCGCACTGGCGTGCTGCTACTTACCCCAGATGGGGTTACGTCTACCCCGCACCAAATCTCCGCCCCCTACGGCAGGGCGGAGTCGGGCGCGGGGAGGAGGAAGAGGAGGAGCTGTGGCGGTGGTGGCGTCGTGCACGAAGTACGGTAGGTGGTGAGGGAAGCGTCAGCTGGCCCCGCCCGCTGCCCCATCCGTTCGTCCGCCGGCTCCGCGGGCCAAGACGCCGCATGGTTGGTGCGGAGGACGTGTGGTGCCGCGTTTCCGCTCGTGGTTCCGCTCCAAGGTCCATTTCTGTCAACTGCGGTGCCCCTTCTGAGGGCTAAACTTAGTGGCCTCTTCAGTTTTGACTACATAGGGAGTGTTTTGTACTGACGGATTCTTCGAATCACGAAAGGGCTATTTCTTCCATGTGGACTCTCCAATTTCCCTCTAGAAGCTCACCATCCATGACTCCCTCAATCTAGCACTCACCAATCACAGAGAAACACGATCCGGAAGTTCGTGCTGCAGAAGGTGGGTACGAGGTACTTCGCAGGATAAGTGGCGCTGGGCTTCCAATCAATAGATGGATCTCATCATCTTTGTTTGTGTCTTCCCAGGCCATTCCCAGTCATCCATCCTCTGTGCTGAACATGCTTAGAGAAGAAGAGTTAACGAGCGTGAAATGCAATGCCCGTCTCCCATGGAAAGATGGACCAGGCTCTTTCATAGCTTTCCAGACCGGAGCACAAAGAGACTCTTCGAATCCCAAGTGATGGCCAGCACTGCATCAATGAAAGCAACGGAGAGTGAATAATCGGGCGAAGTTGATGGGCCGTTTTTGAATGTGGCAAGTCCGAGTATGCCATAGAAGGTGTCGTGCGGCTTGGTCGCCTTCATCAAGCTACCAATTCGAACCAAATGTCTAGATGAGATTGGAAAGCCCGATTGGTGCAAATCACGCGTTGTGAATGGGGCAAAATTGATCAGGAAAGCTCGTAAAGTACCTCGATCGATCTCACCCCCCTCTAGACTGACGGAGAAATCAAGATAGCATTTAAGCCCGTGCTTGAATACGTTGTCATAGGCCTCAGCCAAAAGGTCGAATCTTATTGATTTGGAGGCGTGGGTGAATATTGCTTGTGATGGCAGGGAGGCTTCTTGAAGCACCCATATGCGTTCCCACCACTCGAGTTTTATCATTTCCCGCAAGCACCGGAAATGCTCTCGAAATTCATATCGGACGTGAATATGTGCAGTTTCTGTTGAAATGAAGAAGTAGGGTTGTTCAGAGAAGTGTTCGTCCCGAGAGAGGCCTTTGAGCAGAGCGATTGTACGTCTTGCGTCCTTTGACGAGAACTGCTGGCGAATCTTACCCACTTTTGCCTTGAGATATTCCTGGCACGCTTTAAATGTATCTTTCTTCATGGCGACTTGAAAAGACTTCTCGAAATCATCCTGCTGGTTAATACATATCGCGGCGTTTTCTGTAGAATGAGCAGGAAGGAAAAAAAAAAAAATAAAGACCGTCGACGAAAATGGCAAAACTGGAAGCGGTGGGATCTAATGGGGAGTGCCCCCTTCCCGTGCCTCGACAGAAAGACTCTTTGGGAACCGTCTTTTTTGCCTTCCCCAACCCGTACTCGAACTTGCGTCCTCTTTCCCACAAGAGGGCGGATGGAAGCTCAGATGCCCTACGTAAATCTTCAGGCTCTCATCTAACCGAGACAATCCATCTTTTTCGGTCATAGTTGGCATACCGGTGTGGCTAAACTTACCGGCTTATATACTGCAATAGCCATATCCTCACCCACCGCATCCTTCGGGTTGAAGCGCTCGTGAAGCTCGGGGAGCAGGGACCGGAGCGATATCATGTTGGGAAGCACTTGGACATAGTTGTCCGGTTTGGCGCGCAAGAGGCCCAGGTGACGAGGCTGGTGACTCCCATCAACCCACAGCGTCCGCGGAGAATTCCCTCGAAGCCTTCGTAACGCGTGCCAGAGGTTTATGGTGGCGTGGAAAACATAGTTGTCGACAAAAATGGGAGCGATATGCTTCGGGATACCCCAAACGTAAGAAAGGGCCTCATAGTCGGGCAGGTCGTCCAGTGACACGGTGGTCAACTTGCAGCAGATGCGGGCACGCCATGACCCAGAAAGCAGTGTGACGAGGCGGATCTCACGCTTCTCGCGATTCAGAGTATTGTAAGTGAGAGGTTGACGCTGGGAAGCCCTTTTGCTTGTGGGGACGCATAATCGGAAAAGACGATGCACGATGAGGGGGAGGTGCTGCCCCGTAAGCCAGCTGCTCATCTTGCGATCATTCAAGGACAATCAAGCCACTGTCTCATATTTTTATGCAATTAACGAACTTGTGTAGCCTCCGTATGACCCGCTCAACAGTGAACATACCCAAAGAAATTGCACCACTACCTAAACAAAAGCTAGACAAGAGACATCGACAGAATATGCTGGAGCTAAGTCAATATGAAATGGAGGGAACTCACGATGACCCAGCCATCTGAACCCCCGTTGAAGTGTATAACCCGAGTCTTTAATGCAAAGCATGATGCTCATCAGTCTTTTGCTAGATCCTCCGTCTTTGGCTTTTCCAACTCCAATCCCAACAAGATACAATGTAGGCGTGCCTCCCATGTCATCTAATCTGGAATGAAATGCATCTATCAGGCATATGCCACCCCCCGTCCAATGAGAGGGTCCAAGATCTTCACCATCCTCTCATATCCAGTGAACAAAATCCCACCGCTGAAAACCGTCCTTCCCAACCTCATCACCGTTCCTCTCCAGAATCCCCTCAACCCGCCATCCTCCCAGAGACTCCTTATCGCCGCCACAGTCGACTCGCCCCTCGCGCTCTGACACCTCGTCTTAATCGTATCAAATGGCTGGGACGCATACGTCGTCACAATACCCGCCACGCTGCCATTCGCAAAGTTCACAGCCGTCGATTGCTCGACACCCCTCATGCTCTCCCAATCCTTCAAGATGTTGTACGTCCCCATCCGAACCGCCGTCGCGCTCGCCTGCTTCAGCGTCGTCCCCGCAAACCCTCTGTACAAGCCCCTCACCACCCCATCGTCGGCCACCACGCCGCGTATCGCCTTGACCATGCTCCCGTGGAACCGCCGCTCGCCGCCGGCGCGGGCGTCGTCGATGAGGGCCGTCTTGATGCGCTCCGTCGGCGTCACGGCCGTGGCCGACGCGACGACGCCGGCCGTCATGCCGGCGCCCAGGCTGCGCAGCGGCGTCAGGGTGCCCGTCTCCTTGTCCGCGAACTGCCGCTTGATCAGGTCGAACGAGAGGAAGCGCACGCCGTCCTTGCCCACCGAGCCGATGACGAGCGAGGTGCAGCCCGAGTAGAGGGCGCGCGGGCCCTCGTCGCGGACGACATCGCGGATTATGGTGAAGGGGTTGGGGCTCTTGTAGGCGGGGCGATTTGTTGCTGCCGCGCGGAGCGAAGGTGGTGCGGCCTGGGCTTGCTCGTTGCGCAGTTGGACGCGTGTTTTGGCGAACTCGAAAGGGTAGGTTAGCGCGGCTTCGATGGCGCCGGCAACGCCGCCGGCGAGCAGGGAGACGTGCACCGGGACGGGAGCGTGGTTCTTGTCGTCCTTGGCGGGCATTGTCGGCGTGGGGAGGGCGGTGGTGGCGGGAGCGGAGGTTTTATTTGAGGCATGCTGCCGTTGTGCGACATTTCCCGAATATTCCTCTGGGACCGAGGTACAGCAATGACGTCGCCGGCTTTTGTTGATTAGCCTGGTGTTGGTCTCCGAGTCCGGGGAAGATTCAATGCCGGGGTTGTGACGTCACGGGGTCCAATTGACCCGTTGGGTCGATGCTCGCGTGATGCCAATTGGGCCTATATGAGCTTACTTCTTCAATTCAGCTTTCAGCTCGTCCACCATCACAGCCATACTTCTCCTCCCTTCGTTCGCTTGCGAAGTGCGAATTCTGAAGACTCATTCCGAATCAAACACTACGAGAAGTACCAAGCTAACTGAGACCACTATTTATCCTTGCGTGTACATAATGGCTGATGGAGGGATTTGTGCCCAGACTTTATCAAGCAAACAGGACGACAAGGGTCAGAAAAGTCACGTGGGCAATGTGGGGCAGAGTCAGCAGGCACGGCATCCCGTAGACTGCTGAACTCGTCAAGACACATATATCGTGAACAACTCAGCCCCCCGTTTTCTTGAAGGCTTGAAACGACGATACGGCAGGATGGAAAATCAACAAGAGTAAGGAAGTCCACAGAGGCCGTTGTGAGTTGGTGGAATCGGAGCTCTGCGGGAGTCTTTGAATTCGTATTAACCAGATGGTCAGAGGAGTGTATGAACCCCGGATTGAACATGTTCAAGGAGTTCAACTCAAGCGCCCTGGTGCCGAAGATCTTCGGCGTATGCACAAGATCAAGAAACGAGCCGCTTCTGCGCGAATGGATGGGATTTTCGCTCATTGGAACGTCGACACCGATCTGTGTGATCTCTGCTCCTTCCTCTGCTACTTGGTAGTATCAAGCTTCTCTCAGCACGGCCAAGACCAAAAGATATGGCCGCCAATTGATGCAGATTTGCTACTCGACTGCTCCTCTGGCAAAATCATTTGGCATCACAGTCTAGCCCATTTCAGAAATCTCGTTGGCCATGCCTGTGAGCTTTGCGCTCTCCTTGCAGAGGCTTTGTGGGACAAGCTAGACCAACCTTCGGACAGTATGTGGGATGACCGAGCTCCGCTTGAGATCGAGATATGTACCTGGTACCCTCAAATCCTGTCGCCTACTTTCAACGTTGGCTTCTCGCATACATCTTCTACCGACCGGGTCCAATTCTGTTTCAGCGAGGAGCCAAGGGGAAGTAGTCTCTCGGAAAAATCAATACAAAGAGTATCCGAGCTTCTTTGGACTTGCATGTCAACACATCAGTCCTGCTCTCGGAACAACCGCCCTCTTCCAACTAGAGCTATCGATATCGGCTTGAACACGGAAGATGTCGGCCCACGGCTAGTCACTACTGAGGGTCAAACGGGGCCTTATATTGCCCTTAGTCATTGCTGGGGTAATGGCGTGGACCATGTCCTTACGGAGGAACGAATGAAAGTTTACGAGTGTGGTATTGAGCCCGATCAGCTAACAACGACATTTTCTCACGCCATCCACATCGCAAGGAAGCTTGGTATCCGGTGGCTTTGGATCGACGCTCTTTGCATCATCCAGGACAGCCACGGTGACTGGAAGCGGGAAGCTTTGAGGATGGCCAAGGTCTACGAAAATGCTGCCATGGTGCTGTCCGCAGCAAGTGGACCTGACAGCTCGAGCGGTATGGAGTTCAAAAGAAGCGCCCAGGTTTTGAAGACAGCGATACGGACACCACACCATTCCATTGGCAGGTTCGTTCAACAGACATTCAACCTTCTCATCAACAGAAAGGAGCCTATCGATTCCCGGGCTTGGACTCTGCAAGAGCATATGATGGCAACGGCGGTCTTTCGTGTCAGCCGCGAGCTTCATTCGTGGAGATGTCGTGAGAAGGAATGGCGTGAGGAAGAGAGCATGCTCCGGACCCCGACTCCTGTGCACATGACAACGGTATCCAAATTCAAAAGCGAACAGGATTTCATCACCCGTTGGCAGAAAGTAGTCATGGAGTACAGCAAACGGAAATTAAAGTTCTCTGAAGACAAACTTCCAGCACTTTCCGGAATAGCCTCCACGTTTGAAGCTCGCGCAGCACAATCTGGTTTCGAGAGTAGGACCTACTTGGTTGGAATGTGGAAAGACTCGCTCGTAAGGGATCTTCTATGGGCCTCGTCGGCACCTCAAGCCATTGAATCTGAGCGCGCCCCCTCATGGAGTTGGATAGCCATGGACCAATCTATAGAGTATTGCGGCACCCAGATTTACGCAAGTAGCTGCTGTCAGATCATCCATGACCAGACGTACGTAGATGATGGAAGTAAGGCGGCACGGAGGGTAAAAGGAAGACTCGTCATCAAAGGCTTTGCTGGGCATATTGGCCAAAATCTAGGGGACGAAGACAGTGTAGGAGAGGCTATTGCACGGCAGCTCGGCCTCTACTCTGCACTACCGCTCGCCGTATGGCTCGATCGGATACCTCGCGCATCAATATGGTATCTGAAACTGGCTCAAGGCGACCATTCCACTGAGCCAACTCCAGTACATTGGCTGATGCTGTTGGAGGAAAATCACATGGATGAAAAGTCGACGAAGGGTACTTTCAGAAGAGTTGGGTTATGCAAAGCTAAAGTGGACGCCATATCAGGCAAAGAGGAAGTCATCACTGTAGTATAAGCAGGATAAGCGCTTGCCAAAGGGTTCCGTCACCGGAAGCTCAACAGTTACTCTTCCGCATCCACCTCCCTCAGCCTCAGAACCAATTTATGTCCCTTCGGAAGTGTCAAGAAGATTCCATCCTGCTCCATCCCTTCATAACATACAATTCACATGTGAAACAATTTCCAATGCCACGATCACATGTTTAATCTGTTTCACAAGATCGTTGCCCTCTTTCTCCTCCTTAACGCTCACGGCACTCACAATTCCGGGTTGCAGTACCCCGAATGCAGCTCCAAATGGTTTCCAATACGTACCAGGAAACCATGCCGACCAAATTCCCAAGACTATTCCCATTACCACTTACCTACTTTCTGATGTTGAGGTAGCCAAATTTACTCAATTTGCCACTGGGCGCCGAAAGATCTGAGCCATGGAACTAATTTCCATATGCACTCAAGCTTATTACGTAGGTAGTTGAAGCTACCGTCCGGACGTAGATGTTTATTAAATAATTCCACATTTACATCCGGATGCTAGCTTCAACTACCTACGTGGTGCAGACCTGGAGTGGATGGGTGGTTCGATGTCATTGGAGGGCGAGTGTATGGTAATACGAGTTGGCATGTTTACGAAAACACTCAGTTCACCGCAGTCCAGGTCAAAGGTTAACTGAATATCTTGGTCCTGCATTGCGTTGGTGGTAGCCATTTTATTCCTCAATTTGTGGTTGCGAAGGCTATTTGAGATTATGGTTCGAGTGATAGGAAATATCAGAGAGCGAACAGGGCCACGCTGAAGCGCAGGAAGAATTGCTTAGTGCTGGAAGAATTGAAAATAGCAAAGGAATACGCCGCCGGCTGGGTATCTACAAAGGAAACGCCGCATCGCTTGAACAACAGAATGAAGCAAAATAAAGTTCAAGACGATCTTGAAGTCTGAAAAGCAAGCAAGAAGAAAACGAAGAAAGAGGAAAGAGGAAGATCAAGTCAAAGTTGCTCGACCGAAAGTACAAACTGAGAAAATCAGACAAGGCAGAACGAAAAGAGAGGCGTTCCTGCCAAATAGTGTTCAATGGTTCTCCACAAATCAATCTCTTGCGGCAAGTGAAAGTCGCGGTGTGTGCTATGCCGCCCCTGTTGCTCCCCTTCGGAAAGAAATTCGAGTGGCAGCTGGGGATCTGACTGCACGAGGTGCCCATCCATACAGCAATGAGCTTCGTGAGGACGAAAATGCACCTCGGCTGCGAAAGTCTGAGGAAGCTCATCGGAGAGGAGTTTTACAACCTTCCGTGATACTCCGCGGACGGCGCGCATCGCCGTGATGCGACTCGAGCGCTACGCATCCGCAATCCGGATCCAAAATCTTAGAGTAAGCAATCCCAACCACTCAGCTTTCAAACCCACGCATTCTCCCTCTGAATGGTTCGCAGGATCCTGATCCACAGCCGCCAATACATACTCGTGCCTCTACCAAGACACTCGTCGTACGTGCACAACAGCGCACTCCTGGTCGAATGCACGACGGCGGGATCCTTCCCATGCTTCTTCACGACCTCCTTCCAGTACCGCGACGTCGTCCGCATTGCAACCAAGCTCTCCACGTCAAGATAGCCGACAATGCGCAGCTGAACGTCGAGCGGCAGGCGGACCGACAGCGCGTCGCGCTTGTACCACTGCGTCACGACGGCGCGCCAGTACTTTGAGACGAGGCGCATAGTGCGGGCCTCGCACGCGCCCAGGTGGCCGACGAGTTCCAGGTGCAGTTCCGCGGGCAGCCGCTCCAGCGCGCTGCCGGGCGACACGACTTGGCTCATGCTCCGTGGGAAGAACTCGGACTGCGCGGGCGTGAAGACACGGTACGAGAAGACGGACGACGCTGTGGGCGAGGCGATGCGGCTGTTTGTGCCGAAAGGGTCGGCGGCGTACGACGAAGTGGACGGGATGCTGATGCTGGTGAGGCCGGTGGCCCGGCGCTTGTGCCGGCTTGCTGTCACGGTGTCGCGTCTCCGCGGCGGCGGCGGCTCCATGTTGGAAAAACGGAAGGAGAATTCAGACGTTGGGGAAGAGATGCTGAAGGATTCGCCGCGGGAGTGGTTGGAAATGACGTCGATCCTGGTGAGGCCGGTGGGCGTTCGTTCGCCATCGCTGGCTGTCCGTTCGAAGATGGAAAATGTAAAGGAAAACTCCGAAGTTGGGGAAGGGTTTCTTGAGTCGTCATTGTTTTGGGAAGAAGTATCGATTTTGGCCAAGCTGGGCCTAGGAGCCACCGTCCTGGTAGGAGTGGATTCGCGGTCTTGATTGGGAGCCATGGCAACGTTGTGATACGGGTAGAAGTGTCCAGAAAATTAGCATCGTAGAGAAAGAAAGATAAGGGCACCCGTATCAGCGTGGTGGGTGTTGAAGAAGAAAGAGGACCAAAGCGCTGCGGAGTGTATATGGAGCTGTGTTACAGACGGGAAAAGGAGTAGATAATCTCGAACGGATCACCGGGCGGTCATGCGCGCACCGCAATCGTAATAATGAAACCTAAACACCGGTTGCGCATTCGAGGCTCCACCGCCGCAAGGAGCGCCATGCGGAGCGGTTTGCTGATCATTCTTCGACATTTCGCATGATGGTATCCGCCTTGCGATAACGCAAAATTGCGCGGTGACCTGTTTCCCGCGTTAGCATCACAACAGGCCGACGCCTGGCGCTAATTTTAGTCGATACGACGCCACGTATGCACCGAGTACGGGGCCAATTGCTCAAATATAGTCTACACCGGCCTGGGTGATGCTTTACTATATATCCTCAGTCTGGGTATGTGGTGGATCTGTCATTAGATAATCATTACGCGACCTGGCTAGCAAACCTGCTCCCGACAACACCGAAAAAAGAAATTACATGACAATGCAGCAGGAGTTTTGCTTCTTCGCCTATCGGGGTAGATCATGTCAGCCGGGGCCTGGCAGCCTACGATAAGGTATGCACGTACCTGAGTATAGAACATCTTGCTCTGTGCGCTAAGACCATCGCTCTTAGCCACCAGGCTGTCAAGCTTCTCTCCTCTCTCCAGCACGCTCTCGATGGTCTTGTGCAGCACAATCTTAGTCTCGTCGAGCTCCTTCTGGATCTTCATGATACTGTCGGCTTGCTGGGGATCCTGGTACTTGACAATGTATTCCTTGAGCTCCGGCATGGGGCAGGCGGCATCCGAGGCAGTGAAGACATTGCGCGGGTACTTGTTCAGAAACTCGTCCACGACCTTGGAAAGCAGCTGGTGGGCGACAAGCGCGGGGTACTCGTGGTCGGTAATGATGATACCGGCGATGCCCTCAGTGCGGCCGTAGGCGTGGAAGGTGTAGGCTAAGGCACCGGTCAGCACATGCCCCAGCCGTCAGGAGAGCCAAATAGCCTACACTGCTCCTCAATATCCTGACGCTGGCCTGGTTTTGTCCTCTCGGCTACGGTCTTGCTGAACAGAGTCATGAACTCTCCGACACTGGACAAGATATCAGTAAGGCGCGGTGGGGGGCTCGGCGGGCTACGGTGTGGCGCACCTCGTACGGGTGAAGCGGGAGTAGCTGCTAAGCTCGGCCTCGGAGCAGAGCTCGACGGCAGGCTTCTGCTCGTTCTTGAGGACCTGGACATGCGACGTCAGCGGCTAGCTCCCAGGGACAGAGCGGGGCGCATACGCCAATGTAGAGGATCTTCATGGTGGCGGCTGGCGTGTAAATGCAAAGTGAGGCGGCGGAAGGAGGCTTGCGGGTGTAAGGTTAGAAAAGACAGCGTGTAGGGAAGGGAGGATGTCGGGCCTGAAACGCAGGTGGATGGGCGGGATACTTGGCGGCCTGGGAGTTGGAGCTCAAGCGTCAGTGCCCCAGCAGCCCCGGCCGGAACCGCGACATCCCGGTCCGGCAGGCGGTGAAGCTGCCGCCAAGCCCCCGCACTCTGACTGTCATCGTCACTCCCCGACACAGCTGCCTGGACGCTGCTCGCCGCGTGCTGGGAAAACTCATCAACTGCGATCGACGCTGGGCCTACTCAACACCTGCATCGCTCCCAACACACCCGAGACATCTTACCACCATGTCGCCCGCATTGGAGGTCGCTGAGTCGCAATGGCTCGCCCAGCTGGCCGAGATGCGCGCCGCTATTGCCGAGCTGAAGCTCCCTGAAAAGAACGGCGATGTACCCGCTTACGGCGCCGATATTGACGTCGATTATGAGGACCTTTCCGGGACCGCCAGTGGCGACGACATCTGGGATCTCATCAGTGACGAGGAAAGCGCCGGCTACAGCACCGACCAACTTGATGGCGCCGATGCTGTTGCCACTGACTCTGTCCCCGCCGGACCGCTCTATAGCCAGAGCTGGCTCGGTCAGCAGTGTGCGCAGGTGGCTCAGCGCGGCTCTGGCTTGGATGCCCAAACCCTCCAGGACCAGATTATGGCACTCTTAAGTTCTGATAGCAATGACGAGGAGCTCCAGATGATGCTTGCCGACATCGTGGGCTACGGCGAGCTCGACTTAGTTGCTGATCTCATTGGCCACCGCAAGCAGATCACCAAGTCCGCTCAGGCTGAACAGCAAAAGGGCGGCGTCCTCGGCCGTCTCCAAACCAGGCAGGAGCGCGAGGAAGCTCTGAGGAGGCAAGACTTTGAGCATAAAAACGCTGCACTTGCACCAAGTGTTGATCGAGGCGGAGAACAGTATCCCCATATTTACAAAACCCACGATGCCGGCAACTCTCTGTCTGCTTTCGGCAAGAAGTATGCTCTTCCCATTGGTTCTACAAGGGAGGACAATGACAAGTTTGAGGAGTACTCGATTCCGGCTTCTCGCGTTGGCATGCTGGCTGCTAAGCAGAAGCTGATCAAAATCAGCGACTTGGATGGACTCTGCAGACGAACTTTCAAGGGCTATAAAACCCTGAACCGCATGCAGAGTTTGGTTTACCCCATTGCATACAAGACCAGCGAAAACATGCTCATTTGTGCTCCCACTGGTGCTGGTAAAACCGATGCTGCAATGCTCACAATCCTCAATACTGTGGCCAGGAACATCATCCCTAGTCCTTGGGAAGAGCCTGAGGCCGACGACTTTGTGGTCCAAGCCGATGATTTTAAGATCGTCTATGTTGCTCCTATGAAGGCTCTCGCCGCCGAAATTGTCGAGAAGCTTGGAAAGCGACTTGCCTGGTTGGGAATCCAGGTTCGCGAACTTACGGGAGATATGCATCTCACGAAAGCGGAAATTGTGGCTACTCAGATCATCGTCACGACTCCGGAGAAGTGGGATGTCGTTACGCGCAAGAGCACCGGCGATACCGAGCTGGTTCAGAAGGTTCGCTTGCTCATCATCGATGAGGTCCACATGCTACACGATGAGCGTGGTGCGGTCCTGGAGTCTCTTGTGGCTCGTACCCAGCGCCAGGTTGAGAGCACGCAATCGCTCATCCGTATTATTGGCCTGTCCGCCACGCTTCCGAACTACATCGACGTTGCCGATTTCCTCAAGGTCAATCGCATGGCTGGACTTTTCTACTTTGATGCTTCTTTCCGCCCTGTCCCGCTCGAGCAGCATTTTGTCGGCGTGAAAGGCAAGCCGGGTACTGCCAAGTCCAGAGAGAACCTCGACAATGTGTCGTACGAAAAGGTCAAAGCCATGCTTCAACAAGGCCACCAAATCATGGTTTTCGTTCACTCTCGTAAGGATACGTACAAGTCCGCCAAGATCCTCTGGGAAAAGGCCATGGAAGATGCTGCCACCGACTTGTTCGACCCAACTGGCCATCCAAACTACGACATGGCCGTGCGCGATATGAAATCCTCCAAAGGCCGGGAGCTGCGTGAGCTGCTACCTAAGGGTATGGGAACCCACCATGCCGGAATGCCGAGGTCTGACCGTAACTTGATTGAGCGTCTCTTTGCGGAGGGAGTCATCAAGGTCCTCTGCTGTACTGCCACGCTTGCATGGGGTGTCAACTTGCCCGCCGCCGCTGTCATCATCAAGGGAACGCAACTCTACAGCGCGCAGGAGGGTAAGTTCGTTGATGTCGGCATTCTTGACGTTCTACAGATTTTCGGTCGTGCTGGTCGACCCCAGTTTGAGGATACCGGTATCGGCTTCATTTGTACAACTCACGACAAGCTTCATCACTATCTCAGTGCCGTCACCCAGCAGCAGCCGATCGAGTCCAACTTCTCCAAGAGACTGGTGGATAACCTCAACGCAGAGATTTCTTTGGGTACAGTCACTTCCGTCCGCGAAGCTGTCACCTGGCTTGGTTACTCCTACATGTTCGTTCGCATGCAGCGGAACCCTCACGCCTATGGAATCGACTGGATTGAGATCAGTAACGACCCACAATTGGTTGAGCGCCGGACGAAGTTGATCACCGATGCTGCTCGTGTCCTTCAGCAGAGCCAGATGATCATTTTCAACGAAACAACTGGAGAGCTGAAGGCAAAGGATGTTGGCCGTATTGCCAGCCAATACTACATTCTCCAGACGAGTATTGAGATTTTCAATACTATGATGCGAGCACAAGCATCAGAGGCGGATGTGCTCAGAATGATCAGTATGAGCGGTGAATTTGACAACATCCAGTCCAGGGAATCTGAGGAGAAGGAACTCCTACGCTTGAAGGAAGACGATAACATCACTCCTTGCGATATTAAAGACGGAGTCGGAACGCCACAATCGAAGACCAATTTGCTGCTCCAAGGCTACATTTCGAAGGCTCGACTGGAGGACTACACTCTTCAATCTGACACCAACTACGTCGCTCAGAACGCCACACGTATTTGCAGGGCTCTGTTCATGATTGCGTTGAACAGACGCTGGGGCCACCAGTGTTTGGTCTTGCTGTCGCTGTGCAAGTCTATCGAAAAACAGGTTTGGCCATTTGAGCATCCATTCCATCAGTTCGACCTTCCACGTCCTGTTCTAAGGAACCTGGATGAGAAAGGCTCCGTGTCGTCCATCGAGGCACTTCGAGACATGGAACCAACCGAGATTGGGCAGCTTGTTCACAACACCAAGGTGGGCAGCACCATCAGCAAGCTTCTCGACAACTTCCCGACCTTGAGCATTGATGCAGAAATTGCTCCTTTGAACCGAGATGTTCTGAGGATCCGTCTGTATCTGACTCCGGAATTCCGCTGGAATGACCGCCACCATGGCGCTTCAGAGTCTTATTGGATTTGGGTTGAGAACTCGGAGACCTCAGAGATCTACCATCACGAGTACTTCATTCTTTCCCGCAAGAAGCTCTACGATGACCATGAGCTCAACTTTACCATTCCGCTTTCCGATCCACTTCCCTCACAAATCTACGTTCGTGCGGTGTCGGATCGGTGGCTCGGCGCTGAGACCATTACTCCTGTCTCGTTTCAGCATCTCATTCGGCCTGATACCGAGAGCGTTTACACAGACCTTCTCAACCTTCAACCGCTACCCATCTCCGCCCTCAAGAACCCTCTTCTCGAAGAAATTTACGGACAACGCTTCCAATATTTCAACCCTATGCAAACACAGCTATTCCACTGCCTTTACCACACGTCGGAGAATGTCCTACTTGGTTCACCCACTGGAAGTGGAAAGACAGTTGCATGCGAGTTGGCCATGTGGTGGGCTTTCCGAGAGAATCCGGGCTCAAAGGTCGTTTACATTGCCCCCATGAAGGCACTGGTCCGCGAGCGAGTACAGGATTGGGGAAAGCGCTTGACTGCTCGAATGGGTCTCAAATTGGTCGAATTGACTGGTGACAACACACCAGATACTCGCTCCATCAGGGACGCCGACATCATCATCACCACCCCGGAAAAGTGGGACGGTATCAGCCGTAGCTGGCAGACTCGTGACTATGTCCGTAAGGTCAGTCTGGTCATTATCGACGAGATTCATCTGCTTGGTGGTGACCGTGGACCTATTCTGGAAATCATCGTCTCCCGTATGAACTACATTGCCTCTCAAAAGAAGGGTTCGGTTCGTCTCATGGGCATGTCAACCGCTTGCGCCAACGCTACGGACTTGGGCAATTGGCTTGGTGTCAAGGCAGGTCTTTTCAACTTCCGCCACTCTGTGCGCCCAGTTCCGCTTGAAATCTACATTGATGGCTTTCCAGAGCAGAGAGGTTTCTGCCCTCTTATGCAGTCCATGAACAGACCTACTTTCCTGGCCATCAAGACTCACTCTCCCGATAAACCTGTCATTGTCTTCGTGGCTTCCCGTCGTCAAACCCGTCTGACTGCAAGGGACCTCATCAACTTCTGCGGTATGGAAGACAACCCCAGACGCTTTGTCCGGATGTCTGAAGAAGATTTGGCATTGAATCTTGCCCGTGTCAAGGACGAGTCCCTGCGTGAGGCGCTCAGCTTCGGTATCGGTCTTCATCATGCCGGTCTCGTTGAGTCTGATCGTCAGCTTGCCGAAGAGCTCTTCGCAAACAACAAGATTCAGATTTTGGTGGCTACCAGCACTCTTGCCTGGGGTGTTAACTTGCCAGCGCATCTCGTCGTTGTCAAGGGCACTCAGTACTTCGATGCCAAAATTGAAGCCTATCGAGACATGGATTTGACGGATGTACTTCAGATGCTTGGTCGTGCTGGTCGTCCACAGTTCGACACCCAAGGTATCGCGCGTATCTTTACTCAAGATGCGAAGAAGGATTTCTACAAGCATTTCCTTCACACCGGTTTCCCTGTAGAGTCAACCCTCCACAAAGTTGTCGACAACCATTTGGGCGCCGAAATTTCCGCGGAGACCATTGCCACGAAGCAAGATGCTTTGGACTACCTCACTTGGACGTTCTTCTTCCGTCGTCTGCACAAAAACCCATCCTACTACGGCCTTGAGATCTCTGCCGAGGAGCATAACACTACTGCGGCCCAGCAACTCGCGAATGACTACATGGTCGACCTTGTCGACAAGTCCGTCTCGGAGCTGGCAGAATCCGGTTGTGCCACCCTTCACTCTAACGGCGACATCGACCCGACGCCGCTCGGAAAGATCATGTCCTACTACTACCTCTCGCACAAGACAATCCGGCATTTGATCAAGCACGCCAAACCCAACGCCAGCTTTGCTGACGTGCTCGCGTGGATGAGCAGCGCGACCGAGTACGACGAGCTGCCGGTGCGACACAACGAGGAGCTCATCAACGCCGAGCTCAACGCGGCATTACCCCTCAAGATCGACGACGCCTTCGGGCACCTGCCGCTGTGGGACCCACACACGAAGGCCTTCCTGCTCCTCCAAGCACACTTTGCGCGTCTCGACCTGCCCATCTCGGATTACGTCGGCGACCAGACGTCGGTGCTCGACCAGGCCATCCGTATCATCCAGGCGTCCATCGACGTGCTGGCCGAGCTGGGGCTGGCCAGCAGCGCGCTGATGATGATGACGCTGCTGCAGTGCGTCAAGAGCGCGCGCTGGCCCGACGACGGGCCGCTCGCCATCCTGCCCGGCGTCGACGTCGTCGAGGAGCGGAACCGCGTCCAAACCACCGAGAACAAACCGGGCGCGGGCAGCAGACCGAAGGATCTCATCGACGCCGTCTCGGCCCCCCGCAACGTCCTCGAGACGGCGCTCAAGCGGGCCGGCGTCGCGTCCGCCGCCTTGCCCCGCGCCCTCAAGCCCCTCGCCGCCCTCCCCGACCTCGCCGTCGCCGTGCCGGCCGTCAACGCCCTCGGCCTCACCGTCACCATCTCGCGCAAGAACAACCCGGCGAACCGCGAGCACCGCATGTACGCGCCGCGCTTCCCGAAGCCGCAGACGGAGGGTTTCTTCGTTGTTGTGTGCGAGAGGGGCAGCGACGAGGTGGTGGCGTTGAAGAGGGTGAGCTGGCCCTCCTCCGACGACGGGAAAGGAAAGGGCAAGGGGAAGAACGCCGGCGGGAGCGGTGGCAGCAGGCCGAGCACGAAGGTGCAGATCAAGCTGCCAGAGAGCGATAGGGAGAGGGTGGTGGATGTGCGGGTTGTGAGCGATGGCTACATCGGGATGGTGTGGAAGGCGGAGGGCGTGGAGGTGCCGCGGCCGCCGATGGTGGAAGGTGATGATGGGAAGAAGAAGGGCGGGAACGCTTAAGGTGGAGGTTGGTCTGCTTTGAGGTTCGCGCGTGGGTGTGGTGATCACATAACGGACAAAAGTGTTTCAATCACGTCAATGGTGGAAAGCCATCATGGAGAACGATTAAAAAAGATAGATTTCGTTCCTGCATAATAATTCATGTTGGTATCATCCCACTCTCCTCCTTTTCCAGACCTTATCTGGATGTACATCTTAGTAGATGTACCGGAAGTTGATGTTCTGTGAAGAGGAAACGTTAGCTCAAGTCCCGCCAAGAATCCAGTATTCAAAGGGGAAACAGAAGGACTCACCTCTTTATCCGTCAGATCCTCAAAGGCGTGCACCAAGTGGTCATCCTTGGCGGCGCTGCCGTTCTGCTCGACGATCCTGTCTTTCCTCTTGTTCTCCCTCACTAGCCACCAGCGCAGGAAGATGATGACGATGACGAGCAGCACGTAGCAGCCCATGTGGGTGCAGAAGGCGATGCGGTAGCGCGGGCCGTCCCAGGCGAGGAAGACCTGGGGCCCGATGGCGTTGCCGACGGCCCAGGCGACGAAGTTGGCGGCGACGATGACCGTCTTCTTGGTCTGGCCGGCCGTGTTGCGCGAGATCATGGACATGGCGAGCGTCTGGGCGGCCCAGAAGGAGAGCACGATGTAGTAGGAGATGAGCAGGCCGGCCTGCTGGGCCTTGCCCGTGTTCTCGACGATTAGGAGGACGATGGTGCCAACGAAGGAGCTGGATTGGAAATGGGAGGTTAGTCGAGACAAAAAAAATTTTTATCTTAGGGGGTAAGGAGGGCTTACGGGATGACGAAAACACCCATGACGATGAGGTTCTGCTGGGTCTTCTTGACGAGCCAGGCGGAGCTGAGCAGGATGAGGATGATGAAGGCGCCGAGAACCATGGCCAGGAGTTGGGTCTCGAGGATGGAGAAGTTGAAGCCGGTGATGATGATGTTGGCGAAGGCGCCCAGACCGGACGTCGGCAGCGTCGTGCAGATGGCGATCAGGCAGTAGCAGTACAGCTGCGGGTCGGTGAAGGCCTCGCGCACATGGTCCCATCGGAAAGTCTTGTTCTGCAGACCCGTCTGGTTGGAACGGACGCGCTCGACCATCAGGCGCTTGTCTTCCTCGGAGAAGCACTTGGCACGCATAGGGCTGTCAGGAAGCCAAAAGAGCACGAACACACCCCATAGCACGGAGAAGCAGCCATAGCAGATGAAAAGGGCCTGCCATGAGTGAATGGGGGCACTGTCGGGGATGAGGGTGAAGCAGTAGGCGAGGATGCCACCGACGATCTGCTGACCACCGTTCATCTAGAATCCTGTTAGCCGGCTTGATCCTTTAGGACGCGGTGTTGTTGACTCACCATGTACCAGTAGGTGACGGTCTGTGCCTGCTCCTCACGCTTATACCACATGGAACTCATGACCAGGAAGGAGGGCTGGCAGACGGCCTCGAAGATACCGAGCAGTGTACGGACAGCGAGGATGGAGCCGAAGTTGGTGCAGGCGGCATGCAGGGCCAATGTTGCGGACCAGAGAACGATGTTGATACTGAGGTACTTGGCAATGGGAACGCGCTGGATCATCCAGTTGGTAGGGTACTCGACGATCAGGACGGCGATGTAGATACAGGTGGTGAGCCAGGAGTACTGATCGAGGGCATTGTCAGCCAATCCATCGCAAGTGATTATGCCTTCACCAGGGATCACCTGATGCGAAGGAGAAGACATAGCGAAGGGGTACACACCTGTTGGCCGACCAGACCCAGATCTTCCTTGATGCCCATGATGCTTGCAAAACTCATGGTACCCTTGTCAAGGGCCTGCAGGAAGTAGGTGAAGATCATGACGGGCAGCACGCGGCGGTCGATCATGCGCTTGAGACGCTTGTTCTCCTCGGGCGTGATTTCGATGGCGACGGCACTGGCATACTTGGCGACTTCCTTGTCGAGACGGCCATAGTCTGCGTGCTCCTTGGAGAACTCAGCGTCGGTCGACATGACATGCTCAATCTCAGCGACATCGGAGCTGTGCTTCTTGTTGTCGCGGCTGTCTGCCGACAGGCCCTCGACGTGGGCCACGTTCTCGTGCGAGGCGGTCATGGTGTGCAGGTGGTGTGCACGCGCTCAGTGTTGCCGCGAAATTGACGGTTGGGGAGACACCGGGGAGGAGGAGAGGAGTTGAGGAAAAGAGAAGTAGACTAGGAGTGCGAGACGGGACAAGGTCTGGACAGGGACCCGGCAAAGCGACTCGACAACTGCAGAAGACATTTCAATCTCTGCTCGGGGCAAATATAAAGGTCTGGGGCAGGCATGCACGTCCTCATGCGGGCGATACATAAGCCGAAGGCGTTTCCCTGTTTGGAGTGATTATTCCGTCCTCTCGCTTGTTGTGTTTGCCCAGAGCGTATGTTTGCCCCAGAGACCCGGTCGGAGGCTCGTTCCCAACGCGTGAATCAAGCAAGCGAGGCAAAGCTTGGGGCGACGGCAGCAATGGGAGGCTGTCGGGAAAGCGTGTGACAGGTTCGCCGGCAAGGGCAAGCTGCACGCGAGGCCTCCACACCGACTTCGCCGCAGCCACCGGTGGGCGAAGGGAAGGCCCGATGGAGGGGGCCCCGGATTGCGGTCATTGGCCCCACGGGGAGCGGAGCACCTGCTCTTCCTGAATGCGGAGAGCGACCCCGGGGTAGGCGGGGACAAGGTGCCTTGGCGCGAATCCTGCTTCCTCGCCTCTCGGGTCAAAAGGCACCGGCGGGGTGAGCCGCGCGTGGCCGGCTGTGGGGGCCCCTGGGGACTCCCGCGAGAGCTGCTTACTCGACTGGGCAACTCCCTCCACCTGCTCGGCTCTTGTGGTGGGGCATCGGCGCGTCTTGCGTGCTGAGCGCGCATCATCTGCGCTTAAAGCACAAACATTTCCCACGCGCGGCCCCTCGCCCAATTGCCCGCTTGCCGACGCTCCAGTTGGACGGCGTTGAAATTCATATATCAGCCTAGTGAATAGTTAGCAACACCCGCCTCTCGACCGCTCACCGCACCCTTCCTCTCACCTACCCACTCACCTCCTCACTCCGCCGCCGCCATGCCCACCCCACTCACCGTCCACGGGCTGCCCGCCTCCGAAATCCACACTGCCATCAAGAAGCTCACCCACAACCTCGTCAATATCAACGACAAGACGGGCCACTTCCTGCTGCGCCTACCTGACGGACGCGTCATCGACACAAAAGGCTGGAATGACTGGGAGTGGACACACGGTATCGGCCTGTACGGCCTGTACCAGTACTACACCCTCACCAACTCGCAGGAAACTCTCTCCATAATCAAGTCGTGGTACGAGGGCCGCCTGGCCGAGGGCACGACCAAGAACATCAACACCATGTCCGTCTTCCTGGCGCTGGCCTACCTGTACGAGGACCCGCGGCTGCGCGACGACACCTGGCGGCCGTGGCTGGAGAGCTGGGCCGAGTGGGCCATGCACGAGCTGCCGCGCACCCCCTTCGGCGGCTTCCAGCACATCACCTACCTGGAGGAGAACAAGGACCAGCTGTGGGACGACACGCTGATGATGACCGTCATGCCGCTGGCCAAGATCGGCCTGGTGCTGGGCCGCCCCGAGTACATCGAGGAGGCCAAGCGCCAGTTCCTCGTGCACATGCAGTTCCTGTTCGACAAGGACACCGGCCTCTTCTTCCACGGCTGGCAGTTCGAAAAGGGCCCCAACGGCGGCCTGGGCCACAACTTCGCCCGCGCCCGCTGGGCCCGCGGCAACTCGTGGGTCACCATCGTCATCCCGGACTTCATCGAGCTGCTCGACCTCAAGCCCGGCGACCCCACCCGCGAGTACCTGATCGACATCTTCCGCGCCCAGGTCGATGCCCTCAAGGCCCTTCAGACCCCTGAGGGCCTGTGGCGCACCCTGCTCGACGAACCCGAGTCGGCCGGCAGCTACATCGAGTCGTCCGCCACCGCCGGCTTCGCCTACGGCATCCTCAAGGCCGTGCGCAAGCACTACATTCCCAGGGAAGGTTACGAGGATGTCGCCCTCCGCGCCACCAAGGCTGTACTGGGCAAGATCAGCGACGACGGCGAGCTGCTCAACACCAGCTTCGGCACCGGCATGGGCAGGGATTACAAGCACTACTACGACATCGAGTGCACCAGCATGCCCTACGGCCAGGCCATGGCCATCATGACCCTCGTCGAGTTTTTGAGGTTATACGTTTAAAGGAACAAAATCGAAATCATTGCTGCAACGCCCTTTTTTTGCATAGACTATAGACTGGGGGATGTGATAATGACGAAAAAGCATTCCTGAAGGAAGAATGTGAAACCGCATACCAGCCCACGCCGGCCCTTTGTGATTCGGGCCGTATGCGCCTTTTTTTTTCAAATCTATCCATGTAAATGTCCAAAAAAGCCAAAGGCGCGAACTGTGTAAATTGCAAGGCAAATAATCCTGATGCACTCCTGTCCGGGCGAGGTTGTCGCCGTCTTTGTCTCATGAGCGTTTGTGTCGTTTATAAATCGAATCCTAAAGATGATGTCCTGTAACGCCAACGCCGTGTTCTTTCTTGCTCATACGCCATGTCCAGTTCGTGTTCAGTCGTGTTCTCCACTAGTATGTCAAGAGGGAAGGAAATGCGCGTTGTGGCCCGGCACTCTTGCCAGGCACTTGGGACAGTCCTCGCGGAAGCCCATGTGGAACTTTTTCTTGCCCGTGATCGCTCCGCTTCTGGCACGGCCCGACTTGGACTCAGCAGCGAGATGGCGCTGCGGCTCGAACGTGGGCGAGTCCATGTCCATGCCGTCACTGTCGCCTCGGCCGGAAAAGTGGAGGCGGGAGAGACGGTTCCCGGCCAGCGTGGTAGGCGTCAGGGCCATGTCGTCCTCGCGGATGGGCGAAGGCATGTCGCGGCCGACGTCTCTTTGGGCCATGCTTCGGCGGGCATTGGCCGACGCGGCCCTCAGCTCCTCAAGCGTTGTGGTCCTGATGTCGCTCGGCGGCTCATTGGACGTGATCTTGGGAGGGAAGTGGCCGTAGATGGGCGTAGGTATGCGGCCAGTACTGGGGTCTGACTGGTGCTGGCGGGGATTGAGGCGCTCGGGCAACATGAAGGGGACAGCCGGCGAATTAGGGTTGGACCGCAGAGCACCGTAGTCGTCCTCCATGCAGTCATCCATGTCGGTGTCGGCATAGGCAGGCAGTTCAGGCGAGTCGCAGCCTGACTCGTCCGAGTGGCCTGGCGTTAGGGCAGGCAGACATGGCGAGTTGGCGCGGTTCTGCGAGAAGCTGAGAGTCTTGGTGTGGAAGAAATGCTCGGGCGGTGGCGGGCAGGCCGTGTCATTGCGGTGCTTCTGCAGCGTCAGGGTTACTATGTGGGATTCCCGGCAGCCCGTGTCGCAGCCGTACCTTTTCAAAATGGCGAATTGAGACGTCGTCGTCGTCGTCGGCGCGGGGGCGCTTCAGCGCCATGCGTTGTGGTAGTTGGAACATGTTGTTGTTTGGCAGAAAGAGAGGGCGAACGCCGAGGTTAAATGATGCGTGTAGCTATGGTGACGGCAGCGGGGACGTCCAGAGCTCACGATATAAGGTTCGGGCACATCACTGCATGAGGACGGCGGGCCTTTTTCTGGGTTGGGGGATTCGCGCCGAGGGTGGGTTTCAGGAGAAGTCACTGGGCTGGCGCAGGCTTCCAAAGAGCGCGGGGTGCGATAGCGGGATTGGCAGGATGAATGTCAAGCAGCTCAGAGGCCCGGGAAAGTGAAACCAGCCCCACGCACGGGTCACAACAGCCGCCGGTCGGCCGCCTTCCCGGGCCTACGCCACGACACAGGACAGCTGAGAGTCCCTCGCGAAGCGCCTGCGCCGATGCAGCCTCTTCATGCACCCTCGAGATTCGCGAGGCTGGTTTCAGCGTGCAGAAACGCTGCTGTTTGCGCGGGCTGCGTGCCGGCGCCAAGTCGGCGCTGTGGGTGCGACCCTGGTGCGCCCTGGCAAGCTGATGCCTGCTGTGCACGAAAGGATGCGAGCCACATTTGCTGACTCCGGCGGGACGTGATTAGTAGATCGGGGTGCCTGCTCTGTGGCTGATAACGTCGCCGTCCCCACAAGGCCACATCCCTGCTGCGGAATCCTCTGTGCTAGCAGCTCTCCGACCCGACGTCAGCCAGTATTCACCCTGTGGCCGCTGCGGTGCCGATCGCAACAACAGCCATTGGGGCGCAGGAAAGCTTGAAAATGTCCGGGGTGTGTCTCTGGCGTTGGCCGGATGCGCGGATCCGCGATCGCTGGATTCATGCACGTTACAATACGCGTGGCTCAGGTAATCGTAACGCTGCCGGAAGCGGTGGCGGGGCGCAACTCCGGTCGGCGGCGGCGGCTGAGCCCTGGCCGCCCAAAATTATTCAGGTCCAGTCAGCTCATGATTGACTCACTACTTTTCCCTCTCGCCGCCAACCACGCCCCTCTTATAGGCACAAGTCAACACTCGCTATACTTGCATCTCACCTTCTCTGCACCCCTCAATCGCCATGGCCGACGCAATTGACCAGATCAAATCCGAGCTCAGCGACGATGTTCGCGGTAAGAGCCCCGCCGCCGTCCCGCCAGACTGCAAACACTAAAACAACCCAGTTTTGGGCTACGACCCGCTCATCCCTCCCCAGCTGCTCTCGTCGGAGCTCCCTGTCGGTGAGGTCTCGCAGAAGACGGTGCTGAAGGGCCGTCGCGAGGCTGCCCGCATCATTTCGCAGCAGGACGACCGCCTGCTGGTCATGGTCGGCCCCTGCTCCATCCACGACCCCGAGACCGCCATCGAGTACTGCCAGCGCCTCAAGGCCTTGGCCGACAAGCTGAACAATGAGCTGTGCATCATCATGCGCGCCTACCTCGAGAAGCCCCGCACCACTGTCGGCTGGAAGGGCCTGATCAACGACCCGGACATTGACGAGAGCTACAAGATCAACAAGGGCCTGCGCGTCTCGCGCAAGCTCTACTGCGATCTGACTAGCCAGGGCATGCCCATCGCTAGCGAGATGCTGGATACCATTTCGCCTCAGTTCCTCTCCGACCTGATCTCGCTGGGTGCCATTGGCGCACGTACCACCGAGTCCCAGCTGCACCGTGAGCTGGCTTCCGGTTTGTCCTACCCCATTGGTTTCAAGAACGGCACCGACGGCAGCCTGGGTGTCGCTGTCGACGCCATTGGCGCCGCTGCCGCGAAGCACCACTTTCTGGGTGTGACCAAGCAGGGCCTGGCCGCAATCACTAAGACGTCCGGCAACGAGCACTGCTTTGTCATCCTCCGCGGTGGTACAAAGGGTACCAACTTCGACAGGGACAGCGTCAAGGCCGCGCGCGAGGCTCTGAAGGCGAAGGGCCAGAAGGAGGTCATGATGATTGACTGCTCGCACGGTATGTCTCTACAAAATACCAGTGTCTTGACTGTGGCTGACTGAAGTTTTACTGCAGGCAACTCGAACAAGAACCACCGCAACCAGCCCATTGTTGCTGCTACGATTGCCGATCAGATCCGCGAGGGCGAGACTGGCATCGTTGGTGTCATGATCGAGTCGAACATTCACGAGGGTAACCAGAAGGTGCCGCCGGAAGGCCCCTCGGCGCTCAAGAGGGGTATCAGCATCACTGATGCCTGTATCGACTGGGAGACTACCGTCGGTGTGCTCGAGAACCTTGCGGCTGCCATCAAGGAGCGCAGGGAAAAGGCCCAGAACGGCGTGAACGGCACGCACTAAGCAACAGTCGGTTCATGAAACTTGTTAGGAGTCAAACGGTGCAAAAGTTCTATGGATGTTCAATGTTTCTCTTCTTCTCTGCATTTAGGGTTTCGGTGGCAATAGGATAGGTGCAGAGCTTAACCTCAGCCGACTTGCGGGGGTGGATAACATCTCAACATGTCACAAGAATACCCTTTTCCGGTTCAAGTATTAATAAAGATTAAAAGTTTCGAGGTAAAGTGCCAAGCCTATCTATTTGCATCTATACCGTTTGGTTACTCAGCCGTGCACTTTGCAGCTAGCGAAATTGTCATCGACTCTTAAGAAGAAGCTTGGTCTAAACGCTCTATCCCGACCGAATACGAGCCCCGCCTCACGTATGACCTGCAGGAACGGTAGTATATATGAGAGTGGCTCGCCTGACACTAGTCTGGTAAACCAGCTGCCGAAGATATGATAAGCGCTTGTTTACTAAGTTTATGCAGGGCAAGAGTTTGATTCTTACCCCAAAACGTGGCGCACGGCACAGCTCGAACACGGCCCGCATCCACTTCTCCATCCGTCATACTAGAGTGAACCTTCCTTGTCTCCTACTGGCGCGGGTCTACCTTTACATGGACATGATACGTTTGTTGTTCGTTTTGTCGCCGAAAACGCCCCTTTGCCTCTTGATTGGTCCACTGAGCCGCCGCCTGGAAGCCAGGAACTTTTCTTTCCAACGTGGCGACGCTGCCCGGGCTGAGTATATTTGGAATTCCCCTCAAAAATGGGGAGAGGGGTCTAATCGCCTGTCATACGTTTCAGGTAATGCAGCATGCAAAATGCGCCACACCAATCATTTCGAACCAAGCACCGAGGTGCTGCTGTCTTCACGCGCATGAATGTTTCTGTATCATACAGTGCCCATCGCTACGGAATGTCTGTTCTACTTGAGTGGGTGAATATGGGAGAGAGAGTGTGTGTGGTTAGCAGTGTACATGGGTGTTTCCTCTTTCGGGGGCCTCTGCGTAATTTCGAGGGTTAATACACGCTGACTGGGCGGCGAGGTCCAGATGGCACCCTGTCTAATCAAGAGGGAAAAAGGAAATGGCACAGCGACCGGATCATCGAATCTCAAACCGACGCAGATCCACGGCGATTTTCCCCCGTCTTCTGTGCGCGCGCGCAACGGCCCTCGTCAGAGAGGGTGGCTTGCAAGGGTATGAGGCCATTATGTGGGGCCTGCGCGCCGTTTTCCATACCGGCCCTTATTTCGACGTGCTATCGCACCTTTCGTGTCTCAGGTTCTTCCTTTGACCGAGAGATGTACGAGCGGTAATATTTCTGCGGTGCAGTGACTGCGCTTTTTTTTTTCTTCTCTCTTCTATTTTCGGTATCAAGGCCAAACTGAAGGGCGGAGGTATACTCGCTTCAGAGGGTGATAGCGCTCGAAACGTTGAACTTCTTCAACGATTTTGTGCATGACTGCTACGCCTCGAGTGGAGACAGTCTGATACAGTAGAAAAATTGAGTCGTGTTGCCACTTCCGCCCCGTCTTTCTCGAACCTCTGTGCGGAAACTCTTTCCCTCTTCATCCCTTCCCCAGATCGAGTCGAGGGGCGACGATGATACAGTGGCCTGCACTATGCTGTTTGATAGTCGTCGATGTCCGCTTTTCGTGCGTGCCGACTCAGCCACGCGGTCTTCTAAGAAATTCGTCAAGCCCATCAAATGTGGAGAACTGTATCCGAGTATCCGTGCTGAGCCTCTGACAAGAGCCGCTGACGCGCCCTTGCCTCATCACTTGCATGCCTAGATGCCTGGTCATTTTTAATGTAGCTGAGACAAACTTGGCGGCGGCAAAGCACATACGTCACTGGTTTACTGGTTGATCATTCACCGTTGCTTGCTGCACTTGCTGTTGCTCTATCGCTGAGCTGGCTCTAAGGGGGCGTCCATGTTTATTTTAGTGCTCATTAGCCGTGTCACTTAATTCCGGTTAGACTATTGGCGGAACGGAGATAGACGTTAAGTAGAACAATTATAAGGGTACGTGCTTGAATCAAGCGATTGGATCCCCGGTGCACCGTGCAGTTTACTCGGATGCTCACCCAGCCGAACCAAACGCATCAATCGAGTATTCTGAGATTTCGCAATCCATAAACGTGCCCTCGCTCATGTTATTTGATGTTTACTCCAACGTGACAGCTGTGGGCCCATCCGGGATCTTCATGCTGATAGTCGAAGCGCCCGGCCTGGGCGGCTGCGATTCCACCCTGGAATCATCGGTGCGGAGGCTAGGGGTTTCCTCTTACAGCCAGCCTGCAGATTTTAGTGTGACATTCATCTCCGGGCTATCCTTTCAACGAAATCCTACGCCAGGCCACGCTCAAGTCAGTGGCTCGCCCGCAAGTGTCACCCCCTCCCCAGCTTTGCTCTTGTGACCCTGCTGAACCCGCCACTGGAAATTAACATGTCAAATTCAAGCTCTCAACTACACCTAACCCTGAAAGAATCGCCTCCATGGATTTTCTCCTCATCTCCGAGCGTTTCATAGTATTTCAACATGGGATTGTGCGGGAGGTGCTCTGCTCCGAGTCCGGAGATTTTGACTCTAAGCTGGACGAATCCAGTAAATACTGGATAGCTCTATTATAGTAGGCAGGCGACAACTTATTTGACATGCTAAGCAAAGTGTTTGGTCCCAGTTCTTTTTCGAATCTTCGTATTCGCACCGAGCTTGTCTCAGTTGCTGGCGTCTCCGCTAAGAGAGCCCACACCTCGATGTTACAGTTTCCCGGCGCACAATGTTAAACCGCCCCGCGCTTCAACATGTAAAAGCAGCAAAAGCATGCATAGCAGGTGATTCCCCAGGAGTCTTCATAGGAGAGCGCCAGGTCTGGACTGCGGAAGCTGAGAGCAAAAGCAAGGAATCCAAAGGCCCAGAACGAGGAAGGCTCGTGCTATGAATTAGTAGATAAAGCCCTATCGCCTAAATAAAGTCTGATCGGCTTGGCCAATTGGCCACCTGCTCGTTCGCTCCTTTCGCAAGTCTGCCACCTCTCCATGACGCCAGAGGCAGTACATCGCTCGCAAACGCATTCGGAGGATTTCAAGGGTCCAGCTCGGTTAGGCAACACCAAGAAATTGCTGAGAGATAGGCGTAAGTGGCACAGACGAAACGGAAGAATTCGTGATGCTGAAAGGACGCTTCGCAATGTGGTTCAAAAGTCGCGCAATGGCACGACTTCTTCGGCTTACCGATCGCAGATGGTAGGCAACGAGGTGGCGCTGAACTCGACATTTATCGAACTGATTTCTAGCTAGTTGTTGCAAATCTGTGCAGCTGAAGATTTTAGCTTTGCGAAAATCTCAGGCGCAGTACCCGAGTACCGGGTTCCTTGAATCTTTGGGTCTGGATGGGCCTAACATGGCGCAATGGCTAATGCAACATGCTTGTTCAACATAAACGGCAAAGCACTGCTGATTGGCCGAATGCACCTATTCGACATCTTTTCGTGTAGAAATTGAGGCTTCAAGCGGGATCATGTTTCAGCCGCCAAGGCGTGCCCAAGGCTACACCTTGGCAACCAAGCCATCCAAGCAGACAAGCGAACAGGACAAGAGGGTTGGCGCGGTGCTAACGACTGACGACATTTCACCTGGCAATTGCGCGTACAAGCCCTGGGCTGCTTTTTGTTCTCAACCATCCAATGTCTGGCAACGCAGCACCGGGGCACTCTCGGCCCAGACCGAACCACCAAGAATACCGAGAGACTGGGCGTTTATGTTTTTCCGCTGTCGTTCGATTTGGAGGCTCAGCCAACAAGCAGTAAGGCTGCGGAAGCTTTTAAAGATGGACTTGGGGCCTTGCCAATTGTTTCCTCAGGGTGACTTTGTACCACTTGATCCAGCATGCCTTCGCGCCGCGTCTTGGCCAAGCCACTCGGTATCAACGTCGACTACAGGCAGGAGCCGGACAAAGACGACTATGCGACGCTAATTCCCGACCACGTTGACCCGTACTTTGAGGAGGAACCGACGGCGAAGGAGTTTCTGCTGCAGTTCAAGCCCACTCGCGCCGGCGCCGCTCGTTACATCAAAGACCTCTTCCCCTTTTGGAACTGGATCTTCCACTACAACCTCCAATGGCTGACTGGAGATATCATTGCCGGTCAGCTTGCTCCAAACACTTCTTCGGCTTTGTCTGACTCGAACTTGTAGGCGTTACTGTTGGCTTCGTCGTTGTCCCGCAGGGCATGGCATATGCGCTGCTCGCTAAACTGAGCCCCGAGTATGGACTGTACACGTCATTTGTCGGATTCCTGCTATACTGGGCCTTTGCTACCTCCAAGGATATTACCATTGGTGTGAGTTGCAATGCCCGAGCCTAGGAAAATGACCAGTCCAGCTAACAAGCACCATCCAGACGGTCGCCGTCATGTCCACGATCGTCGGCAACATCGTCATCAAAGTGCAGGACAAGCACCCCGATATTCCTGCTGAGCAGGTGGCCAGATGTCTGTCACTCATTTCAGGTGCCATTCTCCTCTTCATCGGCCTCATCCGTGCTGGCTGGATTGTCGAGTTCATCCCGCTCGTTGCTATTACGTCTTTCATGACAGGCGCTGCCTTCAGCATTGCTGTCGGCCAGGTGCCGGCAATGATGGGAATTTCGGGAATCAACACACGCGAGGCCACTTACTTGGTTCTGATCAATACGCTCAAGAAGCTTGGATCCACCAAGATTGACGCCGCACTCGGCCTCAGTGCTCTGTTTGCCTTGTACTTCATCCGCTGGGTTTGCAACACCATGTCCGAGAAGCAGCCGCACCGGAAGAAGATGTGGTTCTTCCTCTCTACGTTGAGAATGGCCTTCATCATTCTTCTGTACACGATGGCCAGCTGGCTCTCGAACAGGGGGATCTCAAATGCTAAGGAGGCGAAGTTTAAAATCCTTGGGACTGTGCCAAGAGGTACCTACACACTGTTTTGTTTTTTTTTTACAGTGAAGCAGAAGCTGATTTGTGTTAGGATTCCAACACGCCGGTGCACCTCACGTTGATGCTCGTCTCATCCGAGCTTTCTCAAGCGAACTTCCGGCTGCAATCATTGTCTTGCTGATCGAGCACATCGCCATCTCCAAGTCTTTCGGACGTATCAACAACTACACGATCGATCCCTCGCAGGAGCTCGTAGCACTCGGCTTCACCAATGTCTTCGGCCCCTTTCTGGGTGGCTACCCAGCCACCGGTTCCTTCTCGCGCACAGCCATCAAGTCCAAAGCCGGTGTCCGCACGCCACTCGCAGGCATCTTCACTGCAGTTCTCGTGCTCCTGGCACTGTACGCACTGACATCCGTTTTCTTCTACATCCCCATGGCGACCCTGGCAGGTCTGATCATCCACGCCGTGGGCGATCTGATCACGCCGCCCGACGTGGTCTACCGCTTCTACCAGATCTCGCCGCTCGAGGTCATCATCTTCTTCGCCGGCGTGCTCGTCACCGTCTTCACCAACATCGAAAACGGCATCTACACGGCCATCGCCGCCTCGGCCGCCGTCCTGCTCTTCCGCCACGCTCGCGCCAAGGGCCTCGTCCTGGGCCACATCAAAGTCCACTACCTAACCGACGCCGAGTTCGCGCGGCAGCAGCAGCAGCACTCCGACCCCGCCGACGCCATCGACCGCCACCACCCCCCGAGCTCCTCCTCCTCCTCCACCCCCTCATCTACCTCCGCCCCGACCAACACCACCCCCGACTCAGCCATCGACTTCCCCACCACCACCGACGCCTACCTGCCCCTCACGCACCACGACGGCTCCAACCCCGCGCTCCCTCTCTCCACCATGCCTCACCCAGGCATCCTGATCTACCGGCTGACGGACACGCTGACGTACGCCAACCAAGCCGCGTACCTGGACGCACTGACGACGGCCGTCTTCGCGCACACGCGGCCCGCGCGCGCCAGCCACTACGCGCGCCTGGGCGACCGCCCCTGGAACGACCCGGGCCCGCGCCGTGGCGAAGTCGTCGACCTCGACGCCGACGCCCGCCCCGTGCTGCGCGCCGTCGTGCTCGACTTCGGCGCCGTCGCGAACGTCGACGTCACGGCTGTGCAGGGCCTGGTCGATGTGCGGAAGCAGCTCGAGAGGCATGCGGACGCGGTGGAGGGCGGGGATGGGGTGCTGGAGTGGCATTTTGCTGGCGTGGGGAGGAGGTGGACGAAGAGGGCGTTGGCGGCGGCTGGGTTCGGGTACGGGGCGAAGGGAAGCGCGGCGGTTGGGACTGAGGGCCTGTTCGCTGTGGCGGAGGTGGGTGGAGCGAGTGTAGAGGAGGTGAGGGATGAGAAGGCTGTGGTGGGGGATGTGGAAAATGGTGGTGCGAGGAAGAGGCTCACTACCGTGTACGGCGTCAATAGGCCGTTCTTCCACATCGATCTGCCCGCGGCGGTTAGGGCCGCCGTGAGGAATGCGAGGAAGAGGGAGGAGCAGCATGTGGTGAGGACTGTGCAAGTGGACGCCGCGGGCAAGGAGGAGTGAGGGTTGTAGCCTACCGATTGGGAGTAGTAATTAAGTTTGAAGATCTGTAAAAAGAGACTTGATGAATTCTGTGTTTTGGAGGGTGAGATTCAAAAGTGTTTCAATAAGGACACAAGGCTGAAGATTACGTAGCCGTCATTTCTTCTGCACCCATCCTTCAGCCTTGGGTGATGGAGCCTGGCATGCATGTTGCTGGATTCGCGAGATAAGCATCTTGGCAGCCTGCTCACATGTCTCTTCGCCAAAGCCTGCTCTAGGAAGAGATACCTTATTCTCGACGATGCCCAAAATTTTCCTACTCTAGACTCCCTACACTGTACTGAAACTGACAGATATAGTCAAGCTGGTTCATAAGAAAACGGTATGAGCCGAAGAGAAAAGCGGGGTAGGATGTATTTTTGCGAAGCCTCTCAAAAGCAGCCTCACCGGATGATCTGCTTCTCTTGGCTTTGATCACATGGAGTGAAGCCAGCCTCTTTTTCAGCCTCGCGTGCAGGAGGCTTCTCTGCTACCATTTGGATCGTTATAATATCCGAGGAAAAGTGTACAACCCCTGTCTTAGCTGCAATGTTCATGCCCCTTTCCCATACTGTTGTAAAGTCTCAATAATGAGGCGCATCCGTTAGCCTGTCCATTCTAGCCGTGGAAACGAAAGGAAGTGCTTAGTAAAGGATATGAAAATGCCGATTTAATTTACAAGACTAGAAATTGAACGTAGATTCCATTCGCATAAGTCCGGACTCGCTATGATGCAAACTCATTTCAAACAGTCACAGCCTTAGTCAGCCCTCCCGCCACCGACATTCAAGTTGGAGCTGCATCTTTATTTGCATTTGCCACTACTTTAACGTGCTAGTATTCTCAGCTAGCCAATAAGCTTTAAAAGCTCGTCCGGGCTTTCAGTGTCGCATGGAGTGATGATACTCCACTGGGCAGACTCTACTCCGTAGCCTTGACACTTACATCAAGCTCGCGAGACAAGCGGAAAATCACCCGTGTTGGCCCAGAGGCTCGAAGCTCCCCCCCTGTGATCAGAACCAATAAGCACCACGTTTTGTCAGAAAGCCTACAAATACGTCAATCTTGCACCCATAGATATTTCATAGTCAAGTGACGCCTTACCTAAGTTTGGCTTTGATCTGCGAACACATACTGACTGTTACCGTTGGAGTCTGTAGTGGTGTAGTAGTATTGTTGATGCGTAGTGCTCCATTGCCACTGAGTCGATGTAGTCGCTACCGTCTCGGTAGGCCCCGAGCTTTGTTGTTGCGCAGGAGGCGATGCGTGGTCGCAAGGGCATGGAAGTATGCTCCGCATTGGATCCATTCCAAGCAGCTCCAGTATTCGATCTGCCTTTGGTCGCCGGGTCCTTTCCGTTGCCAACATGGGTCTAATGATTGAGCTATAGATTTGGCGGTTGTGAGTTCCCATCCCTCCCGACCCAAACCACTCATCCATAGAGCGGACGTTCTGGCTGTAAGGGGCCGGTCTTTCGTGGTCGGCTCGGAGGTAATTGTCAAACTGGTCCATTGTGTACCCGCTGATGACTACAAGCATTTCAGAGAACACACACCCTAAAGAGAATACGTCTGATCGAGTACCACGACGGTTGCGAGCCTGAGAGTTGCTTCCGCCGTCCAAATGCTCGGGTGCAGCATATTTGCGGGTGATTGCGCCAGCTGGTCCGCTATAAGATGTTACATCTCTGTTGCTGAACATTGTTGCTGACCTAAAGTCGGTGAAAAAGATTCTGTCCCTCAAGTGAATAATGTTTTGAGGCTTAATATCCTCATGACGTACACCCTGGTCATGGATATATGCAAGGGCAGATGCCAGACAGCTGAACCACTTCCGGAGCCAACCAGCATGTTCAGCTCTGCGTTGGTCGCTTTCACGGAGAAAAGTTACGAGGTTCTGCTCGCCCACTGGGGCCATGAGTGAACAATAAAGTCCTCTGCCACTCTGATCCACTTCCTCAAACGAACCCAGCAAGAGAACCACGTGGTCATGCTCTAATTGCCTGAGTGTTCTGACCTCGTCTTCAATCAACCTCCTCTTGAGCTGTCTGTCTTCATTGCTTAGGTAGACCGTCTTTTGCACAATGTTTCTCAACCCTCCCCTCACGCTCACTTCTTGGAAAAAACCAAGAAAGCCACTCCCGAGAGGTCTCCGCGTGGTGATAAGCTCTTGCGCGCTCCCAATAGCAAATTTTCGGTGATCAAGGCCGTAGGTCCAACCCGAGAGCCGGACCCAGTCCGCCCTTTCTCCTGGGTTCCCATTTGGCTGTCTTTGCCCACTTGAATGAGCCATGTCGTTCGCAAAATCTCAAGAGATTCAACTTATGGTTCCTTGAAATTCCGAAAGCCGTGGGATGTAACAAGTAGGGCGAACGACCCGCATGAAGGCTTCCAGAATATTCACGGGATTGTAATTGAGGCTGAGGCTGAGGCTCGACTTCTTGTATTCGGGTGTGACAGGGGGTTGCCAGTAAAGATATGACAAGGGCATGAGCAAACGTGCTAAATATTCACGTACTCCACTTCGGAATCTAGCCAAGCACCATCTGGTGCGTAGGAGCGATGGAACATGAGGATTTGAAGAGTCAGCGAGTGCGGGGAATCACACTTACATATCAAGCCACGTAAGCCTGAGGCAGCCTTGCAGCAGTGACAGTTCATTAAATGGCAGCCTTGTGATGTATCAGGTCATTCATTAACCACATACTAGAGGCTGGGAGTTGCGAGTGCACGCTTAATGACATGGTTCGCGCGCTGTGTGCGGATTCGCAGAACTCTCGTACAGAAGTTGGTATATTGGGATGGTTTGCTTACTGCATTTCTACAAGCTAATCCGCTTGCTATATTGATCTCACGTCCGCAAGCCTGGTCTGCTCTAAATTTCAAAGGTCATGAATGGCATCAAGATTCGTGTATATCGAAGTAGATCAAACAAAAAGCCAGAAACATAGAATACAACGTGCAGCGACGGTGTTAGCAGAGATAGCGACGGTGCTACCTGAGCAACCTTACCATATAGTCGCACGTCTGAGCGCAGAAAGAGACAAAACGAAGGAGGGTATGAAGCTCTACGCTTCCGACTCGACTTCCTTCAATTCCGCCTGCTTGGGCACGTCGGCAGCCTTCGCCGCCTTCGCCTTTGCTGTGGGGCCACCCTTAACCGCAGTATCAGCAGGGGCCTCGTCCTCGGCCTCCTCATCAGCGACTTCGGGCTCGGCTTCGTCATCGTCGGGGCCCTCGTCGGCGGCGACTTCGCCATTGCCGGCTTCCTCGTCGTCTGTCGCCACGGCTTCGGGTTCTTCGTCTTCCTCCTCGGCATCGGCCTTGGCCTGCCTGGTTGTCTTGCGCTTCTTAGGTTGCGGCTCGGCTGTTCGGCAAAAGTGACTCTTGTTAGCGCGACATCCACGGTCAAGATGAGGGCGCGGCATGGGATTTGCCGAAATAACCTGGGGAAGGGCTTGTGGAACAGTGATCGTACCTTCTTCTTCTTCTTCTTCGTCGTCATCCTCAGATGCGTCATCGTCATCAAAGGATACCTCGGAGTCTTCGTATCTGTAAGTCGTTAGACTGCAGCCTTACGCAAGGCAGGGCTGAAAGGAGAGAAAGAAGGAACGCGCGCCATTAGAGAACAGCCACGGAAACAAGAGAGGAAAAAAAAAAGAAGAGGAAGTCCGAAGGAGGAAAGGCGAACGCGGTGCACGCTCTTGAGGTTCTGTAGAAAATGCGATGGGCCGGGGAAAAAAAAAAGACAACGCGTGAAGGAAAGCCGACGAGAGCTCCGAGAGGGCGATCGAAAAGATGGGCGCGGTCATCCGCGCATCATCGGCTCAGCAAGCCGCAAGAGCTCTGCTGACGGCACAACAATGCGCGCACAACCACGCCTCGGCGCGACAAAGCGAAAAGCGGAACTGCGATCGCATGGCCTTTGCGACACCAATTGATGGCGTCGCGGGCGCATGCGACGCGACGACGCGACCGAAGGGCAGCAAGCGAAGGAAAAAAATGACGTCAGTGACTTACTCTTCTTCCTCGTCGCTCTCGTCGGAAGGCAGCGCGACGAGCTCCTCTTCCTCCTCGGCCTCCTGCTTCCTCTTGCGCGTCGACATTATTCGGGTCGGATGATATGGGGATTGCGCGGAGCCAAAGGCGAGCTGGTGGGGGCTAGGCTGTCGGGCGCGAGAGGACAGGCGCGTGAGAGGAGATGTGCAACGGAGTGAAAAGGAGGAGGTACGCTCGAGAGATGAAGGTGGAAGGCTGGCAGCTGAGGGCTGGGGTGCGGAGAAGGGCGCACCTGGGAAAGGAAGCTCTGGCCGCCTGCCGATAACAGTTGGAGCTGGCGGCAGAGAGGGGCACCTGCAGTCACGCAAGGGGCGCAGGTCGATCGTGCGTCCGTGCGGCACCCGCCTAATTTTGGGTTGCACCTCCAACACGCGTTTGCTGCGGCATGGATACGTCTGCCGTGCCACGCCCGCACCCCAGTCGCGCCAATCACCCCCCCGAAAATCGCGCTGCTGAGCAAGCCTCTCAGCCTGCCTCCGCTCTCCTTACTGCTTGCGTTTCTCGCCTGCTGACTGCCGCCCCTCCGGCGCACCCCATCATTTATCCAGGCACACTCTATCGCTCTGGGCATCCGCTGCCAGTAACGCGTTGCTTTACGCACACGTGCGTAAGCTCTCCAACGTCAGCCCTGGCGTTCTGGCAGATGAAACGCATCCGTAAATTGCAGGCTTCTCATGACAAAGACGCTGAAAGTAGCAAGATTAAGCTCCCCGACCTTTCCCGTGCTTTTACTATTTCCGGTTAGCAGCCCATGCACGCCTTCAACCTCACCTACAGCCGATGGCCGGCGCGAAGAATAGCAGGGCCAGAGAACATAGCGCAGGTATACCTCACTTCTCCCTTTTCCCCACAATGAAAAAAGAGACATGTATGGGTAGTTGAAGCTATCGTCCGGATGCAAATGTGGAATTAATGATAACTTCAACTACCCATGGTATGAGCGAAAAATAAATTCACGCTAGCCGTCGGCTGCAATGGCCCCCTGTTCGTTCAGTCGCATGCTCCAACTGTGCTTTGACTTGTCTGTCTACTTATTCGGCCACCGCAATGTTTACTTGCTTTTGTCGCTCACTCTGGAAAATTCGAGACTTGGTTGACCAGGAAATAAAGCCGTGCACACGCAGGAGAACGTCCAAGAGGAACCAGGAAACAACGGTGAGGTATACAAGATGCCAGTTACGGCTTTTTAGGGACGGACTGAGGATATTTGAAGATATGGGACCTGTAGAGATCCTCTCTCTACAGTCTATTCTTAATCTATACCGTAGTCAGTTCTTTCCACGGATGAAGTGAAGTTTGTAGCTGATCATTAGCAGCACACTTTTTTCCAGAAAGTGATGCTGGCGTCTATCTGGCCTGTAATCTCTCTCTCTCCCTCTCACGCTAGAAATATCTCGCTGGCACAACTTTGTCTCGTTCAACTTGCAGTAGCTATGGCGGATGATCTTCGGGCAAATGGTCCAGCCAGGCCCGGATTCCGCTCACTCATGTTGATAAATGTCATGGGCTCACCACACCCTTTCCATATCTTCTGCCTCCCTCTTCAACCTTCACTCCCGCGCCAGAGCCAATCCCACACGACTCCCCGCCGGACATCATGTCATCGCCTCAGCAGGGCGCCCAACGACTCGAGTCGGATTGCCTGGTCATTCTCCAGAATGGTATCAAGCTGCCGGTCAGCTCCTCAACCTTAGCAGCGGCCTCTGAGCCTTTCGCTAGAATCTTCAGCATTCATTCACAGGAGCCACGTACTGCCAGCTTACCTCTTCCAGAGATCAACAAATTTCAAGGGCGCAATGCTGACGCTGTGGCGTTCTTGCTCAGTGCCCTGCAAAATCGTCTTTCAGACACCGTCACGCCTGCTCTTCAGCTCATCAAGGAAGTTGCTACGCTTGTTCATGAGTATGAATGCGCGCCCTCACTAACACATATCTCAACAACATGGCTGTCGGAACTGAGGATGAAAGCGGACGAATCTCGGTGGCAGGGTAACGCTATTGAGAACGACAAACACGCCACCGACGACCTTATCGGCATCGCCTACCTCTTCGACAACGCAGCGGAGTTCTACAAAATTACAAAGCAGTTCACCCTGTTTCATCGTGCTGGCTTCTGCGATCTTGGAGATCTCATGGACAAGCTTCCGCCGGCGGTCATCCGTAAGTTACTCTGAACTCTTACTCCAAAATGGACCACTAAATCATATCACGATAGCTGCCATGGCCGAGCGTAAGCGTCGCATCTTCGACAAGGTTTCATATGACCTCAACAACGAGATGAATCAGCTCATGGCGCACCTGTCCGTTAACGTCGGCAACGCCTGTAATGGAGGTCATCCCCATGGTGTTAATTGCGGCTTCCTCTATCTGGCATCCCATGGTCAGGACTTCCACCCTCGTAGGCGCCAAGACTACATCCTGGATAACGTTCTGCTCGGGCTCATGGACCGGGCTTTTACGAGGTCCGATACTATGCTGTTCATCACCGATCAGACCTGCGACCGTTGCAGGGATGCTCTTTTGCCTCATGTAGATCACTTCATCGAGAAGCTGGAGAACGTTGGCACGAGGGCGTGGGAGTTGCTGGTAGGAGTCTGTCTCGACTGCGCCAAGACCCGCGGTTCATCCTTTCCCAACTGCCGCGTCACGCATGGGGAGGACAACATCTTGCTGGGAAAGCCAGATGGCAATTCCTGCTGCCCTTTTCTACATATAAGACCCGGAAATCTGCTCGGTGCTACTAGCAGCGATAGTCAGGATGTTGGGGCTCTTCATGGCACTCAGGGAAATCACGGCAATAGCTCCGCTCATTCTGTCAATGAAGATTAGGTCCATAGAGTCACCTTGCCAGCTAAAAGTTCAAGCACAAGCCGGCAACTTAACCTACCCTGACTTGAGGAGGTCAAACCTGGGCATGAGGGTCCTCGGAAATAGTAGGGCGCACTGGGCTGTTATCGGTTCAAGGTTTTGTGCCAACGAAATATTCACTGACGCTCGATTAATGGGCTGGATCCATAGCTGCGTAAATGGAGAGTATTGTGGGAAGAAACGAAAAAAAGGCTAGTGGGCCATACAATGGAAACGCGAACAACAGACCTGATGTAAGCTGCAGCTTTGTAGAGATCCCCTTATGTTATCTGATAATTTCAGATTTGTTCTTCCAGTTCATTGCTGGGGATGGATTGTCCTTCACTACTGTGATATGTATAGATATTCCCGCATTCACCAGCACTAGCCGAACTACAGAGGGGTGCTGCAGCCGATGGCTAGCGTGAAGAATAGCAGGGCTCTAGAATATAGAGCAACTATACCCCAGCTCTGCCTTGGAAAAAATAACATATATGGGCAGTCGAGCTATCGTCCGGGCGTGTATGTAGAATTTTTAATTTGACATTCTCGTCCGGACGATAGCTTCAGCTACCCACGACATGAGCAAAAAATAAATGGCTGTGAGAGGGGACTGTACATTCGATACAAAAGGAGCCGCGTATGATTGCAAAGGTATACCATCTTACATGTGGCCTTTTCCTTCTGTCAAAATATGCCGACCAATCTTGTGGTCCCAAGTTGCACCTTTGACCGTACTTCGTGGGTGGGCAAAACTCTTAAGTTTAAAGTCCAACTACAGATATATATCAGGGCAGGATCTTGTCAAAGGCCAATGCACGGACTGCCATATACTTGAAAATTATAGCGGATCACTGTCACCCTGGCTACTGAAGAACATCCACGGAACCTGTCTAAAATCGACATGTCAGCCGAAACGATGGACTTGTCTCCAGTCTACGACGTCAGTTTAGTCCTCAAAAATGATCAAAGGCTTCGAGTGCATTCACTATTCCTCCGTGTTGCATCGCCTGTTTTCGCTGCCATGTTCGGCCCTCATTTCAGAGAAGGCCGGATTCTCTCGGAAGAAACCCCGGGTGAGCTTCCATTCCCCGACGACGACCCTGAAAGCATGAAGCTCCTTTGCAAACTGCTCCACCACCAAATAAGCGAGTCGGAGCTCCCATCAATCGATGGCCTTCTGGAGTTTGCAGTACTGGTTGATAAGTACGACTGCCGGAGAGCCGTCTTCAGAACTGCCAACGCATGGTTGGAAGAGCACTTTGCAAGAGCTCAGGAAGACGATGAACAGCTTGACGCCAAGTTTCTTGCAATCGCAGCAAGTCTTCGTCTAACAAATATGTTTGCCGTAATCAGCAAAGAGATGATGCTCCGCCAAAAGGGCAGCTTCTGGAGATTTTCACACGTCAATGACTTCCTGCCGCCGGCGACTCTCATCGCCATGACCGAGGTGACACACAAGTTGAAATCAGCGTTGCGTGACACTGTGGAAAAGGAGATCGATCGTTTGCTGGAAGTGGATGGCGGCTTCGATGCGTTCAGCACCTCCCAACGCTGTAGACAGCATTGTGCTGAGCGTATCAAACGGACAGTCACATGGACGCACTGCGAAGCGGAAAAGTCGCTCCTGGAGCAGCTTCGCTACTACGCCGGTGCCCCACGGGGGTCGCACAAAACAGGTTTCCTAGAAGAATGCTTTCGGCTGTGGGGCGCACATCCACAATTCCATCCCTGCGAGGAGTGTCGCACGGACTTCTACAAAAGAATTTCCAATGTAATGCAAGATATTGTTCACTTTTTGGAAGACGAGCTCGGGTGTGGTCTCTGTTTTAACTGCATTGAGGACTACCCGAAGTGCGTTGAGACGAGTAGGGAATGCCCCCACGCTAATTAGCGAAGGACTCAGTGTAGTATTCCAGACCTTTTATCTAAGTGTGCATAGTTTTTTTCTCTTTCGGTTTGCTCACGTAGGCAGAGTGAAATATCCCCCGTGGCACACGGAAGGTCAATTCATTCACAATTTGCCATGAACAGAAAAGTCACTACTACAACGAGATTCGAAGCGTGAACTTATGAAGGCCAAGTGACTCCTCGACAAAAAGACACGTGATTCGATTTGTCTTGCGGAGGAAGTGACCCATCGCTTGGCTTATCGGCGATATAAGCGCGCCTGCCTTTTTGCTCCCTCTGCACCTCCACCCACCCTCTATCTACCCTCAACGCTGCGACAAATACTCTTCACCAATTTCCATCACATTACATCCTCACGGCAGATCCCTTCACAAATGGCGTCGACAAATCGCATCACTGACGATCTACCCGCCTCCGAGTCCCAGGTTGCTGACAGCGTCGACGAGCTGACACAGCTTGACCCTCCAATAATTGAGATCGCACCACGCGGCGATGTCGTATTCGTCCTTGGTGGTAGTGAGATGAAGCTCAAGGTCTCATCGGAGGTCATGACGCTCGCTTCACCCGCTTTTCATGCCATGTTCAGGCCCGATCGTCCTTGGACTGAAGCGCAGAACCTGAGCGAAGACCAACCCAAAGAGGTTTCGCTGCCGGACGACCACCCTGAAGCCATGAAGCTCATCTGCGAGGTCCTTCACCATCAGCACGATGCACACAAAGCCGAGTATCCCGAATGGAAGCTGGTTGCCCATGTCTCACGTCTCACAAACAAATACTTCCTCCAGAAGGCTTTGAGCTACGCTTCCGAGCAATGGCTCACATACCATGTCGACAGGGTCCGGAAGAATCACTACACAGATGCTGAAGCGGAAGAACTTCTGGCTACTGCCTATCTGTACGATTGCCCAAGGCTATTCAGAACTATCAGCGGGGATTTGGTTGTATATCATAGGTTCTCATTCAAGGAGATAGCATCCATGCCCGAAGCTCCTATCCACACTGTCCCCCGTAAGTGGCTCTTCCGGAGTATGGATGCAACCGTGTCAGGCTTTTCTCTAATAAGTTATCACGCAGTCATGCTTGAAGAACAGCGCAATTACCTCAAGAATGAAATGAACAAACTCATTCAAAGGCAGGTTTCATCATGGTTATCTCGTCGGGCTACCTTCAGCAACGGGTGTACCACTGGCACCTGCACAGCGATCCTATACCGGATCCTCATGGTCAAGGCCATGTGGAGAGAAGACTTTGAGAGCGCGTTCTTCATCTTGACGTTCTGGTCTACAAAAGCATCTCCCTCACCTTGCCTGGCGCTTCCTTCTAATATTCTGGAGTATTGCGCCGACTTCGTTTCATATGAATATGGTGCTTCTAATGTTTGCCCGGCATGCACAGGAGGTTACTTGGATATTTTTAAGGAGGAGGTCCTGGAAAAGCTCGAAGCCCCACTGAAGGCATTACTGGAGACGGATGGACTGTGCCTAGATTGCACATGTCACAAAGGCAAAAGGGTTTGCCGTCTCCCTCATGCGCATAACATGGGGGTTGACTTGCTTCGAGACTAGGGGGAGAAGCCATTCAGAGAACAAGATGCTAGGTTGAGTGTTTAGAGATCTCTGTTATTAGGTAGGATCAATTTCAGTTCAGTATATGCTCTGCCTGAGATAGTTGCTGTGTGTCTGCTTGAGCTTGCTCGTTCTTTCTGTTTGGGGTGAGCTCCCCAATGCGGTTAAGCTCCAGGCGGCAGTGCGCTGCGAGGCAATCACGGTGGGCGCAGCGCTCCCCATTTCCTTTGCACAAACGTGCTCGAGACCACTCAACAACTCAGACACAATGGGCCAAGGCGATGGCGACAATGGCAAGGGTGGCCAGCGCGCCGCTAAACGCCAAAGAACAGATGTCGAAAGCGCTTCACTCTCACCTAAGCGCGGCAATCCTGTCGACGACACCGCGAAGCCCATCACCAATCTTGCTCCCAACGGCGATATCGTGCTAGTCTTCAGCGACCACTCCCGGCTGCGAGTCCACTCAGTCGTTCTGGAACTCGCATCGTTAGTCTTCGAGGCCATGTTCAGTCCTCACTTCAGCGAAGGCCGGAACCTTGGTAAGGTAAATCCGAAACAAGTACCACTACCAGGTGACCCACCGGAAGCCATGACCAGAGTCTGCGAGATGCTTCATCATCATAACCGATCCGGACCTGCTCCAAAAGGGGTGCTTCTGCGAGATATCGTCACTTTGGTCGACAAGTATGGTCTCGTCGCTGCTACAAGACTGCAAATCAGGTCATTCTTGGAGGAACAAATTGAGGAAGCGAAGCGTTCTCGATTCCGCGGCAACTTCGATGAAGAGCTTCTGGCAATGTCGTACATGCTGAAGGATGAAAAGGCATTCAACCTGATTAGCCGCGAGCTGATCGTCTTTCATGGTCGATCATTTGGAACCTTGAATGACCCGTTCAACATCCTTCCTTCACGCGTACTTGGTACGCTTTGCCTCTTCACTAATATTTGGAAAGATATAGCTGACTGCTACCAAGTGGCTCTGGAAGAACATCGAAATGCCGCACGTAAGGATTTGAACCTGATCATCACCCAGGCCCTAACTTCCTGGTTTCAAAGTTTCGACACCATGAGCCAATGCTGCAAGCGCCCTCACGATGATTGCGCCATGGAATTGCTTCTTGCCTTTCTTGCGAACAGACACGACATCCTCAATCGCGACAAAGAGGACTTTATCGCTCACAAATTCGACTATTGGATGGACCCGGGCCGCGAGAACAGAGAGTTTTCACAAGACACCTTCACCGACCTCTACGATGATTGGATCCCGGGTTATGTTTGCTCAAGATGCCGCATTGGCACCCAGATCAAGCAGGTACTTTGCCTCTCTCTACACCTGGCTGCAGAGGCAGGGTACAACAAAATACCCGGTCTACATCTCAGGTCATTCCGCGATTAGGGCGATACCGGAGCACGAAACTACGGAAATATGACAGACGAGCTCGATAATGCAGTCTTTCTTGCTGATGTATGACACAATTTTTACGAGACCGGACACCATACCAGTTTGTTGCAATGAGTCCGGCCACAGCTAACCTTCGGCTCTCGATGGAGCGTTCATTCCACAATTACTTCAGTATGGGGGCTAGCCAGGATGGTTCAGACAATTGTTGCAAGGATGATGCGTGTCACAAGGGAGCGGTTACTAAAGTGGCTTAGGGTGCTGTAATGGAATGCGATGTGGAGCTGCGGGACCTGTGTTAGAAATATATTCAGCTGCATAATAGAGATATTTGCGATACATGTCGTAGCTATGATAGCTTTAGCGTTCCACCGGTCTTTTAAAAACTGAATTGATATAATTTCTGGTGCATTTCAATGACCTTTAGCTGTTTTTCGAGACTTTATCGACGACTACCAGGCTCAAAAGGCCCATACACGTATTTGCTTTTGTTGGTGCTTGAGTTACTTGCCCCGCTCCACTTTGCAGATATGTGTGCCTTCCTGCTATCAAACTAGCTCTGGTGGAAATTCTCGAAGATTCTCGCAGCCGCGGCTGGCTGCGGTAGGGGTGGCTGGTCTTTTATCTCATCCGCCACCAGTCTCCCACTATTTGCTCCCAAGACATACTTATGCAGCGTATTATGGCACCTCCACTCGGTCACGAAGCCAGCACACAGTACAATCTTCCTAAACGCAGGACCTGATTCGGCCGCGAGCCCAATGGAACATCTCCCCCATGGAGGCAGTGACGCGATCCACATTGTCGACAAGTACGATATGTCAGCAGCGCTGAATGGCGTCAGCGAGATTTGGTTGACTAACGCTATTATGGCAGCCCGGTATCATAACTACTGAAGCAATCAGGGAGCTCACGCAACCCTTATCCGCTGTTCGCTTTTTGTGGATGCTGCAAATGCCTTTCATATTGCAACTCTAAGCACGTTATTGTACCACAGACATTCAGTTGCAGATTCTCACCGGGATATGGTGGAGTTTCATAACCTTCGGTACCACACTTGCAGAAGATGAAGCTACGCAAGGAAGGGATAGTAGGCTCCGTACTCTCTGCAGTAGCAGCTTCATGCAGGCCGTCGAGCAGAAGATCTTTGCTTCTTGGCCCAGCCCATTGCATGACGGATGCCCTTCCGTGGCGGAGGTTCTCGACGACTTCAAAAATGCGCCAAGATATGCAGTGGGGATATTTGCGCTGTTCGATGCTGATTGGCTCCGAAGTTGTATGCCAGAGCTGCGCTATGGATGAAGGCTGGAAGAAACACTTGCGTTTGATCATGGGCCTGGCGGTTGAAAAGTGTTTGAACTCGATCAACAGGGTGTATCTTCACGAAACCGGGAACAGTTGACTTGCCCCAATCAGTGGCCTTATAGATCACAATGGAAAATTCAACAAATGCTCTGAAAAGCACCGCTCCTACTGAGGCAGCTATTCGCACGTGATAGTGGCTTTGCTGGTGATAACGTACTGCTCGAAGGGGCGCACTTGGACTTTTCGATCGCGTCCAGATAAGCTTGTCCACCTCACCTCCAGACTTCCGCGTCATAATCCTCATCCAGAACACCAGCGATATGGACGATGACGAGGCAACCCCGGCGCGTTATAGTGCGCAAGATCCTCCCACCCACTCGAACATGGACACGGAAACCATGGTTTCATTCTCTCATGTTTACAGCGGCAAGGAGCTCAGCAGCGTCAGTCCGGAGACAAGGATCACGAACATAGATCCCGATGGAGAATTGTTACTTTACTTCGAGGAGCCCAGCGACTGCGAAGCACGCAAGATGCAGCTCCTCGCCCTGCGCGTTTCCGCTAAAGTCATGAAGCTGTCGTCATGCATCTTCGGGGGTATGCTCAGCCCCCATTTCCGAGAGGGCCAAACCCTCAGTCAAGCCACCACCACCAACCCGAAGATAATTCACCTGCCAGAAGACGATTTCACCAACATGAAGACCATATGTGAGGTTGTACACTACCAAAACCCAGCTCCACCAGATGACTGGCTCGACTTTGCGAATCTGGTGGAGAAGTACAAGATGAGTGATGCAATAAGACACACGAGCGAAGCCTGGCTTGCCGATGCGCTTCACGGTAGGGCTCCTTCACGGACACCTAAATCGTGGTACCAAGAGCATCCCGAGATACTACTTTTTGCTGCATGTTTACTGGACGCCCCATTCGCGTTCCACGACGCCAGCCTGGCTTTTCTCCGCTGCCGTGAGACACGTCACACAGATTTCAGTCCACTCATGGAGAGTGGGCTTCCGCTGCCATACTCTGTGCCGGGTAAGTTGCCTCCTGTATCAGCCTTCGTCTCACGATAATTTGACTCACTCTTTTCTGCTTCAGTTCTGCTGGAATCGAAAGCTGCTTCAATCAGGTCAATGCTGGAGAAGACAGTCAACGAAAGCATCCAGAGATGGTTCAGCCAATACCCTGGAATATCTAGCAACTGCACGGCAGGTTCTTGTGGCATAGCCTTCCTGACAGCTTTCGCCGTGGATAAAGACAACATCCGTAGTCAGGAACAAAGGCATGGCCTAGACGCATACTTCCACTACTGGAGGCATCCGGACGAGAGTACACCTTTTGATGTGGCCCCGAGTTTTATCAAAAGGTTGAGGGATGAATGGCTTGAACGCAATATTGCATGCTCGTATTGCAGACAGGGGGTTGATCTTGGGTTGGGAGGGCATCTGCGGACTGATTTGCACCCCAAATTGGAAAAGGCGTACGCGAACATCTCAGGTCTGTGTCTGGATTGCGCCCGCATGTTTTCCGAGGACCCTAAGCCTGAATGCCGCATCAAACATGACTAGAGTCGGAGCATCTCATCCTCAGCTTTCGTACGAGTGGGGACTGAAATCCTTTTGATAAGTGTCAGTTGATTGCACCACTCGAAGCCAAAATGGTCCACATTGAGCGTTGAATGGTTCGTAAAAAAAATAAAAAAAAAACGACGATTTATGTATGTCTTAATTGCTTGTGGAATGGTGGTGCGCAAGGTGACTGCCACAGTGAGTGCCGAAAGATCTAAGCCATCGTAACTAATTTCTTTCGGCAACTCAGGTCTGCTTACGTAGTTGAAGCCACTATCTGGACGGACATGTATATTTAATAATTCAACATCTACGTCTAGATGGTAGCTTCAACTACCCACGCACGAATAATTATGCCTCGTGGAGAAAGTTGCGAGCGATCATTTCTTTTGGCACCGACGTGACTTCCGCGTTTCATCATGCTGTCCTCCATCGATAATCTGCCGGCCTCCAACTCACAGCGAGTAAACATATTGTAGGTTGTAGTTGCATATGATATTGGGAAATTCCCTGCGGATGGAACGTACGTCTAGGTCAATTAGTATATTCATATGTACCTACAACGCCCTCATGTCTGTCATACACTATTTTCATCCACGCATTAGCTTCGCGTGCCAGGCATCGTACATTTTCCCAGGCATTACCACGTGTTTAAGCTTTCCCGAGCGCCGTACTCCACTTCCGTTCCATTCGACATTCTTCATGAACCCCCTTAACCTTTCCACACCTTATCAATTTCCCTTAGACAGGCAGCTCTGAGTTCCGCCTTCCACCCGAAATTCTTTCCAGGAAATTCGCTGCGTATGGGCCCACGTATGGAATCGGTCTCACGAAGCCGGCGATGGTCGCGAAGAAGTCACCGAACAGGACGAAGATGCCGTAGAGCTCAACGCAGAAGCCAATCAGCGGCCAGCGGAGGAGGATGAGCAGGATACCGGTCACGAAGGCGGCGGTGCCGGCGATCTTCTGGCGGCGCGCGAAGAAGAGAAGTGTCTTCTGGAGACCGATGAGGAGAGTGAGGCCACAGATAAAGAGGATCTGATCCAAGCGTTAGAGCGGTGCGATCGAGCGCGTCGGCAAGAAGGTTCAGAGGCCGTGGTGTGGACTTGAGGGACGTACGTTGCCCATTGCTAGCCTGTACGCTGTGTTAGCGGGCTCCACTGCAAGATGCGGGACACTGCAGGCTAGGAACTCACAGTGCCCTATCGAAGAACATCATCACTCCCGCTAGGAGGAAGAAGCCGCCTTTGTTTACCAGCGTCAGACCTCAACTGCACTTCTCCAAGAAATATACATGTTTTGGGCGGTGCGATGTCGCGCAAGACGAAGAGACGGGCGCACGCCGGATTTAGTCGTACCTACCCCCTGAGCAGAAGGCGACGCCGATTTCTGTTTGTCTCCATGTTAGCCGGTCGTTCATGCAGCGTGAGGTATGCGCGACGTAACGGCGGTGCGAGGGATGCAAGCAAAGGCTGAACATACTTTGGGAATCGCTGAGCCAGAACGACGGCATTTTGGCGGTCGATGAAATGCAAGGCGGGTTTGTAGAGGATTAGAAGAAGAGAAATAAAGACCGGGCGGTCGCGAAGAGAATTGGGCGTTCCAGAATACGTTTGAAAGTAAGGTGGAAGGAGTGCCTGGCGTTTGTCGGGCGCGACGGAGGTGATCGGCCACTAGAGTGGCCTCTGTCTAGCGCGAGGTACAGGGAACGCACGTTTCTTGGCGCGTCCGCACAAAACGATCTCTGTCGCTTCCCGCAACCTCAACACCCACGCATCTCGGCAAGCCGCGTCGAGGCGCCTCGGAACCAGCGCACCCACTCTCCGATGCGTGACGCGAATGAAGCTGTTCTGAGCTCTGCATGTCATCAAGCTTCACGCTGCGGTCCAACCTTCACGGGACATGCTTGCACAGATTCTACAGCGCCGACCCTAAGATGCTGGCAATGTCTGTTTCTGGGTATCTCTTTATTATTTCTTGGGACTAATCATACAGCTCCATCTCTTCAATTCCACCATTGAAATACAGCACCGCCTTGGCAACAGTCTGAACCTTTTTCTGCTGTAACTGAGGTCTCATCCCGTGAGGCCTCGGTACCCTGCCACCTTGGGCGAAGACCAAACATGATCCCGATTAAGCCGGAGCGTCTTCTTGAACCCTGTCTCGAGAGGGGCAGGGCGGGTGGAAGAGGTTTGACTTTGTGGTTCGAACATGCCGTAGCATATTTGAGTAATTGAGAAATCGTCCAGCACTCGCGATGAGGAGCCGACTTTTGAGCATTTCCGTGCTTTCTCGACAATATTGATGCCCGTCTGATTGTAGCAGCTTTCCGTTGTGCCTCCTGCTCTTTATTTGAGGACCGTGTGCGCTCCTCTAGCGGCAAGATAGCCTTCGGTCATGCTCTGGCCCATCAGCCTGATATTGCCAAACACCTCGGCGTTGTGATAGCGTAATCTCGTCTTCGGATCCGTATAGGCCGCCGGCAAGCCTGTGACGTCGCAATATTTCCGCTTGACCTGCAAGCTCGGAGGCGCCTCGATGTTCGTGTATGTGACTGCCGGGCCGCCCGCTGCTGCTACCGCCCTTCCATTCTTCTCCAGAACCATAGCCGACAGGTTCTGAGCGGCTTGTGCAATGTTCGAGGACGAGCCGGTCGAGCCATTGGCCGGGGTCGCATTGCCCGTTCCGCCGACAGCGATGGCGGCGGGCGTGGAGCTGCCGCTGTTGTTCTGGGTGGCCATGACGGAGGCTTCCTTGCGCTGGGCTTCGGCGATGATCTGCTTGACGTTCTTGTTGCGGCGTTGCGGCGGCTTCCAGTTGGGGTTGCGGAACGGCTTGTGGACACGGAACATGTCGAGCCGGTCGAGCAGGGCCTGGTGGTCCAGCTCCGTCGGGTTGTGCGTGATGGGCGCCATGGTCGGGGAGGGGGTGGAGCTTTTCGGAGGGTGGCGGTAGGTGATAGTGGAAATGGGCGAGATGCGCTGCTGCACGACAGCTGAACTGGGGAGCTCCCGCGCGTATACCGCATTCGGGTTAGCGGCTCCTGCTCGGTGTTGATGGCCTCGTAGGGCTGCGAGGTGGGAATCAACAAACACGCTGCCAACGAGCGACGCAATCAAAGCCCTTCACGCAGTACCACAATTGAACAACATGGTATGCAGCTCTAGCTTTCGCGTGATAGGTCTGGATATTGACACCATGCCCGCAGGAAAGCCCTCACGAGCACCAGCAGAGCCTACTCCTTGGCCGCATCATCACCAATGTGGTACGGCTTGCGTATGCACCACGCCCGGAAGTGCTATGCGCTAATATGTCAACGCAGGAGAAACTCAATGAGGCGATCATGGTTCTGAACAAGAACCTTCAGGTGTGTTTCTTTCTGCCCATGTCCAAGCGGTCAGACCTGACAGTTTGTAGGAGATCAATATTCAGAACATGAATGTCGAGCTGGTCGCTCAGATGTTCAAGAACTACCAATCTAATGTGCTGTTCCACCTCGAAGGTAAATTGAATTTCATTACCAATTTGGCCGAACAATGCTGACAGAAAGCAAAGCAACGGACAGCCTCAAAGACCCGGTTGAGCAGTGAAAAGACCGATTCTCCACGTCGGCATGAGGAAAGATCGGCGTGCATTATGTATTTTTTTTTCGGGGAGCATTACTGGCTGGATAGTGGTGGTGGTCGATTCGATGGGCATTTTGGCGTTTGCCGCCGCAGAGAGCGAGCCGGGGTTGTTTGGGAAGCTTGACGATCTGCGGCGCTTGGTGCTTGTGGAGCACCTCCGGACTTTAGACACCTGAGATACCTTAGCTTTCAACTTCCTTACAACACACCGCGCCCGCCCAGCCCCCGCACCGTGACCTGGCCTTCAGATCATGACATAGTAGCTCTACGCCTGCTCGTTCCAACACCACCGCCGCCGACACCATGGCCCAGCCTGCCTCGAACGGCGCCGCGCAGGATGTGCGCAACGCGAAGCCGAGTCCTGAGAGGATATGGTCTCTCAAGGACCCCCCCTTCGAGGGAATTCGCGACATTGACAACGAGGGCTACCGCCGTAGCGATTCCAACACGGCCATCGTCATCGACAATGGTACGAGCAGCCTCCTACCCAGCTTTCAGCTCCCGAACACTGACCTAGCTGCTATGTAGGCTCGTCCGCTGTGCGCGCCGGCTGGGCCTTCGATGAAAGCCCACGCCTCTCAGTTGCACCGATGATGGCTCGCTACAGAGACCGCAAGCTTAACACCACTTTCCAATTCATCGGTAACGAGGTCTACGCCGACGGCACCGCGCGTGGCCAGGCCAAAGGCGTTTACGAGCCCGGCACGAATGTCATCAACAACTGGGATGTGATGGAGGGTGTTCTGGACTATGTCTTCACAAAGATGGGTGTCAACGGCTCCAGTGGCGGCATTAATCGCCCTGTCGTCATGACGGAGCCTGTCGCAAACCTGGGATATTCGCGAAGGAGTACGTCCCCAGCTCCGGCATGGACGTGGCGCAGGCTGACACCAGTGCTTCTACAGCTATGTCTGAGATTCTCTTCGAGCTTTATGGCGCGCCCTCTGCGGCTTTCGGCATCGACTCCCTCTTCTCGTATAACTACAACAACGGCAAGAACGGCCTCGTCGTCTCCTCGTCCTACACCTCCACCCACCTGATTCCCGTCATCGAGTCCAAAGCCATGCTATCCCACGCCACGCGCATCAACTGGGGTCGCTTTCAGACCGCCGAGTTCCTCCAGAAACTGCTCCGTCTCAAATACCCGACTTTCCCCGGCAAGCTTACCGATATTCAAGCCGAAGACCTTGTCCGCGAACATTGCTACGTGTCGCAAGATTACGAGAACGAGCTTAGCAAATACCTTGACTGGACTGGGTTGGAGGATCGGGATCATGTCATCCAGTTCCCTTTCACCGAGCAGGTGGTGGTGCAAAAGACCGAGGAGGAGCTGGCGCGTGCTGCTGAGAAGCGTAAGGAGAGTGGAAGGAGACTGCAGGAACAGGCAGCGAAGATGCGTTTGGAGAAGCTGATTGCAAAGGAGCAGGAGCTGGCGTACTACAAGGAGCTTCAGATCAGGCTTTCGGAAACGACCAAGAAAGAGGGCAAGCGCATTCTCGAAGGAGAGGATTTCGATGACGAGGCGCAGCTGGAAAAGAGAATCAGAGAGCTGGACAAGTCCATCCGGAAGGCTAGGAATAAGGACGTCGGTGATATGGAAGAGGAAGAGAACGAGCCACCGACGTTCCCGCTTGTGGATGTGCCAGATGACCAGCTCGACGAGGAGGGCCTGAAGCAGAAGCGTCAGCAACGCTTGATGAAGTCTAACTACGAAGCTCGTCAACGTGCAAAGGCTGAGAAGGAGCGCGAAAAGGCAAGAATTGCGGAAGAAGAGCGCCTGGATAATGAGCGAAGAGAGAATGATCCCGAGACATGGATTGACGAGAGAAGGGCAGCACGCCAGGTTCGTCTTCCAAACGTGACTCTACATAGCCCCAAAACTAACAGGCGGAAAGGCCATTATTCAGAAGATCAAGGACAGGGAACGCCTGAAAGCCGACTTGGGCAACCGCAAATCTCTCGCTGCACAAATGCGCATGAAGAGCATTGCCAACCTTGCCTCCGACAACCCGACAAAGAAACGCCGCCGCGGTGCCGACGAAGACACATTCGGAGCTGACGATGCCGACTGGGGCGTCTATCGCACTATTGCTACTGGTGAAGGGTCGGATGATGAGGAAGAAGAGGATCTCAACACCTCCCTCAAAGCCATAGAAGCACAGCTTCTCAAGCATGACCCCAACTTCACCGAAGAAAGCACCCGTGAGGCGCAGATGGACTGGACCAAATCTCTCCTCCATTCCTTCACCCACGGCCCGTATGCATTCGATCCTGAGTCACAGCGGGAAGCTCACCAGATCCACCTGAACGTCGAGCGTATCCGCGTCCCAGAAGTTGTCTTCCAGCCGTCCATTGCCGGCCTCGATCAGGCTGGCATTGTTGAAATCGCGGCCAGCATCCTGACGGAGCGCCTCGCAGATCACCCTCGCCAGAAGGACGTCTTGAGGGACGTTTTCCTGACGGGAGGCAATACGTTATTCAAGGGCTTTGAGGAAAGGGTGCGGGATGAGCTCAGAGCGTGTCTGCCGATTGAGGCACAACTAGTAGTCAGGCGGGCGAAGGATCCGGTGCTGGACGCGTGGAAGGGTGCCGCAAGGTGGGCGAAGAGTGGGGAGAGCAAGAAGAGTTGGGTCAGCAAGGCGGAGTGGGCAGAGAAGGGCGGCGATTATATCAAGGTGAGTCGAGCACATGTGGATGAGAATGTGACATTGAAACTGACTATGGCTACAGGAACATGATTTCGGCAACTCTTACTCATGGTAAGCAGGAAAAGATAATTGGACGTAGAAATGGGTTAGACGTTTGCTGGTTATTCATGATGGCATGGAAAGTTCTTACTAAACGAAAAAAGTATTCCCTAATTGTACGGATCCAAGTGCCAGACAAGCGGCAATTATTCGCTTCTCAGTTTCTGCGTGAACTCAGATACCATCACGTTGAAGAGTGTCGCGCCTGCCGCATGAGGGCTGACCTTGACCCTGATGTTTCCCGTATTTAGAAAAGGTACACACTACGAGTCCTTCCTACATTCACCAACATATCAACTTCCAGCAAAGCGCGACTTCACCGCAGGCGAATAAATACCTGCAACCTGAGTTGCCTGGTAGCAATCTAGGCTATAGCCACCACGGTCTGAAGCCCACCCTACTCACCGCTGATACGGATATGAATTCTCACTCAGCTCCCCATTCGGAGCGGTCAACTGAAACTCAGGCAACCATGCCGTTTGAGGAAGGCAGTGACGTGGGTGAAGAGTTTGAGGATATCATGGAAGATGAAATGGACCTGGACGGCAGAACTGACCCAACCACGGATGACTATGTCCAACCGGTCATGGACGATGAGCTCGACTCTGATGGTGATGAGAGTGTTGACTCCTATGAGGTACAGTTTCATACATCTTCAACCTACAACACCACAACTGACGTGCCTTGTAGCAACTCCCAGACGAGAGCGACGAAGATACGCCCTACCTTTCAGCTCGCTCTCACCCTACCGACAAGAGCGGTCGCAAGCCAGGAACAGCAGGAACCCGTGGGCAACCCTCATCCTCGGCCACTATCGCCGCTCCCGGAAACACGACTGCCTCCGGCAGTGAGACCACCACCAACCGCTCATTTGACTCCCCCAAGCACGGCCGCGCCCTGAGCACCAGTCTCGACGCCGTCAACACCCTCATTTTCACCATGAAAACCTTGGGTCACGGCGACAAAGCGGTAGCCGCGATGCTGCGCGAGAAAGGCCTCGGCACCTACGACGCGAAGACCATCTCGACGCGGTACCGGCGCATCCGCGAGGCCAAGATGGCCGAGACGGACGCGGCGCTGCGCACGCACCGCAGGCACTGGACCACGGACGAGGACGCCGCCCTCATGGACGCGTACCTGCACGCGCTGCGCCGGCAGGACAAGGAGATAGCGCGGCTGCGGAAGAGGTTGTTCAAAGACGTGGCATCTCGCCTGGTGGACACGCTTCCCAAAGCGTTCTTCTCGGCCGAGGCGTGCGAGAGCAGGCACGCGGAGTTGAGCAGTGGCAGGGCGGTAACGGAGAGAGATTTGAACGATCCGGAGGTAGCGAGGGCGGAGGGTGGGAGGAGGCTGATGGCAGTTTGCACGGCAGATATGGAGAGAGTTGGGAAGGAGTGGATGGAATGGGAGGATGCGATTGTGAGGGAGTTGGCGGAGGGCGAGAGGGAGAGGAGGGCGGAGCTGAGGGTGGAGAGGGGTGGGACGGTCAGACAGTTGAGGGCGGAGCGTGGGCCGGTGAGGAGAGGCAGGCCGAGAGGAACAAAGAATGGGCTTGGACGGGGAAGAGCAGTAGGTCGAGGTGGAAAAGGAAAGGGAGGGGATTGAGTGCGAGTTGAAGAGCAGGTAAGAAAAAAAAAAGGTTGGGAAATCGGATGAGCTGGTTTAAATGGATGGATATGAGATGATTTTAGGGGTGGATCCGGTCTCACAAACCTTTGATCTTGGTGGAGTGCGGTCTTGGTAATGCATATCAGAAGGTAGCCAGCAGGGTGCAGACCCACCGATGCGGGGCCGCAGAACGAATGATAAACTGTGGAAGCAGTCCATACATACCACTAGCAGCTGAATTGAGCGATGATGCCTAACAGTACATTCCGATCTCCACACTTTGAGCTTCCGCTTGTCCGTGCCCATCTCCACGGACTAATCATGTGTAGATTTGATTGACTCGAAAATACGGGGAAGCGTTGTAGCGCCCCGGATTCCCCGGCGTTGGTCAAGCCGCAATTTCCGTGCCTCCAGAACGATGTGGAGATTCTGCATCAGGAAATGTTTCTCCTGTGAGAAACATAGCAGCAGCTTTAGAGATTTCAGTGACCACTTCGCTAGAGCGCTTAAACAACCAGATAGGCGCTCTACCATGAAGTGGACGATCTCTTGATAATGCTAGCGATGTGCTCATCAGTATTTTCTGTCATCAGACCAGTAAGTTGCCCCACTCGTGCACAAAGCTGCTATCCCAACGGATCCACCACGCTACACATCCGTTGTCACAGCCACAGACAGAACAACACGTCCACCTCAGCAAGCGGCTCCGCACTGGCAGCTCCCGGACTGCCGGGAATGCATATCCAGGCCAGGCAGAACTCCCCACGCCGGAGCCTCGCCTCCAACAATTGCATAAGCAACGTCCCTGCGGCTACCCACCGGTACACCTGCCAGTTTTTGACGCGCCTTCGCGGCAAACCTCCTTCGAGTGAATTCCGCAAACAGTCATTTGGGAAACTTAAGACCAAGGGGTGGCGCTCCCGTCGGCGGCTAGCAGGCGGAAATAAGTTGAGTTCAGGTTGGGATAGTTACCCCAGACTCACCCCCGCTTTCTTTTGGCCATCTACCCCGCACGACGGCCCGCCGAACGAGGCCCGCCACCAATTGCGCGTGTAAGTAGCATATCCGGGCGCCGGAACGAGCAGATTTGGGAAATACCGAGCTTCGCTATGGCCTTTTTGCACCTCCGCATCGTCGGGTAAGGGGCTGGATGACACGGCCGTAGCACACGTCAAACCTGCGTCGCGGTCCCAGAGAAGAGCCAGCCAGGACCCACCCGGGGGGCTGGGTAAAGCAAGCTCAGGGAGTGCAACCAAGTCTGTGGCTCCGCCCAGAATAAGTTGCCGGGCGTCGTGCAGGAATTCTTTGTGTTAATGGGAAAGTGAAATATTCGACAGAGCCAGCCCGTCCCCTGGCCTCAGCCCTGCTACCACATGTGCAGTATGCTTGACAGTCGTATGGCGCGGCTTTCTTCCGTTTCGTGGGTCCCACAATCGCCGCAGATATCCGCTGCTGCATCATTGCTCCACACCTCTTTTCCGATAGACGTGCAGATCTGAGAGAAAGAAAGGTCGATGCATGCGGGTCCGTTCTATCTCAGTTAGGCGCTGTCGTTCCACGCCACTCACGCGTACAGCACCCCGCCGAGGAAATCATTGTCTTTCGAAGGGGGCCTTCTAAGCCAGCGCTCGTTGCGGGCTAAAGGAAGGAGTGTAGGCAAAGGCAGTCCCTGCATGCATCTGGAACCTTGATGAACAAAGATCGCCGTTTTGCTGACCACTTGATCGTTGGCCCGGATTACTTGCTACACAGATCCAGCCCTGTGATAGGACTCGCCGGGGGAAAAGACCCCGAATTGCAGTAATTCCCCGGTGTGCAAAACAGCAATCCTAAGCGCCGCCGGCACGTGTACCGTCGAGGACTAGGATGGTTGCATATGTGGATGATGCGTGCATGCCCTCGCGTTCCTGGCTTGGGAAGAATCCGTTGCCCCGGCATGTGCACATGTGTACATGTGGGGAGACGGCGCGTAGGTTGGGGAAAGCTATCCGGAGATCGACGCACATATAAGTAAGCTGCCCGCGGTTGCAGTAGTCCTGTCCGGTCTGAATCTCACCCCAAAATCGCTGCTTTTCTCTTCGTTTGAGAGTAATTTGTCTGTACAGTCAGCGTTAACGCCTTCCGCTTCAATTGCAAACAGAATTCACCGCGGCTATGTCTTTTCGCAAAGATATCAGCTCAGAACAGCCGACAAGGGCTGGCCAGACGGACAACTATGCGGATAATCTTGAGGCCGATGTCCTGATTGTCGGTGCCGGATTTGGCGGGATCTATCTGCTGCATAAACTTCGCGACGAGTTTGGGATGAAGGTTAAGATCTTGGAGGCAGGAAAGGACCTCGGCGGGATCTGGTAAGCTTAGTTTCGGGCCCAGTCGTGACGATTACTGATTCGCGAGAAATAGGCATTGGAATTGCTACCCCGGCGCACGTGTCGACTCAATGGTTCCGGTGTACGAATACAGTCTTGACAAGCTCTGGAAGGTTGGCTCTAGCCCAGTCAAAATCAGGGGTGACAGATGGCTAACCAAATGGTGCAGAACTGGAATTGGACGGAGAAGTACCCAGACTACAGCGAACTGCGCGAGTACTTCAACTTCGTCGACCAGCAGCTTGACATCAAGAAAGACGTCGCTTTCGATTCGAGGGTCGTTCACGCACAGTTTGAAAAGCCTTCACAAAGATGGGTTGTGAAGATGGAAGACGGCCGGACTGCACACTCAAAGTTCTTCATCTGCGCCACAGGCTTCGCAGCGAAGCGCCACTTCCCTGACTGGCCTGGCCTTGATAAGTTCAAGGGGGTTATGCACCACTCGTCCTTTTGGCCCACCGAGGGCGTCGACGTGGCTGGGAAGAGAATAGCAGTCATCGGCACCGGCTCCACCGGCATCCAGATTGCACAGGAGACGGCGAAGACGGCCAAGTCCGTAACGGTGTTCCAGCGCACTCCCAACCTCTGTCTGCCAATGCGCCAGCAGAAGTTGACCAAGGAAGAGCAGGAGAAGCAGAAGAAGGACTACCCTGACATCTACAAATACCGCATGACAACCTTCTCGGGCTTCCCCATGGACTTTGTCGACCGCAACACACTAGACGACACTCCGGAACAGCGCGAAGCTTTCTACGAAGAGCTCTGGCAGAAGGGCGGCTTCTTCTTCTGGCTCGGCACGTACAAGGACATGCTGTACGATGAAAAGGCCAACGACGAGGCGTACAACTTCTGGGCCAAGAAGGTGCGCGCTCGCATCACGGATCCCGTCAAGCGCGACATCCTCGCACCACTCAAGAAGCCGCATCCATGGGGTACCAAGCGGCCCTCTCTCGAGCAAAACTTCTACGAAATGGTTGACCGGCCGGAGAACGAGCTCGTCGACGCCAAGAAGACACCCATCGTCGAAGTGACCGAGAAGGGCCTCAAGACGGCCGACGGCAAAGAACGGGAGTTCGATGTCATTGCGCTAGCCACCGGCTTCGACTCTGTGACCGGCGGTATGAAGACCATGGGTCTCAAGGACGTCAACGGCGTGGACCTGAGCGAAAAGTGGAAGAACGGCACGTATAGCCACCTGGGCATGACGGTGTCGGGCTTCCCCAACATGTTCTTCCTCTACGGCGCCCACGGTCCGACGGCCTTCAGCAACGGCCCCAGCTGCATCGAATGCCAGGCCGACTGGATTCTCGACGCCATGGCCAAGATGAGAAAGGAGGGCATCAACTACATCGACCCTACGACGGCGAGCGAACAGGACTGGCACGACAAGGTCGAGGAGATCAGCAAGGCCACGCTCTTCCACAACGTTGACAGTTGGTACATGGGCGCGAATATCCCCGGTAAGCCGAGAGAACAGCTGAGCTACGCTGGCGGTATCCCGCTCTACACGCAGGAGTGTCGTAAGGTGCTGGAGAACGGGTTCGAAGGTTTCGTGACGGCGTGAGGAGCAGGGTGCTCCCCTAGATGGAAGACTGCAGAGTGTGTCGATGATTTATGATGTGATGATCTTTTTCGTATGTATAACTAAGCAACAATTTGAAAAAAATCACATGTTTTCCGATGCGCCAGCGCCGCGCTCGGTGGTTGCCCGGGGATTTGCGGGCGCGACCGGCGACGTCATCCGATGATCGAGATTCCGCTCCTGCCTTTCGAGGCAACAGCCACTCTCTCCTTCGTCACTCTCGCGACCCTCCATGGCTGCCGACCGATCATAGCCAGCCTTTTCCCCGCTCCGTCCCCTTGAGACTATGAGGGCGGTCCTCCTACTCGGCCGTCAATGCCTCCGCCCGCACCTCCGCGCCGGCCAGCCCGCCGCCGCGCGCTCCGCATTCGCAAGAGCTAGCAGACTGCAATCCACACGCAACGCCTTCTCGTCGCGGTCGCCCGTCCGATCATACACTTCGCTCCCCTACTTACGCGCCCCTCCTCGTCCGCGCTTCGGCGGCAGCGCGTTGCTCTTCGCCGCCACCACCGCCCTCAGCCCCGCCGCTTTCGTCGCGCTGTCGCAGCAGAGCAACGATGACGACGACCGCACCGGCGAGCAGCTCATGCTCGAGGCGTCGCGTGCCGAGCTCAAGAACCAGGTTCCCAAGGTCATCCAGCACTCCAAGACATTTCGCAAGGGCCTCTACTTCTTCTTCGAGAACTACATCTGGGAGCCGCTGGCTACCGGGCTTCGCTTCGCCCACCTGGTGGTGATCTTTGTGCCCGTCATCTTGACGGTACCGGTCATCTGGATTGGGAGAAGGGTGCCCGACAGGGATAATGAGAGAAGTGGCACGCTGTGGTGGTATGCCTTCCTGGTCAGGAGTATGGAGAGAGCTGGGGCAGCCTTCATTAAGGTAGGCCTAAGAAATAGTATCGACCATGCGAATTACGTTATACTGATTCTATTTCTGCTCAGCTCGGCCAATGGGCAGCGTCGCGGACAGACATATTCCCTACCGAAATGTGCAAGTACATGTCGTCTCTCCACTCCAACGCGCCGGCACACTCCCTGCATGATACGAAACGGATTGTGAAGAGGGCGTTTGACGGACGCAATTTTGAGGATATATTTGATGAGTTCGACGAAAAGCCGCTTGGCGTTGGTGCCATCGCCCAGGTCTACAGGGCAAAGCTCAAGCCCGATCTCGCTGCGCCTGTTGCGTCGGATGTTGATGGGCCCCAAAACCTCCGCCAAGTGCTGAAGAAGAATGTTGGCGCAACGCTGAAGAGCACGCCGCATCGAATTCCCTCATCGTACGTGGCCATCAAGGTCCTGCACCCGAACATAGAAAAGGTTGTCCGCAGAGATTTGCGAATAATGTCTTTCTTTGCACACATCATTAACGCGATACCTACCATGGAGTGGCTTTCGTTTCCGGATGAGGTAAAGCAGTTTTCTGAAATGATGAGACTACAGCTAGATCTCAGGATAGAAGGCGCGAACTTGACTCTTTTCCGTCGGAACTTCAAGGACCGGACGACTGCGTGGTTCCCTTTCCCTTACAATGAATACACCACTCGGCAAGTACTCGTCGAGGAATTCGCTCACGGAATTGCTCTGGAAGACCTCCTCCAGAACGGTGGCGGTTCGTACCGCAAGGAAATTGCGGACGAGGGGTTGAACGCCTTCTTGCATATGGTCCTGATAGACAACTTCATCCATGCCGACCTACATCCAGGTAACATCATGGTTCGCTTCTACAAGCCGGAGACGCCAGATATCCCCTCGTTCAAGACTAGGAAGACTCCCGAAGGCGTCAGCAATTCGACCGATGTAACCGAGGAAGTCATCCGGCGGCTGACGCCGCTGAAGGGCCAGCGCAGAGCGTGGAACGCGGAGCTCCAGCAAATTGATAACGAGGGCTACCGCCCTCAGCTCATCTTCATCGACACCGGCCTTGTTACTGAGCTGAACGAAAAGAACCGCAAGAACTTCCTGGACCTTTTCAAGGCAGTAGCCGAGTTCGACGGCTACAAGTCGGGTCATTTAATGGTTGAGCGATGCAGGCAGCCTGAGGCTGTTCTTGACAAGGAGGTTTTTGCGCTGAAGATGCAGCATCTAGTGCTAGGTGTAAAGAGCCGTACTTTCGCACTTGGCAACATCAAGATTGGCGACATCTTGAACGAGGTGTTGACCATGGTCAGGCAGCACCACGTCAGACTCGAGGGTGACTTCGTCAACGTTGTCCTGAGTATACTGTTGCTTGAAGGAATCGGCAGGCAGTTGGACCCGGAAATGGATCTCTTCGCTGGGTAAGCGCGATGTGCAAGTATTCAGGGGCGTCCTCACGCTAACTATTCTTCAGGGCATTACCTATTCTGCGTAAGCTAGGCACACAGAGCGGTAGGCATATCGTCCGTGATGCGGACTTCTCCATGCTCAAGGTTTGGGCTGGACTGGAGGCTCGCAGTTGGCTACGGGCTTCGGTAGAAAGTGTAAGTGCCGTTTACCCTCGTTCCCTGCTTATCTTCCATACTAAAAGTCTACAGGTGGAAGCATGCGTGAAATACGATCTCCTCTCCCCTAATATCTAACGAACTTCTACAAAGAATCTATTCAGACACTCTCAAATGGGCGTTCGTGGCGCTAGTCTTTCGGAAAGAAACCGGACGCAAGGAGAGGGCATTGGGCGGGGTAGCATGAGTGTATTTTTAGACCAGTATACGCGATAAGACTGTTTCAATCGCTTTCGTAGCGTCATTGTCCTGAGACGTTGAAAGGAGAATGACGGCAGTCCGTGCATCGGATGGGGGAGCTGATCGATTGGCGACTGGGATAGTGGCGTCGATCAGTGCTTGTCGACATCATACTTACTGTAAACAGGCGCGCACCCCAACGCGGATCACGTACCAGATCGGATTCAAAGCGCGGCAATCGGGCCTCTCCGGTTCTTTTCTTTCCTCACTTCTCCACGTGCGAGAAGAGAACGGACACTAGTCTTTCTTATCCGCTACTGTCCACCACGAAGGAGCGATGGCGTTGTGTTGCAGCCGCCTACGTCATAAAAGCCGCCCTAGTTGGACACGCGCAAGCCGTTCTTTGTGAGATAACCCCATCAAGCACTTGTCACTTCCTGATTGAGCATAAGGTTATTGCGCGTTCCCGGCTAGCCAGGGCCATGGCATCATTGCGCAATACAGATGTCCACATGTCCAAGGAAAAAAGGGAGAGGCAGGTGCCGTCGGCGGTTGAAGAAAAGCGCCTTACTGCTACTGCCGTGTTACAACTCATTGCCTGCTTCTTGTCTCGTACCTCCACACCTCTGTCCGGTGGGGTGACATAGATTTCAGGCTCAGAAGTAGCCATTTTGGATCCTTCTCACTCCTTCTTCTCACTGGATTCCCCCCATCATGACAGACAACAACAATAGGCCAGGCACGGTCTTCAAAGACATCCTCCCCATCCCTGTCCCCTCGGACACGACGGCAACGACGGACCCCGCCAAGGAAGAAGAGGCAGCGCCGACGCTGCGCGACGAGCCGACGCTCTCGCACGCGCTGGCTATGGCGGGCGACGCCGAGCCGGAAGCGGTGACGGTCGTCAACGGCGAAGCGGTGCCGCCGACGGAGGCGACCAAGGGCGCGGCGCAGCGCGAGCACGACGCCGAGGTGGTCAACCTGGGCTGGCACGAGCCGAAGCGCGAGATCGCCGAGCCGCTCGTGGGCGGCATGGACAACGAGGAGCTGTGGCTGCTGGTGCGGCGCTTCAACAAGCAGATCTACCACGTCAAGCAGTACGACCGCCAGGTGCCGGGGAACCTGGACTTGAACATTGCGGACGAGGAAGAGTTTAGCCCGGATAAGTTGAGGGCTAATGTGGAGAGGTTGTATATGACGGTGGTAAGTGTTGCTCGGATCATTGCCTGCTTTTATTTTCCAGCGGATTTGACAAAGCTGATAACGGCAGATCATTGGTATTCTAGGAGCAGGGAAACAGGTGGCGAGGTTGAGGAGTTGGAGGGAGACAAGGAGGACGGCGTGGTTTTGCACTGTAAGTGTGGCAGCAACGTTGCTTCTTGCAAAGACTCACTCGGGTGATTCCAGATCTACTTTCTTGCTTGGGGACTTGACTTTCTGGTCCCCTTATTCTCCGCGACGATAGTCGCTTTGATTGCGTATCCTCCTTCGCGGGACTTCCTGTTCCCGCCGGCCCCGATTGCCCTGGTAGATGGGAAGACGGGCGGCGTTCAAAAGCCGAAGGCGGGTGTTCTGGGTAGCCACGACAGCGCAACTGGCGCTCCTGAGAACCACAAGGGCGAAGCCGTGGAGCAGGAGGCTAGCAACTTCGTCAACGGTCTCGCCTCCGTCACCCTCAGCAGTGTTGCCGGCAAGCATCCCCAGGCGGAGCCGCCTTCTGAAGATGGTTCGCCTCAAGACGCAGCGCCCGATCCCACAGCACTTGCGACAGGAGTTGCCAACGCAAAAGATGCAGCCGGTGGTGGGAAGCCAACGGCTAAGCATGACAAGACGAAGGTACCCATGGAGACGGCAATGTGGTCGAAGATGAGGCCGGTCATGCACGGACTTGCAGAAGTAACGGATACATGGGAGAGGTTTGGAAAGTATGAAAACTCACTCTTCCTCGCATCGATACTGGCTACTGACAGTCCTGCGCAGCGCCCTCTCCCCGACGCCACCTTTCCCCCGAAACACTTACCGCCTCCGCCTCGCAGCGCTCGTGGTACCACTCCTCTTGGTTTCCTTCTTCATCACCTCGTACATGTTCGTCAAGGGAGTCACCTTCGGCGCAGGCTTTGGCTTTTTCGGCGACCCCATCATCTCGCGGGGACTGAGCTGGCTCAACCACACCTTCCCGCACTGGCAAAAGCTGCTCGAGATCCGCAATACGCTCCTCAAGGGCGTTCCGACAAACGCCCAGCTCACCCTGACGCTGCTCCGCATCGGCGAGGCCAACAAGGCACCGCTGCCCCCACCTCCGTCGGCCGCAACGCCCCCGCCCGACGCCCCGGCCGCCATCACGGACGAGCAGCTCCGCACGACGGGCGCGGACCCGCCGCTCAACGCGACCGAGGCGGAGCTCGACGCGGCCATCGCGCAGCACGACGAGTCGGTGGCGCACGAGACGGCGGGTGCGGACATCGACGCGGCGAAGGCCAAGGCGCACGGCAAGAAGGGGGCGCGCATCCTCAACTTCTTCCGCGGCACCACCAAGGGCGTCGTGGGGACGGCCATCGGCGCCGACACGGTCAAGGCCAAGACCGGGTCCGACAGGGCCAAGGACCGCCTCGGCGTCGCGGCGAGGCGGAGCGACGAGGAGCGCAGGAGCGGCCCGGTCAGCTTCGCCGGCAGGTACCACGGCAGGAAGGGCGCCGTCTACATCACCACCAAGGCGACGATTCCGTGCGTGGCCTTCAGCACCGACGAGAAGAAGGTGGAGAGGCAGCAGGCGAGGATGGAAGGCGGGCGGTCCGGTGGTGGCGCCGAGGAAGATGGCGTGCACCCGGCGTGGAGCGTGCCGGTGGCGGAGATCAGGGAGTTGAAGAAGGTCGGCGGTTACGGATGGAAGACGAAGCTGGTGGTCGGCTGGGCGATGAACAGGGAGGTGGCGGATGGCCTGGAGATCACGGATAAGATGGGCGCCGTGTGGAAGGTCACGGCGCTGCCGTTGAGGAACGAGCTGTTCAACCGGTTAGTAGCTATGGGCGGCCAGACGTGGGAGGCTTTGTAAGTATATGTGTTCGGGTGTGAAGATTGTTTTCTTTCTGATGGAGATTTGCTCGGCTTCCCGATACCAGATTTGGAATAACAATGTGTCTCGCAGAAGTCTTGTGTAGGCGCTGGACAGGCCTACGGATTATTTTGTTCCATGTCTACGAAATTATTTATTGAATTTAACAAACTGAATCTGCAAGGCACTAGCGTTCGAGAAGGTTTTTGCGAGTCTAATCCATAAAAGCGGCTGCTTAATAGCGGATGGCGGCCCGGAGAAGCTCGAACAAGATGTAGCAGCCGGTGGCGGTGATGGTGGCTGTGGGAGCGAGGCGAGTCGGCTGTGCACCCTTGCACAGGATGACGCAAGTCTGGCCCAGTCCAAGATCTCGCGCACCTCCGCCGCCACAAGATGCTTCCGGTCGTCATGGACGCCGACTTGATAGGCCTATCAGGTCGGCGCGCCATCACATGCCTGCCAGCGCAACGCCTCTTTATGCCACACCTCTGGCATACCCTACGTCAAGCTCTCACAACCTCCTACACCTAATGGAATAACAACCCCCGCCATCCTGAGTTAACATCACCATAAACTCGCCACGCCTGATCCAAGCTTTCGTTTCCAACGCATCAGCCCGCGACCATGCTGGAATATTTCGCATTCAGAAAGTTCAAGAGCAATCGCGACAAGAAGGTCGAGGAGCGTGCCGCCGCTGCGAAGGCTGCCGCTGAGGCTCAGGGTGACACCGAGCCCAAGTCGCCCATTCTGAACGCAGAGGAGGAAGCCTTTCTGGAGAGGATCACTTCACAAGCTGGCGACGACGAGGAAGAGATCCCGCCGCCGCTGCCCGCGCGACCGAAAGCTGCCACAGCTCCCATCCTTCTCGAGCACGATCTTGCCGCCGCCCCGGCCCAAACAAAGGGTAAAGATGCGCAGACGGCGCTGATGGACGGTGCAGATCAGATCCCTCTACCGAAATCTCCACCCGTCACCACGCCCGATGACAGGGAGGATAAGAAGAGGAAGAACTATTGGGCATGGGTGCCTGATATCCCCAGGCGCGCAAAGGTAAGGAATACGCTATTTCGCTCAAGATCAGGGCTGATTCGAATAATCACAGAGCATGCGCCAGACCAAAGCCGACACCACCCAAGCCGCCGACACGTTAGCTGCCGCCGCCGAAACGGTCAAGAAGGGTGAAGGTGTCGAGCTCAATGCAGACGGAACCATCAACCTCGAGGCCGAGGCCGCCAAGGAGAAACAGGACTTGGCCGAAGTGCTGGACCAACTCAACCTGGCTGCCGTCAACAACCGCGTCTTCAGCTTCAGCAAGGAGTCGCAGGACCTGATGGAGAAGTTCAAGCAGGTGCTCAAGGACCTGGTCAATGGCGCCCCTCATGCCTACAACGACCTCGAGCGCCTACTCAAGGACTCTGAGAAACAGCTCGACAAGATGTACGGCTCACTGCCGCCCTTCCTACAGAACCTCATCAAGCAGCTGCCCACCAAGGTCACGGCAGCCTTGGCCCCGGAGCTCATGGCTGCCGCGGCTGAGAAGCCCGACGATCATTTGAACGCCGCGAGCGCGAGCGCGAAGCAGCAGAAGAAGAGTCAGAAGTATGCCAAGCAGGGCTACAAGTATGCGAAGAAGTACCCGCCGTTGAAGAAGCTCGTCTCGGAACAGGGCGCCATCGCTGCCATGCTGCGCGCCATCCTCAACTTCCTGAAGCTCCGCTTCCCGGCCGTGGTAACGGGAACGAATGTCTTGATGAGCTTGGCTGTGTTCAGTAAGTCCTCCCAAACTACCGCTTACCACCTTCATTTTCCTCTTCATCCCATTACTTCGCTTGGTACCGACGCTAACGACTTTGGTTGCAGTTCTCCTCTTCGTCTTCTGGTACTGCCACAAGCGCGGCCGCGAGGTCCGCCTCGAGCGCGAGGCCGCCAGCGCCCAGTCCTCGCAGTCCGACCTCAGTAACGAGCCCAAGATCGTGCTCGTCCCTGGCACCAAGCCGCCGGGATCCGGTAACGACGGTACCGGACCATCAGACTCCATGAGTTCGAGTCGCGGCCCTCCCGGTGGCCAGGAGCCGCCCATAACGATTCACGACGAGATTGTCTACGACGATTCGAGAGTGATCGATTTGCCATCGGTGCTGGACCTGCCCGATCCGAAGACGGTGCCGTTGCCGGAGGGTGCGGATGAAGGATTGAATGGCGGTGGAGAGGGGAAGGGAAAGGGGAAGGAGGTGTAGATCGAATAGAAACGAGGAAGATAGGAAGAGAGGAAGAGAAGGAGGATGAGGATGAGGAGGAGGAGGAGGAGGAGGAGGAGGAGGAGGAGGAGGTAGGAGGTCATAACCCGTGATACCCGTATTCGTTAAAGGGCGGTTGGTGCTGGTCGCTTCCGTTGGCTTAGATTGATAACTTGTTCCGTGGTTTTATCGCATGAGTGATGACGGATGAGGTAATGACTTTTTTTTTATTCCGAGGGGAAAATGTGGAAGTCAAGGATATAATACCTGGAGGAGTGCGCGTGATGAGCGGCGGGTTGGCTTACTTCTGGTCTTTGCATTGCCGTTTCTGTGGAGTTACTATTTGATTTAAGAGGTAACAAGGCGCAATGCATGTTGTGAGTGTAAAAGGTAGCAAAACTTCCACTTTTTCAATTGGAAAACACCATGCCCAATGCCGTATGTACAATGCCATGCTCTGGTGCTCCACCATTTTGAAGAATATTTAGGTTGAAAGCACCATCAGGAAGGACTTCACGCTAAGTATTTACTACCTTGAATTGCTTCAAATTCATTTCAAACTTTGTAGACAACAAGTTAAGTTCAAGAGCATGATGATTGATGAACTTTACTATTGCACTGATTTATTTCTAGCGTTTCCATTGTCGCCATTCTTCTGAGAGTCATAGATATCCTACCCTCGACAAACTTACTAATTCCTTTATCGTCACCACTATCACATACTATCAATCTGCTCGTCACCCCATTCACCTTTGATGCACTTTATCAGGCCTTCGAATCACCTCTGTTTGACCCTCTGCCTCCACTTCCCTCTTTTGATCAGTATCACTGGCATCCTCTCTTTCCACGTCCCCCTTGCTCCGATCGTGGTCCTCCTTCTGGCCTCGCTCTCTATCAGCATCTGCCGTCCTCCCCTCCCCGTCGCCTTCCCCACGGTGTTCCCCATCACCAGCGCTTTCTCCTCCGCCCTCGCTCTCAGTACGTCCCCCGGCCCCGTCCTCACCCCCTTTCTGCCCCCCTTTCTCCACCTGAACCTGCACCGCTTCCTGCCTCTGCTCAGACTCAGCCCCAGCCCCAGTGTCAGCTCCAGTGTCAGCCCCTTCTCTCTCCGGTCCACCGCCCTCGATTCCACCTCTCCCCTCCTCCAATTCGTGCGCCCGATCAAAAGCGCGGGACGGTCCACTAGCGGCCTGGGTGCGCTCGAACTCCTCCTGGTACCATGCATCGATCCTGCGCCGGCGCATCTCCTCCTTATAGGCTGCTATGACCCTGAGGATGTGGGTTAACACGACGAGACCGAGAACGAAGACGACTAGACCGATCCACCACAGATCTCCCCTTGCCATTTAGTAATTTCCCCTTTATTTTTTTTTAAAAAAAAAGAGAGGATTGTTATTATTGTTTTTTGGCTTCGACTTTGGCTGTGTGCGTATATGTATGTGCTTCCCGTTCGCGTATTTCCGCACCGTGATTTGCCTTGCTGCGGTGCTGTGCCTCAAGTTGCGTGTGTGAGTGGCTTGGAATTTCCCCGGGCTCGAGGTATCGCAGTATGAGATCCTGAAGCTCGTGAGTATGCTTGTTACTTGTGTTGGATATTTTTATTTCGTAGTTGACGATGGGCTTTTATATCAAAAGGCACGGAATTAGCTTTTTACTCTGCGGTGCGCATTCATTCAGGTCCTAGTGCGTGTATAACAGCAGATCGGACACGCTAAACCTGCTTGTAGCTATGGTTATGGATTCGCAAATAGTCAACACGTAGCAATGCGGGAACAAGAACACATGTTCAAGCCATGACACCTTCACTTGACCCTGGTATAGCGTGACATTGTGCTTCTATTCCTCACTTGCTCTACAGCTATTAATCTACTACGAGACAACCATCTCCCGAATTACGTCTCGCGCTCGCACGTCATATGTAGCAGAGAAGTCACCCTTCTCCAGAAGAAAAAGCAGAGAACAAAGGCTAAATCCAGTGGAGAAGGACGATAACCCATACGACGAAAATTTCCCATGGTATCAGGCGAAAATAGAAAAAAAAAAAAAAGGAAAAGTGAAATCATTCCGATCCGAGCAACGCCGAATTTTGGAAAATCCCGAATCATCTATTGGTGTTTGATGATCGTGATGTGACAGAAAGTAGCGTGCAAAGCCGCAGCAGTATGTTGGTTCTCTAGAACTTGGTCTGCTCGCCAATGGTCTCAAGACCGCCAGTCTTGCCACCGTAGACCTCCGGGACATTGGGTCCGAGCTCGCTGGCAAGCTGGTTGCCGTAGGAGAGGACGGTGAACTTCCTGGTGGTCTCCTTGGGGAGGATGAGCTTGAAGGTCTGGAACATCCAGCCCATGACAACAGGCACGTTGACAAAGAACTTGCGGCTCAGAGTCTCCGGGTAGACCTTGGAGAACAGGTCGATGGTGCGGCGCGATGCAGCCTTCACATTAGGGTCCTGACGGATAAAGGAGACGCTCAGGTAGTCGTGGACTTGGATGCCCTGATACGGATCGGGGCCGTTGCCATAGTCGGGGATGGGCTGAGTAGCATTGGCCAGGTTGAGCTTCTTAATGCCCATCTCCATGAGAGCGACGCGCCAACGTAGGAACCTGTTGCGGGGAATAAGTTAGTAAGGTCTGCACGACGGGGGAAGAGGTGCGTATCTCTTGGCAGACAAGGCCCTGCCAGATTCGCTCTGGGGTCATTGGCTCCTTGGGCGGCAAGAACTTGTGTGTGAAGTGCGGTAGCTTCTCACGCATGTCGGACGTGCGGCCGAAGGCGACGGCCTCACTGTGTCAAGCCCATCAGTGGAGCAAGTGTGAGCTAGCAGAAGATTGAAATATGACTTACGCTTCGACGTCACCGAAAGTGGCCTTGTTGTCCTTGACGGCGCCGTAGATGTTAAAGGTGATGATGTCCTTCTTGTTGGGGCTCTCGGGGACGCCCTCGGCCTCAATCACGTATCCAAGGCCCTCGTAGCGGTCCTTAGCAAAAGCCTCGTCAAGGGCGGCAAGAGGCTTGAAGGAGCCACGCCACTTCAGAGTCTCGGCCAGCTGATTCTTAGCTTTGTCAACATCGTTGGCATTGGCACGCAGGAACTTCTGCAGGATGAGCTTGGTGTGAAAGGGACCAGTAGGGTCGAGGTGGATGCCGTAGACCTCGTTGTAGCCGTCAGCACCGGTGATCAGGTCGGGAAGCGCCTTGAGCAGCTTGTTGATAGGGTGGTCGTCGCTAATTTCGGGCCAAGCGGGTGCTGCAGCGGCCTCGCTGGGCTTCGCAGGCGCCTCGTCCTTTGCAGGAACATCGGGCTTTGCTGCCTCGTCCGTCTTGCTTGCCTCACCCTCAGCAGCGATATCAGCAGCGGGCTCGGGCTTCGTGGCCTCATCCGTGGTCGAAGCGGCAGGCTTGTCAGTCTCAGTCTTCTCGGCAGCGGCAGACTCGGTCGCAGTGGCAGACTGCTCAGCAGCGGGTGTCTCGGTGGTGAGGGCGGGGGCCGTCTCGGCGTCGGCCTTCTTCTCTTCGGTCGGAGCGGACATGACGAATTGGAAGCAGATGCGGGCGTTAGACAGGGCGAGATGGAATGAGGAACGCAGCAGCAGCAGGATGGAGGAATGTAGAAGCTTGTGGTTCGGGAGGAGCTTGGGTGAGGTGAGTGGCGCGTTTGGAAGCTTAAATGAAGACGCGACTCAGAGAGGGCGGGTGCACAAGCTCCAACTGACTTGAAGGGTCCGCGCACGCGATCCACGCGCTGTCACCCACGTGCTGCCGACGCCTCTTGCAACGGCGGAATGCTTACTTGTTCCCGCCATCCCTGCCGAGCTGTCTATTCGCCCAAGAACTGCTAACCAAAAAAAAAAAAAAAATACAGCACTGCCTTTCGTCCACCCAGCTTGCAAAGAATGCAGCCTGCGACCATGCTTTCATCCAATCTCCGAGCGTAGCGATCTAACTCCGCCTGCATATTGAATTCTGGAAAAAGGGTCAAGGTAATGTATCCTGAAGAAAAGGAGAGTAGGAGCCAAGCCCGCTCTTTCCTGAAGAGTGGTCAGCACTCGATCATCCAATAGTAATGTTTAAGGGATATCTGAAGTACTTGTGACAAAATAAGGGCGCCCATGTCTAACTCTGTCCCTCAAAAATAATACATGCACTTCAAGTGCCATTCCCTCCTTCTCTCCATGAGCCCTAATCCTCTTCATTAGCCTGTCCCATGCTCTCCTCCTCTCGCCGCCGTTTAGCTTTCAGCTCAACCCGACGACCTGGGTTGAGTTCTGGATTCCTGACGTCCTTGCCCTGCCTCTTCTCCCGTTTCAGTATTTCCCTCCCGTAAAAAGCATGTATCTTCGCTTTACGTTCCATAAGCACCGCGTAGTGTTCTTGCGGCAGGTCTCTCTTATTCTTCAGACGATCGTAGCACGAAATCATCCCGTAGAGAAATTCGAGCGCTGCGTCCCAATCCTCCTGTGCAAGCGGCTTGCGCTCGTCATTTCTGAGCATCCTCTTCACGTTCACGAAATGAGGACCCAGTCGCTCGAGGCTCTTCAGAAGCTGGTCGGTCTGGGAAACCGACATCAGCAGCCTCGTGTACATCGCCAAAGTGCGCATATCCAGATCGGCGAGGAAAGTGGCCATCATATCCAGGATGCTATTGGCATGGTCCAAAACGTTGGGGTTGTTCTTGTCCCTGACGCAGGTGCTCATTGCTATTCTGAACGTCTTCGCCTGCGGCTTCATGCCAATGCGAAACCGACCGCCATCGAACTCGTCCTTGAGAAACTCAACAGCGGCTGCAGATGCGCGGGCCTGGCGGAGAATGCGCAGGTACATATGCAAGTTAGCTTCGTCGGGTGCAATGCCCCAACTGTCCGAGTCGGTGAGAAGGTGGAAGTAGTCCTCAGCCGCCTTTTTGGCCACCATTTTCCAACACGAATGCAAAATGACGGAGAGAGAAGAATTGCCCGGTTTGGCAAAGGCCATGCTGCGCCGGCCACGTCCAACAGTCTTTCCGAGCTCGACAGGGTCAAACTCACCACCACGGCGCATGTTATCCGTTGGGTCAATCTGAGTGGAATCTTCTGTCTTCATATCCTGGGGCGTGGTGGGCAAAGGCATTTTTGCCTTCCGGTCATCGCCCAGGTGCCGCAAAAGCCGGGGAATATCCATCGTCTGCGCAAAGAGAGACAGGACATCGTCCCAATCCCTGGGACGTTTTCCGATCAGAAGCAACTGCCCCATAGCACACACCAGAGGTTCATCAATGATGATGTCTCCGGACCGCCATTTGGCCACTATGTCCACCCACATTCTCCTTCCGTCAACTATCGCCTCCTCTCGCTTGTGCGCTACGTCATCTTCTGACATTCCATCTGGCGTTATAAGCGCGTGGTTCCTTATGGCCTGGAGGATCGTGGTGTACGTGAAGGCATCGGCCGCACCTGGCCCTTTCTCGGGCAGCTTTGCTGCAACACCCCACAAGGCGTCCATATCGTTCGCTCTCGAGCACACGCGCAGGACTGCGTTTGAATGCATTACGGAGGGGGGGACCGGCGAATTCGGAGCAGACATGGAATGGTACACTGCAAGTGCATTTCCAACGCTTGAGGAGTGGTGCGCATGGTTTCCGAGGCCTCGTAGTACAATCATGTAGGTATAAGCATCGGGTTTCTGCCCCCGCTTCTTCATCTAAACGCACGATACTTTGTTAGCGAATGACACAGTTTGATGGCGGACAGTCGCACCTCGTTGTAAATTTTCAGGGCCTGGGTAGCCCGGCCCTCGGTCATGAAGTGGTCTATTATGTGGTTCCAGCTCACGACGCAATCCTGTAGGCTGCTTGCGAAGCGTACCAAGTCCAAGGTCGCCTGAAGGTCACCTTTCGCCAGCCTTTTCTGGACAGTCTCTGCGAGCTTGACTGGGTCACCACCAGTCCATTCGAGTTCCATCTTCAGCCTTCGTCTCTTTGCGGGAGACAGCTCGCTATGGCTCGAATCATTTAGACTTTTCTTCCTGCTCTCGTGCAATTCCTGTCGAAGCGACGACCCATGGTATGGGTTTTTCTGCGGCTGTCTGAAGGGTTTGCCGACGGGATTTTTGCCCCACGATGCGTCTACAGCCTCTCTTTTAATGTGTGCGTCCAAGGCGTCGGGCTGGCGTTTCTCTACGGTTGCATAGTTACGGCGGCGCTGCAGCGCGAGTGCAAGTGCTCGGCTCGGGGATCGCTGGGGATTGACGCAACGAACGAGGGGTGTAAGCGGAGCGCGGTGAGCGACGGCGCGCAGACAGTGCCAGAGGCAGGCGCGACAGCTCAGCACCTGCATTGGAAAAAGCGTGGGTGGTGGCCGAGGTGGGAAGGGTTGAGTGCCGTGTCGCGACAAGCAACGTCAGTGCAGCCCCGGTCGCCTCGAACATTTTTTGGCTACGGAAGCGTTAATTGGTCACGTGCGCACGCGCGCACAGTGACGGCGCGTGCAGGTGCGCCGATGCTCCGTAAATCCGCAGCCTACTTCCGAAAGGCCAACAACACCGTCGGCGGCTGGAGAGAGGGCGTGGCTCGCAGGGCGGCCTCAGTATCTGCACTGGCACGTAGCGGGCCTGTCGCAGGTGATGGCCAGCGTCTCGCTGCGCCTTTCCTCGAACCGTTAGACGTTTGCTGACCAAGGCATCGCCATAGGACCCGGCGGGCTGGGAAGGACATGGCCTAGGAGAGGAGTGGGAGCGCAGCAGGGCCGTGGCCCCCTCGGCGGGCCGGACCCCAGCTGCAGAGCGCAATCATCGAGCAAGGCTCGAGGTGGTTCGGCGGCGCTGGCTTGCCGTAGCGGCAGATCACTCGAGGCATGGCTGGCGGGATTGCCGCAAGGAACCAGGGAGCATGGCGCAGGATCTGACAGGCGATCTTCCGGTCCTAATCCCAGCTAGCTGTGTGCTCCGGGCGCCGCTCTCGCGGCTCTCGCTAGGTGTAGGGCTGACGGCGGAGCGAGTGCTAGCTGGGGGAGAGCCATGTGGCAGCGGCAGCGGGCGCGGCCGCCCTAGCGCGCACGTTTGCCCGCGCCGGCAATCCTGCGCGCTGCCGGCGTTGAGGCTACCCCGGGCGCGGCACGCTGTAGCGGTGCTGGCGCTGGGGCGGGAGCTGGTGGTTTGCGCGCCGGCGAGCGTTGGTGCCCCGGGCTGCGCGTAGAGCTTGAATCAGCGTCCGCCAGGGACAGCCCGAGCACGAACCCTAGCCTGCGAAGCTACCGCATTGCTGGCTCGCCGTCAGAAAAGGCGCGGCCCGCAACGAGCACGCAACCAGCCCGGGACAAGCTTAATTGCGGCTCATTCGCGCCTCAACTTTCTGCCAGGCCACCGTGGACCACGCTACTGCCGTGTAACAAGAACGTCAAACACTCGCTCGCATGACACACTGCCTGCTGCCGGGCGCGAGCGTCACCCCGCAGGCCCAAGCCATGCAGCCAACCAAGTAGCGCCTGACACACTCGCACACGCAGCAGCACTGCAGACCGCCCACCCCTCCCACAGCCTTATCCTCTTGCAAGGTTGCTTCCCGCCTCGCTACCCGCTTTTCGAAAAAGGATGAGCGGCTAAGGCAACGGGAGCAGGCATCAGCTGGGAAGCCCCAATCTCTCCTAGAGCCCGTCCGAGGCCCCTCGTCGCCGGGACGCGAGCCCGCGCAGCTGGCCTGCCAATCGTCCTTGCACAAGAACATGGCTGCCGAGCCATCCGACCCAACAGCAATACGGAGCTTTTCTGCTCAGCATGATGCGGCATTGTGCGGCGTGAGGGGGTCGCGTGATATCCATCAGCTGCCGTTCTCGCGGTGCATTGCCCAAATCCACAGCGGTTCCTACTCGCCCGGCCAGGCGCTCAACACAAAGAAAGCGAAGGGGGAATGTGAGAGCAAGGAAAAAATAAAAAGAGACACGGCGCTTTCGCGCTCGTGGAACATGGCCGTGTCTCCGTATGGCTGGGCATTCCCGTTCACACATAAGCCCGTGGGGCGCACACGCGCACCACGTCTGACGGGCTGCTGCTTGTTGGCATGCCGTGAGTGGAGCGGGACTTGACAACGGCGCACAAGAGGGCTTGGGGCGGAGCGGCCGTGACACAGTGTTCTTGACTCTCCAAGAGCCCGCCGGCCGGGGTTCTACGACAGGCGTTCGTCGGACCAATATCATGGCCTCTGCTATACAAAGAACAAGACAACCTTCTTGCTGCTGCTCAATACAGCAGTCACGCCCGTTCGTCCCAACCGGTCTAGCCGGGCCTTCCTGCTGTCGTGTCGAGGTCAGCGAAAGCATCTGCTCGCGTGTTCGTTCCATGCCCCGCCGGACCTTCGCGAGGTCATGCAAGGCAGGTTCGGCGAGGATGGGGAAAAAAAAATCAGAATTGTGGAGTAAGAGAGGGCTGGGTGGCGGCAAGAACCTTTCTTTGCTTGCTCGCCAGCGCCATGTCTTGATCGCCTCCACAGCAATCTTTCCAACATAGAAGGTGCCCAGAAAATTTTCCTGCTTCCCCCCCTCTGGTACCCAGTCATTACCAGATCATGTGCGCCTTTTTCTCCTCTTACTTACTGCCGCCATCCGAGCGATGGCGAAGCGTAATAGTGAGGTCAGAAATATTGAAACCCCAACAGATCAAAGCCATTACTGGGGTTCCCCACCCTTCGCCTCATCTCCCACGCAACAACCTCCGTCAGGCGCACTGCTTCCCGAGATCAACCTTGGGGCGAACAAGAAGGGAAGATTAAACTTTACAAGCACGTAATCATTGATGATGCAAATGCCGAACAATGCCATGGATTCTCGATTTGGGGATGCTGCACTAGGTTTACGCTTCGCCACGGTTAAGAAACGAGCAAAGAGCTAGGATGTTGCAGGGAAAGTAGCGAATCGTTCCTATTTGCTGTTGCTCACCCGCCACAACGGAGCCAAGTCCACTTGCTCTTTGGTTTTTGTCGTATCCGCACACCTCCCATTTGACGTAAGTAATCAGATAGGTAGGTAGGGCGGGAAGAAGGGAGGGGCTGGCCAGCCGCCCTCTCATCATCAGTTGATGGCCCCCCACCCCCACCTCAGTTGCATTGATGAGGCGGCGACATGGGTGCAAGCGGTGTTGGAGGGAGAGGGGTCCACCCAGCGACAAAAACAAGGGCAGTGGAGCACGTAAGGCGGGACAGGGGTGTGGGGGCCATATTCCCAAGGGTGGGTAGCTTCGAGAGCGAGAGAAAAAAAAACATTGTGAGGAGAAGGAAAAAGTCAAAAGCTCTAGCGGATCGGCAATGCCGCCCGGGCGCACGCACGCATGCACGCACGCCTGCATGCATGCATGCATCATGCAGGCGGAGTACGGGCGACGACGACTGACTGACGCACACGCGCTTTTGCTGCAGACGAGAAACGGTACCCAGACCGCGTTGTAGTCTTAAGATGTAGCCACTGCATTCTACTCTCGCCTTCCATATGAGAGAGAGAGAGAGAGAGAGAGAGAGAGAGAGAGAGAGAGAAAGAGAAGTTAGGGTCCAGGTGGAAGAGATTTCTGTTGCATGACAAGTCGACGCTCGCGAATCATCAGTCGATCAATCTTCGAACGTGTTCTCGGTCCTGCCGCCCAATTTTTCTCTGCCAGAACCCCGTTCCCGGAAGTGCCGTCGTGTTGCGACGCAGGCGTGGCGCCCCCCTCCATACCCACATGCGGCGGCCATCGTAATGCTTGCTGCCCACTCGCATCCTGGTCTATGTGATACATCGCATTTTGCTCCTCGATCCCGCATCTCGGAATCTATTGCGGCAAGCAATACGGCCTTGGAACCTGACAGGGCTTTTGGGAATTGTAGGTACACGATATTGTGCGCCACGTCTACCGTTGTTACACAGAAACAGCATTGTTATGGGAGGAGGGACGACTGCTGCTGCTGCTGCTGCACAGGCTCCGCAAATGAAAGAGCTACAAATTTACATGCCCTAGGTTTTCCCGTGCCTACCAAACGTCGCCCTGAAGCCACACACAAGGAGATGAAGACGCCTGCGATAAAAAGAAAAGAAAAAACAGTGTAGAAAAGAATAATTCTGAACAGATTGCGCGTGCGCCAGAGCGACAGGACGACGGGCATTTGCAGCCAAGGTGCTTTCTTCCAGGGACTTGCGCTTTTCCCTCCAGCATATCCTTCCTGTACCCTCGCTTACCTCCTGCATTAATCCCATGACCAAACGATGAGCAGCGACGAATTGTTTCAGATGCGCCGGGTTTGAATGCATGTCTCTAGAAGCTCCTGAATCGATAATTGATGCAGCCGAAACTTTTGAGGAAACCCGCACGTTGGCCGCCGTCCCACATGATCTTGATGCTGAGGATAGCAAATGTGAGAGGTTCTGCCGCCGCCGCCTGACTCCTAAAAGAGCACGACCCAAAAGGCAACGCCGTCTTCTTTTCGTTGACACCACCGCGCTCTGGTGCAACAGGTCTTCCATGTAAAATGATAGGCTAGTCGTCGGCCAAAGACCTCTGGCGCGACCATCAAGTCGTGATTATCGTATCCTTTGCTTGTGACCGCAAACACCCCCGAAGAAATTTAGCCGCCCCCGTGAAAATGCATGTCGAAAAACCTGAACGCAGATGCAACCATGCTGGATGTCGTGACGAAAAACCGGACTGTGAGGAATCAAGACGACTTGGGGGGGTACCGAAAGTGTGCAAAACGCGAAGAGTGAAGTGTCTACTGCTGGAAGTTCGATCCGTTATCCGCGGCTGCTGAAGACATCAGTATGCGCAAACCAGCTTCTTAAACAGGCGGATAAGACGCACGCTGTTGGTACATGGTCTGGCCTTGCGTGTAGGGCGACTGTGGGTAGCTGCTACTCGCATTAGACGCACTGCTCGGGTACATCTGTGGGTTGGCGGCGGCATACTGAGCCATCTCTCCAATAGCGCTGGGACTCTGCGTGCCATACTGCGCTGGCGCCTGACCACTTGCCGCAGGAGCGTAGCCTATAGGAGGAAGTTGGGGACCACCCATCTGCACGGGCTGGGCCATGGCGCGAGGCTGGCCGTAAATAGGCGTCTCAGGGTTGCTGTTGTTGGCTTCGTTGTTCTGTGCCTGGCGCTGCTGTTCCGCCTGGCGTTGGCGTTCCTCCTCGGCTTTGCGTTGAGCCTCCTCCTCCTTCTTCTTGGCCTTCCATTCCTTGCGGATTTCCTTAAACTCTGTTGCGAGTAATGTTAGTTGGCGTCATATTTAAACACTAGTGCCTGCATGGTGTGTTTGGTGTTGAAGCTAGACAGGGCATGGGTAGTCTTGTACTAGTTTCCGGCCACCAAGTCGAGGGTCTCCGACCGAGCGGGAACCGCCAAAATAGTTCGCAACACCAAACGCGCGCCGGAAATAAACCTGGGGTCGATCGCGCGCTACACAGGCCATTGCAGCTAGTGGGGGGAAGCCGGCTCCACGTACCTTCTGGCGTGCGCTTTTGACCGTGCGATTGCATCGTGACGTGCGCGTTAAGGTGGTTAAGCGTTCCATATGCCTTTTCACACCCATTCCAACCACATTTATACATGCGCTCGATTTCCTCGTAACGCCTACGTGGACGCTTATGTTGCTGTGCGCCCGGGATCGGGACGAAAGAGTAAACGGTAGAGAGGGGGTGGCCGCCCTGCAACATTGCCCTGTTAGCACAAGAGGGGCTGCCCGCGAGGTGGGGCGCGCGCTGCTTACCGTTGGCGGGCGCTGCACCGGCGAGACCATTGAGGGCGCCGGAGGGCCCGTAGTGACGGGCGCGTGTCCGTACATGCCGGGGTAGTGAGAACCCCACTGATCGGGACGTCCGTAGACGGGCGCCGGGTGCGCACCGTAGTGGGACATCTCGTGCTGTGGCGGGTAGGGAGAATATTGACCGTGAGGAGGGTAGGTAGGAGACGCGGCCGCGGCTATCGAAGGATCTATAGGTACTTCGGGGTCAGACTTGTTGCTTTGCGCGTTGCTGTTGGCATTGCCATCTGGCAGAGGCATGGACGGACTTGTTGCTTGCGCCATATTTCCTGCTTGCGGCGGCTGACCAGCTGGTGGGTAGTGTCCTCGTTGAACGTAATCCGGGAAGGAGCCTGAACGCGCGGAGGAAGGATTGATGCCGTACTCGGAGGTGGGAGTGGCAGAAGAAGAGAAGTTGGCGGAGCGAGGATCGGAGGCCGCAGGATATTGCGCAGCAGATGCTTGATCTGCGGAAGAACCTTCAGACTGAGGTTCTGAAGTGGAGAATGGATAGGGCGAGTTCAAACCTGGCTGCGAGTAGTCGTTTTGTCTACCGTCCATAGACTGCGCGTGTCCGTTGAGGTGCAGGGCAAGCTTTTGACTAGGCGACAGAGGGCTTTCGGGTGCTGGGTGAGGAGAAGGGTAGCTCGCGGACATGTCACGCTTAATTGGCAAGCGTTCGCGGATGATTCGCCGCCGGTGGTATCGACCAGCAGGAGGTAGAAAGACCGTGCGGACCGAGGCTGGGATCCAAACAGCTGACTAGAAGGCCGTGGGCGGTGGGAGTCGACAAGCACGATAGCGTGCGACTTAGGTGCGGGTGATGCGCAGGCCGGTCTCTTTCAAGTCAGGCTAGCTGAGGAAGATTGGGCGCGCACTTTTCGGCAGATTCGCTCCGGAAGCCCACAAGACCCAAGATTTGCGCACGGGGCTTGGGTGGGCGGGCGCTTGATCGGTAGCCTGGCTGGAGCGCTGTGCTGACCGTGGATGTTCGCTCTTGGTAGCGTGGTAGCGCGCGCCGTCGAAGGTGCAAGTGCGACGTGCAGTCGCACGGATGCCGGATGCTGGTGCGCTGGAGAATATCAAACAAGATGGAGGTAGCTGAGGCCGGCTAGCGGCAGGTAGGGGTTGGTGTTTGGGCACGGTGGGAGCGTGGCGTGTGCCCTGTGAAGATTGCGGCGCCAATTGCAGGTCTAGCCTTAGCTTAAGCTGTGAGGTAATGACGCCGAGTCGCTGGAGATCCCCTCGACGGCGCTGGTCCCAGCCGTGTCGACGGAAGGATTCGCTCTGAGCTTTGGGACGGACGGACGGCGGACTAGGCTGTGCTTGGGAGCCGGGCGAGGGAAAAGTGGAAAGGCGCGAGGACCTCGGTACCCAGGCGGGTTAAGAGCGGCCGTAGCGCTACCACGTATGAAACCACGGTGAAGAGCCCTGGACGCGGGCGGCCCAGACTGCCCAGTGAGAGCGACCGGACCGGCGCTGCCTTAGTCGGCCCTTCCACGGGTCAGCAAGGTAAATAGACTTTGCGTCGACCACACTTTGCGCAATCTAGTCCGCGGGGCCTTCCCAGCTCGCTGACTGATGAGCAAATGCCGCGGCTGCGAGTGCCTGACCGTGTGCAGATCCTGTGTGCATGCGCCGACGCTCCCGGGGGTGGTGCTGGTCGGGGGGGCAGGCCGCGGTGGGCGTGCGTTCTGGCGCTCTGCCGCCGCCGCCGTGCTCGCCTGCTGCGGTGCCTGCGTAGAGCCGGAGGCGGGCGCTGCGGGCGCGGTCACCGCTCCGTCGTGCTGGACTGCGGTCGGTCGCGGGCGACGGTGCTGCTGCCGGCGGACGACGACGCGCGCAGCTCCAACGGCGGGCAGTGTGGGCGCGCGTCACACGTGTTGCACGCACGCGGTGATCTGGTATGACGGCAGCGGAGGGGATGGCGCGCGGCGGTGCGAGATTCGCGATGGGCTAGCGACGGAGTCGGGATGGTGGCAAAAGTGGCCTGGCTGAGGTGGAGGTTGGTGTGCGTCGAATCAAGCACACCTGCGGGCTAGCGCGAGACGAGCACGCGGATATTGGGGTCGCGCGCCAAGCCCACACCGGCCTAGCAAAAGGCTTGTCTGCGTCTGCGTCAGGGCGTGACGGCAGCACGATGCGCGAGAGATGCGGATTGAGGCTGAGCAGCCAGCGAGCGCAAAGGGCGCCGAGATGCGCATGCGAGAGCTGCTCAGGCCGCCTGCCCGGGGGGAGCCCTGCCGCAATATTGGCCTCTGGCGGGCAGAAACACTGCAAAATATCGAATGCCCGCCGCAGTGGAGCGCGCATTCTGGGCGTGTTGCTGGGCGCTGCCTGCTCGACGCACTCCTCTCCGCAGCAAATTCCGACACAACACCGCGCCGCGCTGCCCTCACCGACTCTCGCGCGCCCGCCGCCATGGAAGCAGCGGCATCCCCGCGGCGCGCTGGCCACCTGCGCTGTCTCATCGTCACCGAGCTCCGATTCCAGCGTGTTTCTGCTGCCACTGCTCCAACCCTCCACGCGCACAGACGGATGACGACGGCGATCGCAGCTCGCGTATCAAAAGTGTCGACCCTATTGGGCTCACGCCCCCCCTTTGCTGCATTTGTAATTTGCCAACCACGTTACATCTGTTCTCTCCGCCAAGTATACGAGTCCCGCGAGCGGCAAGGATACGCGCGGCGTGGGAGGGGCGGTCGGGCAGGCAAAATCGGCGCGGCGGCGCGCCAGCGACTGGCAGCGCGCGGAGAGGCGTCCTCGGAGGCGCATCTGCCACTGCCACAGCTGCAAAAGCGCGCATCGCGAGAGGGTGCGCCTCATCAGCTCTAGCGCCAGGCGGGGGTAGCTCCGCCGCAGGCTGCTGCTTGCAGGCGGGCACCTTGCGCTGTTGGGCGTAGGCGAGTGGAATGCGCGCTGTGATTACGATCTCCATCTCCGTATGGGGTTCTGCCACCGCACGCTCGCTGCTCGCCTGGCCGCGGCGAGCGGCCGCTACGGGAACGCTGAAAGAATGCCCGACACGAGCGGGTCATCAAGGAGTCATTTGGCAGCGTCAGGAGAAATGAGACGCTGCTGCAGCCGGCGAGCATCCCTTGGCCCGTTTGCATGGGCGGATCAGACCCGGTTCTTCGGCGCCGGCCGCTTGCGAGTGTCTCGAGGGCGGCGATGTGTGCGCGCTGCCCGTCCATTCGAGAAGCCATGTCGAACGAGTGCCGCCGCCGCTCTCCCGCCGCCGTCGCCGGTCAGCGTCGCCCGTTCTGCCCCGCGCAGCCGGCTTCGTCGACGGCCAACTGACAGCAGCGCGGTGGCCGCCGACGCGAGGCACGTCACGACGCGCATGCGCTTGCCTCTTCTGTGGCGTCTGGCGAGCCTCCGGGCTCCGATGCCCCAACACCGCCCGCCAAGGCCAGGCATTCTCTGGCTCCAGTGACAAATTATGGCCCCGTCACGGGCATTCCTCCTGAGGCTGCTGCGATGCTGTTGCTGCCGGCCCCGTCATCCGATCTCACGCAAATTGACCTCAACCATGGCTGCGATCCTGATGAGGAGAGGCCGAGACTCGCGCCCTGCACAGCCTCGTGCCCCTGACTCGAGCGGGTTCCCCAGTCGTGACGCACTTTCAGCCCGCGCGACTGCGTTGCCCGTCTGCTCTGCCCGCGCCGATCGTCCAGCTGGTCATTGGCCGATCTTCACTTGCGTTCATTGGCTTCCGTCGTTGCCTCTCGAGCCCGTTTTTTCCCAAAGCTTCGCCTGCAGATCTACTTCGCGATCCATGGATGCCTCAGCCCGTCGAATCTTCACGGCCGGCTGGCCCCAGCACGCCTTATCGCCCTTCCTGCGGCGTTCGTGGGCACTCAGTGCACCGTGGGCAGAGAGGAGGACACACGCCGCGCCCCTGTTCGCTCCTGGCAGTCGAAACGGGACGTGTCTGGACTCCCTTGAAGGCTCACGAGAAAGGCAAGAGAAACGGGAAACGAGGCTCTGCGCGTCAGGTCATGGAAGCTTCACGGTGGATCGCACCACGTCCGTGCTTGCAACGCATGTTGTGCCGTGCACGCCTCGATGCCATGCGAGCTCACGACACACAGACCGTCCGCAATGCCTCGGCTCGCCCCAGCATCAGCTGCGCGCCGTGGACGCCAGAGGACCTGGCGTTTCCCCACACAATATTGGGAGCGTGTGCGCTGCGCTGTGCGGTGATATTGAAATAAGGCCCATGACTAAGATCCTTAGCCGCTTTCCTGAAGTCGCATCTCTGCCTGCGGATCCCGCCAGCAGCCAGTCGCGCTGCTCGTCCTGGTGATGCTGGAACTTCCTGATTGCGCCCTGCGCCCGGGCCTGATCCTCGACACTCCTTCGAAATACTGCCGGGCAGAAGTGTGGCCGGGCGACGGGGGTCTGGGATGGTGAATCGTCAACCGCGAATCACCCCGTTCGGGGCTGGCCTGCGCCGCCGCCCATCGCTGCTCGGCTGCGCGGCTGTCACCGCCTTCTGCCACATCCAGGACACGCACCGCGCACACGCAAACACTGCGCTGGGCGGCGTCCGAGCGTGCTGGGCGCTGCACCCGGCGGCGTCGGTCGGTCAGTCGCCGGCGGCAAGACGACTCGCCTCCTCCGCAGTAAACCAGGGTCTTGCCGGACGCGAATCTGATCAGGCTGGCGATAGCGCTGGAGATCCCGGTGGCTCTGTACAAGGCCGCCCGCCGCTGGCGAACCGCGGAGCAACATCATTGCAGATGCAACCGCAGCTGGTTGATGGTGATCTTCCCACACGCGCCCCTTTCCTCTGCGCCTTCGGCAAAATTCCACGGGGCTGCGTGCGCGAGATGGTCCGAATGCTGGACGAGAATAGCGCCGACGTCTCGTGGCCGAGGGCGGGACGGGCGTCGATTGGCTTGGGCAAGCATCCGTGTGGCCGCAGCGAGCAGAACGTGACGCGCAGAGGAGCGGACATGCAGAGGGAGGAACAGCCACCCGAAGTGCAGCAGACCGGTCAGGACGTCCATGGCTCACCGCGCATTTCCATTTTGCCCGGGCAGATTCACGGGGGAGAGGGGGAGACAATGGCCAAATGTGATGTGTCGTCTGCAGGCGCGAAAGGTACAGGATGCGGGTGCGCCGCACGCCCGGCCTGCTGCCCTGATGCCTGACGAGCGCTGGTTACCACAGCGGTGGGATGATCTCCTGCGTTCCGACATGGGCATCCTCAGCCCCCGTGCTTGCGGCGCAGATAGGCAGGTCGGTGGGCAGGGAGGCGGGAGCTTGTGGCCTTGGTGGGCGGGAGCAAACGAGCGGACAGCGGCGGCAGGCTGGCAGCCAGTGGAGCAAGGGACGGGCGGACAGCAGCGATATGCGCGGGCTGACTCGGACGCTCGACAGGGTCCTGCTGCGGCTGCGTCCCTACGAGGCATTCGATTTAGACGTCCGGCTTGCTCGAATCTGGCTATCCCGCCAAAATGCACTATTCCGGCCCCCACCATGGTCCAGCGGAGAGCAGCATGGGACCCGACTGCCTTGCCAACCGCTGGAGCAATGCTCGTATCGGACAGACGACTGCTCGCTTATCTTCTCCCATTCCAAGGTCTTTGCGCCTCGCCAACAATAGAGGCTGCCGGCCAATCACCGCCGTCCCGGTTGTTGTATCTGTA